TTTTGGTTCAAATTCAGAAAGTTTTATGAATTATCAAAACGAATTTATCTTTTTTTAATTTTTGAAAAATTGAAAAATTTCATGAATGAACTGGATTCTGATTTTTTGAAACGAGCTGGTCACAAATTCTTTTCGGTGAACATTTTTGTTCCCAACAACTATTTCAGGTTTACTACAAGGTTTCTCAAAGTCTAATTTGTGTTTTTCGAAGTTTTTACACTCATTTTTTTTCTTATCTCATGTACAAAAGTATGAAAAAATTTTCACATTCTATTCGATTTTTTTTTTTGAATGATATTTCAGTTCACCAGAAAAGTTTTCGAAGGACACCAAAAAGATTCAAAAAAACCGAATTATTTGAAGAGCTATCAAAAATCCACAAAAGTGGTTATTTTCCTTTACTCTTGAAAAAACTAAAATCAGAATAAGTTTTATGTCGAAATTCTTAAATAGCTCTCATTGTGATTCTCCGGATACAAAATTTTATCTACGGTGTGTAAATTTGTAAGCTTATCACTAAGAAATAACAAACTAAAACCGATTTCTTCAAACCAAATAACGAAAAAACCTGTGAATCGCTCCCCCAAGGATAGATCCTTCATTTCGGCCTTCAATAGAAGAAAAAAAGTCTACTTCCATGTTTCAATTGCTTGAGTGAGAGTGTAAATTGAGTTTGAAGATGACGCGAGAACATTTTTTAAGACAAGGAAAAAAAAAACAAAAAAGAAGTTGGAGTTTCAGCAGGGGTGTCTCTTGTTCTTCGCGCCGAAGCCCACGGCAATCATTGTGCTTCTCTCTTTTTTTCGCTTCCTTTTTCCAAACGCCGTTCCTCCGAGATGACGTTCTTTGAAGATTTTTCTTCTTCCTACATTCCTAGTTAAAACCTCACCAAAAGAAGTCATTTCAAGTGACATTCTCAGCGTGAAAATTCCCCCAAACCGCTTCCAAGCATGACATCCGCCGCGCAGTTGCGTGTCATTGTAGATTTTTTGTCTGCTTTTGTCTCAAATTTTGAAATTTCTCTTATATTTACGCATCAATATTTTTTTTTCGAATTCATCGTAAGTCCTATGGATCTTCAAAAGTTGGAAAAAGCGCAATATTCGCAAAAAGGCCTCGAGATCGTTCTTACGTATTTTCAATCAAATCAAAATGTTTTTTTTTCTCGCACAGAAGTACTGAAATTCACGATATAGATGTAGGGAGAGTATAATAAAAAAATATCCAACAAATATATTTTCAAGAAAATGTAAAAATATTTCCAAGTAAATTGAAAAAAAAGGCCGACATTTTTCTCCAACTGGACAGCTGATATTAGATGAAGTTTCGATTCAAAAGAGTACCTTTCTCTTTTCTCGTTGCTTTGTCCAGTTTTACTATAGTCTGTTCAGATTTTGAATGTCAAGTGGTCGCTGAAGCTCCGCCCCCTAATAGCGCGATAAACCAATCAGAGAGCGAGCCATCCACAGAGCGTTTTCGAATGACGTCATTCTACTTGACATTCAAATTCTTGACATTATTTCAATTTTTTCAATTTTCTTCTTTGTTCTTTTGGTAAAGCAAATGCACCGACACGACAGTTGATTCTCTTTGAAAAATAACGGCAAAAACTTTTTTGACTTCAAAAAACTGCATCTTTTCTTGCTTCAATGCTGTAGATACTAAGAAAATGCTCCGAACGTTCATTTTCAAAAGAATGGGAAGTTTTTCAGATTTTACCGTATCTGATCCCCCAGAAATTTGAAATTTTATCATTGAAAAGACCTATCTCGTAAGAGCGTCCAAAGGCTAAAAAAGAGAAAAGAAGACTTGAAGCTGGAGCAGCTCCCATGCAATTCAGATGTATAGCCCTTTATTCTCAGCACAGCAGCTGCTTTCATTATCACTTTGATATGTCAATATGACACGAATCCCCGAGGTTCTCCTTTTTTGGGTAGCGTCAAAACAAACACCCGCAGCCTCTTGCCTTTCGCTTGCCAAAAATTCTCATGATGCTGTATAACGAACTAAATCAAATAAAGCGTTTTTGCTTGCGGCAAGCGCGTTCATTGCATATAGACATTCTCCAGTCTCTTTTATTTCATTCATCTCATCAATTACTCTTCATTTTTCGTACATCTTTTGAAGGCTTTCTTGAATTTCCCCCGAAAATTTCTTAGGATGAGTACTGAAAGGACCAGTTCTTTCGGAATCCATGTGGTTTTTGTAAAGTTGACTGGAAGGCTCTTCTTCGTGTTGTATCGGAATCCTGAATTTTTGAAAGCTCTATGTCTTTCCAGCCTTACAGGGGAGGTCCTTTTACTTTGAGAATTCCCCGTGAATTGGCCAAAACTCTTCTGGATGTACCAGATAAGGATGCTGAAAGTCTCAACCTGCACATCTTCCTAGTATTCAAGAAATAAGGGTCTAAAGCCTCAAAATAGACAATTTTTCGGGCTTTAAGAGTTTTCCTTGACTTTAAGGCGTCTTTTTTCCAAGAAACGAGAAAGTTGAGCAGTTTGAAACTTCTATAATATTTTTCTGGTACTTCAAAGAGCGTTCTGGCCGTTTTACAGTAAAATCCCAGTTTTAAAGTAAAATGACCTTTCTTGTTAGAAGCGCACGAATTTCCCACTTTTGAATAAACTGTTTTCGAAAAAGTTTTTGTTCAGGTCGAGATTTCTAAAACCCTCATCTATGCACAAAATTTTCCAACTTCCAAGAAATTTCCTTTGTGTGGAATAAATAGAAATAGGTAAGAAAAAGTTTTTGTAATAACGAAAAGCGTCATAGCTACGCATTTCTTTTTTATCGGAAATATGAGGATTTCTATAAATATCACCTAAATCAGAACCTAATGGGTATTTTCGTCATTCTTTCCATAATAGGCTCTGTGACAATTCGTGCATTAGAGATCTGTGACATTTTTCAAAACATGTATTATGGAGATTTCCGAGTTTTTCGGTTTCCTACGATCTTTTCTGAAAAAAATTAGAAAGTTTCTTTTATTCAAATGGGTAAATTTCTAAGGAAAGGACTTTCGCGTTATTTTATTGAAAGACGCAATGTTGTAAATAAAATTTAAAGGCTGATCCATTCACTTTATAATGGTGAATATGTTTTTCAACCCTTTTATTTTTTGCTTAAAAAAATTATGTTTGACCAGGAAGATTCTATCTTGATTTTATGGATGATGATTTATCTGAAAATGAAGAACTTTCTAGGATTATTAGGGAACTTCTTGGTTTATCAGATAGAATTCCGAAGAGTCTCTACCTTCAAAATTCCTTGGATTTTGAGAAGAACACTTCCAAGTGAAACCAAATCGTATAATTTTTTGAAATGAGAGATAACTTCGAACCTTCTAAATTTGAAAACTTGAGATTTTTGAAGATCGGGACTTCCAGAACCCATATTTGGGACATCTGGCCTATTCCAGAAAATGCACAGTTCCAAAGTGAACGACCTGTCTTGTAAGGCATTCATCGATTGTGACCTTTCAGGAGTAATTTTCTTTTTTGAATCTTATGATGATCTCAAAGGAGTCGCTGAACATTTTTTCACACCTCGAAGTATCTCTGAACACGCATTATATTCAAAAATCATCAAAAAAATGAATTAGACTTCAGAACCAAAAAAGAAAAATTGAAATTGAGATGGCAAATATTGGTGGAATAGGCATCTCGGATTTACACACATTTCCAGTTTCGCAAGGCCACTGAACTCTGTTTGAGGAGGAAAGAGAACAAGGAACGCGGCCACACGTCAACAGCCTCAGGGGAGGCGTTATCAGCGGCTGTCGCGCCAAAACATGCAGCTCAGCGCCTGGCTGTTTGCCCCAAAAAACTGACGATCACTGCCTACCTGTTTTCTTATTTTTTTTTTCCTTACCTTTTGCCCACTTTTGTTGATCAATCAGTTTGGCTTTGTTATGGATATATCAACTCAATCAACTAAAAAAACAGCAGCATAGGATAGGTTGGAAAAGTGGAAAAAGGCTCCATAGAAATGTTTCTTTTAGAGGGACATAGGCTCCCTTTTCGCTGCCTTTTCGTGCCATTTCATCGGCTTTTATGGCTGCTTTTCCCCATTTCTCGAGCCTCTGAAATCCCAGAAAAATAGAAGGCTCGATAAAGGACCATCTTTGCTGCCTTTCTGCAGCCTTTTTTGAGCCTCTCTATTTTAGCGGCCATTATCCACCATTCCGACTTCACCAGAAAGAAAAGGTTGACTGCACTTTTACTAATAAATGAACAATCTCATCTTATTTCCAAATCTTCCTTAGGCCTTCACTGAAACTGTAATCTCAGTTTGTCCAGCAAATCTTTTCTCCCTCATTGTTTTAGGTGAAGGATCAGTTAGGATGTCCCGAGAATCGAAAGACCAGAATTTTTTTCGAGTCGCTTTTTAAATATTTTTTTCTTGAAAAATACTGTCCAAAAACTATCTTCATAGTTCACTTTTTTTCCCAAGAACTTTATACATTTTTAGTGCGTTTTCCAATTTTTCTTCAATCTGTCTTGTTAATTGAAAGAATGTCGCACCTGCTCTCGAGTCTATAATCCTATTCCCCTTTCTTCAACCTGTGTTTTTCAAGAACATTTCTGAAGTTTCTGATTATATTTTGAAAAGACAACAGTAATGTACTTTACTTTTTCACAGAAAAAAAATCTCGAACTAAAAAGTTCCCAATTAAGACGTACTGAAGAACTTTTTTCCTACCGAACATTGTAAATTCAGGGCTAAAAAGTAGAAAATTCCCAACATTTTCCCACAAATCCTCGGCTACTTTCGAGCCCAGCTCTTGAAAAAATTCTTTTTCCGCCTTCTCTCTTTTTTTGTTCGTTTTTTTTCTCTCCACTTCTCCAGTGTTCCTTTAATGCAGGTGTGCGCGTAATTACAATTCTGCGAGAGCCCCACAATTATTTCTATTTTCTAGTCGCGTTTTTTAGTTGTTTGTACCTTCGACTGAAATCGTTGATCAGAATTTTCCTTCTTTTTTTCAGGGTTTTTGCGGGTATATGGGAGAGAATGATCCGCGCAGTGCGACCATCGCTCAGCACCAAACATACTTCTGCGTACTGGTGAGTTCACATGACTGAGCTAATTGCTGATGAACATCTCTTCCATGTTTTTGTGGAAAAACTCGGAAAGGGTTAGTCACGAACAAGCCCGTAGGAGTTTCCTCCGGAAGTGCGTTACCAATTTGCTCTCAGGAGAGGTTTTACACAAAATCTCGCTCTTCACTTTCTGGGGAATCACTGGGAGCTAAAAAAACGTAAAGTTAAAGATTTAGGTGTACTTATATTTGAAAACGGAAGACATGAAGAAGGCGAAAATTTCAAAATTTAAAATTTAACAGAGTGCATAGGCAAAGTTCCATAGAGATGTTCCTTTTAGGGGTGACAAAGGTCTTTTTTGATGCCTTTTTCCGCTATTTTTGCAGTTTTTCCATTTTCCCACCATTTCTTGAGCCTTTAAAATCCCAGAAAAAAATAAAAGGCTCGATAAAGGGACTTTTTTGCGGCCTTTTTGTGGTCTTTCAGCAGCCATTCCGACTATGCCCAATTAAGAAGAAAAAGGCCCAAAGACAGCTTTTCCGTTTTCGTTTTTCTAAAAAATATTTTTTCGGTTACAGTCATCCAGAAAATTTCTATTCTGAGTATTCATTTTTGTCTTCACTTTTCTCTTCTTTCAGTTAAAATATCAATGCTCAATAAAAACCAATAATATGACCTCAAACCTTTGTCTGATCACATGCGAACAATTTCCCGAAAATAGAGAAAAACTGATAAGAAATGATCATAAATATGCTTATCATTCCGCCGACAAAGAACCAAACCCACTACAGTAAGCACAACAGCTGAGGCGTCCTTTTATGTATTTCCTACAAATAAAATGACGCCGGCTCTCCAACGGAAGCACACTTGGTGTGCAATTACGCCTCAATGAGCAAACCAGGCAGTTCCATTGTCGTTTTGGAGCAGAGCTAAAATCCATCTGAAGTCTGCAGACAAGACACAGCACAGAGTTTTTTCGGTTTTAGTAGTTTTCTAAACAAAAAGAGTTTTAAATAGAAATAAACAAGGTTTAAAGGGGTAATATTTGAGAGCAAAAACTTAAGTCATTGCTTTGTAAATTTTTTTGACAAAGTTCAAAATCTCGATGGAAGTTTTACTTCTCACAAGGAAACTGGGCGGTTTTAATTTTTCTGAAAATTGGCCAGGATACTCCATGAATCATCAAAAGTAGATAAGGAAAACTTCAATCTACGAAAATTCCTATTTTTGAGAAAGAACACCTTGAAATCCGTAAAAATTGTCCGATGTGGGGCTTCAAGTCCTTATTTTTCAAAAACCCGGGAGTTGTGCAAACTGAAACTTTCAGCTTTTTTGGTATATCAAAAAGTTTTTAGCCAATTTTCAAAAAATTCCTAACCGCAAAGTGAAATGACGTCATTTGTCCGGAAGCGTTCATTTTTAAAGAATATTCGAGAATTAGTAAGTAACTCGCAGCAAAAATGAAAATGTTAAAAATAAAGTTAAAATTCAGTTTTTTTACTGATTTTAGAATCATAAAAAAATATGGAACAAAAAAACGTTTTTTTCATTTATATCAATAACTTAAAAACTCAGCCGCATCGCAACCGCAACGCATTGATCCATTCTAGCCAAGACCAGTGAATTTCATTATTCCAAATCAGTCATTTTATCTTTTTGTCACCTTTCGGAAAATCGGAAAATGATCTTTGACATTTCGAGTTCTATGTCAGCTTTTTCAAACTTTTGATGACAAGAACCGGAAAATGAAGTTCTCTGGTTTCTGATTTGTTTAAAATACGAAAAAAAAAACCTTTTTCTCAATTTGCCGCCTTATCAGAATTCAACTAAGCTCTCACTGAAAAATAGTTTTTTTTTGAATCGATCTCTTCGAACTGAGCAGCAGAACAGAGGGAAAATCGCTGATAAATTTATCAAGCAGCAAAGTTCGTTGATTGATCTTTCGAATTCCAGGTTGTGGAAACGCTGGCAATAGTCCCGTGCTTAGTGATAGCATCTGTCAGTTTTGCAAAGTACGATGCTGAGGAATATCAAGAGGCGCACAAGGAAATTTCTCAAGTCATTCGACACCAGTTTTTATTTCCTCTCGTAGCTGTTCAGGTGAGATAGTTGGAGAAGTCGCAGTGAAATTTCCCCAAGTTGAAATTCGATGACCACAGATTTTTATTAATGTAGCAGTCATAATTTAATATTTTATCGTAGGACAAAAACACAAAAAATTAGCTTCCGAGTCATTTTTTGTAGCCTAACGCTTATTGCGCAAACCAGGTCAGGTCGAGCGCAATAAAAGATGTTTGCTTTGTGCTAGTTAGTTATTCCATGCTTTCCGAAGAGCAATTTCTTTTCTTTTGTTCTTCTCACCACTTTCTTAAGTTTCAGAAGCTTTTCCAGATACAGGTCATGAATAAATCTTGACCTTTGAGTTAATTAAATGCAAAATAATTTGGTTGATCCAATGGATATGAGAAATGTCAATAACGGAAAAAATTTATTATTCTTAAAGCCTCCAAATCAAAAACTGAAACTATTCGAGTATGCGTTTTCCAGAGTGTTTGGGTTGCTTCCGACGTACTTGCTGTGATATCTGTATTTTGTACCGTGCCATATCTTCTTTCTGCCACATCTTGTCGTCTGCCTAGGAGGCCTGATTATTGCAATTTTACTACTCGGCCCTACAGGTTCGTCAATTTCATTTATAGCCTGTGTACCACGGCTTGGAATTTCACGGAACGACATTCCGCTGTGCCGCTGCGCGCCTTTGCGAGCCTTGGTCGCGCTTTTAATTTTTTTTTTTCTTTCAATAACGTACTCCACTTCCATGTGCTCCCACAGCAATAATAATCAATGGAAAGCGTGACCTACATTCAAAGGACGATTCGCGAACGCACGCAGCGGAACAGCGGAATGTCGTTCCGAGAAATTTCAAGTTGTGGCACACAAAAAATACAAAGCTCTGATTTCTACTTATGATTATCATTTTTGGCCACTAATCAGAAGATGTTTTTCAGTGGACGTTCTTATCCGTTCTACCGAGTCGAAATCTTCTTTGATATTTCTGGCTGTAGGTCTATCTATCTTCATCTTATGCGAACTGTTCTTCATAAGCGTCCGATTATCAAGTTTCCGGCTTTTGGTTAAGAAAAAGAAGGTGACCGATTTTTCAAACTCGCTGGAATAAGCGTTTTTTTTGAGGCGGTGCAAAGTACTGCGGAGAAACCAACTGTGCAGGACCTCGAGCAGGGCAGCACTTCTTTCAGTCGGCGTTCCACAATTAGCATCAACGATGATCGTTTAGAAATGCCACCACGGTTTTGATCTCAATCCGCTTATGCGGTAAGTTTTTCAATGTTCTCCTCTAGCTTGTGAAAAACCCCTTTGAGGGCTGAATATTTTATACTGCTTTTTCATGAAACTTATTCAAAGATTCAACAATAAATTTTTTTCTCAAGTTAGAGGTGATTAGACTAATTTTTCAAATTCTCAAAAAAATCTTAATAATATTATTTTCAGACTCACCGGTCTTCTTTCTGTTGCTCATTTCATATCAACGTACACTTCAACTATTTTTTTCAACTTGTTTTCAACATCTCGGGAATAAAATTTTTTTCAATAAAAAAATGATAGAAAAAAAGGGAAACTGCTCGAAATTGAAAGTGAAAAAAGTGAAAAGCTTGATTTATTTCTCACGCTTTGTAATAACATCAATCTGAAAAAATTGAGTTGAAAAAAAGATTAGAACCTGGAACAAGAAAGGCACAATCGAACTAACAATTATTTTGAATACGGGCTGAAAATTGGAGGAGCTTTGACAAGAGGATTTTTTTATAGCCAAGCCGTAATTTTTTGGCTCCTCTTGACAGCTATCCAAATACTCTCAGGGGATGTTTCTCAATAATAAATTACAGTATCAAATTTTCCTGTGCATGAAAATCGGGAGATTTCAAGTTTACAAGTTTATCCTGTTTTCAGAGAAGGGTCTCTGCTGAATCATGGAATAAATGAAGAGTTGATCGTCGGTTTGCGGCGTTGGCCAGGAACGGCTTGTAGATCATTTTGTCTTTTTCAGATAGTAATTTTTGAAAGATTTCGCGTTCTTATAATCTCGAACAAGGTTTCAGACCTTATTGGTAAAATTTTTATCCTTGCTTTATTCAACCTTCAGATTAGACCTTCCGAGAATTTTGAAAACATAGAAATATAAAAAATTAGAGCATCTTTGGAACTCCAGATAGGGGGCCACTTTAGGAACCACCTTACCAACCCCTGTAGGGGTCAGTGAAGCTTGCAAAATTCGAATACAATCTAAAAACCCCCATAGGGTCCCCTTGAGCTTTAGGGGCTTAAGCGTTAGACCCTAAACCCCTATAGGGACCACTCTGAAATTCCTAAGACTCGTGATTTTCCCTACGCGGAAAACTTCCACCAGTTTTTACCAGAATGGAAAAAGTTTCTCACATTCCAATATATTCCAGTCTCAAAAAACGTCGACAAAATGTCAAACTCGTTGGCCAGGTGAAAATAGAAAGTGTCCAAAATTGAAAAGAGCGGCGGATACTTGAGGAAAAGTGGTCAAGAATGGAAATGCAGGTTATCCAAATAGTCTCCGTAGGTCGCGTGTACTGATTTGAGCCTTTCAATTCGAGTTTACCTTCGCGATGCCTCATTTTCCACGCATTTTATAGATTTTTTTTCATCCGGTCGGAATTTTCGAAGCTTTTACGTGACTAGAATATCTTTAAAATCAGTTCTCAGTGCTATAAAAGCAGAAATTTTTTTCAAACCAGGTGATCTGGAAACTCGAAGAAAGTGATTTGGAAAAGATAATGATTTTCATAAATTTCATTGCTTTTATACTCATTTTAGTATTGAAATCGATTGATTAATTGCGTGAATAGGAATTTGTGAGAAATTGTAAGTAGCTATAGTTTAGCCACTACCAAAACTTAACCTCCTTTGTGAAGTCCCGATGAAAAAAAAATTTCCGACCGTTTTGACCGTTGCCTGGCACAAAAACCATTCGTTAAACCGCTGTTTCAGAAATTTTCGAAAATCCATAGATTTTTGATTTCAAGTGTCAGGTTGAACACGCTCAGAGATTTTGACTGATTCTTTGTAAAAGTTGAGTTTTTGAGTGGTTTTGGCTTTCTTTCTAGGCTTTGCCAAAAGTGAATTTAGGACATGCTATAAAGTACGGACGTTTACAAAATGCGACCGTTTTTTTTCTGCTCTATGGTGAATCGAAAAAAAGTGCGTTTTTTGTATTGTTGTTATTATTTCTAAAAATAAAAAAATTCGTATTTTTTTCGATTATTATTTGAATCAGTATAATAGTACTGCTCTCATTTTTGACGTATCGTTTCTTCAAAAATTTTTTCAAAGTTTATTTTTGTCAATCCACTGATTTCCGGTTTATTACAGATCCATAAACCGTTGAAAAATGATTTTCAACAGCTCCTAATGAGAAGCTCAACGTTTTTGAGCAGTTAAAAAACATTCATCGTAATGAATTTTTTCATTTCGTCGTAGTACTTTTTTTCGAATTTTTCTTTTTTTCAAAAGAAAGATAGGATGAAATACAAAATTTAAAAAATGTCAGACAAATGTGAAAAAGATAAGATTAAGAAGACGCCTGTATTGTCATCAATTTGAAAAGTCATCTCAAAAAGAAAAAGCGGGTCGCATTTTCAAAGGCAGTGCACCTGTCACATTTTGTAAACGCTCGTACTTTACAACATGATTGAATTGAGTTGTCCGATTGTGAAAATTAAAATTTAAAAAAATCCTCGGGAAAAAAACCTAGCTGAAAGTTTTGAGTTAATCGTCACTCTTGTGTGCTCGAAAAAAGTAAAAAAAAAATCATCCAAAAGATAAAAAACTCCTTAGCTTATTTGATCCGTGAATCATATATCTTAGTATGTACCAATAATGAACACGCTCGACGGAATATATCAAGGATCTTTCCTCAAGTCTTTTTCTTTCGCAGAATGCTCTCTATTGACATCTCTTTATCTATTTCTTTCACTTTGCCATGTCTAAAGTGTTCTCAACGGCCGTCGGGCCAGATTTCCCTTTTTGCAATTTTTCCCGCCTCAAACTATCGAAACGACATCGGTCGCGCCTAATTAAACAACAGCCAGGATGCCGGTTTCCCGATGACTTCTTACCGGATTTCTTCGAGCCAATCAGACCAGTTCGAAAGATACCCTGTTGATCAATTCGATCTTTTTGTGAACTTGAGATTTTATTGCTTAACCGAAAAAGTCTCATTTTGGAATCCATGCTCATGAGAAATTTGAGGATTTTGGAAAAAGAATAAATTTTTTTCAGTTTTACTTTTTTTATTTTTTTCTATTTCGAGTCAATCATTTATTCATTGATGCGAACTGAACTACAAAGAGTGACTTGAGAAAAATTTCAACAAAAAGTTTTTCTCACAAAATGAAAATTTCAGCTGAAAAGTGTTTCGATAATCTTTCAAAAAAATTACAGTAATAAGTTCAAAAGACTTTTTTTGTTATCATCATTGGGAAAAAAATTTGTGATTGTACTATTTTGATAACCAGGCAGTTTTTATTGACCTACTTCATAATTCTTCTAGAAAATCCGCTAGAATATTATTTTACTAAGAGTTGAAAACTCTAGAAAGTATCTTCAACCCTACGAAAAATTCACAATTTTGGATAAAAAGCACCTCTTTTTCAGCCTAAAAAGGTTTTTTAAAAAGTTCGAATCGTTCTCTAACCGCACCTTTCCTGATTTTTTTTTCAAAACCGCAACAAATAGTTAATCAAAAACCTCCAGAGTTCAAAGTGAAAAAACTTCTTCATGAAAAAAACTGCCATCGACTCAAATCCCGATCACCAACATCAATGTTTCAAAAACAAAGGTCCATCGTAACGACTGAATCTCGGGGATGTTATCCCGTCTCAGCTTTAGATTCCCGTTGTCTCGGTCAATCCTCGTTTGGGATCAGGAACGACGGAATCGGGGGGCAGAAGCTGGCGGCGACGCCTCTCGTTTAGCTTCGTGACGAATGTTAGCCAATTTTCTTCTTCCTTTTATATTGACCGTCTTTTTGTGTTTCGTAATTATTTCCCGGTTGTGTTTTGGTCGTGGTTTAATCTGATCGAAGTTTCCAACTAGAATTCAGGGAGGGGAGATCTCCTGATTTTCAATCCCAACCTGTTGAAATCTGTGATCATTCAACTTCATATAATGTACCTAATGAAGATCCTGAAAGCCGCAACCTATAAAACTTCCTGGTTTTTGAAAAATAAAGGCTGAAAGCCCAAAAACAGCCTATATTAACGGTTTTTAGGATTCTATTCGACCTTAAAGCGTCTTTACTCAAAAAATAGGAAGACTTTCACAATCCTCATCCAGTACATTGAGAAGCGTTCTGACAAATTTCCAGGAAATTCCCAACCGCAGAAAAAATGACTTTCCTTGTAAGTTTTCTTGTACAGTAACTTTATCAGCTTACAGGGATGCAGAAATCTTCAAAATCTCTGTTTATCAATACCATTTCTAATCCACTCATGGTTTTTTTCAGTTTTAACTGTCTGAATAATGAGCAGATCGATAAAGTCATAAACTTTCTTTTCAAGCAAATCTCATTTATTTTTGAAAAGTTTGAGAAGCCCTTTTTCTTTTTTTCTTTTTCTGTAAGTATTTCATTCTCGTGTTATTTCATTCATTTTTCCTTCCGTGAGAAAAAAAGGGTGTTAGAGAGTTTTCTATGCACTTTACCAAAGCTATGAAGTTTCAATTCTATAGGTCTTTAAAATGAAAACTTTCCAGTCCCATGATTAATATTTTGTGAAATATAGTCAATGATGTCAAATTTCATTTTTCAAAACGTTCAAGACCTTCAGAAACCTCAAAATTGCTTAACTTTACTGTCTCAGTCATGGCTATTTCAGCGATCTCGTTTTGAACTCCCGCGGAAAACCGTCCTTCATTCTTTTCTTTTTTCTCGCCGGCCGTATACGGCTTTCACTATTTTTCGACATTGCGGGTTGGATCCAAGTCCGCGACCTCCCTCAGCGAGGATAAGAAATAAGAAACTTAACCATGCGGCTGCGCGGCCTCCCCATATCACGTCCGAACCAACCGCATTGTTGTTGCTGCCTAATTCGCAGTCATATGCTAGTCCTCACCCAGTTTCCCGATGCCTTTCATCCAAGACGACCTCTCCGCAACCTCTTCTCGCGCGATTCCCTCGTTTTTCCTTCTGGTTTTTTGTTCTGCTTGTGTCCCTTTCTCTGGAAAAAAAATGACGAGTTTTTTTTTTCTGTTGATGGTGTTTTTAGCAGCTCATTTGGAAGATTCCAAGCGTCGGAGATGTCGCCCCAACGGGCTTGTAGCCTTTTTGCAATTTTTGTTGCTATTCTCCTGCCAATTGCAGTTCAAGGTATATTTCTGAGAATTTTAATGATTTTGCTACGTTTACGAACAATTTTTATATGTCCTGAATTTTCAAACGCGTTCGAGTTCAACGTATATTGATGCTTTCAAGTTTCAGACCTGCACAGATTCTCATTCAACAAAACTAGGCCACGATAGTTTGTTACCTGAAAATCGGGAAAGTAGCTAATTTTGAGTATCTTCTTGCATAAAAATAGTTTTTTTTTGTGCAGCTTTCAAATTCTAAAATGTTCACGCTGTAGATAACTTTAATGTTTCTTGCAATCTCAAAAAATTTATTCGAAAATTCCTTTTGTTTTCAGAAAACGGTTTTTCATTCGTTCAGCCATAATTTTTCATACCTACTATCATATTGGAATTTGAAAGAGGAAATTTTCTTGGGCCACTAAATCTCAAAAAAATGCTGAATAATTGCTCGAAACTACTTTTCTATACTTATGAAGCGAATGATCATTCCCCTTGGTTTTTTTCCCAGTATTTTTGAGAAAAGATCTATCGAATCAGATTCAGAGTTTTGTATAATTGTTTGAACTATATTTTCATGCGAAAAAATTCAGGCGCTTGCCCATCAACGTACTTTGCGGAGCCCATTCGTTACGAGGATGCGGTCGAAATCGACTTTTTACTACACGGGGTTGGTTTTTTGATTTTTTTTTTATTCTGCCGTTTTTGATAATTTTTCCTGTTCTTTCTACAAACTATCCACATAATTCAAATGATCCTCAAATGCATTTTCTTAACGTCCTTCCATTTCGAAGCGCCGTGTTTGGGTTCAATCTCGCAGATCGGCCTTATCAAGTTCTCACCAGTTTTCGTTTTTCCCACTTTTTCTCCGAGATGTCGAGATATTATTCGGCGGAGATATCAGTCTGGGATTGAGAGAGTGATTTTGGTGATGATAAATTTCTCTCTTTCTGATCAAACGCCGACAAGAAAAAATTAGAATGGTTTGAAATGCAGTTTTTGCTTGGTTTCATCGGATATTCCGGAAAAAGTGATAGAATGAGAAATTTTTTTGATTTGACGAGGGCTATTATTTTTCAGATTTTTGACATTTCGACATCTAACAAAAAAAACAGCGCGAAAAGATACAAATTGAAGATTTTCTTGAAAATTCGCTGAAATGGTTTTTCGAACGCGTTAAGAAACTTTTTTTTATCTAAAAAATGAGATTGATAACTCGGCTGAGAAGATAATTACAAAATTTCATTTCCAATAAATTAAAATGGTTTATAGGTTTGAATAGACTCAGTTGAAAGAAAGAAAAGTTTGAAAAATAATAAAAATTAGTTTTTTTCTTACAATTTTTGCATGATTAAATTTGTCACCTCAACATGTCCGCCAAAAGCCGCATCGCGCACGAAACGCTTTCCTTTTTTCAAACTACCTATCTTGCTTTTCAAGTCGGCAGAAAATGACTATATCTTCCAATGAGCGCTTGTTGAAAATCTTTTTTAAAACGTGATTAATTAAGATGTGGGGTCATTTTTCCCCCAATAAGATGTGATTCTTCGTATCTTCATCGATTCGATATGAAATGGTTGCTTTTTTCAGAATAAATCTCAAGACAGTGACGTCCTGCGCCACTTTCTGCTCACAACGGGAATTCTGCCGAAGTGCCGTTTACAACAGGAGAACCAGGACTTGTGGAATCTCCTATGATCACACTGTCAGTTGTTCTTCGCGCAGTACTCGCTACGAAGTCTACGACGAGAACTCCACAACTAGCGATCTCATCCGAATCGCCTGCGTGGATAAGTGCAACCCAGCAAAAGGTTTGAATTTTACCCTGGCAAACTTGAAATGAAGCCCTATTTCAGCAGTAGCTCGTGATGAAAGCAAAACTGGCGTTTTTCCGAAAAGAGAAGACATTTTGAAACCGGTGAGTTTTACTGATTTTTCTGAAATGAATATCCCTTAAAAAACAGCTTGGATGAGAAGATTATCAGAAGAATATTTTAACAAAAGCTCCATCAATTTCTAGGAGCTCCAGAGTGGTCCCTATATGGGCCCTTGAAAGGGTGCTCTAGGGACCACTTTAACGATACCTACAGAGGTCAATAAAGCTTGTTGAAATAATCCCTATAAGGTTTTAGTTAGTGGCCCCTATAGGGGACATGCTAGTCGAAAAATTTTATGAACTCTAGGCGTATAAGGATTTCCATGTGAAACAGTTGAGCTTTAGGAACTAAGGATTCATGCCCTAAACCTCTAGAGAGACCACGTTGATTTTATCTCTATAGGGACCATTTTTTCGGTCTCTTTAGAAGTTGTTTCTCTTTCTATGCTCTATAGGGACCACTCTGAAATCCTTGAGTCAATTTTCACTGTAGTTAGTTTTTACTGTAACTTTGGGAGTTTTCGTATAATATCTCTCTATTTTGATGAATTATTACATACGGTGTTTTTTTCAGATAGGAATCATCACCGGGAACCCTCATGATGGTCGTCCAAAGTCCAGAAGCAACACGTCTGATACCAAGAAAGTTGATATAATAACGGAGGAATCGTTGGGATCGTCAAGAGCCGCTGAGAGGCCGAGAGCTGAAGGCTACGTCACTCGCCTCATTCTCTCCAACATTACTGGACTGGCCGATGGAGAGACTGCCATAGTTGAACCGATTGCTCTACCGAGTACCGATGCTGAAACGGACAAGGAATCTAAGAAAAGTTTGTGATTTTCAACTTTTTACTTTTTTTTGGTGGTTTAAGCCGTGCGGACTCAATTTTCTATCTCACCCCAGTGTATTCCTAACAATAACGGTTCACTCAATAATTCAATTATTCTCTGGCTCAAAATTTTTGAACTTTTCAAAGCAACTCGTACTCAAAACAAGTTTTTTATGTAAGTTATTTCAAACGCCTCAAATCCGTCTTTCGCCTTTTCGCGGAATGTCAAGGATTAGCCTCGATAAAGTGTCCCAAGACGCAAAATTCTGACCGTTTTTGGCGTGCTCGAATACACCCGCAGTTCACAGCTCGCTGCCCTATTAGGTCAACGTTTTGAGAAGTCAACTTTTTAGACGAATAATAAGGTCGTAGAAGACGTTTACGATTCATAATCTTCAGAGCAATCGCAAATTTGCTTCCGAACCTTCAAGAATCGCTACTTGCTTGGGGCATCTTTTGAAAATCACGATGTATCGTCGGTGAACGAATGCAGGTGGAAAACTGTCAATGAGAAAAAAAAATAATGAAGAAATTCCAGATGCCTTTGTGCAGCGACTTACAGAGAAAATGGATTCCATAAATGCCGGTCGTTTCAATATCGCGCAGGAAACTGCGTTTTGAACAAAGGAAATCATTTGTAAGTATCAGAAGTTTGTTAGTTGAAACATCAGGCTCGGTGAGATTCAAATTTTGAGAAGCATCATAACAAAAATTTGTATTACAATAATCATACAATTTTTTTCATTTTAGAACTATTCTTATTCAGTTGTTTTGGCTTCTACCGTAATTTTACTTTTTTTCAGAGGCAGATATGAACAATTAAAATTCACTATTTCAGAATATTGTTCAAAAAAAGTATTCTTTTTGCACAATTATAAGATTTTTTTCAGAGGAAGATTCGACTTGATTGACCAACGGAAGTCTCTCTACCAATATGTCGATTGCGACAGTGATGGTTTCCAAACTTCCAATAATCTCATTACTTTTTTCTTCAGTTCTTCTCGAAGTTGCTAACGGTGTTTGCAAAAACTTCAAATCTATGGCAATGATGGCAACTACGACGAGAGCCACTGTCGAAACGGACCAACCTACTTCCATTTTGAGCACTGAACCGACTTCCGCAAAGACTACTCCTGAGTCGAAATCGACGACCGAAAGAACCACGACGACAACTTCAAAAGCAACAGAAGCCACAACTTTTTCGACTGAAACGTCTGAAAAAACGACGACTTCTCCGATTCGTATGTGACACAAATTCAATCGTTTACATGAATTTGCAAATTTCAGAAGTTTCGAAAGTTCCTGAAATCACTACAGAAACTACTCCTGCAAAGGTGGGATAATCTGAATAATGATAATAATAGTTTATTCACTGCTCTCACATTTATTTCAATGGAATTTCAGGAATCAACAAAGACATTGTCTGAAACGTCCGAAGCAAGTTCTACGACCATCCCTCCGACAAAAACGGCGGATAAGATCGACAAAACAGCAACTGCCGAAGAAAGCCGAGAAAAGAAGAAAGACAAAGGACAAATCCGAGGCTGAGCGCAAAAACGTGCCGGAAAAACTCAGCAAAAACCAAAGTCCTGTTGAGAAGAAAGATGAGGAGCCAATTGAAATTCGTAAGCTTTTTTTTATTGCATTGGGTTGAAACTTGATATTGAAGAAAATTATGGGTGCTTCGAAGTTATTGACGATCATCTGATGGTGAGCGTGGCTGGCGGACTCGAACATGACGTTTCGCTTGAAGAATGCCAATGTCATTGCGCCAACAGCAAGTAGGTTGATATCCTCGAAGAAAAAAATCAAAATTCACAGATTAAAAAAAATTTTGTTATCCCTGTGGTTTGACATTTATAAGAAGTTATTCACCATAATTTTTAAAAAATCCAAGTTATCAACAGATAGATTTTCTCTGCTTCCGTTCCCCCCCTATAAAGCCAATAAATCCAATTTTTTCAGGAAATCGGGAAAGTATCCATTCCAGTGCGCCTCTGCTACCTATTACCACATCGAAAGAGACTGTATCCTCAATCTTGAGGACCGCTTCATGCGAAGCAATCTATTTGAAAAACAGTTCGTCAACTTCAACGTCTCCTATGTCGGAATCACATGCAGCTTGGGTAAATCTCCTTCAGGTCTTCAGATCACCAAGATTTTCCAGAAAATGCCCAGAAAAGTACTTCGAGGATTGCTGAAACCGGATGTCGTCAGCCCGCTTCAGAATCATCGATGTTGCTGAAGAAGAAAAAGATGGGAGGTTATTCCATAAAATCTGAGCCACAGCCTTTCATCGTTTTTTTTCAGAAGATTCGGACACTTGTTTCGTAGAACTCACCGATTTCGTTCTTGAAGGTACTGCGGTCGCTGTTGAAACAGGAATCTCATCGCAGGTTTTTATTTCTTTTTGTGCTCGAATTTGATTATATTTTTCAAGGAATGCAAATGCAAGTGTGCTGAGGGACAAAAACACTACGGCGAAGAATGTCAGTCTTTCCTTTATTACTATGACAGCAATACCTGTCTAATGAACAAACAAAACAGGTAATTTTGTTCTTACAAGATTTAAAAAAAATGTCGATACAGATTCTCCAACCCAGAAAAGTTTAACTTCGTACCAAGCGCGAACCAACGCCGTAGCTATTTTGAGTGGACCTGCGCTAGTAAAGGTTTTTAGTTTTCTAAATGGATTTTTATTTTATTTCTCAACTTTACAGAAGAAGATAGAAAGAATTATTTGGAAACAGCGTGTTTATCAGTTAGAGAAGAAATCATCAATGGAAATACGCTTAACGCCGATGAGAAATCTTTGAAGGTGGGAAACATTGGTTTCATTTTTAAAAAATATCATTTTTCAGTACGAAAAAAGTATCGAGAAAGAAGATTCAAGTTCTGCTAGCAGTTCAACAGAAGTTAAAAAGGAACATTCAACTCCAGTTCCATCTACTATCGCTCCATACGACCCTGAAACATCGGTGAAAAAAGAAGAAACTTCCAGCAAAAAGCCGATTGATGAGAAAAAATCAGAAGAATCTCCTAAGAAAGAAGAAAATGTGAAGCCGGATCGGAACGTTGGCGTAAAGCCCATGGACTTGAAAGTATTGGAAGAAGCCATAAAAACTCAAGAAAAAAGAAAAGAGGATAGAAAAATGACCCCAGAGCCCAATGAAACGAAAAAATCGGAAAAGGCTGGGAAAAATCAGATAACACAGGAAAAAGGCGATGAAACAAAACCTACCGATCAGATATCATCAGAAATCTCTGGGAAAAATCAAGAAACAGCTAAACTGGGCGATATCGTTGGCGTTAAGCCTCTGGATCCGAGAATTTTGGAAAAAGCCGAACCGAAGATGAAGCGAGAAGAAGATATTGAACAAGTTCCTGTGAAGCCGCTTTCCCCAGAAAAACTTGAACATCTTGAGGTTTAATATAATCTTCATACAATTTCACAATTTTTTCAGGCTCTGAAGCCAGCAACACCAGTTGAAAAACCAACCGAGCTTCCTTCCCTTCCATCTCTTGAGATTCAAACGCCGTCACCAGCTGAACTAGAAAAATACACCAAAGTGAAGGCTGTGGAAGGCCCGATCAATTTTGAAACAAAGAAATCGAAGTCGAAAAACGCTGAGCCAAAACGAAAGGTTGTGGTTGGAAATTGTATTCATGATAACTGTTATTTCCAGGTTTCGAAATCGAATCCAGCAATCCCAGAAGCGGAAGGATTCATGGAGGACGAACTCGAGGAGACTATCACCAACACCTTGGTAACATTTTCATCTTAGAATGTCTAGAAATTAAGTTTCCAGTCGGCTGAATTAGATGAAGAAACGTCAACACTGCCATCTCCTACGACATTTGAGACTATTCCATCATCAAAAAAACACAGTTGGTTATATTTTTTTAAATTGCGAAAAAGTAGAAATTTTCAGACAATCAAGCCCGCCAAGGGAACAAGGAGTCAAGACTCACAAATTTGATGACAAAATTGACAAGGTTGTCGAAAGTTTTTCAATGAACTTTCAGAAAAATTACATATTCTTAGAACTCCGAATCACTCTTGCAAAAGTTGACGACCACTTCTACTCCAAAACCAGTGCCGAAAACAACGACAGTGAGTTCGGAGCGTTTTTCAAAGAATGAGTAAAAAAAATAACGAAAATTTGGAGTTTTTGTGAACTTTCTTAAGATTACCAGACGAGAGAAATTGCTTTTTTTGTATCTTGCAAAAAAACTCCAATTCCCAGAAGTATTCAACTTGCCTTGATATTCTTTTTTTCAAAAATCTTCGAAAAAGATTGAAAAAAATTGGATTTAAACTCACCATACAAGTTTTTTTATCAATTAACTCAAAAAAATCTTGAAAAAAACACTTTTTTTGTCCAAATTGTGAAATTTCAGAGAATTATCTCTTTTTTTTCGGATAAATTTTTCATTGAATCTTTGTTCGATGACTTTAGGCAAATGATGAATAAACTTGATATTCCACGAGTATTTAAAAAGAAAAAAACATCAAGTACCAAATTTCGTGCCATAATCGCAACCTTTTTTTCGAAGTTAAAAATCAAAAAATTGAAACTAAAGAATAATGTGGTATTTGGACTATGAACCATAAACAAAAAAGAGCCCTAATAGAAGAATGATTCCTTTGAGAAGTTAAAGAAAAAAGTTTCAGATAGCGACGACGACAACGACGACAATAGGGTATCCACCGGCTGGCCGGTGTACCTATTCTGCCCTCTACCAGACTTCTTTTGTCGGCCGACGCCTTTTGAAGACAGTTCAAGTAAAGACGCCAGCCGACTGCTTTGCCGCGTGTTTCGCTTTGCGTTGCCGCTCAGCTAATCTCAGCGCCCAAGGAGGAGGTGGGAAACGTTTCAAAACTTTTTGTTTTCAAATTGACAGAGCAAAGTTCATTTTCTGTGGATTTTTAATGTTTCAAGTTATAAGGTTGTCGTCATTAAGAACAATAAAATAGACTAATACATAAAAAAAAAACTATAACCTTTGTAGGTTTCAACAGCTGCGAGCTTTTCCGTGATTCTCTCATCGACTATCGACGTCCAGACATGATCGGATTCGAAGCTTCTACCGTGTATTTTGATGGAATTAACTGTGATGGACAATAATGCTCAAGCCCTGTGAAATTATTTTATTTGCTGAAGCGGGTTTCTCAAAAGCTGCAATAACTTACTTCATCTGTATTCCTTGCCTGTTTATCTCAGGATTTTTTCGAGAATTTTTATTTCGGGAGTTTGAACGTTATGCAATCGATAAGAAAGCACCAGTTAATAAAAGATCAATCTTACAATCTCAGTGAAACACAAAATCAAATGAACGAACGCAAATTGGGAAACCTCTCAAGTTGAGCTTTGAACTTGCTGCTTTTTTCGGAAAAATCTGCATTTTTTTTAAATGACATTCAAAAAGCACAAAACCCGAATCGAACCCGTTGGACTCCTGTTGTTGTCATTTTTGGCCCATTCATGGTCGGAATTATTTTTGAAAAGGAGCCGCAAGTTCACCTACTCAACCTGAGAGATTGAAGACAAAAAATCAAGATATCATATGAGAAGTGGTAAATATTACTGTTCAAGATGATGAGAAAGTTAAACACGGCCATCAGATTCCACCTCGTCCAGCTGATTTTCCTCGTTTTTCTTCTCGATTTCCTTCTTCGGCTCCTCCTCGTCGGCTTCCGAGTCTTCATGATTTTCTTCCTCTTCTTCTTCTTCTTCTTCTTCGATTCTCTCGAGCACTGAAAAAATTATTTTTTTCAAGCTTTCAAAATGGTTTTTGCTGTTGAAACAATGGATTCCTTCGAGGAAATCGAATTTAGCAGTTTTTTTAAAGAGTACAGTAATGATTGAAACAAAGATTTTATCCGGAAAAAGAGCCCTTTTGGTGGGTTTTAGGAGAGGTTGGAATGAGAAGTTTCTTGTATAAAAGAAGTCAAAACACACCTCTAGAAGTGTTCACAGACTGATTGGCCCTGCGCTCTTGCTGCAAATAACGGTTGAGTTTCAGAAGAGTCAAGCCACAAAAGAAACCTCCTCTTCCTCTTCTGTTTCCTCGCTGATAGTCGACAAGTAGGGAATAAAAGCCGGCGAAGACACTTCGTAACGCATTCTCTCGCTCTAAATATACATCTTCAAAAGCTCAGAAACTGTTAAAAAAATCAAAAAAATCAGGATGAATCTAAGAGAAATTTAGGAAATGACAAGATTTTTTTGAGAAATTTTAATAACTTTTTTTAAAAAGAAATGTTTGAACTCTAGTTTTATGACAAATTTGTGCGAAATTTTTGAAAGTTTGCAGCTACTTCTAAATGTGAAAAGTTGAGATAAAATGTTCAGCCTTATGAATAAACAGCTCCGTGTCCTCAGAATCAAAAAATACATTCTCTGCGGCCGAAATTGTAGAACAAGTTGGATATTTTCACGGCTACATAATCGCCTGAAACATATCTAAAGATACAATTCGTGTTAATTTTGCTTCTTGGCCTACTAACATTTCCTCGCGCGCAAGGTTTTGTGGGCTAAAACGGCGACTTCTCTGGAAGATCGCGACGGTCAAAAATTTCGAGAAGGACGCGCGTTGACTCATGCGATGCCATGGTGTTGTATGGCATAGATGTCAAAATATAAAGATTTGAACTTTGCTGTCTCATTCGTCGATTGTATAAGTATGCAAGGAAAAAGTGGGCCAAAAAAATTGAAAAAAGTTTTTTTCTTAATCGTAATTAGGTCATAGAATCTCTCAAAAGGCTTATATTTTTTAACAGATGCTGTGGAAGGAAGACACAGAAAGGCTACATTGAATTTCAAATTCGGAATTTTTTTCGCGCCAGACTTCAGCTTATAGGAATTTCAGTTACTTATAAATTATCACGACCAAAAAGTTTAGTGGCAAAAAAGAACCAATCCGTAGCAAGATACGTAGTCCTCGTCGTCGTCGCTGTCGGAGTCGTTGTCTCCTCCCACGTAGAACTAAAACGAATCCGTTAAATTCAGCTATGAAAAAAAGTTAGTCTCACCTTCTTTTTTTCAGCTGCTTGGTTTTGCTCCGACATCTCTATAAAAAAATTGAAATGATAAAGGGGAAATTTTTAGTGGCCCCTCTAGAGTTTTGACGTTTCAGTGGCCACTATAGTAGTCAAATTAGTGGCCATTATAGAGGTCTAAGTGCTAATAGTAGACCACTAAAGTTTTTAGTGGTCACTTTCGGGGTCAATGGATCACAACATGGCTGGTCCGATCTGTTTGTTTTAAAATTATCAGAGTTACTGGAAGGAATACTGGATGAAAAACTACTGAAGTAGCCACTAAAACAGAGATAAAACGCAGATTAGTGGCCACTTTAGTGTCCTCTCCAAGTAGTCCTTCGTGAGCCTCTAAAGTGGCCGCTAAAATTTTTCCTGTACTCAAAAACAAAAAAGTGGCGGGAATTTTCTCGGAACGGATTATGCACAATTTTCGAACTTTCAAACGAAATTGAGTAAATGATAGTTGATCTGATTTCGATTTCTCGCTTCATGGGGCAACTGCATTTCTCAAATTAAAGCTCATTGATCAGTCCTTTTTGACTTTTCCATCGATTATTCAAGAGTCAATGCACCAACGGGTTACTGTATCCTGAGCAAAAGGCGTTGTTCGAAGCATTTAATCCGCACATATTTGCTGCGATAGTGTAGAATAGATGAGAAACGAGCGTTTAATTTTGAGAAAATGGTCGGAAGTGATGCGCGATCAAGAGAAGAAAATGTGGGAAACTGGCGAGTTTTTTCACAATTTATCAATCATTACACGTCTCGCTGTGAACGAAAACAAACGGAGCAGAAAATTCGGCTTCCGCGCATGTTTTTTCAGACGTTGAGTCATTTTTTGACGTCGACATCGGTTATCTCCGCGCGAAATCACAGGAATCAGTTGAACTGATTGGATTGAACAAAAATGTTGTAAAAGTGACCTTTTTAAGGACTCCTTTATTATATTGAATGTCCGAAAACGGTTTAGAATTTTTTTCTGACTTAGCGCATTACTGTGCAATTCTGTCAATCAGCAAAGTAGCTATCACGTCATTTCTTGTTGGAAGATGGTTATATCTATTGAAACTTGTCTTAAGCGTCATAAGCTCAGTTGATCGAATGGAGTTCGAGCACAACAATGGACTGATAAGGTTCTGTATCTTGATCCAGGGCGTTACCTCAGATTAAAAATTTTTAAGGCGTAGGAAGTTGAACGATAATCAGAGAAAATTTGGAAATAATCCGCCAAACTTTGATAAACGCCTGAGAGGAAGGATAAAAGGACGAGCGAGCGGCAAAAGAGCAGTTTCAGCAATGAGACCGTCCATCGCACTCCTTCTGTGTGCGGGGTGCGCCGTCGTCCTCACGTGCGTTTTTTTTCCTCACAATTTCCTTCTCGAAGCGCTCCGCGTGTAGAAGTTACCGCAAAAGGCTTTCCGCCTCCAGCTGTGACTTTTTTGAGCTTCTCGCGGTCACATCTGTCTGATGATGCCGTCAAAAGTAAAACGGCTTTGCAGCTCTCATCTTAGTTATCAATTTCATTCGTCGAAAATTGCAGTCAAACTTGCAATGATCTGTCCTGTATGGACAAGTCAGTGCTCATCGAGCATTTGGAGCAACTTCGCGAAGAGAATGACATGCTGCGACGAATTTCGGGCAGCGGACCTGTGAGCCTTGCAAAGGAAACCAAGAAACCGAGCCGATCGATTGATTCTACGCGCAACACTGAGAAGAAGCGCTACGGTACTTCTATAAGTTTTTATTTCAAATTCTTATCCTCAAGTTTCGGAAAAGTTACTGGCAAAAAAAGATATTCATATAAGGAAGATTCTAAGTTTGAAAAAAATGAAAATGCAAAACGGGTTATAGTATAGAAAAAAAGGGAGCAATGCTGTGAGAACAAAGGAAAGTAAACATGGTACAGCTTTCTTAACAATATTAAAACCAAAGGGACGTGAAATTCCGCGATGCCAGGTTTCGGCGGGTCAAAATTCGTTTATACCTCTGCGCTTCTTTCGAGCCTGTGCCTGGTGCGCTGGGAAAGGGAGACAAAAGAACTCTGCGCGCCTTTTTGGGTTCAAACGGCTAGATTGAAGTTTCGAATCAAGAACGCCCAACTACCGCGGATAAGAATTTGAAGCGTTTATTCCAAAAGGAGCTCATTTTACTCAGATGAATGATAGAGTTAGGAAAAAGTAGATAATTTGGAAACGCATAAATTTTACTTTTTGATAATGATATTTTTCGAAGAGCGAAGAAAGAAGAATCTATAGTTTATGAGAGATTACAATCTCACGAAGCGGAATAATAGCCGAGGAACGAACTTTTCGAAACGCGTTGTTTTGAAAACTTTTTCTTGGAAAATTTCTCACGAGAATTTTGAGAAAGTTGAGATAAGAAAAAAGATGCTTTTGTTGAAATGTCGGCGTCAAATATCTACTTCATTGATGAGTTATTAACATTCAAGAATAAGTTCTCACGTTTTTTCTGCATGGTTTGAGCGGCGATCTCTCGATTTTCCAATGAGTTTTTTTTTTGGATTTCAAATTTCCTTACCAAAAGGACGTAATATAAAATGTACATTTCAGATACTTTCTGAGCCAGTCGGTCACTGTAGAGTTCTGTCAGAACAAAGTATCATGCCTTTTTTAAACGTTTCTCAAAAACTGTATCAGGTCAATTTTAACAAGTGCAGTTCATCTTCAGCCCTTAAATATCTGTCAAGAAAGGCACCCAGAAAAATGAGTCTACCGTAGTCTCCTATATGCACGTGTCTCGACCAAGGTCTTTGACTTCGAGATTTTTTTCCGACTGTACTTCCTGACGTTTTGTTTTCTTATTTCTTATGCTTTCTTCTCATTGTCCCACGTACTTTTTCCTGAACTCTTTTGAGTCATTTATCGATGAGAACAAAAAAAACGAATGTTAATGGTGGTTGAAATAATTTTTTGAATAGTACTTTTTCGATTTTTAAAAATGTATTAGCAAAAAAAAATTCATCATTAATTATCAAGTTCCATCAGCCAGGTTGAAAATCTTTCTCCAACAACCATTCAAAGGATATTAACTTTTTGATTTTTCTTTGAATTTCAGTGCTCTCATTAGAATAGAAAAACTTCTTGTGCCAGTTCATAGAAAAAAAGTTAAGGTTTATAGAATTATTTTTTTGCGAAAAAAATTGAGTACTTTTCCGCTATTCGGAAACTAAGAAATTTTGTAACAAACCTTGTGAATAAATGCAGAAAAAGAACAAAAAATTCTGCGGATCTTAAATTTTTGCGAGGAATTGTGTTAGTCGATTTCTCGTTGATTCCAGCTGAAACCTCCACGACGCTCAATCCGAGTACTGGTACTCCGCTCTACAACCCCGGCACAACATCCTCCCCAGCGCCAACCTGTTCGATCTGCGCTTCTCAGCCCTGCCTAAACGGCGGCACCTGCTACGTTGACGTACTAGCGCCGTGGACAAACTACACGTTGGAAACTTCTTTTACGAAACTTCCAGTTTTTCAAATTGCCACAGGTGTCAGTGCCCATCCAACAGGAATGGAAAGAACTGCGAAAATTTGCTCTCTTGCTCACCTTTTCCTTGCGGTGTCAACGCCGACTGTGCGGTTGGCAATAATCAACTAATGTGCGTTTGTCGCCCTGGCTACTCAGGTATGGATATTATTAAACTTTCAAGCTCACTTTAGCTTGTTTTTCACAAAATAAAAGGCATAATTGGTTCATGCTCTCAAAATACGACGTTAGAGAGTTTATGGAAAAAGATAAGGCTGATAATGAACTTTGCTTCTTTGCGTGAATTTTTATTTGCCAAGTTAAACGGTAATCCTTTTGTAAACGGGGTTCAACAAAACAAATTTTATCAAATTGTTCCTCAGGCAAAACTCCATTCCAGCACTATAATTTATCAAACTTGACTCGTTTAGGTGAATAATTTTATTGCTTTGTTCGTGTAGTTTGTATTTTCCGATTTTCAGTGTTAGAAACCAAATATTTTAATAGGAAACCCTTACGAAGGATGCAGACAGTCCACGAAACAAGCTTGCGTCAATGCCGACCCTTCCATCCTCACATTTGACCACATGTGGGTTCGATATCAAGGTTTTGACTACATTTGGAAGCCACAATAATTCAACTATTTGAGGCACCTGTCCCATCGTTTTCTCGAAGCCATGCACTAGCTTGTCTAACGGATATGAAAACTACGAAGTTCGGATCAGAAATCAACTCACAAGTGCCTATTCGTGAATTTATCATTTTTCTGTGAGAGATAATCAAGTGTTTCAGGAGAGCTTCCTACGTCGTTGAGGTGGAAGTCGACTTCTACGGACAAACCGTGCATTTGGACTCACGGTCTATGAAAGTCTACTTCAACGGTTTCGAAATTTCAACACCGTATTCATGGCCATCGATCGAATCAAGAAAAGTGAGATAAGGGGAAAAGCTTTTTGGACAGTTTGGTTCAGATCTCAATTGCTTTTACAAGTGGAAGGTTCACAGTTCAGAACGACCAAAACATTTTGGTGAGATTCGGGTTCAACGATTTATGCTTAGAAGTGAGTTGCTTATCTCGAACCTTTTCTAACTGATCAATCATAGGTTCCCAACAACGCGAGTTTCACTGGAGCTAATACGCTCTGTGGACCAGCTGGAAACATTGATGGAACTACATCGGACGACATCAAATTCATGTTAATCAAAAAAAAAAATAGTTTTTTCAAATTTTTTGATTAAGCAACGGTACAACTGCGATATCTTCTCAATTTGTCTATGCCATCGATACCTGGGCCACAGCGAACTTTGCACCGGTGTTTCCTTACCCAGGTGCCTGTGTTCTCGGAAAAACGCTAGTCAACGGAAACACGACTAACTGCGTAAGTTGTTCTTCACTTTTTTTTCCATTTCACTTTTTTTTTCAGAATGTCAATCAGACCGCTCAAATTTGCGCGCCAATTCAGGATGCTGCGAAAGGACTGGGAATGTTCGGCATGTGTCAAGGCTTGCCCTACGACGAGATCATGGTCCGTTCGAGAGCCTTACTAACAGATTATCATTAGGCTTTGAAAAGTTGAGAGAGATTAGGAACTCCAGGTGGATCCCTATAGGGGCCTTCGGAGGGTCCCTCTAGGGACTACTTCAACAATCCCTATAGGGGTGACTAAAGCTTGCAAAAGGGTTTTAGTTAGTGGCCCCTATAGGGGACATTCTAGTCGATGATTTTATGAAATCTATGTGAAGAAGCGTCTTCATGCGGGAAACTGAACAATTATCCTTCTTTGAATAAAATTGTTAGACCCCTATAGGGTCCACTTGAGCTTTAGGGGCTGAATGATCAGACCCTAATCCCCTAGAAGGACTATTTAGAGTTTACCCCTATAGGAACCACTTTTTCAGCTTTTCGAGAGGCTGTTTCTTTCCTTCGCCCCTATAGAGACCGCTCAAAAATTCTTAAGAATGTGAATGAGATTTTAAAATACTCTCTGATCGGCTAGAAAGTAGTTTTATGAAAAATCGATAGTTCAGAAAATAAAAGTATAATTTGAGCTCATCCACGGACAGATTTAGTCTTATGTTCAATCTAACTTGAAAAAGCCAAATTTAAACACTAGCATTTTTGAAAATTTTCCGATGAGCTTGTGGTTAAGATTAGACTTTTTGAAGTCGCAGGTGATATGATTTTCGAGTTTTTACTTTGAAAAAAAAATGTTAAAGAACTACTATACGAACTGTGTCAACGACCTTTGCATCGACGTGAACCTGAAATGCCATTCATTCGAAGATTTCGTGTCAAATTGTCAATTGGAACTACCAAGTATGTGAATTTAGAAATAGGATTTTACTACGTCGATTTTCAGATGTTGATGTTGGAAACTGGAGAGATGGCGACGAAGCCAATTGTCCTTTAACGTGCCCTTACCACAGTCATTACTCTTCGTGCAAATCCTCGTGTCCGTCGACTTGTGCTGACTACAGTGACCATAACTGCGACAGAGGTAGGCAAAACACAAGAATCTTTGGAAGATGTATTTTTGAGGGTTTCACGAAAAAAACGTTTTTTTTTTAGTTAGAAATAAGTATTTTATGCTATTTTTCTGGTTTTAAACCCATTTTCCTCTCAAAAACGTTCGAAAGGCAAAAGTCCAGGTGCAAAACTGTATTATAGGATGCACGGAAGGATGCACCTGCGACCCAGGTTACGTCGTCGACACCACGGACATCTCCAGTCTGCACTGCATCGTCGTCGAGAACTGCGGTTGCCTTGATGAACACGGCAGCCCGCATAAAGGTAAAAATCAGCTCGAGTCCTTTAATATAACAATATCTCCAGCTGATGAACCCTGGCTCACAAACGCCTGCACAACTTGGAACGACTGCGTCAACGGAACTCAAGTCACAGATGTTGGTTTTTACTTCCAAGCCCCATAGATGGTTTCTGGGTAACTTGTGACGCTGAGAGGGCGTGAAGTGTCTGCGATATCCACCAACCAGTCACTATCTCTTTCATAATCGTGGCAGGACCCTTTTTTCGATAGCTCAAGCAGCCATGAATCAGCTATACCTTCCTTGTCTTGCTGATACAACTGCATTCGATTTTTTTAAACTCAGAAGAAAAGTTTATTATTAGGCGCATAAATAGATAATTAAGCAGCAAAACTTTTTTGTAGAACTCTCAAGCAATGAAGAAAGAAAACCTTCAGGTCAACGAATGCGGACAATATGCGAGTTGCGGAGTGCTGGACGGAGAAATGGCCTGCGTTTGTAGAAATGGATTCCAAGGCGATGGGTAAATCTACCTTTTTCTTGATATTGTGAAGTCTAGGAAGTCGTTACATAAAATAAATAAAATACACTATTTGTAGGGTAAAGTTTTTGAACAGAAAGTATAAAGTATTTTTTTCAACCAAAGATCAGAAATTTTTTTCAAATTTGGCCGGTCATCATCTTCTGCCAATCGTTTTGATGATTCTATCGCGTCTCACTAGCCTTTAAAAACTTGCTCAAAAAATATCTGAAAGTTTATATGAAGACAAAACAAAGTTGCAACCTGCTTCAGCTTCCAGTTTTTGAGATGATTAACTTTGATGTTCCAAAAGTCAGACTTTCATTTCGGAACTTTGAAAAATCATAGTTGAAAAAAAGCAGTTTGCGCAGGTAGCAACTCTTCGAGATGATCATATGGACCTTCAGAGAGTTTTTGAGCAAACTTGTAGAAAATTCCAAACCGCAAAGTAAAATGAGATCCCTTGTGAGGGGAGAACTTTTTTGAGACGCCAGCTGGACGAATTGACAAAAAATTTGTGGGGTAAAAGAAACTGTGAATGAGTCAAAAGGCTGCTTTCATGCATCATCCCAAACTGTTGCAAAAATTACTTGGTTTTTTGAATTTTTTTTAACTTTCTGTGTAAAAGGCTTTCACTCATAAGATGCAATAAATAAAAACATCACTTTTATATCTTGAAGATATAATTGCTCGGATATTGACGAATGCGCCGATAGTTCCGTTTGCGGTCAAGACCAGGATCACGGAGTTTGCGTGAACTCAATTGGTGGGTCAAAAAACCAGAAAGAAAAAAAAAATTGCTAGTTTTGTAGGATCATATCACTGCAATTGCAACACCTACTGGGAAGGCAGCAATTGTCAAAGCTATTTGCCACAGCGACACTGCGCAGATCTTCAGATCTTCCATGGCCAATTCGAAAATGGAGTTTACGAGTAAGAATTCTCTTCAATCTCGATTTTTCAAGAGAGTTTTTCAGTATTCTTCCACCAGGAGCCAATCAAACTTCTCGCGTTTACTGCGACTTTCAGACTGGTGGGTATTAATTATTTTGAAATTTCTGTAGAATTTTAGTTGAAATCAAAGATGAGCAATGGATGCTCAAAAATTCAATCAATATTTGACAAGTATTAAGCTTTTGAACGCGAATAAATCGACACAAAATGGTCAGTATAATCTGTGTGCCACGACTTGAAAATTCACCGAACGACATTCCGCTGTTCCGCTCCGTGCGTTTGCGAAGCGTCTTTCGACGCTTTCAAGTGATTGTTATTGCTGTGGGAGCACATGAAAGTAGAGATCCTTAATAAAAGAAAAAAAATTGAAAGCGCGACCAAGGTTCGCAAAGGCGCGCAGCGGCACAGCGGAATGTCGTTTAGTTAAATTCCAAGCCGTGGTACACCGGTTATATAAAAAATAAATTTTGGAAATTTTGAAAAAGAAACTTCACGACATTTTTTTTTTTTTCATGCTTTTATTTTTCATGCTTTTGGGTTGAAAAGTTTTCTTTAAGATGGAGGAGGATACACTCTCATGTCTGGAGCTGTGTCGTCTGAAACTTTAATGAGTGGAAAATCATTGAATGAGTACCGACGAGGCTTTGGAGATCCGCTCTCTCAAAGTGTGTGGATAGGACTGGACAATCTCCTTCAAATCACTCAAGAACATTCAACAAGGTTCCTTTTTGGATTAATACTTTTGACTAAATGTTATTTCATAGTCTCAAGCTCAATCTGCTTCAATGCGGTCGCGGCTCTCGAGCTCCCAGATTCACGACATGCACGTATCCCGTTTTTTGGCTCGACAACTCGCGAACTTATAACGTGTGGATCCCACATGTAAAAATAATCATTAGAAAAAATTAAAAATTGTTAATATTCTATAGGAATGCGTGGGCAACGAAACTGATTATTCGTTCTACGATGGCTGGGTGCGATGGAACAAGACGGAAGCCGGACCTCCATTTTCTGCGTTCGACTCTTCGAACTCCTATGGCTCCAAGTGCTCCAACCAAAGTCAGAACACGGGCTGGTGGTACTATCAAGACATCAACGACTGTGGACCAGCCGATCTGAACGGCGTGAGTTATTATTAGTTGTATACGGGTACAAGTATTTTTTAAATTTCTAGTTCACCCAATTTTTTTTTGTAAAAATACACGATTTTATCAAGGAGGTTGAAATTTTGATCAATAAAGCAGATACTAAGGATATTTAAATTTTGAACTTCATTCTTACACCTTCCTTAACATAAAAAATGTATTAGTTGACAAATTTTGTTATTTTTATTTACATTGCAGAATACCTCACATAGAAAAATATATACCTTGAATGTATCAATGTAAAAAAAAAACGAATATTTGCACGGAAAAATTCACAAAAAATCTTGACTTTTTTCAATTTAATTTGCTTTTTCCAGGTACGAACAAACTGCCAGACGATTTCGAACGGAGGACCGACGATCAATTCTTACTTGAAATGGAACGACAACCCGTTGGAGCAAGTGTCGATGTGGCTGAGGCCCCAGGATTTCCCAGATTACGACCCAGTTGGTCGAGCAACCACTGCGTACACGGAATCTACGACCTCGTCTGGAACCACTCCTGGTTGGTGGGACTACTCGACAACTGGCGGGACCCAAAGAGCCACGCCAACTACTAACTGGTGGGACTACTCGACAACTGGCGGGACCCAAAGAGCCACGCCAACTACTAATTGGTGGGACTACTCGACAACAGGCGGGACCCAAAGAGCCACGACAACTACTTATTGGTGGGACTACTCGACAACTGACGGGACCCAAAAAGCCACGACAAACCTTGCAACTACTGACTATCCAAACACTGCCCAGACTTTCTTCCCGCAAGACGCAACGGCCAACAAAATCGTCCCTTCGAAACGTCTTTGGGTTCCCATTGAACCAAAGGCAGAAGATCTTCCTGCGGTCCTCGTCAGCTTGATGGAACACACGTCACACCTGGAGAACTTGCGAAAAGGACACAAAAAACAGCGCAGAACTCCCGCAAAGCCATTTGTTAATAAAAAACAATGAGTTTGTGATAATTCTGGTAATAAACTCTTTCATTTGAATTCTTCTTCCTACCAAAAAGTGATCATCGTTCGACTCGAAGAACGCGAAACCAAAAAATTTTTAGATGAGAAAAAAAATTCAAGCGTTTATTCATTTTCCTTTATAAACAAATAACTTTCGAAATTCAATTTCAAAAGGAGAACGTAACCGTATTTGAACCGAAAATGAGAAAAGTTCTTGTCAAATTACTTCAGTACAGTCTGCACTGACATAACGAACAACATTGTCAAGAATCATGTATAAACCGAGTGCGATGTGTAGACAAAACACGTTGACCGATATTTGAGCGACAAAAAGAAATCCAACAACCAGGCGCATCACACCCGCTGAAAAATCAAAAAAACCGTAAATCAAAGCTTCTGAAAAACTGACCGACATTACTTAAAAACAGAGCAGTGCTAGAATAATTAGCCGCCAAGTTTATGAAGTTGACGGCCACTGGCTGCCGAAACAGCAATAATATGTAGAAAGCGAAAATTGATATGGAAACTATCAAAAAAATAACCTGAAAAATGGGGAATTAGAGGAAGGTTCACAGACCTACTTGATGGATAATAAATGGTTTTAATGAAACCGCGCTGTGATGAACTAATGCAAAAGTGAGAAAAGAAACAGCGATTGTGCCGCTGATGATCGGAAAGAAGGCAAGACCAATGTCCACCATCGTTATTCCACATCCTGTAATGTCGTTCAACCTTGAATGCCTGAGAATGTCGTGAGTTTCAAAAGAACTTTTATGTGTGCGACTTCTAAACAACTCCTGGCTCTGGAAAGATATTGGAAACACTACTTTTTCTGATATTTGGAGAAAGAAAATGTAGTTTTTGGATCAAAAAAGTCTCAAATATACAGTAGGTTTCTAGGAAAACAACTCAGTTAAATTCCTTTCTCCATAGGAATTCCCGAGTGGCCCCTATAGGGCTTAGGAGACAGAAAAACCCGTAAAGCGGCCGAAAAAGTGACTTTTTTTAGCAGCTAGGGTCCCTAAAGCTCAAAGTGGACCCTACAGGGGTTCTTTCATTTTCATCGGAAAGCTTATGTATTTAGTTTGTTTCCCATTTAAATGCTTCTTCGCTTAGAGTTCATGAAAAATATCGGCAGGCTTGTCCCCCTATAGGGTCACTATCTAAACCCTAAAGGGACCACTTTTGGATGCATTAGCGGCCCTAAAAGGGACCCTCCAAGTGCCCTAAGGCTGCTCCTATAGGGACCACTCTGGAGTTCTTTAGAATTCCCTTTTTCTTAGTTATTTTTTAGTTTTTGGGGAATTAAAAAAATTATTCCCCTATGAACTGAAATTATGCAAACGTACCTTTCAACAATAAGAAAAAATTGGAAGTCGCCTGTAAGGATGTCAAGAATGCTGAAAGTATGACAGCACGCTGAAAAAAGTTTAAATTCGCTCAAAAAAAAAAAAATGAACCTTGACAGATACACTTCCCACACAGCAGTATGCATTGAGCGTCGGTTCAGCGTACCTCGAATAGTGGAAATTTTGGAAAAACGAAAAATGAGAAAAACCTTCTTGCGGAAAGTTCCTCGCTGTCGAAACTGCTTTCTGAGCCTGGTTTGATGAACGTGTCCGAGCGGAGTCGTGACATCTGAAACAGTAAACTGAGTTTAACTATTTGATGTTGAAATAAAAGGGCGCTGAGAGTCCTTTTTCTAATATGAAAATGAATCAGTAAAAAATATAGCGCTAGAATCAACTCTTGGCGTAAAGAGCTTCTTAGTAAGAAACTGTAGCCTTTGAGCCCTAGAGCTCACTTTCTGAAAAAATTTTATGAGAAATTCAAGGGAATACCACCTGTTTTTCAGGATTTTCGGAAGTTTTATCACGATTTTCTTGATTTGGGCTATGTGGAAAATATGGAGTTAGTTGGCGATTATATTTAGCAAGGTCTACCCTAAGCTTAGCAACAGGGAAACATTTGAAAAACCGTTCGTAAATGTGCGAAATGAATAGAAACAGTCGGGAGATTGAGCCTTCAGCTGAACGCCTTACTTTTTGGGCCACAGTTTTTTTTTTCTTAGTCAGCCCAATATCAAAAAATAACGGAGTATGAACTTTGATAGTATCTCCTATCATATATTCTAAAAAAATTTTTTTAAGAAATAAAAAGTTTTTTTCTTGATATATTGAACTGTTTGAAAAATACAGAAAATTATTTGAAAAAATTTTTTTTAATTTTTAAGTGAGTCGCGGTCATGTTAGCCTCAACACTCCAGGCCAAACCTCGATTTAAACCTGGAATGTCGGATCCGGACCGCAGACTCATCATTTGACAACCTGGGGCCTGGGGCAGAGCCCCGCTGACCTAACAAGCGCCACTCTTTTTATACCCCCCTGTTGTTCTTCACCCGACTGGCAGCGGTTTTCGCCATCTGATGACCGCGCAGGCCGGCGCCCTTTCCCTCGCCGGAAGTTAATATTTTTATTCGCTGTTTGTAAACAAATGCAGTATTTTTCAAATATTCAGAGTAAAAAGCATAATATTTTTTTTCGAAAAAAATAGAATAACTTAAGTTCCTTCAAAAAAAGTGAAGGAAAAAGGTAACATAGAGACCTCAAAAGAAAAATATGGTCAGCGGCGCGCCACATTTTCCGTCATAACTTTTTCATCCTCAATCTTTTTAAGAAAACTAAACTTTTCTAAATTCAAAATTGAAGCAGCTATCAGACCATACAAATTTTAAAACTCAAAATATTCAGAGAAAATTAGGTTGCGGTCCCCAAGTATGCGTTAATTACAGTTTGTCGTAGAATACATCTAACAAGAGGATGTTCAGAAAAAAAAACTTTCAATATTACTTAATCAGCCTTATATCGAAAAATTAACGGATTATGAATTTCGATAGTATCTCCTATCGATAATTGTAAAAACATTTCTTTTTTCAGCGTATGGCGGATGGAAGCTGCCGTTATTCTACTGGAAAGTTGCGACTTTTTGCGAAAACTAGCGGATAATCATTACTTGAACACTCCATTCTGCATTTGTACATCAAATCAAGGCAGTATTAAATTTGGTTGTAGAAGAAAAATGAAAAAAAAATGTCTAGAAGGGAGAATACCAAGATTTCAGTACGAAAATATGATCAGCGGCAAGGTCATAACTTTTTTCATCCTCAATCTTTTTTGGAAAATTTGTCTGTGGCCTTAGTTGTCCGAGTTTTTTTTTTCTCTCCATTTTTCTCACAACCCTGCTAGGGAAAAACGGAATCTTAAGAGATTTTAAAGACCAAGCGAGCTCTAAAAGATCTAATAATTTTTTTCAAGGTTGTTAGGAAGATAATTCAAAAAATAGTTTTGAAATAGGCTAATAAAAAAAAACCAAAACCGAAAGATAGGAGGGAGAAGGATTGGAGGCGAGTAAAGGCCGTCGAGCTTCTGAATGATTACTTCTGGAAGTTCCATGGCGCTGAGTAGAATTTCTAATATCACTGGAGGCGTCAGAAAAGTGGTCAGCGGGTAAGACGCGGATTCTGACGTTTTCAGTCGGCATTTTTGCGGCGAAATATGGAGGTTGAAATGGATGGAGGCTGTGTAGAAGCACACTTATGCCATTGTGGCGGCTGCGTGCGTTCCTTGTTTTTTTTTCAACCGAGGTAGTCAATGCTAGTAATTATTTTCATGAGTTATGTGCAAGCCAGCCGAAAATTGTGAGTGTTGAAGTTCAGTCTAAATTATTGTTCGTCACGAAAAGGTAATTGGAAATTTTTTGAAGAGTTTTTTTTGGTGGTGTGAGGTAGGATAATTATGGAGAGGGCGGCGGAAACACCCAATTTTCATGACGAACTCAAATTATTTTACTTCTGAGCTGAAACGGCAATGCTCTGGAAAAAAAATTTTGTAAAATTTCGAAGGTATTTGATAGGGTATGGGAGTGGAATTTGCTTCAACTCTTCAGGTTTCAAAAAAAATTTTTTTTCCATTTTGATGACCCCGTTGACCATAATAAGAAATTTTTTAAACAAGAAGCTATTTTTTTGTTAATTTTTCTAATAAAGATTGAATTTCAAGCTTTCTGATGCATTTGAATAGGAATAAAAAAAGATTAATTTAAACAAAAAAATAAGGAAATGATATTTAAAAAAAACAGGAATTCATCCATAGTTATTGCTAACTGCTTTCAGCTTCATCAGCATTAGAAAAAAAGCTTGAGGAAAATTCTAAGCGATATTCAAGAGAGCATAGCTTATACTTCCGGAGAAAAGCGAACGTTTCACTTCCATGACTCACATTGCAAAATATTGAGATAAAATAAGGAAGTGAAAAGATTTGACAAGAAAAGTATTATTTATTGACCCTGGCTCGGGCTTCTGGGAAAGTATGATTTCCGCGTGAACGCGAATGAAATTTCGTTCACTCATTAGGATAAAAGAGAAGCCGCAAAACATGAAACAGCGCCGATAGGATATAAATAAAGCTTTGAAACGAAACTCCCGACGAGAACATGAACAACAACAAAAAACTTTTGAAAGTCCATTATGAAATTTTTGATTTAAAAAAAAACTTTAACATTCAGGAAAAATCGCTCAAAAGTTTTGGGATCGCAAAAAAATTAGAATTCCGGCACAATGATAGATTTTGATAAGTCATTTGGAAAATGTCGACTTTCATTTTCTAGAATCAGAACGCTTTCTGAATAAATGTGAAAAGAAAGACGGATTTCTACTGCCTGAATACTGGACCTTGAAAAATCCCAATTTTTCTGTTTTTCGATTTTCATTATAGTTAATCCTTCAAAAATTATTTTCTTCATAAACAGAAGAGTTTGTTAAAAATCTCAAGCATCAAAAATGTTAGAAAAAAATCGTAACCAAATGGCTCTAAAAAAATTTTTTTGGAAATCCTTCATGATCCAGAAATCTTATTCTTGGGTTCTCTACGGAAATATTAAACAAACTAGAAAAAAATCTGATTTGAAGTTTGAAAAAGTCTGTAACTAATTTAAAGGCTTTTTTTGGTACTTTTTTTGTCCCGAAAACAAAATGAGAGCATAGGGAAAATAGATTTTTCGAGTTCATTCTTGGACTAAGAATATAAATAAATATTATGAATTTTGAGTTTAATTTCATGAAAACTGAAAAAAATTAAATGAACTCGAGAACGTTTTTTGAATTAATTTCCTGTCGTATCAAAATAGTCTAGATTGTGCCGCAGAAAATAAAGAGAAAAAAAGCTGCAACATGTGAAAGACAGCTGTGGAACCAACCTCAGTGGCGAAGGTGATTTTTTTGGGTTGCTCAGCGAAATCATAGATCTGGTCAGGGTCGGGACCCATGAGCCTTCTTGGAGAATACAGGATTTTCAAAAAAATATGGAGCGGCTTTTCGTTTGGCTAATGCGTGTTCCCGTCAAACACACGCGTCTCTCCTTAGCTTATGGCGCTCTCGACGCCCAAGTGATCTAATTTCGCTCTTAACTCAAATAGAACGGACATGACGCCGCGTATGACAAACCAAACCAAAATCGCAGAAAAGACGTCTGCGAGAACGAATGAGGAAAGCTCTGTTTCCAGGCGTTTCCTCTCGTTTTTCGTGATTTATTGATGAACCTTAGAGGCATGATATTCTAGACAATTTATATGCGATTGCTTTTCTCATAAGCTCCGACAAGGTCGCATACTTTTCTCCGAAAATCTGGAGAAAAAATGCATTTGCGAGAAACTTTTTTTGGTTTGAATCACTCAGACTCCTGAGCCTCTAGGAAAAATAGCCTGAACTCATTAAAATTGAACTCATTTCGGATACAGCGCCGGATAGGAAAGTTCTTAGTGGTTCCAATTTTTATCTATTCTGGCTCTTTAGGCTTTGTTTGAGATGTCATGATTTTCAAACTAATCAATATTTTCTTTATCGATATTGGAGACTCGAAAGTCCCAAAAAAATTCAAAAAAATCATTTTCTTATCGTGCAAGCCAAAAAGTTCATGATAATATCTTTGACAAGTTTCAAAAAAATTTCCAGCTTCTCGATTTTTCACAAAAATAAATGAACTCCATAAAGTCAGTAGTAAAATATATTATTATCATTCTAAGCAAGTCAGGATTTTTGGTCTACCAAAAATTGAAGTTTCTCAAAATCACCCTGAACTGCTTTAAAAAAATTATTACGACATCTGGAAAAACACAGCAACAGAGAATTTTTCATCTAAAAGTTTGAATGACAAGAAAAAAATTTTTCTTATACATGCTATCATACTTCATTTTTAAGTCTAATCAGAAGTAGAGATAATTCGAGACAAAAAAGTCAAAGAAAGGAAGAAAACTGAATGCTGAGTCAGAAAAATCTTTCAGCAAGAAAAATGAGCTCCTTGGCGGTGTTCAATATGTAAACCGACTTTTTCAAAGCAAAAATCTTCAGAAAAAAAAATATTAAAAAGATCAATTAATTCGAAATAGAAACGAAGTTCAAACTGAACTTTTTAATAGATAAATCCTTTGTGTTTTGAGGAGTTTGAAGATAACAGGGATCACTTTTTTATTCGAAAAGTTTAGAAATCTTCGAAAACATATATTAAAAGGAAACCAAACTCTGAAAGTAGAGAGGGTAGTTTTCTCTCATGTGGAGTCAAAATTGGCCAGAGTTACCTGACTAAAATTTTCGAAAAAATTGCTTTGTTGAGCTCAAATCACAAGAAAAATGAACTTGATCGGAAGAACAAGGAACTATTTTACCCAAGACTTTGAAAAAAAAAAAAGCGAAGCAGCAATGTGTTTGAAAAGTGTGCACGCCTTAAATTGGTTAAAAAGAAAAACGTGGTCCATGCAGGGTTGGACGCCCTTTTATTAGAGAGAAATTTGATTAGAGGGTCGAAGCAATTTCGAATTGCGTTGTTCTGCGACTTGCTAATCGTCAATGAGAAAACGAAAATCAAATTTTTTTTTTCTCGATTTTTTGATTTTTTGCGATTTCCAAAGCTACATACAGGGAATGAAAAATGGCGTATAATCCCTCAATTCGAGAAACTTGACCAAACTCTGCATTCGAGTAGTTTGAAGTTGACTCAGAATACAAAGTAACCTGGAGGCGGATGAGGTCCACCCGGTCATCATCGTGGAATTGCTTTTCTAGAAACGCCTTCCTGCAACTTTTTCATCAAGACTCTTACTTCGGAATGGAGTATATACAGTACCGTCAGAAAAGATACGAAAAAACGCGATTTTGGCCACAAGTTTCTTATAAGTCAAAATTTCTGTAGCCGGGTTTTTTTGTGAATTGAAATTTTATCAAAGTGTTTATAATAACAGTCATCAAATCTTCAAAACGATTCAGGAAGATTGACTTCCTTATAAGAAGTTGTAATGGAAACCCATTTTTTTTTGTATCTTTTCTGACTGTACTGTATAAGCCTATTCCATGTTTTTTATTAAAATTTGGGTAGAATCGCTCTGATATTTGCTTAACGTGAAGTCCTAATATTTTCCCATTGAAAAATTGCCAACTGACCAGGAATGCCAAAAAAGTAGCCTCTTATAACTAAAAGTTTGAAAGAACCATGGAACGGTCTCTTCAATAACCCGGGGTTTTTTTTAACTTCATCAGAGTGTTGGAAATAGTCATCATAACTCCAAGAAGTTTCAGAAATATGGTATTCCACACAAGAAAGTTGTGACAAAAACTCCGTTTTTTCGTTTTTTCGTTACTCTTCTGACAGTATTTTTAATTTATATAATCTTCTTTGACAGAACTGCAGGTTAAACAAGAATTCTCACGCTTCAGTAAAGCTTGACTTCCAAGATGGAAAAATGAGTTTTGATGCTTCTACCAACTGCTCACTATTTGAAAAGAACCTTTTTCATCCGTCAATGAGGTTCTGCAGGAAAATAAGTTCAATAAAGCCGAAAATCCACATATAAATATCTTACAAGTTTAGCTGAAATAAACCTTTTATGTGCATTCAAAAGAAAGCTTTAAAACTCATATACTTCTTCAAGAACTTGATCAAACTTCTAAATTTGAAGTTCTGACTCTGCTTTCCTAAATCCCATGGAGCTAGAAAGGGCTCGTTCAAAATTTCTAACTTCAAAATTCTTCCGACCGACTATTTTCCTCTGGCTTCTGAATTCTTTGCGGGCAACAACCTGGATCAAATTTTTCGTGGAATTTCCTTATTCACCTTGTAATTTTCAGAAAAATCTGCTTGAGGGATGCTGCGTAGTTGTTGAGAACGAAAAAAAACACGATCGTAAAGATTTTACTTCCACTCATATATCATACTTGAAACCATAAAAGTGTGTAGTTTAAGATTTTTTCCTGGAAGAAAAAAATTTCATCATAAACCTCTATTTTTTTGAATAAGCGTGAAGGAAAAAGTGACTGAAACACAAAAAAATTTTTTTAGAAATTTCTTTTTTTGCAGTTTTGTATACAAAGAACCGTTTTTATCGTTCAGTGAGGAAAACTCAGTTTTTTTTTTGCTGAAAAAGGTTCAATAAGATTGAAGTCTTCATCATATTCCTTGAGATTTTCCTTGAGAGCGTTTGAAAGTTCGGAACAGCCAATGAAGCTCAATTTTTGATTGTTATTTTGAAATATTTAACTTGGATCTCCTCAAAGTCGATATAATGTTCAGTTTTTCCTAGCTGGACATGAAAAAAAAAGTGTTTTCAAAATGTGGAATGCACCTCATAATAAAAGAAGTATCTTGAAGTCTTTTAAAATAGGAAGGCCTGCAAGCTCCCACTTCTAATAGCTTCGAATAAAAAGCTTTGAAACTTTTCGGATTTCAGTCTCCTGAATGAACAGTTTTATCAGGTATTTTATTCTGTTAGTCATTACAAAGCATCCATGAAATTGTAATGATTAGTTTTTCAAGCGGCAGATTTCCATGAATTCCAAGACTTTTTGAAAAGAACATGAAGCTTGGAATGTCTAGACTTCTACTATCATACCTGACAATTCAACAAAAGCAACAGACGTCAACCAAGATTCTTCCCCACGTGTATTGCAAATGAAAAGGAAATTCCTTTGGGCATAGGTTTTGTTTCCCTTTCCGAGAACGGAGTCAACAACTGTTTGCATAATACTTCATTAGCTAATGAACAATATAGAAAACAGAAAACTGATATTCGAACTGGTGAAGGCGGCTTTCAAAATGACGTTCAGTTCAGCTGGAGTTGTCATTGACATTATTTTTTTGGAGTTTCTGTCAGCATCGGACACGAAATTCGAGTCGAAAACAAAATTTCATGACAGAAAAAAATATTCGAAATTATGAATTTACCAAGCGTCCGCTTGTGAAAAATAACATAACTTAAGTTTATCTTAGTTTATCAAAAAGTTTTTTTGGCAATTTCAATAAAATTAAGAGTGATTAATTCAAATACCACGCACTTTTTTTTCTATAAAGGTACGTTTGCGGAGATTTAATCGAAGCTTTTTTTGAATTTTTCCTTGAAACGGGAAGTCATTTTATATTGCGATTTGGATTTTTCTAAAAATTTTCTCAAAGACTCTTTTTGAAGTTTGAAGATTCATTCAAGTTGCAATCCGCGCCAGGTTTTAGTTTTCAAGTTAATGAAATATGAAAAACAAAAATTTAGGCCTAAAACCTTTTTGGGCCTAAAAACCCCATTTAGGCCTTAAACCCATTTCTCGCAGTTTTGAAAAATCATATCTCAAAAACTAGAAAATTGCGCAGGTAGCGACTGTGAGGGATCTTTTTTTCAGACTTTCAGAGAGTGTTTGAGAAAGTTTATAGCAATTTCAAAACATTCAAAAAAACGCAGAAGGAGTTATTCGAAATCATAAAATTAAAAAAATAGCAATAAAATGTCGAGAAACTCTATTAAAACTTTGTAAAAGTTACTCTTTTCCACAGACTCTACCATCCATGAACATTTCGATGCCACCAAAGACGTTAAGCCGCTTTCAGAACATTTGACGAAGTTGCGAAATCCAAATTGCAATAATTGTCCGATCAGACGTTTCTTTAAATTGCCTTCCAGTCGTTTTAATGAAATTTGAGGGCACCCACGTAGAAGATTAAGTAAACAAGAAATGACTTTTCCGTTTTTCTTTTTGTTTCCCACAGAAAAGAGATAAAAATGGAATCGAAGTCGAATGGCCGGAAATTGAGAACACCTCCATTCATCGCTTAACACTCATTCACGCCCAGTGATTCTTAATCATTTGACATCAGCCGTTCATCTTTGTTCCCGCATCATTCAAAGACTTTGAAGATAACATGACAAGCCGTCAAAGTTTCAGGAAGTGTTCTGTCTTTTCCATTGGTCGTAATGACGATACGGACGGCTTAATTGATGCGGATCCGGAGGCAAAAAAAAGCTCTTTTGATGGACACGCCCATCGCCTACCATTTTGCTCCGGCTCGAAGGGCGGAGCTTGTCAAGCCAAGAGCGCATTTTCGGGTGTGTCTGCACCTCGGCGAGACCCTCGCACCGCCTTTCAGCCAATTTACAAAAATGAGCTTCGCTCGTAGCACTTTCGCAGTTCTCGTCGTCCTGTCTGTTCTGGTACAAATCTCACAAGCCCAATGGAGGTGAGCTTCTTTTCATCTTTTTCGAACGGAAGTTGTTCATTTTTCAATTTTCAATTTTCTGAAAGTTTTTTGGTTCAAGGATTTTTCAAATACTGACAGCGTGAAATTCAGGTACTCAGCTGTCGAATTTAAAATTAAAAACTTCCTTTTTTCAAGTAGCCCGTTATTTGAAGGAAAAGAGCTTGCAAGTGTGCAATAAGAGTTATGAAAAAAAAAATTTTGCATGAAATTTCGCAAAATTGAAGCTATGACATTTTTTTCATAAAGGCTTTTTAGTAATAAATCAAAACAAATTTTTAAACTGCAAAAATAGGTGAAACCGTCCCTGGAATAATTTTCACCCCATTCAGGGATCCGTTCAATTTTGTGAAAAGAACTGAAAATCTGAATCGTTGTTTTTCTGCCATACACTTGAACTGAACGGCAGCATTTTAAAAGCCTTTGTCTTTATTTTTCAATGACGAGAACGATTTTGTAGATCGAACAATTGAATGTCGCAATTATCCAACCACTTGGTTTATTTTCAGTCTCAAAATAGTTCTCCTAATTATTCTGAAAGCTCGTTCAGGTGTACTTTATTTATTCAAGGAAACCTGAAAAAAAAAGAAAGCGTCTTCAATTTCTCCCCCCAAAACGTCACACAGCAGATGAAACTTGAAACCAGGGGCATTAACCTAAAGTACTTGCGTACGTAATTGGAGTTATTTGGAAAAACTCCAGAAATGACACAAGAGAATATCAAAGACACAAAGGTCATCACCTTCAAAAGTCAATTTACTAAAGGACGCGTTGATGAACTTTGTGTTTCAAGTTAACATTAAGAATGGTATTTGCCTATACAAATATCACTGAAATACGTAGTAGGGACATTTAAAAGAAATCTGAAAAAAACATCTTGGGTTGGGGGACACCTTAAATTTTAATTTTAATGTCGAATGAAAAATTTTATTGATGCCACGAGTAAAGTCACAGCTTTGAACTAAACGGTTTTTAAAAACTAATCGTTCATGATTCCTTCAAAAAATTCATTATAAGGGGGAAAGCCAAGTATTTTCAATTTCTGGTATCTCACCCTGTAGTCCAAAGAAATCTCTTTGATTTTCGGAACACTTTTCCAAAATTATCTATATAGCAGCTGTCACAAATTATACCCAACAATTTTATCATTTCAGCAAAAAATCGAAATTTTCAAAATTGAAACCGCCTTTCCATCAAGAAAAACGATCGAACCAATTTTTCTCAAACTTTTTTTCAAAAACTTTAAATTGTTTTTGGCATGAAGAGAACACGGTTAAAATTAACAAAACTCACTCATTCGATTTGTGTAGGAAGCAAGTTTTTGAACGAAAACACAGCAAAGAAGTCCCAACTTTGAGATGTTTTTAGAGTCGCTCTTTTTTTTCAAAAAACAAGGCCTGGTTTTCGAACTCAGCAAGATTTAATCAAGTTATGAATTCTGAACCGTGTCTTTTGCAGTGACGATGAAGCCACGTATCAAAGGGAAGTCAGAGCGCCCAAGCCGAAGTTCATCAGGTTCGGTCGTGCTGGTGCCAAGTTCATTCGATTTGGCCGGTCTGGCGCTAATACTTGGGTTAGTTTTGTTTATAAACCATTTGAAACAGAGCCTTTCCGTACTTTTTATGAGCCCTTGGCGCTTCCCAGAGCAAGAAGATGGCAGATTACCCCTTCCTGTCACAAACGCAATTACTCACGAAAACACATAGTGATCTGCATTTCTCCCGTACTATAGACTGAAGAAATACTCCGAAGAGAATTCAATGATGTTTGAGATTTCGATTCAGTTTCACGGCTTGAATGAGAAAATGTGTGTTATAGTCAATGTTTCCCGACTTGAAAGGTGATATGGGCTGGTTGGCAAGGGCGAGGTGTTGCGTGTGCGACGCGGCTATTTGGCGGCGAGCCAAAATTCAAATGTGGGAGACAATTTGGAGAGTTCGGCCACCGCTTTTTTATTTCCTTTTTTATTTTTCTTATTCTTTTTTTTATATTCTTTTTCGCTAATTATCTGCTTCAGTAAATTCGGAATTTTATTTGAACCTATAATAATATTTTTTCGCACAAACAACAGTTTCTTCAAGTTGATCGTTGCTCATTCATTTGTCGCAAAATATGAATTTTCTCACTTTTCCATTTCATGTCGTGAAAAATTTACTGTATTTATTCATGTTTGATACTTTTCAGACCAAGCAAAAATACTATTGAAGGATTTCAAAAAAACTCAGAAGTCGAGGGTTTCACATCGAAAAAGAGGCGATTTTCAATAAAGGTCATGGTTTTTTCTCAAATTCATTCATCTTTTTTTCTTGCATGCAGTGAAAATTTTTCAGAAGCAACGATTTGCGGAGTGCTGCGAAGTCTTTTTTCGAATCAATAACCATCTTTAAAAAAATGTTTTTTTAATGGAGTCGGTTGATTTGAAGATTTTTCAGGATTTGTGCAGTGATTTTTTTCGAGATGGAGAGAGAAAATAACGAGTCGCGTACAGAAGCTTTGTAAGTTTTTCGCCTTTATTCTATTTCTGTTTTTTTGGTTTGACTACTTTTTCAATCCCTAAATAAGAATTATTTCAATTAATGCTTAGATTAAAAAAAGTTTGTGGATTTATTGTTCGCCACGAAAATTTTTACATTAACGAACATGACATTCTTCAAGGTTAAAAATCAAGAATTGATTTTTTTCTTAAGGTAATAAATACTATTTTTTTCAGGTAACATCATAAAGTCTCTCTTCTGTGATGTCTACATCAGCAACCTTACGTTTTGCTAACCTGTTCCTTCGTTTTTCCTTCCAATAAACTTGTTTAAAACGTTCTTGAATTTGTTTTAACGAGAATAGATGGACGGAATCGTAGAGTAATTAAGAATGCCAGTCTTAGATCAACAACGAAACTACACGGATAATGTGATACGTCAATAAAAATAGCCTAAGCAAAAATAGTTCGAATAAAAAAATATCTTCTAACGGTGACCGATGTTCATCAACGTGTTCTTCTTCTGACGACGTGCCTTTTTCCGAAAAAAATGGAGTTTCTCGCCCGACGAGGCCAGTGATGAACTTTAGAGTTTATTGAACTTCAAACAAAATGTATTTTCAACCGTTCCATTTTTCATATTCCGCTACATTATTCACCAAATTCTCTTTTTGGGTCAATCTCTTGAAGCAACGAACCGATCAAATCGTTTATTGAATATGAAAAAAATCAAGAAAAATAAAACTCATAATGCAATGCATATTTCAACCTTCACTAAAACATCGTGTACGCATTCCAGTGATTGTGAGGGGATCACTCGTCATCCAGGTTTCCATAACCTACCTAGCTCCCGGTGGCTAACAGCTGCATGAAAAAATCAAAACATCAAAAACTGAATAAAATAAAAACTCACTTTATATCGGAGTCTTCACAGGATTGCACGTAGAAGTATCACAGAAAGTAAAAAGTCAAAAAAATTTTTCCTTACAAGATTTAAACATATCTTCATTTTTTACTTTCGATGAATATTTTTTTCACTTAGTTTTTTTAGATCCGTTCTTTTTTTGTGAATCTTCTCAGTACAATCCTGGTTTATATTGATGGCACTCCACAAATTGCTGGAAAAAGACAATGAGAAATTTCAACACAAATTGAAAAAAACCTGTTTGCCATCAACGAAGTGTATTTCTCATTCATTTCTCTCTTCTTACGACCTGCAATCAATCATAATAGAGAAATTATAAAAAAATTTTTAGGAGCTTAAAAATTGAGAAGTTCAGCAAATACGAAAAAAACAAGAACCAGCGAAAAAGTTTTCCGTAAATGTTTCACGTTTCGCTGCAAGTTTGAGAAACTTTTATGCGAAACGCACAGAAAAGATGTTCGCTCACAAAATTACAATGAGGAAATGAATAAAATCGAAAAACTCCATTAGAAAAGAATAAGAAAAAGAAAAAAGGAAATCAAAAAGCGGTGGCCGAATTCTCCAAATTGTCTCCCACATTTGAATTTTGGCTCGCCGCCAAATAGCCGCGTCGCACACGCAACACCTCGCCCTTGCCAACCAGCCCATATCACCTTTCAAGTCGGGAAACATTGACTATATGTAACTGAGAAAGGAAGTATTTTAGAGTTTATTTAGTCAATGTGACATCTGCATATTAAAAGCCGGCAGTAGTCATGCTGAAAAAGCAGTGTGCACTACCCCGTTTTCCGGAAGGTCGCTTCATGAAAAATTAGATGAGTCTGCAGCTCTTTCGATGATGAATTGTCGCCAAGTTTTGACGTTAGCTCCTCTTTTCCAAGTTGTAGACGGAATTTTTAATTGCGAGCCATCTGCTACTTTGCAAAACATGTAGATTCTTGAATATACGTAACCCCAAAAAAGAATTTCCCTTGAGGTAAATCGAATTTGCACCTTTTTGAAGAATTTCTTCAAAGATGCGTCTAAGCAAAGAATCAAAATTCCAGCTTTAGCGCAAGTTGTTTTTCGAGTTTGATAAAAGACTAAGAAACACGCCTGAATAGAAGAATCTCACATCCGAATGAGCCATTATTCACCTCTATTATCCATGATTGATACATCCGGTTAAAAAAAACCGGCTTAAGCGGCAACAGGAAAAAATTTTACCGACGAACGCATTCGAGTAGAAAAAGTGCTCGGCTCAAAAATATTTGAGTTTTTTGGTGCGAAGCATTGTTGCGCGACTAATGTAATGACATAAGGTCGCATGTTTCCGTCGGAATCCAGGATCTTCTGAATTATTATTTTTTTATTTTTTTGAAAAATGGCAATTCCAGTCATGTCTGGGAATTTTTTTGGCATGTAGCTACGTAAGCTTCAAATTGATGATAGTGGCCGACTGATTGCCGACTGACATGCGAAGGAAAACGCAACAATTTGTGGCTTTTTTCAGAATTATTGCAAGCAGCTGAAAATAATTCAATATCGTTTTGAGCCATGATGAATGAAAACTGAAACGAATCTAGATAAATGTGGATAGTTCTCAATTTTCAGGAAGTTTTTGGATTTGAGGAAAACTTGGGACTTTTCAAATAACACAGTAATCAGCTATAGTTCGTTTTATAACGCTCTACTTGCCACTTGAAAGAATGAAAAATAAGTCTGGTGAATCATCGTTTTGAATGTTATGAGCAACATTTAATTAAAGTCTTGACCATTCGAGAAAAAAGTAAAAAAAAAGGGTTCAAACACTTTTCAAGTATTCTTGCGCAGTATGTCGTTATATAAAAATGTCAAAAATTCAAATGACTTAATTTACTGTTTCAGGAAGACGAATTGACGCCAGCCGATGAAATTTTCAACGAGGCGAAGAGGGCCGCAAAGTTTATCCGTTTTGGTTAAATATATATTTTCAACCATCACTTGGCTTCAGATTCTCTTAGACGACGTTTCATTGCTACTCCCCTCTAACTGTATTTTGTTTTGAGCCTCTGCAATAAACCGTTGCGTTATTCCATCTCAAAACACCAAAAATCTTATGAAAACCGTGCAAAAATACGGAAATTCAATGAAGTTGAGAGCTGTCAAGTTTTTCTTTTCGAGACCAAAATATTCAATTGCGTTTGCATATTTTGGCCGGCCGAAACGGAAAACTTAATGATGAAAAGTTGTTTTTTTAGAAATTTTGAAACCGCAAAACAAAATGATGTAACGCTCTTTTTTGTCGACCTGTCAATCATCATTTCAAAAGCAATTTTTGCATAGTCAACTTTCGAAAGTTTGCAAATTTGTTTAAAAGTCAAAGTGGCTTTCTTGTTTTTCCATACGGCGTTCGTGGAACGAGCGCTTTCTTACGTCTTGTTATTTTTCGAGCTTATCAATCCTCGCTTGTTATAGTGCGATGGGCGGCACTTTTGAATTGATGCTCATCAAACTACGGAATCGGATAATGCAGAGCATTTATTCATTAGTCGGAAAATTCAGAAAAGCGGAGCGGAAAGTTAGAGATCAGATCACGAACAGAATGGTAGGAGGAAGCGGATTAATTACACGGTATCATACATTTCGAACCGGGAAAGCGGGTAAGCAAGCAATGATTGATGGACATTCTACCACTAAGCAAGGTAATATCTCGGGAAACGGCGCATTTGTTGTGTTCAAAACACGAGGCTCTACTATACAGAAATCGGAAGAAGAAAAATGGAAGGTTATTGCGAGCATTTTCCTGCGGAACGATGAACAAATAACAGTGGAATGGTGATTTATAAATCACAATGAGATATTCCGAAGAAACAGTTTTTAGTCATACTTGGCCAAATGATTAATTGGAAGTTTTTTAGAATCTCTTTTTTATACAAGAGCCTCTCCGTTTGAGGAGAAAAACTCGAGAATATTGTGACATCGAGTGGCGATGCCGACTTTGCGGTGATTGGCGAATGGATTGTGACTGTGACCATGGCCGGATTTCCCGCCATGTGCCGCCCAGGGTAGCCTTGATACGGTCGTTAGTCGTCATTTCCAAGGAGATCTGAATGGAACTTTAATTTTAATATCAATAATTGCGAAAGAAGTCGATAAAAACTTGAAATTTCGTTCAATTTTCCTGACCAGAAGGTCTTCTCAAGTTCCATTTTTACGTTTTTTTCAAAAACCTTCTCAAGTCCTCAAAATTTTTGAAAAAAAGATCATTACATTACAGTATGTGCCGTGTCTTGATAAATTTGAAAGTTCTCAAGATATAATTAAAATATTATTGTTAACATATGATGAATAAAACATGTTGTAACGAGGGCTCTCCAAATCCAATAAGTGCAGCTTGAAATTTTTACATAAAAAAAAATAATTTTGAGGGCAAAATATTTGAGAAAGTTAGAACTACACGTATGTAAGAAAATCCAGCTGGGAAGCTTCGAAGAAAAAACTAAAGAAAACCCAGATTTCTTCTATGACAAAAAAGTTCAGAAGAAAATAATTAAAAATATTGAAATACCTGATTGAGTTGAACACACAACAGGAAACACAGCATGATTGCGTGGATGGCTGACAGAATCACCGTGATCAACAGGAAAGCGTGATACTTCACAAACTCTTCTGAATTCGTTCAATATTTCAAAAAGGCTTGGTGTTTGAAACTAACGGAATCCGTGATCAGCAACGTCGAGAAGCACAAAATGACCGGTCGCCAGGCAGTATACCAGCGAAGAAACCATGACGGAAGTCACGAAAAGAATGAATTCGCGCATATTCCGACGAGTGATGCATTTGTGAAGCCAGGGGCAATGGTGATCGAACTGGAGAACGCAGCTGAAAAAGTTGGAATTTGGTTGGTTGCCAAAGTTAAGATTGAACAATCCTTCAGCTAGAAAATAGAGCACGTGAAAATTTTTGATACTTACTACTTACTACTGGAAAGTGTGTAAAGTCTGAGAAAAGTTGAACTCAGAAACTTTCCTTTTAAGAAATGGACAAAAATCCAAAAATCTGCTCAAAAAACGTGAAAATGATTGCTTGATTAGCTTTTCTAGAAATAATAGTTTAATTGGTTTGAATGGTCATTCCCAAGGAATTTTCCCAGCCGAATGGATCTTTGAAAACATCGCCCCCTCCCAATCAAATTTGCCATGACCCTTCAAAACTTCATAACAGGTTCTGAATGGACTATTTTCTCGATATTTCAAAAGACACAGATCATTTCCAAAAACGGCTAGAGTACGCAATCGTGTAGTTCAAAACGAAGCATTTATTCGTAATTTTCAAAGAAAATTGACAGACAGCACGCATGAATGTTTCGCCAGACGTCACTCGTTAATAATGCATAGAGATGACAAAAAACCCACCGCGTGGACGAATATTATAAAGTAATGAGGAACTTACTGATCACAGACGGCGCAATGCTTGGTTTGCTCGAGTTTCCGGACGAAACAGGTGAAACAGTATTTTTCTTGGTGTTGGATCCCAGATTCGGCCTCCTCGATGTACATCGAGTGACAATCCTTCTTGGGTTTAACGATACCCGGATCAAGTACTGTGATTCTGAAAATAATTGTATTCGTGTTTCTGAAATATTATAAACAAACCTAACGAGGGAGAAAATGAGAGACGTGAATGAGATCACGAAGAGCAGCTGAAGCCACCACGGAACGTACCAATGCGCGTAGTTCGCCCTGAATCGACAATAGGTCTTTTAAATTTTATAACTTCATGCAGACCCTAAGTTGGATCATAATATCCCTCAGGAAGAAAAATCATGAGTTTGTGCAGTTCAAACTTTCTCGTGGAAAAAATTCAGAAGTTTTTCAACTTATTTTTCGGAGCTTGTAAGAGTTCATTTTTCGAGTTTCAGGTACAAATGTCAAAAAAAAAAAAACATACCAAGACGCCAACATGAGCGACGCTTCGGCTACAGTGATTCCAATAGGTAGGAGACGATAATTGGGGGCGTGGAAATCGAAGTGAACGGTTGCCAGGATGAATCCGAAGAAGATCGCCGTTATGAGAAGGGCGATCGTCAACGGCAGATGCGCGAAGACGAACCACATCCCGACGATCACCAGAAGTGGCAGGAAGAAGAAAAAGTAGGTGATGAGAGGAGGATCTGCACGTAGGAAACGACATGAGCTTCTGATGTGTCCTTGTTTTCTTCCGGCTTGTTCGAGTTGCTCTGGAAAAAAGTTTTTTTTTTAAGGAAATTGTGTTTTTTCAGTTTATTGTCAAAACGATAATTTTCGGTACGGCTCAAATTTTCCTCTATAGAGTGAAAAAAATGCCGGAGAGATCTTTCAAAAAAACTAATAAAATAAGTTTTTTTGCTTTTTGAAGGTTGACTATTTTCTGAACATCTGTGGCTATGATTAAAAAAATGGTTTATTAAAGAGCCAATCCAATTTGAAAAGTAAACCTTTTCTGTATTTTTTGAGACTAAAGCTTTACCCCAAAGGGTTGTATTTCACAGAAACTAACCAATAATCCTGAGATTTTTATGATTCCTAGCAATGTCCAACGCGGTTTCCTGTTGTTTGTTTCGAATCGAAATATCGGCGCCACCTTTCAGCAATTCTCTAAAAGAGGAAAATTATGTGAATCACTTAAAAAAAACTTACACAACAGCCGAATAATTCCTTTCCTGTGCAGCAAAGTGTAATGCAGTTGAACCCTTAAATGTTTGTATTATTTACGGTTCAAATCTGGTGACTTTGGGTTCATCACATGAAAAATCTTGAATAGATCCGTCACACAAATAACAAACACTGTAAGATTTTTGTCCATAGACTACCGGTGAAAAAAGTAAACTTTATGTTACCTGTAAGTGCTCCTTGAGACTCAAATCAGCACCGGCTCTCACGACCAATCTTATCGGAAACATGGCAAATGACCGGTAGGCGCACCACATTGCGGGAGTCATTCCTAAAATGTATCTTCTAGAAAAAAATGTTTTGGAAAGATCTACCGCTGTTGTCTGTGATATCCTTGACGTAGTCAAACTTGAGTAAGAAATATGCGACTAGAGGGACATGAGATCCTTGAATTGCCAGGTGAACTGGAGTGTATCCTTGAGCGTCCCGTACGTTACAAACAGCGCCGGCCTGAAAAGTTGCTTTTTGATGATTCAAGCAAGCTCTATACCTTCTTAAAATGTTAAAATATTTTTTTGGAAAGATCTCAATATTTAAACTAGAAAAAATGTGCACAGATCTATAGGATCTTTTTTTAGTTTTTGTTCCCGCTTTCAAAAATCATACGACTACAGCTCAATGAAGGAAACTTTATACAAAAAGTTCAAAAAAAATTTTAATTTCAAGAGAACCTTGACAAGAACGGCGCAAACCGCGACATGTCCGTTGCGCGCAGCCCAATGCAATGGACTGGATACAAGGACCCCACCGAGTTTGTTTGGATCACCTCCGTAAGAAATAAGGCTGAAAGTTTGATTAATGAATAGTTAGTAAAAAGAAAATCTCACATTTTGATGACATCGATGCGATTGTTGATTGCAGCCCAGTGTAGTAGTGAGCACCCGTCCTGAAACGGTACTTTTTCTCAAAAACATTTGTTTCTTTTTTAAATATTCTGCAGAGAGGACGGTTTTTGGAAGGTGAGAAGGGAAATTGCTTGCCAGAAGCCTTCCAAAAGCCTGCTGGAAAGCTTCTGGAAGGCTTTCGGCAGGATTTTTTCTGAGTAGGTATTGGGAAGCTACTTGTTAGAAAGCTTCCAATCGCGTTCTGAGGAGCCAAAAGTAAAAGTTCCCTAACTTTCACCTGAGATCGAAAAAAGTCATCCTTATGAAGACCTCAAAGTCAAAAGACTTCACTAACGTCATCCACCGAGTTGGGAGAAAGGCCCGAGCGCAGAAGATCATCGACAACGGTCTGACGTCCGTGCTGACAGGCACCGATTGCGGCGTAGAGGTCGGCCGTCTGAGGAATTTTTGGCGCGTGGCGATCGACGTTGAGAGGATCGTGCGTCGGCGGCTCCAGACGGTCGCCAACCTCGGCCAGCGCCATTCTTGTCTGGCCTAGGTTCAATTGGCCTGCAATTCTTGGAAACTTTTATTTGATATTTTGAAAATATATTTGGAAATCGAAATCGATCCAGCTTAACGGATGATGATTTTTTACGAACGTAGTGAAAATTATAATATTTGTTTACTGTATATACTTTTTTCGCGGAAGTAGACATTTAGATAAATTTTTGGAATGTCGTTCTGAGAGAAAATCAGATAAAACTTTTGAAATAGAACTTTTGTGAGTAGGGCGTCCCTAAACATATCATCACCGCCTCACGGAAAAAATTAAATACTACTTCGCGAAAGTTCTCCAAAACCTCGATGTAATTATTACTTGTAACGAAACTAAACCAGAATTTTCAGCGCGGTGTTAGATTGCTAGCATGCGGTCACGTTGGAAAAAAATTACAACTTTTTCGGAAAAACCGGATTCTTTATTTTCGAATATTCTAAAAATAGTTCCTGACTTTTCGTTCAATTTTACTGAAAAACGTTTTCAAAATATCGTTTACGCGACTTTTTCAAAAAGTTCAGGAACACGAGTGAACTTTTAGAATACAATTCAATGCGACAAATTTTTTTTTGAAGAAAAACAGCTTAGCGCAAATTTTTTCATTTGAAGCACTATCATTCAAAACAGAGATATTTCCTAAATTGAGCAAGTTCAAGCGCTGAAAATTCAAAAAAGAGCCGCGCAAGCAGTGAAGGCGATGTATATGACATGTAGAAGAGAAAGGGGAAAATCGCGGAGCAAAAGATTGAAGCCACTTATTCTCGCCAGATTTCATTTTCACAGGCTTTTTTTTGTCATGTGATTTTGCTAATCTACAAACAATTTTCCCTTTCTTACGATTTTTTTCATTTTAGTGAAAGTGTATTTGTATTTAGAAATGAAACATCAAATTTTGAATTCAATTTGTTCATGCTTTTGGGAAAAATGCTCGATAAGAAAACGTAGTTCCAGGATTGAATGCGCCGTTATCTCTGTCTAGGCAAGTTTTCAAGTCAACAACAATAGTTTACAAATGGAAACTCAAAAATATAGCTATTAAAACAAGATGGGACCCAAATTTCAAAAAAATCTAGAAGTTTTTTTCAATAAATGCTGCAAAAAAGCAGAAAAAGAATGAGTAAGGCGAGAGAAAAACAAAATTTTTTTTTTTCTCATTTCCAAACTATCAACGATAAAACTACGAAAGTTTTTTGAATTTGAAAGTTAAGTTTATCTCAAAAATCAAAAAAAGTATCTGATTTCCATAGTTTGAATAGAAAGAAAGAATCTGCAATACTAAATTAACTCGAACAAAAAAATTATGATATCATTCTATGGATATTTATCTTCGTTTTCAAACTTTATAAAGACATCTCGACTGATTTCATAGATTCATATTGAAATGGAATAAAATTCCGATTTTCCTGAAAACAAAAAAGTGGTTCCTATAGGATCCTTGAAAGCTCCCCTCTAGGGATCGCTGTACCAACCCCTATAGGGATCACTAAGTCTTACAAAAGTGGCCCCTATAGGGGTCGATAATTTTTATGAACTTCTCTATGCGGAGAAGCATTTCCACGCAAAAAACTAAAAAAAACAACCTGTTTTGAATAATATTGAACGACCCCTATAAGGACCACTTGAGCTTTAGAGCCTATGGAATCATTACCTAAACTCCTATAGTGACTACTTCTGTAAGAGCTATTTTTCTCTTTAATCTCTATAGGGACCACTCTAAAATTTTTGAGTTGATTTATGGCAAATTATGTCATATCTACGCAACATTTTCTCAAATTTCGTAACTTTTTGAACATTTTGTTTTCGGAACGAAAAGGCTATTCTTTTTACGACTTTTAAATAAAGTTTTAAAAAAAACTCAGTAAAAAAATTTGGCTTTTTAGTTTCGATAATGGAGTTTTTGAAAGTCCACAATAAAAATTTTGATGCGCTGGAAATTGAAATTCACACAGACGATTCATGACAAAAGTTATGATAAAAAAGATGAAAATAATAATAAATCTTGTCGCAAAAGCGTTGTAAAAAATATCATCAAAACTTCCTTTTTCAAGATCAGAAAATTTGCGCAGATATCGGCTCTTCGGATCCAATTTCCAGTTTATCAGAAATTGTTTGCGCAAATCCTTGGAATAAAAGCGAAATCTCAACCGAAGTGTTATTTAGTGAATGATCCAATGTCCCACAAGAAATCTCTTCACAATCAAAGGATTAAAGTAACAGAAAGAACATTATCTCGAATGAAAATCGAAAAAGTGAAAGGGAACTTGGGGTACACACGGCAATGACAAAATAAACAAGAAGAGTGGCGCCGGAGTGAATGGCAGGTATTTCGCGGAAGGAGGCGAGACGCCATGTGCGCTCCGTTGAGAACCTCACCTCATAAGGTCGCGCGAGCCCCACTCGGCCAAAAAAACAATAAGTACGGAATAATATTTTGAAAAATATGTTTTGCGAGTAATTTTTCCCACCATTAGCACTTTCATTTGGAAAGTGTGAGAAACTGAGTAATGTTGTTAGTTGGGTTCAAAAACACCTTATCTAGAAGTTTGGCGGCTCTTAATGCTTCCAAATAAGTCAATTTTTAAATTATTTTAAATGAATATTTGGCATCTTTGATGAACAATATGAAAAAGTTGGATGGAAGGAGTAAATTCGAATGAATCGAGTTATCGATCGAAACCCTCAAAACATTACAATCAGAGAAAATGCTGTTTTTTGAACACATCCTAAGAAAAAAATTCGAAAAAGGAAGGTTTTCGAATTTATAAAATTCATAAAAACTTCAATTAGTCTCAAAAAGCGTTTCTCAGACTTTAAATAGACGAAAAATAGAGAATCTTCAGCAAAAAAAAAAAGAGAACTTCCAGAAGAACGCCTTTCTTTGGCACCTGGCCCATCAATTACTGTCACGGGTAATACAGCGTTTTCCCTAATTTTCGCCACGCCTGGTGTCTCTAGAAACAGGAATCTGATCTCCCATTGGCAATGAGTAACCTTTAAGCGCGATCAAGGCAGATGAAAGTCAGATAACTCGCTTTCTTCGGCGACTTTGATGCTACCGCGCGTTTTGAACAAAGCGAGAGGATGTCGTTCAGTGTATGAAAAGTTTGCTTCATTAATCTCAAATGGTTTCCATTTTCGGTTGCATCATTTGCATTTTTTTCAATGTTTTGGAGCGGAAACGCGACTTGCGGGAGAGTGATAAGGTACAACGTAGCATGTTCATCGGAAACTGGCCATTTTCCTCGCGGGGCCGCTTCGATTTCTCATTCTAATTACTGGTTGTGAATACACCTGCGGACAAAGTTATGAAACCTACGAGAAGGCAGCTGGTTTCTTCCTTGTACAACATCGAGAATGTCACTTCTACGAGATTTAGGTAAAAACCTTTTTTTTGGAAAGTTCAGAAGAAGTTTTTCATTTAAAAATACAATAGTTAGAAAATCAATGCGTCCGATTTGATGAAGAATTTTTGCAAAAAAATCAGGAAATACTCAAAATGAGAAGATTTTGGAAATCTTGAAGTTTCAAAATTTTTAGTTGCTAGTTACTTTTCAATTGAGTCAGGAACTGCGAACTCGGCTCAATTTAGGCTTTTTCTGATATTTTCAATCACACAAGATTGAATAATCACTATAAAAAAAGTCATGGCAGCTGTCACGTGGAATCAAGAAACGAAAAAAATTGATTTAACCTGTTTAAAAAGGACAATGAAAGAAAAAAAAATTCAGAAAAGTTACGATACTCCCTGCTGTGACGATAATGTCTAAAAAGCTTGAAAAATTTCGTTTTTCATCTTGTTCTCTAGAATCAAAAAACAAAAGAAAATTTTGGAAGCTAGTCTTCATAACTTTTTTCCAGATCCGACCCGCCACATATGGGCGGAATTTTGGGAATTCTCCGAGTTTTCGGTGGCTATGTGATGGCCCAAGCTTATACGGTTTCCCGAATGTTTTTAGTTCAAAGATTGGGAAATTCCAATAAATTCATATCAAACATGCATTATAATTTCATAAGACCGGGTAAACAGAAGTGGAAAAATGAAAATGAAATCATAGTTCAGGTGCACTAGACAAGACTATTGAATTCGAGATTGAAGCGCACGAAGACGTCCTTAAAATAACTATTTATCATGATCTCAAGATTATTGGACTTTGTTTTGCAAAGGTAAGCTTTTCACACATTTTTTAACTTTGTTATAACTTCATTCAGCTTAATTCAAACTTGTTAGCTGGAGCATCGTATCCAGCGGATATACCGCCAATCACAGATGTCTTCTCAATTTCTGAACTTGCCGCTTTGCCAGCTTATAAAGAACTCAGAACTTATATGCAGAAACTGGATGATAATTATTCTTTCGAACTGAAACCCATCAAGTTCTTTCGTAATGTGAAGACCAACGTGTACAGAGTTGAGTTCTTCGCACGTCTGCATCACGATTGTTTAGGTGAATCAATACAGTATTTTGTAATATGAGAGCAAATTTTTAGATTCAACATTAGAAGGCTCATCTATGATGATTGGAATTGCATTATCGGACTTTTTCATTATGCGATCAATTGAGGTAAGACCGAGGTTTTGTAGTTGAAAATTCGAATATTTGTATTCATCGTTTTTGGTTTAATTTTTTCGAGACTATTGGGATTTGAGCTTGGAAACTTCTTGGTGTACCAAATGAAAACCCTAAAAACCTATTTATAAAGAAAACCCACCTCAATGTTTTAGAGGACATTTGAAATCCGCGAAAAAAAGCTTTTCTGGAATTCCAGCCCTCCTCACATGAAAATAAGAAATTTTCGCATATTGAAACTATCAAAAAATTCATTTTGTACATCAAGGAATTTATTGGTCGAATTTTAGGGAGCTCTAAACGTAAAGTGTAGTCATGGTGGCGTTACAAACACATAGCAAATAGAAATGAAGTTTCCATCGAATCTAAGAAATTTACAGTACTGTCAGAAAAAATACCAAAAAAGTTTTTTCGTCATAACTTCCTTGTAAGAATTTCAATCTTACTGAAACTTGCTGTAATTGAGATAAATGTTATTTTTTTAACACTCTGATGAAGTTCAAGTTCACAGAAAAAAATGCAGCTTTAGAAAAATTCAAGAAAAATCGAACCCCTTACAAGAAAGTTATGACCAAAGTCGCGTTTTTTTCGTATATTTTCTGACGTTACTGTATAGTAGTTAATGAAGCAATAACTTAAAAAAATGTTTCAGTGGTTCTACGACAGTTTCGGGTTCAAACTGTCCTCTGGAGCATCTCTGCACCACAATATCCAGTTCCATAAAGACGAATTAGCACAAGAAGACACGACTCCCCATAGTACTTTGAACCCTTCCCAATGGTTTTTGATAGTCAGTGAGCTACAAGAATGTTCATCAAATATGGCTTTGATTCACGGAAAGTTATTTTCTGCCCATCGCCCTTGTTTCCTTTCTTTTACTCAACAAGCTTATTGTGTTCGGGGGAAAGCCCCTCTCCGCAGTTCACTTTGATTTTTTTGGTATGAAGGTTGCTGAAATTTTGTTTAGGGTTTGCATTTAAATCTAGAAAAGAATATCGATCTTGAAGGAGTCTGAGAAACTTTTCTCGAAGAAATCTTACTGTCTTAACATGTACGAGGTCTAACAGTGTCTACTTATCGTATATACCCTCATAAATTTCATTTTCTTTTCTTTTGAAGGAAATCTGAATTTTTGGCATAATTTCCCAAGCTAGCTGACTTTCCCAGAAAGCTTTCCATGCTTCAAAAGTCCCCTAATTCTACTTTTTTTATGGGAGTTTGATTTGATAGATCAAATTGAGGAGAAGATTGACTTTGTTTCTCTAATCTTTCGTTATCTCAAACTGCTTTGTTTTTATCAGGGTTACTGATAAAAAATGCCTTTTTTTATCGTAGGACCGGAATTGAAAGAAATCGATTCAAAGCTTCTGTGTTAATAAAGACTTACGGAGAAGCTCATGCTTGAATCTTGATACTGGAAACGCAACATTTTGTATTGGACACGAAGAATCTTATTTCTTTTTATTTTCAGTTTGTGAAGCATTTTTTTTGTCGACTCGGAAGCAAAAATATTGAAAAAGGGAAAACGTTTCTCAAATTATCCCCAACAAACCAGTATCTGAAGCTTCGGTGGAATACTTAGTGATAAAACACATAGTAAACTTAGAAAAAAATCATACATCGAACGATGCCCAAGGATACGGCTTTCCCATTTTTATAGAAATTGTTTTTTGTAAAATACAAAAAGCAGCTGAAATGATGCGCCTTCTCTAGTAGCCAACCTCCTGATTCGAAAGTCCTATGAAATTTTGTTCCCGCTCGAAGGAACCTCGAAAAGAATTGACTCAGCAAATTACCGAAGCAACGCGGGCCGCCTTATTTTTACCCACGGTCATTTTCCTGATTACCAGTGCCAGAATGTCCGATTTCTTTTTCACCTTCTTTTCTTTGTCGTGGTTGGCGCTCTGAAGAAGTTCTTCACCAAGTCATTCTTTGTTTCTTCTAAATATAAGAGTATCATCCAACATTCTCCACACTTCGAAGAGCTAGTTTACACTCAGAAAAAGGAACTGCTCTTCTTCTCCGTTCCAAAGTGCAAAGCTAAGCCTTGATGGATCAGAACAATTACTCATGGGAGCCGGAGCGAGGCAGGAAACTTTGGCTCCTCTTGTTTTCTAGCACAGCCGCCCTATGCTGTTATCTGTAAACTTATTTTCAGTCAATAGGAAACTTTTTATCTTGTTTGTTTGCTACTTTACACCGCTGTTTAGACTTCTTAGTAGGATATTATACGTCAATAGCGAACGAAAGTTTTTTTTTCGATTCGAAAATTCGACGGATTGTTGAAAACGAAAATGAAATATCTTCCAGGTACTACGGTAGAGATCAAGATCATTTTCAAACTAATCAAAAAGTACATGATAATTTTTAGAATATTTCTTTAAAGCAATACTCTTTTTTTTTCAAATATCCGGCCACGAGAAACACAAAAAAATGTTGCTCGTCAAAAAATTAGGCCGAACGGTGGAACTTTTTATTCTTTCAACCTTTTTCTTCATTTTGATAATATTTTTTCAGCAATTCCATCCAATGCCAGCAGCTGAAGCGCGCACGATAGAATTCAACGTAGGGCTGAACTTGTTCATTCTCTACGATGTGAGCTCATAAAGTCGGAAAAGTAACCCTGCTGTTTTCAGGACATGACAAATCGTCTGATTCGTTCTCATAACGACGAGAATTTGTACACTCTCGGATATTTGAATCATCACATGGTCGTGAGTTTTTTTGAAAGTGTTTTTGTAACAGCGAAACTTTTAATTTTTCAGGACGTCGAGAACGGAAAAGCCCTTTTTCTGAGTCCCGTGAGTTGATTAAATTTTTTTAGCTTTTGTTAGAAGGCGTAAGTTTTCGAGCTTACTTTCTCAAAAAATACTTGTAGATATGATAAAATTAAGTAATGATAATTTTCGAGTCAAAATGTTGTTCTCACTGGAAAAAAAATTTTTTTCAACTTTTTTGTAAATCTCTCATCATTTCACTCCCGTCGTAATACAGTGATATTTTTGCTCTACTTTCAGGAAGAGATGATTTTCATCTTGAACAGAACGAAAGACAAGATTCAAAATATAATCGATTCACATGGCATGTCGGGAATGGTATGTAACAAAAGCCTTCTTGAATATTTAGGAAATACTGAAAGATTCAAATAGTCTGAACGGTTCTTCATGTAATCTATCAATTCCTAGTGTTTTTCCTGATTTACGAATCAAATTTTTATTGTGAATAAATCAATTATAAAAACCTAATAAGGAACCGTTATGAAAGATACGACTTTTTTACAACTGTAAGGAGCTCAACCTTCCTGATAATTTCTGAAGCCGCGTTTTTTTTCTGTGAGCTGAAACTCCATCAGAGTTTTAAAAATAACAGTCATCAAAACTCCAGAAAGTTTCAGAAAGATCAAATTCCTTACTAGAAAGTTTTGACCGAAAACCCGCTTTTTGTACTTTTTCTGACAGTACTGTCTTTAACCGAAATCAAAAATCGCATTGACCAAAATTTTCAGTTCCAACCGTCGTTGTTGCATATCACCGAGTATTGCAATAAAGCTCGAATTCTGTGGGCTGAAAACCGCGCGGAAGCGCAGAACATGAGCTTCATGCGTCTGCAAGAGCTCTGTGATGAAGACGATGGATTGATGGATTGAATTTGAGCCCATTTCTGTCATATTTTCTCCTTTTAGACTTTCATCCAACTATTTTATCTGCTTTTTATGATTTTTTGATTTTTGTGAATGCTTGGAAGTAAAAGTATCGATGAAATTTTTATATTGTGAATAAATATTTTGTAAATTTTTATTGTAAATCGGAGGGAAATAACATCAAATGACATGGATATGAAGAAAAAGGGGACTAACGGTGGTCTCGATGTTTGAAAAAAAATTGGAAAAGTTCTCTAAAAAGTGGATAAATCTTTGTTGTTTGAGGATTCCATAGTTATTGGTTGAGTTTTTTTCAATATTTTAAAAGTATTTTTTTGAATTAAAAAAACTATGAAATTTTCCGGAACGTATTCAAAATTTTTTTATTTATTAAATCTCGTGTAGTACCACGATTTGGAATTTCCCTAAACGACACTCCGCTGTGCCGCTGCGCGCCTTTGGTCGCGCTTTTTAATCATTTTTCTTTTTATTAAGGTACTCTACTTTTTATGTGCTCCTACTGCAATAACAATCAATTGAAAGCGTGACTTATATTCGAAAGACGCTTCGCGAACGCACGCAGCGGAACAGCGGAATGTCGTTCGATGAAATTTCAAGTCATGGCACACAGACTATGCAACTATTAGACTTGCCTTAAAAAAATTGTAAAAATCCTATTTATGATCAATTTTTTTTCGCGACTTCTTTTTAATCGCAATTTTTGATCAAAGTTTATATGAATCGGTTACTTTTACTCACTAAGTTTTTGAGGGTTTCTGGACGTGATAGTGGCTATTTGCGCTAAATCCTGGGTTCAGAAACTTCTTTTGACGAGCTCAAAATAAACCTACCTCAAATGAAACTAAACATGTTGAAAATTACGTGTAAAATCATAATCTCGGTCTTGTGAAGAACTTTCAGAACATTTGATACAATTTTTTTTTTTGAAAAGTTGAGAAAAAGAGAAAGTAGACAAAATGGTCGAAGTGGCCAGAACAGAAAAATTAAAAAAATCTAGAACCTTTATTTGAATCAAGACATCAAAGATCGAAAACAGTTTTTTACAGCCAGTAATGCATTTGGGGTCTGCAAGCACAATTGCTTGTCTCATCGTATCAAAGAGCCAGGGCACGAAAGAGAGGAAAACGATTACTCATTGGCGTTTCGGGCCGGTCAGCAGACTTTGGCTGCTTCTGTGCCTTTCTTTTTCCTCTCTAGTGCAATCGCCCTCTGGCATCCAAGCTCAGTTTGCTGTTTTTTTCAGCTTTTGTCAGAACTTATACCTTTTCAAAACGTGTTGAATTAAAAGATTCGAAGGATCTTGAAGAATTTTGTTCCTTGAATAATGGTTTTGTATTAGTTTTCTCATTTTCTCTCTTTCTCTAAATTTTTTCCTTCATTTTTTTTATTCTCTAATTTATTTACTTCACTTCCGAAATATATTCAGAAAAACTTTGAATTTTATTGGATAACTTTTGTGCATTTTGGATTGCAGGCTTCGAAATATCAGTCAAAAAGCTATTCTGAAAAAAACTTGGGATGCAGCTTATCGCGATGGGGAAAAACGTCGATTGCGTATTATCCAGCCTTCAACAAAAATCTTGCTCTCCGATGTGAGTTGATCCCGAAGAAACGCTAAAAATATATATATAACATTTTAGCAAAGAGTTTATCAGGTCATTTTTTACCAGAATGGCGAAACGCCAGAAACAATCGAGTATCTGGAAAACCGAACCATCGTGAGTTTCTTTCAGTTTTCACTTTCTTAGATTATTTTCAATCGAAATCTGAAATCAAGTGTTGTTTTGTTTTTCAGGAGAGCCCCACGTGCAAATCTCTTTTGCTGTCGTTTGTGAGTTTAAAAATACAGTCGAAAAAAAAACGTGCATTTTTCCAAAATCCAAAGAATTTTCGTGTTGGCAAGCCCAATGCGATTTGATCTAACCATTTATTGAGGTCATTTTATTTAAAAAAAGATGGAATATCGAAATTTGAAAGAGGGTTATAGGGTGCCAAAAACAACTTTTTACATATTACTCACCTCGGCGTGACTTTGAGAACTTTTCGATCTTCGTCAAGTGCGATCATTTTTGAGTTAGCCTCCCAGGAAAGTGTTCAGGCTTTTTGCTAAGGACGATTTTTTTTTTCGATTTTTGTAGAAAAGCTCTGCATTACAAGTTTTTTTGATAATTTGACCATATCGATTTCAGGACGAACTTTTCTACATGTTGAGAAGAACCGCGAGGAAACTGGAAAGTGTGATGGCCGACATCCCAAACACAACTCTGGATGTTGGTTCTTTTTTCTTGGATAAAGTTTTTTCAAGATGATAGGAATGTTGCGAAATATACTCATAGAGTTTTTGAATTGGATAAAACTTTTTCTCATTGAATCGGAAAAAAAACTTCACTTTGACTGAATCAAATGTTTCCATCCTTTTTTTAAATAAACTTTCGAACCTACTGAAAACGTAACTTTGTTTGATTTCAGCTCAATCCCATCGTGGCGAGCATCAACGTCTACATCCGTATTGCCGAAGCACTTCAACATGAAAAAAGCCACGAAGCCGAAGAAATGAGCCGCATCTCCCTCCAAGAACTTTGTGAAGGGGGCAAAGAACTTGGTTCTGGAGACCAACCTTCTACGAGTTGATTTCAGATTTTCGCCTTGTTTCTTTTCTCACCGTGTTTCTAAGTTTCCGCTTGAATGGGCTTAGATTATTAAAAAACAATTGTTTTCAAAATCAAAACATTTTCACAAAATTTTGTCTTTCTTTGTATTTTTTGTCATACAAAATATATTATTGTTGTTTGTTTATTTTAATGTGTTTATGAATAAATAATCTATGCAGGTCACAAAGCTTTTCTTTGTTTTTTTCAAATAGATTCTGTCCACATCAAAGAAAAAGACAGGAAAGTATCATGTAAGTCTGATGAGATTATTGAGAAGGTTTTTCATCAATATTATCGCGCTGGCATTTGAATATTCATTCTTTTTTACGAAAAAACAGATTATTAAATTAACGTTAGCTTTTCCAAAGTTGTCAGAGATCTCAGAGTCATGGTGGAAAAATTCACCATTTTTGCCATTTCTTTTTTTTCCACCATTTCTTGAGCCTTTAAAATCCCAGAAGGAAATGGAAAACTCGATGTAGGGACTCTTTTTGCTGCCCTTTTGTTGCCTTTTTGCAGCCTTTTTGCTGCCTTTCTGCGGCCTTTCTGCGGCCTTTCTGCGGCCTTTTTTGAGCTTTTCCTTTTAGCGGCTATTATATATTATCCCGAAGTTGCCTAAGCTTTTACCGGAAAAAATTTCATGCTTAGAACCTTGAGATTCGATTTTTAATCTGAATGACTACTAAAACTCGATGAAAAGACGATGTTTAGAATAAATCTCATTATCGCACTTTTCACAAACTGTTCTCAAGACATATCCTTTCCCAAGCGCTCACAGATTTATGTGAATTTTTTTTTTCAAAACTGATCTCAATCTGGAACATAATCTGCTTTATATTAAACGTCTTTGTCCCTCCAAACATTTTCAAATCCCTTCTGGACAAAATCCTCGATAATGAATTATTGGTCAGCATCTATAGATGGCTACTATAAAAAATTTCAGAAGTACATTTTAATATACTTTTACGTTTACTTTTATAAACTGTGACTTCCTATTGTATACCCTATACGGTCAAGTCACACGTGGGGGTGTCCTAAAACCGGTTCTCAACCTTTTTTACACCTTGTGAATAAGTAAATTGATATTAAAAACTATGAAAACATTTGAATGCTTTTTAAAAATTCACTTTTCTTGCTATATTGCCATACGGCGGGCTCCCTCTGAAATATATGAAAAATATTTTACCCTGTCCCTAATTATCGTAATCTTATCCCAAGCTGTTTCCGTGTTAAAACTATTTTATTTGACAAAATTCAAAATGTTTCTGATAGGTTGCAAGCTCTCGGCAAGTTCGACAAAAATACAGAAAATCAATCGATAAACGGACCTTGCAAAAATTACAACATCGATCCATTCTCTGTGATCATTTTGACTTAGCGGCCGACAAAAAATGCGCCAAGCAACTATTGACGTCTTTCGCGGCGCCCGACGAGCGGTTCGTTGAACACTCTTTTCGGGCGCTGTTTTGCACGTTTCCTGTCTTAAAAACAGTTTTTGGTTTAGTCTTTCTTTTTCCTTATTTTCCTTCAAATGAACATCGTCTTATGGTTTCCCGATTGATTGAAATATCATCAATTTGAAGTTCCCAAGTTTTTTTTCTATCTCAAAGTGCCAGATATGAAAATGTATGCGCAAGTTCAAGGTATCAAGTTTTTCGGGAACGGTTCACCTGATTCCGCAATCAAAAACCAAACGTTTCTTTGAAAAAAGTCGAAATATCGATTCACTTTTTGTTCATTTTCACTAAGACCCAACTTTTTTCAGAGTTTTTTTTTGTCATAAAGCCATAATTTTCTACCGAATATTATTTTTTTTTTCAATGAGCGAATATTTAAACTGTGTGATTGCATTTCTCTAAAAGCGTATTAATGAGTACAATTAGTCTCGAAACGAAAATTTGTTGACTTAACTAAAAAGGTGACCTGTGAACTTTGAAACACCGAAAATCAATAGTCTAAATTTCTATATGCCTTCAGATTCTTTTTATTCGTCTTGCGATTTCTTCGCGTATTCATTCCTTCCTTATTCATGCTGCAATTTTTCGTGATTAAAAAAAAATGATTCAGATGCTGAGCGTGGCCGGAAGGGGTGTCCGCAACTTGATCCCGACGCGTTCGGTGTCTCTCAGTGCGTCTCGCAAGTCAGTGGAGATTTTAAATTTAGCCTCATAATTATAAAAAAAAATGCATTCCTATTAAGTTCACAATGACAAAATTCGTGGAGGCTGTGAAGAAGATATTGTTACCAAAAATATCGTAGAAGCTTTATAAACTTTGTTGAAGACCAGTAGTAATTAAAAAAAATTTCAATCGCAAATATAGAGAAAAAATGATCCTAAGAAAGCTTATAGCCAATTCCTGGCTAACTTGACACGCTAGGAGGCGTGGGCTGTCTGCGCATCGTGTCAGGACCCATGTTTCGATGGCTCAAGTCAGCCGTGGAATAGCTATACGTTCATGATCAGCAAGCCATTTTGGCCTAGGAAATTTTGCAAACAACACATTTTCATTTACTTTATGATCTTTTCTGAAGACTTCATATTTTTCAAACCCAATATTATGAGAAAAAAAATGTTTGGACCTCTTACAACTTCAAATTTCAGCGACGTCAAACGCAGCAACGTCGCCGAGTACAAGATCGTCGATCATGCTTATGACGCCGTGGTTGTTGGAGCTGGAGGAGCTGGTCTGCGAGCCGCCATGGGACTTTCCGAGGGAGGACTCAAAACTGCAGTTATCACCAAGCTTTTCCCCACTCGTTCTCACACCGTCGCCGCTCAAGGAGGTTCAGCAATGCTAGTTTTTCCATTAAACGTATCTCTTCAGGCATCAACGCGGCTTTGGGTAACATGAACCCTGATAACTGGAGATGGCACTTTTACGACACTGTCAAGGTAATTTTTTATTTTTGAAGCATTCATCTGATTTTTTCTCCAGGGTTCGGATTGGCTCGGAGACCAAGACGCTATCCATTACATGACCCGCGAAGCCGAACGAGCTGTCATTGAACTTGAAAACTATGGTTCGCAGTAGCTTCAGCGGAAATTTGAAGACGGTGGCATTAAGGTATGCCGTTCTCCCGTACCACTGACGGAAAGATCTACCAACGCGCTTTCGGAGGACAATCCAACGATTTTGGTCGCGGTGGACAGGCTCACAGGTTAGATAGGAATATGTCAGCAGAACAGGACTACGAGCCGGATATCTTTTTTTTTTTTGATGAAAAGAGAATGTATGAACGAATGAAGTTATTAAAACGCACGCTAACAGGAGTGGGGGGGAGGTATTTTTACTTCAGCTTTGGGATTTACCTGAAAATCTTGATGTACCAGATAAAGATCCTGAAAATCTAAACCTGCACAGCTTCCTAGTTTCAGAGAAATAAGGGCTTGAAGCTTCAAAATCAATTATTTAGTGAATTGAAGTATATATTAACTGATCTTCAATAGATTACCAATCTTCACCAGAAAAAGAAACAAGCCAAACCCATTTTTCAGAACCTGTTGCGTCGCTGACAGAACTGGCCACTCTCTTCTCCACACTCTCTACGGTGCTTCTCTTCAGTACGACTGCAATTATTTTGTCGAATACTTTGCCCTGGACCTCATCATGGACAAAGGCGCCTGCGTTGGAGTCATCGCCATGAACCTCGAAGACGGAACTCTTCATCGCTTCCGCTCGAAGAATACTGTTTTGGCGACCGGAGGATACGGTCGCGCTTTCTTCTCCTGCACCTCAGCTCACACCTGCACTGGAGACGGTAGGTTTTTACTTGTGTTATTTATAAAATGGAATAAGGAGGTTTAAATTGCGCAGACAGGCCACCAGCGTCTTAAGTTGGCCGTAAATTGACTAAATTGCAAGTGACATAATCTCCCTAAAATCGCTTTCTCACGGTTCGAAGTACACTAAAAATTTCGTTCGAGTTCAAAAAAGCAAGCGCTAAACTTTTGTGCTTGAAAGTTTATTTGAAAAGATTGTTATGATCCCATCTCCACTTGGAAAAGTTTAAAAAAAGCTTTTTTTTCTCGTATTGATTATTCTACCATTATAACTTCTAAAAAAATAAAATTGGTTCGGTAAAAAAAAACGAACAAGGTAAAGTGAAAAACAGAAATTTTTCTAAACTACATGGATCAAAATTTTTCAGGTACCGCCTTGACCGCTCGAGCTGGAATCAACAACTCCGACATGGAGTTTGTTCAGTTCCATCCTACTGGAATCTACGGCGCCGGTTGCCTGATCACCGAAGGTTCTCGAGGAGAAGGAGGATTCCTCGTCAACTCTCAGGTTTTGTAGTGGTTTGATGACATTCGATTAAGAATCGAAAACAACGGAGAAAAATTTTTTTAAATTTTTTTAAATTTAAAAACTTTGCTTTTTAAGAAGAGAGATTTTTTTTCTTTAAAGTAGGTATTCGTAAGGTTCTTTGCGCGTATCTTGATCAAGTCTTGAGAAAATTCCATAATCGCCCCCCTAGATAAAATGTGGGGGGCTATCTCCCCTCCCCACAGTTCTAAGTGAATGATAATTCAAAATTAGCAGGGGGGACGATTCTGATAATATTTATTGAAATACACGTCTTCATTTGGTGGTATGAAAAAAACACCGGCGAAAATTTAAACGGCGACTTTTCCGATTTTTTCATATCGCTAGGGAACTTTCCGACGGCCACTTTCCGACGAAACTTTTTCCGACTTTTTTTCTCGATAAGCTCTTCGTTTTACATCTTCCTATATAAATTAGGTAGTTGGTTAATGATTAAAACACAAATAAATAGAAAAAAATGTTCATAGATGTTTTATAAACCTAAAAAGCATAAGGGAAAAAAGTCGGAAAAAGTTTCGTCGGAAAGGTGGCCGTCGGAAAGTTCCCTAGCGAAATGAAAAAATTGGAAAAGTCGCCGTTTGAACTTTCGCTGGTGTTTTTTCATACCACCCTTCATTTAGTAAAAAATTCAAACTAAAGGTTGAAATTCAAATGGAAAAAAAGGGAGTTCTTCTGGTCGGGCTATTTTTTTACACCGGGGTCATTAAGATATATATCCAAATTCTCAAACCTTCTGCATTCTTCTTCCATTCTTATATGAGAAATAACTAGTTCAACTAATTCTCAGAACTTTTCAGGGAGAACGTTTCATGGAACGTTATGCTCCTGTAGCGAAAGACTTGGCTTCCCGCGACGTCGTCTCTCGTTCGATGACCATCGAAATCATGGAAGGCCGTGGAGTTGGCCCGGACAGTGATCATATCTACCTGCAGCTGCACCATCTCCCAGCGGAACAACTCCAGCAGAGACTTCCTGGTAGGAACATTATCTATCAGCTTCCATCTCAACTTTTGATTTTGAGGTATCTCTGAAACTGCCATGATCTTCGCCGGCGTTGACGTCACGAAAGAACCGATTCCAGTCATTCCTACTGTTCACTACAACATGGGCGGTGTTCCAACCAATTACAAGGGACAGGTATGGCTTTACTGAGATAGCAATTATATTTCCATAAATTGAACCAAGAGAACCATTTCTAAGCTAGAAAGTTTTGAGAAGTGTAAACTTTGAAAATTTTTCGAATCGAGTCCAGTTGATGAAAAAAAGTTGAAACGGATGAAAAGCCAAAGTTTGAAAATGTATCTGTTGAAGTTTGAAACAGTAAGTTTACAAAATGCCGGGTTTTTCATGTTGAGCTTTTTCCCTTCTCCTTTCATTTCTCTTGAGTTTGGGTTTTATTCCTGAGCAAAAAAAAAACCAAAAAATGAACTCGAAACAATTTAAAACAAAAATTTTCCGTTTCCTCTTTCTCCTGACTTGAAACAGCAATGTGAAATTGAAATTTACGATCTAGAAAATGATTTTTCCAGGTCCTTCAATATACTCCAGAGAAGGGAGACCAAGTTGTTCCTGGACTTTACGCCGCTGGAGAGTGTGGAGCTCACTCTGTCCACGGAGCCAATCGTCTCGGTGCCAACTCCTTGCTCGACTTGGTCATCTTCGGCCGAGCTTGCGCTCTCACGTAAAAATCCTGTTTTGGATTAAAAAATAGGAATGGTTTTTAGCATCTTGGGTGACACCAAGCCTGGAGTTGGAGTTCCTGATTTGCCGAAAAACGCTGGCGAGGCTTCGATCGCCAACTTGGACAACCTTCTCAACAAGAAGGTACGTTAACACTTTTTTAAAAAAAGAATGAGTTTGATTTTTTTTTTTTCCAGGGAGACATCCCTACCCCAGAACTTCGTTTGAGCATGCAAAAGGCCATGCAGAAGCACGCCGCCGTCTTCCGTCGTGGAGATATTCTCAAGGTCCCTCTCAAAAAAATCTTCTTCTGTATCTTATTATCGTTTCAGGAAGGCGTGGAGATTCTCAGCAAGCTCTACAAAGACCAACAGCATTTGGATGTGGGAGACAAGAGCCTCGTGTGGAATTCGGATCTTGTTGAGACCCTCGAACTCCAGAACTTGCTGATCAACGCCACGCAGACTATTGTTGCAGCGGAAAACCGCAAAGTGGGTTAAAAATAACGGATATGAAACAACTTGGATTAATTGTTAAAGTTCGAAAAACACTTTCGGTATTTTTTTCATTTTAGAAAGAGACATAACGGTGTCATTGCTTCAAACCCAAAATTTTGATTTTTGCGGGAAAAAAGGTTTTTCAAATTTGCGTTTAGAGTCGAAATCTTTTAGAATCTATCCTTTGCTCGTCTTTCTTTTGACGCAGGAGGAATTTTTTTTTACTGTGCGGTTGGGAGTTTATTGAAAATTAGTCAGAAAACTTTTTGTTGTACCAGATAAAAAAATCCTGAAAGTCTCAATCTGCAGAACTTACTAGTTTTTAGAAATAAGGTTTTAAAGTCTCGAAATAGTCTATTTTCATGAGTTTTGAAATTTTTCTTCGACTTTGAATCGCCGTTTCCCAAAAAATAAAAATTTGGGCAGGTAGAGGCTTTTAGAATCTTCTTCTGGTACATCAAAGAACGTCCTCACCAATTTGCAGGAAAACGCCAACCGTAAAGTAAAATTAACACCCTTGTGACAGAAGAGAGAAAGAAAAATAGATCAGTGCAAAATATCAAAGAAATAGGAATCAGAATTTCATTTCAGGAATCCCGAGGAGCCCACGCTCGCGACGACTTCCCTGACCGCATCGATGAGTACGACTACAGCAAGCCACTGGACGGTCAGACCAAGAAGAAGTACGAAGATCACTGGCGCAAGCACACGATCATCAACTCGAACGTCGAGACCGGAGAAGTGACGCTGACCTACCGCCCAGTCATCGACACAACCCTCGACAAATCCGAAACCGACTGGGTCCCACCGAAAGTCCGCTCTTATTAAATTCCCACGATTCCTTCCTCTTTCCTTCTTGTTATTCACACGGGGATAGGGAGAGATTCTTGGCTCTATTTACTTCCAATTTTTTAACCTTTCAGTAGAAATCTCACTTTTTCATCATCAATGGCTTCCAAAATTGGGAGAAGTATCGCCAAACTGTTCTTTGGGCCGTCATAAGATCCTACCGCCTCTTATTCATAATTTGTTTGAAACAAAGTTTTTAAATTAATCTTTTTGTGTTGATTTTTGTGTACCCTTGATTCGATGTTCATTTTACGTAGATTTTTGAAAAAAGTAGTCTGTTTATTGTTTCAGCGATTTTGTTTTATTTGCAACTGGTCAATAAAAAAATAGGCTATCTAGAAATTATCTGCTGTTTCTTTTTGAGAAAAAGTGATTATTTTTTTAAAAATAATTGCATGAAAAAAATGCTTCAGTTTCATGGGTTTGATAGTTACAATCAAAACACCAAGGTTGTTTGAAAAATGCTAAAAAATCGAGAGCTTCTATAATCTGTATGATAATTTAAAAAAATTGCAAAAAGGGATGTCTTTTAAACAAAAATTTCATTTGGTCACAAATTTTTTGAAGTCTCACTTTTGTAATGAACTTTAAGGCAAAGAATTGTTTTTTAGGATGAAAAATAATTCAATATTCGCTCCCTGAAATCTTCAAATATGCAGGAGCAGTACCCAGTAATTTGCTGCTCCAGAATCCACAAAAATTTGAAACTGTTCAGAAACTTAAAAAAATTATTTTTTTCAGACGCGGAGAATTTTCGTTTAAATAAGCGACGTCTTCAAAAAAACTGAGCAAGCGTTCGGTGAATATACTAATTTATATCAAAAATTCTCTTCAGCAATTTCCCAATCATTCTGTTGTATGCCTGATAATCCTGAATGGATTACAAACCGCGGCAGAATCAGGCAGACTGTTGGAAAAATTATATGTCCACAAAGGCCGCAAAACAGCTCTCGAGAAGTCAATCGATATTAACGCGCACAGCCCTTGGGAGGTTCTTGTCAAGGTTATGGAGCTTCGCAGAGCCGTTAGACTTTTATATTTATATCCATTCTTTATTTATTTTCTGAAATTTCCTTAACAGAAGAAACTGTAATCACTGACAATCTGATAATTGTCTGTTTTATTTTTTTGAAAGAATTTCCATTAAAAACCTGTTGCTCGAATCCTATTCAGTTGTGGATACAGTTGTTGAATACTTAAATTTTTAAAAAACCATTATTTCATTAATTTTACACAAAATCCTCAAGATTTGAAAGAAAATGACCCTCTGTACGATTTTTGTTCAAATTTCACCAACTGTCGTAAAATTCGATTATTGTATCATTATTCTTCTTTATGAAGAGCTTAATCTATTAGAACTATCTCAAACACTTATATCGATATATCCGCTATCCCTGCAAGTTGTAAAAGGATCGCACGGTTTTTACCGCGCACACTTTGCTCACTTCACAGTTTTGGCGTTCGAATTTCAAATAAAAAAACTTCGATACTCGGAATTATTCTAATTTTTGCTTATCGGATTTTTTTCGAATTAAATTTTATTTTCTGTTACAAACACTTCAATTTTTTTCATACTTTAAACTTTTTTTGTGCTCACTTATTATTATTGAGGTTTACTATTTCTGCCAAAACCAGAATCAAAAAAATGAACATCAAAATTTTCCACTCAAATTTTTGCCAACGCAAAATGTTCACGATCATTTTGAAGTATATTAATATTTTTTTGAAGTTAGAAGTTGTTAAAATTTGTTTCAGTATAGATATTTCCAAAAAGCTTTTGCACACAAAATTTCCGAAACTGTTCTCCTTGTTTTTCGATGATTCAAGGGTTACGTCAAACTGTGCATTTATTATTGAAACACATAAAAATACTTATTTTTCTACTGTTTGAATTTCAGGACATTTAACATCAAAGAGCACCTGAGTCGCCTATAAGGTGACTTTTGCAGCCTCCCATGTCGTCGTTTCTTCACACTCCTCCTCCGGACTGTATGCATGAGGTTTGAATTGGACTACCATTCTAAACAAAAAAAAACTGATTAGTCTGAAAACACTTTGGATGAAAATCGAAACAAATTAATTTCAGGCAATACTTTTTCGCCACATGGAAACGGTCCCATCTTTCACAATACAGGAAAGAAAACGTTTTGATTCTCTAACCAGGTTTTTTATATTTTTTACCAACCTTCCGCAAAAAATATGAAAATTGCAGTATGAATTTTAACGAATTTTTCTTTAACGGAGAGCCTCGTCTCTGTCCTGAACGCCATATTTTATACAAGGTTTCATTCGCAGTTATTCCATCCTTCAACATTTATTTCTCAGGCCAACCGGCTTTTGGAACGATTTTTGGATGTTCTGATAGATATGAGGGCGAAGAAGAAGTCAGAAAGTATAAGAAGAAGAATGTTCCACGTTTTTGTTAAACTGGGACACATCACTTTGTTAGGTCAAGACTGGGCGAGAGGTTAGAGAAATTCAGAGTTTTGTAGAGGAGAAACATAAATTTCAGCTCTGTCCGCCTATCAAAGCGCTTACCGACTGATTTCCGACGAATTTTGGCGAGATCCTGCAAATTACTATGGCTTGGGCCTTGTGTACCTTCACTTCAAGGAATACAAGCTGTGGGTTAAATTTCAAACAGTTTCATGCTTGTTAGATTTTTTAATCAGTGATAAACCGCGAGAGCTTTTGTAGCCAAATTTTCACGTCTTGAAAATTCCTTAAAGCTTACCAATCAACTATGAAGCTGCGGTTAAGCTCATTTCGGCCAAAAATAAAGCTTTGAGTGCGATAAAAATCCTATAAACCTATCAAAAGAACGATTGAAAGTCAAGTAAAGTAAAATGAAAGGAATGAGCAGGCGATCGTTGCCAAGCAGCCATCTCTTGAAGTTGATTCCCAAGGGAGATGTCAACCTCAATTTTGCCTCGCATCCTGATAATTGTTAAAAAAACGTGATTGCAGAGCGGCCGATGCTTTTTCCCGTCTTCTCTACAGCTTCCCATCTTTTGATGGAGCCATTGAGACAAAAACGAGGCTTGCGGTATGTTACCAGAACATCAGCGACTTCGGCCGTGCTTCCAAGGTCTGAAGTTTTTTTGATTAAGGAACCAAGCTGAAAAAGAAAAAATAATTTTTTCCAAGCAAGATTCGTTACGATACAAGAGAGCCAAAATATTAACCCTCACAATGTAAAAATCCTCAAAATCTTGCCTAATCGGGATCCCAAAAAAAATTATCCTTTTCGCAAGCTGTAAAGTTATCTGTTTCAAAAGGATAAGTACATAGTGATACAGCCAAAAAATATGAATAGTTCCACAGTTTTAAGTTTGAAACGTAAATCTCAATTAGAACGAAATCGAAGTGTTTTTTTGAAAGCTTAAAAAAATAAAAAGAAATTATTTTTTTAGTACTATAACCAAGCGCTTGCCGACACTGGAGAAACTTCCTTCATGTCCAAGTCACACGTTCGGTTCAACATTGCGTTGAGCCAGGAGAATAATTCCGAGCTGGACAAAGCCGAAGCAGACTATAAGACTCTACTGGAAGATGTAAGTTGGGATTGAAAAACAAAAAATATACTTATAAATGGAAAAATAGAAAATCTAGTATTCTTTTTTTGAAGTGATTGGAAGATTGATTAGAAACTTAAAATTTAGTTACGCAATTCTCCCGCCTGCTCTACCGCTTCTGACACGGCTTCGGTTTCCGGCAACGGCTCCGATTCATTACCAGATAAACCGGAATTATACTCACCAGAACAGCTAAAAGTTATCGCTGCTGTCTACCGACAACTTGGTAGATTAATGAAACTTACCAGATAAAAAAAGTTAAAAAAATAGGCTGGATCGAATACCGCAGGAGCCATTGCGACGACCAGGAAACTCGGACGAAGCATCTACAGGAAGCGGAGAAGAACCTAACCTTGTCGCAAAACTACGAATCGTCATGTGGAACCACCTTCTATTACCTCGGCAGATGTTACGGCGAAATTGATGAGAGGGTGGGTATTATCATTTTTTATTCTTATCAGAGACGTGTTTTCCGAAGGAAATTCTCGTTCTGTTCAGGCGCACGACGCATTCGTGAACTACCGGCAGTCGATCGATAAAAGCGAAGCGAGCGCCGACACGTGGTGCAGCATCGGAGCGCTTTACCAGAAGCAGACGCAGCCTATGGATGCTCTTCAGGTTACTGTGCATTTGGAAAAGTTCATTGAATAATAGTTTTAATAACTTGTTGGAAATATCACACAGTTAATGTTTCGCTGTTCAGGTTACTGTAGATTTGAGAAAAAGGATCAAAAAAATAACCAAAAAAAGAATCAGAAAAATTATATAGAAAAATGCTTCCTGGTTACTACAGTACCGTCCAAAAATAGCTCAACTCTTAGGTTTTTGCCTTAATTCTCTTTAAAATTAGGAAATCTCAACCAAATATGAACTTCGGTGTATCAAAACGCCCAAAATTTTTTCAGACCAAAAATAATTTTCCTTGAAATTTCGAAAAAATCTGGTTTTTTGCAACATTAGGAAACCGGCGTAAAAATGAAACATAAACCAAACGAATTTTAAAAATATTGATATAAACGTCAAGAGGGGGAAGAATAGAAGAAGAAAAATCAAGGAGTAATAGGATATGAATCGATGACGTGATCAGGATTTTTTTCTGTAGTTTTCTACTTTTTGAAGTTTTCTTAGCCAGTGAAATTTGAAAAACATCATTAAATTGAAAATGGGAACAAGAACTTCAAGTTCAGATTGCTTTTTCATTTGAAGTTGATGTGAGAAATTGCTTTGTAGACAAAAAAATTCTAGTAATAACTACATAATTTTGACATGGCGAAAATCTGATTTGAAAAAAAGTCAATAAAACAGACCTTTGCTTCTTTTTTTGACTGATGACTAAGTATTGATATTGAAACAGGGTCTAAAAAATAATCATATTCTCAATTTCACAACAGTAACTAACTCGATGTATATTTACTAAGTTTAGGGGTTGAATATTTTTTTGATTAAGATGTTTAAAAAAATCAAAAAAATCGTTTTTTTAGACTAGATGAAAAAGGAAACTTTTTTTCATTTCACCTGTGGAAATATTGAAAAAATGGGATCAGAAGTCTAGCTTTCATTGGTTTACAAAGCTAAATGCTTAGCAATTTTAATTTTTCCTAGAATGAAAAGTTCGATTTCAGGCGTTCATATGCGCCGTCGAACTTGATCCAGAACATTCAGCCGCGTGGACAGATCTGGGAGAGTTGTACGAAAAGAACGCTCAATATTTCGACGCCCTTGAATGCTTCCGAAAAGCGGTCAAATACAATCCATGTGAGTTTTAGCTGCATCAATTTATCAATTGCAAAAATCTTTCGATACTGTTTTTCATCTCTTTCCCTTCGATTTCTGTTAGGAATAGATGACATTCGTTTTTTCGGTTCTCATCCTTCATGTCTGTGTCGCGTCCAGACATCAAAAGAGGAGCGCCGGCTGGTCACGGCGCGCGCAACTTTTCTTTGTTAGTGGCACCTGCCAAAGGCGCTGACCGCCCTTTCATCTTAAAGATTTCTCACGGGCAAAACGATTCGTTCACGCTCGGAATTTTCTTCCCTATTACATTCCTATAGTTTAATCTAATACTAATATTGCTTTTCGACGAATTTCAAAAAGTTTCTCGTTGTGACACTTCATTTCTATTCTGTTCGGATTCAATGATAAAAGGGAAATTATCATCTAATAAAAATACTAGCTGATTATTAAGAACGATTGCGCTGAAATATTTCGATCTGCAGACTAAATTTTCCTAACTTCTTTTTCTGAAAATGATATCTTTAGCAAGGAAGTTCATTACTTTGCGATTAGGAATTTCCTTGAAAGTTAGCCAGAACAATCCTCGTTGTATCAAATAAAGATCCCAGAAATCTCAACCTGAACAACTTCCTACTTAACGAGAAGTAAGGGCCTGAATTTCTAGAATAAGGAATTTGAGGGTTCTCTTTGACTTGTAGCTCATTTTTCAAAAACGAGGAAGTTTTACAGGTTGAAGCTTTCAGAATCGTTTTCTGGTAAATTAAGGAGCGTTCTGGCCAACTTTCAGGAACATCCCAAACGCCAAGTGAAATGATTTACCTTGTGAAAGTAGATTCCAACCTATTCTTCAAAATGACAAAAAGAAATATCTAAAACTTGGTGGCAAAAAAAGCAAAGTCTTCACTAAAATCTTAGTCCAAATCCAAGAAAACTTGAAAAAAGCGAAGAGAAAGATCGCAATGACTGAGACTATGCTTCACTGAGAGAAATCGAAAACAACAGGAAGATAGATTCGCCAGACGTACGGATTATCCACGGACAAAAAAACTTGTGATAGTGCGAGTTTCTGATTGGAAATCAAGAAAAAGTCAAAGTTATACCTTTGATTTAAATATAATAGATTCATCGTAAAAATATATCCAGACTCAAAAAAAGATTTTGTCTGATCGACAAATAGTGTAATTATTATCTGGGGTTAGAATAGAAGGAAAAAAACCTGCGAAATTCCTAGTCCCGCCAAAAAGAATCTAGTCCAAAACAAAACATAACCCTTCTTCAATTTTGAAAAGAAATGACCTAAAAACCAAGGAAACTGTAAATCTTCTAAAATTTGTCTAAACGTTTTTCGATGTGTTTTGAAAAAGTTATGTGAACTTATTTTATTCTCAAGTCAACTATACTTTGTATATCAGGGCCGGATTTCAGGCGTTATCGGGAAACTTTCGTGACGGAAACTCATTCACCGTTGTCTTGAAAAAACGTCCAATGAAAGCTTTCACATGCTATCAACTTTTTTTTAGCACTTCCTTGCAAACTTGGCGTAAATGGACTTCAGCTAATATTTCTTCCCCAAAAAAATGGACGATACATTTTTGATGGAACGTCACTTTTTTCTTGCATTAAACGTGAGAAAAAAACTATACGATTCGACAAAATCGAGTTTTATATTAAATCAAACAATGTCAAGGCTCCTTTTCTCATCGGTGCACGGAGCGACGGCCGGTGTGTAATGCACTTTTTGCCCTCGCGCTCGCGATGTTGTTTTGTGGTGTTCCCAGAAACGTTTTGTACTGTCCTGCACTCAGAAATAGATCTTTGTGTAATCTTTTCTTCCTTCATCCTTTATCCTTAGAACAAAGAAAAAACTGTTCCTTTTTGTTCAGGTCTGGGAAAACCAACGCTTTTTGACATTTTTGTACATCCTTTCTGTGTATGCATCGGTGTTCCGCTTTTCTAAGATTATAAAATTCATTTTTTGCTGAAATATTTTTGCAGTAACAAATCATCTTCGAACATTTGACCACTCAAAAAGCGAAATTTTGATCCTTTTCCCTTTCTAAAAAGTTTTTTTTCGCTCATCACTCCTTTATATCCGTCTCTAATTGATGATTTACACAGCTTGGCCGATTAACCCCATTAATTGCAGAGGAACAGGTGAACGTTCGAAATCGCACTTTCAAAGAGTTTTCCGTTTCAATGACCTTCCCACTTGTCTCAGCCTTGCTGGATGGCATATTTGGACAGGAGTATTTTTGGAAGATGTATTCCTTCAAATTAGAGAAAACTGGCCTCCCGAAAATTCATAATTTCTAGAAATATAGAGTCGAAAATCAAAGGAGGCTGTCAATGAGAATGATTGAACATTCTTGAAAGGATCCAATTCAAAATCCTAAAAACACAACATAAGTTCTTCAAAATTAGTACATAGGGAAAAGTCGGAAAGATGTGAAGGTTCCATAAAAATTGTCCCATTTATGGTGACAAAGGCTCCCCTTTTGTTGCCTTTATGCGCCATTTTCTTAGCTTTTATGCACCATGTTTGCTGTCTCTTCTTAAAATGAGAGCCTTAAAAATTCTAGAAAAAATGAAAGGTTCGATAAAGAAACTCATTTTGCTGCCTTTTCTGCGGCCTTTTGAGCCCTTATTAGCGTTTTCCAGTTTTCCGACTTTAGAAACAAATTCAGACTTTCCCTAATAAGGTTTTAGCCTGACTGAGAACATCAGCTCTTTTTCAAAATTTCCAACTCTTCGAGACTTTATTGAAGTCTCACACTCCTCACTAATACTCCTTTCAATCTGCACTCCCTTTTCTTTTTTCTCAAGACTCTTGGAAGAGAATCGTTCAGAAATAATAGTTAATTTGTGTCAGTCTACAACAAAACGGTTTGTTCGACTGGTTGTTGTAGTATTGCACGTACAACGCCCCTCTTCTCCCACAGGCCCCTTTTTGGTGCATTCGCCGTTTTTTCCCTTTTCCTTCTCCTTTTTTTTGTCTGGAGCGGCGCACGTTACGATTACAGTATCTTTGTGGGTTTTTCTTTAAAATGAGTCTCTAGAGAGTGTGAAGAGTTAGAAATTGAAAGAAAAACGGTTTCTTCTCTTTTTGGCTAATTGACAGTAACGCTTGAATGATAAATTTTTTTCCAGTTTCAAGGTCTCGAGAAATGCAGGGTGGCACCCCTTATCAGTCGTCGTTTTACAACCAGTTTCGCGTTTTTATCCGAGAAGAGAGGTTTCACTGATCTGTTGGTCAGCTCCTTTTCTGAAAAATGGATTCATTACCAAAACTTGTCATTCGCAGTATTCTCTCAGATTATTTTTAAAAATTGAAAACATCAATTTTTATCCCAAAATCTTGGAATGTGAATGGAACTAAAAAAAAATGTGCATCATTAAAAAAAAACGTATCTTTGGACCTTCACGGAGAGTGCGCCCTATCAGACGCCCCCTGCACCGCGGCCTTGCGTATCTGACCTCTGTTATTGTTTCTCGACCTCCGTTGTGGCAGTTGGTCGGCTCACCCTGGCAGAACGTTGTCGGTTCTTCCTTCTCTTCGTTCCGTCTTTTTTTCGAATTTATGTTGTTTTCTTTTCTTAGCCATGGTCGTATACTTCTTTTCGCTTGGGAATGATGCCTTCTCGTTTCTATAAATGTTTTCCGAACTTTCAATATTCCATTTTCCCGGGATTCAAAACAGTTTACCTCTTTCTACAAGTAACAAAAGAAGTATCATACTTTGCTCTCTTTTTCATAACTTTGCTATTTAATCTTTTCTCTTTCCTTCTAGCATAGTACAAGTCATTCACATAAAGCCAGCCAAACGGACTAAATTAAAGGATGCTCGGCTAATCCCCACCCGCCATTTGATTGCCAACAAGACCTTCTGTCTAATCCGAAAAAGGCATTCTTGTCGAAAAAAGGATTGAACCCCTAATTGGCAGTGTGGGAGGCTGAAGCCAGACGCCGTGCCAGTGGAAGGCCGAGGCCAAAAGGCCAGCGGCTGGTCATCTGTAGGTCGTGGTCTCTGCGGTCGCAGCGTCTTGCCAGGCGGTCTCTGATCTCTCTGACTTCTCTCACGCCCTCCTACTACCCACGCTCTCTGCTCGGTTTGGCTCCTTCGGCCTCGTACAACGCTTTTCTCTCGCTTCTACGGCCTCTCACGTACGCAACGATCAATTTTCCTTCCTTTACCAACGGCGTCGACCACAGCGGCTATTTTCACTGTTTTTGATACGGTTTTTGTTGTTAGTGTGTTGTCCACTTATTGCACTAGTTACAAGTTTTCCTCCCTTTTTCTCAGAGCAAACTCTCATTATTGACTCTGACTCACCGATAATCTTTTGCATCATGGCATAACAATACGTCCAGCATTAAGCTTCATTTACTACTCTGCAGATAAGAAGTTGTTTGCTCTCCAATAAATAGTTAATGTGATAAGTCTGATGTCATTCTTTGAATTTTTCCTGATCAAATCTCGGCTTGGCAGTGTACTCGTTAAGGTTTTCATTTTGACAAAAATTTTTGAAAGCTTCAAACTAATTTTTCCGGTCTAATATTGTTCTATGTAGATAACTTAAATTCATCAAACTAATTTTCATATTTTTTTCTTGGATTAGTGTTGACAGTTGACATATTTTCTAACTTTTTTCCAGAAATAATTTTCTTCTCCCAACTTCAATCTTATTGCTAGTACAAACTATATCTTTATCCGCGTTGACTCTCCAATCGTCGGATCATATTTACATCAACAATCATTAACTATCAAATTTACTGTTGCGGCAAAGTTCTTGGCCTCGAAAATGCAAATTTTGCCTGAAAAGTGTAATAAACCCGTTTTCGCCTTATTCAGTTCTTACTCGAAAATAGGTTTACTAATGAGAAAATTTTTCAGGTGCTCCAGAGCCGTTGAAAGCACGGATAGTCGTGCTAGAAAAAGAGCTCAACTTGCCAGCGCAGGTGCCACAACGACCACAAGGCACGCAAGCACCGAAGTCTGTTTTCCTCTTTTCGTTTTTTTGCAGTCAAGTGTAAGATCATTAGTGGCCTGCTTGAGATTGATAACACTGGGAAATGTCGGCGCATCCCATCAGATTGCTCTCATTTATTTTTAGCAGCGTCTATCCGATTTTACAGCATCCAGCTTAATTTGAATAAGCTTAGAATCTGCATTTTTGTTGCGGCACGGCTCCACAACCAGTCGTTTCAAACTCCTTTTTGATGCAGCGAATCATCAACCTCACCCATGGAGCTAGTCACATTTAACAGAGAGATGTTCAGAACTGCCAATTAGAAAAGGCTTATTTCCCACCTCTGCAAGTCTGAACCAAGGGATCGAAGTAGATTGAAAAGTTTTCAAGTAAAAAGAACGAACAGACGCTCTGGACTCTTACAAAAAACCTTTTCGTACCACAAACACGTGGGAGTTCATTGAAAGCAACAGACGTCTCGCGGTTTGCCGCCGACGTTTGCCCACTTCCTATACTCTTTTTAAACACACATGAGATCTTGGCAAATAAAAAAATATTTCATTTTTCGAAAACCCTCTTAACTTCACAGTTCCGTCCCATCCAATGAATTGGGAGCGAAAACTTCGAGAAATCACAAGAGTTTGTAAGGGGCGTTTCCAATATTTTCCCACATTTCATTTAGACTCTTTCATGATAAGATAAGAAAGACACGTTTCCGTTTTTTTCTCACTCGCCAGGAGAATAAAATCGCTGAAATGTGTAGATAAGAGCTGCCTTTCCAGGCATCGTCCAATTATTGTGGGTCTGGGTTAAATAAATAGAGTGGCCACGTTGATTGGGGCGCTGTTATCATTGATAAGGCCCTGTGATAGTAAGGCACCTTGAGAACTACCTACTATTTCCCTTCATGATTTGATGCTTGTTCTCTGGAATTTGTTGCTTTTCAGACCTCTTCCATCGCTGAAAGACGCTTGGACGCAGCCAATCCCATCGGAGCTGCGCGGACGACAGGAAGAGTTTTATAGGGTTCGTAGTTCCATTCGTACCCGGAAACTAGAAGAAAAAAGTCGGGATGGGTTCGAATACAAAACTTTGTTGCCACAAAGAGAAGAATGTTGTCTGGGTCTCCCAGATGGTTCAACTGAAGACTTTCAATTCATCTTATCAAAACCGCTTTATCATTTGGACTGTGACAACCAAATGACCGCGTTTTTTTCTGCTTGAGGTCGCTTCTTTGCGACTTTCAGTTTTTATTTGATAAGCTACGTGTATATAAGCGTTTTTTTAATCTCTTCAGCAGCTTAGATTGAGATCTCTGTTGTCTTTTTTTTGGTCCTTTTTCCTTTTAAAGAAGTTCTCATTTCGCTAAGTGCAGATTAGAAAGTGCGAATGTAAGCCATATAAAAAAAATTCTCACGCAAGAGGCGGGCATTCCATCCAATCTCTTGCTTCATCAGGGGCAGCAGGTGTTTTTTCTTTTCGGAAATCTTTTGCTTTTCCTCTAGGAAATGTTCATTTTGCAGAAAGTCTCGTTTTCTTCTTGGTTTATATTATTTTAAACTCAAGTTTTTTCAAATGCACACAGCCTTGAAAACAAGAAAAACTTCTAAAAGTCTGCAAGCCAAGTGGGATACCTTTTGCTCTCAAAATAAAAAATCTAGCATTCTCATCTACACCTTTGAAAAAAAACTTTTCTATTATTTTTTTTTGTTTTTTTGATCTCCTCATCTCGGGCCAAACTAAAACCAATGGAATATCCTTGTTTATCATAAAATCCAGCGCAAACATTTCTCAGCCCACGCCTTTCTTATCACACCTTCCCAGCTTAAAGAAAAGATATGCCTGCAAAAGGAAAACATGAACTCCCCCACTTTCACAGGAAATCATTAGAGCTTAGTGCGGAGGCAGCATAATCAGTGTGCTTGATAATGATTCGAGTGAGAACTTGTGATTCACAGAAGTTGGAGCTGCGAGAAAAGCGAACCGACGATTGGGAATAATTATATGAACTTCATTTTCGGCTTTTTCCCATGAACTTTAGCTCTTTGCACGTCAGCCCGCTTGCTCTTTTAGTACAACATGAGTCAGGCTTTCTCAAAACAATTTCCTTCTTTGCAGGTAAAAGAACAGCGTTATCGTGACGGTAGCTTACTTTGGAGGATGGGCGATCTCAGTGTTCCGCAAGGCGAGCAGGTAATAAAAAAAAAATTAAGGGGTCGCTCAAAAGGTGTTTGCCTGATAAATGCGTACCTAGTGAAAAAAAAACAAAAAAAAAGTACATTGGAGATTGATTGAACAAGTTGTCAGGAGGTAACTAAAGATACGATAAAAGGACCATCTCAGGAATTCTAGAGTGTTCACTTTAGGGGTTAGGGTGAAAGCAACCTTTTTAGGAGCCGAAAAAGGGGTCCCTTCAGTGGTACAATTTTTCATCCCCTGGAAATGCTTAGAGATCATAAAAATTATTGACTAGCATGACCCCTATAGGGATCACTTCTGTGAGCTTTAATGGTCCCTATAGGGGTTTGTGGAGCGGTCCCTAAAGTGGATCCTTCAGGGGCCGCTATAGGGACGAGTCTGGAGTTTACACTAGCATCTTTTCCAGATAAACTTTTCATTTTATTCTGAAAGGCTTAAAATAAGTTTGGTAATTCAGTCTGTAGTCCCCCGCTATTAAGACGTCTCCAAATTCCAATTTTTTAGCGTCTCATTTACTCGCTGAACGACATACAAGTCCAAATAATGCAGCTGCTCTACATGAACAGAGATCGAATCAACGAAACGGAGAAGGGCGTCCTTGAAGAACTAGAGATCCAATACCGACTAGCTGAGGTATTTTATTGATAAATGAGTGGCGCAAAAGTGAAAAAAAATTCAGCGTCATGTTGATGAACGACTGATCGCGCATCTGACGTCATCTTTGCCGTCGTTTTCTGAAGGTGACGTCATTTCGCTCCGTGAGACAGGTCACCTTCTCATGGCATACGAGAATGGAGAAAGTAATATTTTTAGTGTTGAAAGTAGTCACGAACCGTTTTTTTCAGCTTATCATCGTCAGAAGTTGGCACGACACACTGAGCTGCCAACAACATTCAGGTAATTGCATGGTGCTGAGTTGGATCTAATCAGAATTCTTCAGTCTGCTCTCGCGTGTGCTGATCTCTCCAGATGCGACAGCTAAGGAAATTCTCGACATGGCGTCGATTCGCGCAGAGAAGCCAAGAGACTTCTATCCTATCTTCGACGAGGATGTACCGGCTCCAATGCCTCCTGAGCGACCGAAGCCGGAGTATAACTTTGTTAGTCAAGATATTCTCATTCGATTCAATCTGCTGCTTTCTTCCAGTTCACTACGGACCGTAATCATTTGCTTCGTCCGACTCCTCTTTTGATCGTGGAGTCGCGCAAGGACGCTCAGGCTATTGAGCTTCAGAGGTGAAAATTTCGGTCTGAACAACTATCAAGGTGAAACTTTTAGATACTGCGAAGGAGCTCACATCGCATTGATTCGCGGGCTCACCGGTGTGCTTCGAATGGACTTGTCGCTTTTCTCCACTAAGACTTTGCTCGAAGTTGCTGCTGCGGATGAGATGGAGGTGCGATAGGATTCCCATTACTACTCGAATTCTTCTTCGATATAAATACTTGGATGTTATAGGTCCGCACTCAATACCGTATGCCAACAGAAGTTAACGTCGATCATCTTGGAACGGCCACTTGGGAGTGCTACAGTACTCGCAAGTTCACCTCTGTAACCAAGTATGCTCAGTATCAAGCTGAGACGTTCAAGCACTCACTGAAAGGTTCATTACAAACTGAGACTAGTAGAAAAATTTGTTGGTTTTCAGAAGAAGCTGAAAAGCTGCGTCAGACAGGAACAAAGTACTCGCAGCAGGCGGAAAGTGCGCAAGTTGGCAAGCGCAGAAAAGGTATCGACCCATTTTATGTTCAGAACTCATAATCTGTTTTAGGACCATCGGCAAGTTCGGCAGTAGCACTTGGTGAAGATTGTCCGCTGCCATTGAAGACCATCAAATTCGGCACAAACGTAGACCTTTCGGATGACAACAAGTGGCGCCTCCAGCTTCAGGTTGAGAGAAAAGCATATAAATGAATAGTTTGGGAAATTTCAGGAGCTCTCCAAAATGCCACCGTTCTGCCGATTGATTGCGGGATGCAATATGTTGTCTCATCTCGGCCATACCGTACTTGGCATGAACACGGTCCAGCTGTACATGAAAGTAGACAAAATTGCCTAAAATCAAGTTCAAATTTGGACTTCCAGGTTCCTGGCTCTCGCACTCCAGCTCACATGGAGAACAACTGCTTCGCGTCGGTCAACATCAATATTGGTCCTGGGGACTGCGAATGGTTCGGATGTCCTCATGAGTACTGGGGTGTCATCAACGAGATGTGCAACAGGTAGAGCATCTGTAGGAAAATCGTAATGTTTCATTTCATTTTTTATAGACGAGGAATCGATTTCTTGCGAGGCTCGTATTGGCCAAACTATGAAGATCTTTTGGCAGAGAACATTCCTGTTTATCGGTAAACTTTTATTAGAGTTTCTTAATAGATCAAAAAACTGCAGTTTCACTCAAAAAGCTGGTGACCTTGTCTGGGTTGGCGGCGGCTGCATCCATTGGGTCCAGGCAACCGGATGGTGTAACAACATCGCCTGGAACGTCGGACCGATGACTTGCTCTCAGCTGAGCATGTCGACTTATTCGTACGAATGGAACAAGCTTCAGGTAAAAATTTGTCCCGAAAATTTCTCAGTGTTTTATCTCGACTTCCAGGGCTACAAGTCGTTGGTTCCTATGCAGCATCTCGCTTGGCAGCTGGCCAAAAACATCCACTTCCACAACCAGACTATGTACACAACTGTACGATACCTTTTGATCCGCTCTCTCGCTTTCTGTAAGATGGTCGCTGACTTTGCTGTGTCGAAGGGCAAGGTAACAGTTTTTCGGAATATTTCTTGCTAATACTCAGAATTTTCAGTCGCTGAAGCCCCAGTCGCGAACCAAAGGAGAAGTGACTCATTATTGCACTCTTTGTGAGGTAAGACATTATGAAAACTTATTAGAGAATGAAAATAATTAATAAAACACTTGATCAAGGATTATTTTTCAGATCGAAGTTTTCAACATTCTCTTCGTCAAGGAAGTGAACGGCAAGTTCCCAGTCTACTGTGTGTACTGCTCGAAGAGGTTTTTAAACCAGCTTTTCCATGCTACAACCAACTTTTTTTCAGAAGCGGCTTGGACCAGTACATCGTCCTGCAACAGATCACCTTCAGCGAACTCGCCGGAATCTACGACAACATGGTTCTGAACCTGAACCCCAAGGGCCCCGTCGCCTCGTCTCCGGCTTCTACGGAAAACAGCACGTCGACATCAACTGCTTCCATCGGCATGTCCTCCTAGTAAGATTTCTTGTAGTAAAACTAAGAGTTTTGAGAGTTTTGTGTGAAGCCAGACTCTCTAACTTTCCCTGTTTCAGAGCTGCCTGACATCGCCTAGAAGACGTCGCTGTTCTTCTTGTTTTCTGGTTTTCCTTCGTCCACCTTCATTACCCGCAATCTGTCTTTGGAAATTTTGAAACCACTGCCTTTTTAGGAAACTCTGTTTCTTGAATAATTTATTATTTCATTTCCCAATGTCCATTGAAGCGAAGCTTTTGCTCTGGTTGAAAGTTTGTAAATACGTCAAACGTTCATTAATAATAAATCATCTTTAACTTATTCTCTCTTTTTATCTATCACCTCTTATTTTTTATTATTTTGAACCGTCGCCTACCTTCTTGGTTAGCATAATTGTTGTTTATTCCTTCTTTATAAATTTACGCAAGCTACCTTTCTTCCTGAAACTTTCACTGTTGTTAAACCTCACTCTACCCATTTCGTGGAGCCTTTCTTTCTTATCTCCTTTCAATCTCTTGGAATCGTTTCCGCTGGTTTTTCAATTGTTTGCTCGTTTTATCTGTCTCGTATCAAGTTTTTTTAAACAGTCTACCAAAAAAAAAAGTTCCTCTTTTATTTTAAGTTCCAATTCCAAAATGTCCGTCTCGTTACGGGTGTGTAACTCTCGTAATTGGATGATCTCTCCTTAAAAGTTGGAACGCACAAAAACCATTTCTCCTTCGTCTGTCGAGACGCCATCGTTTTAGAACTTGATAATATTTTACTATTGAGGACCTTGCCTCCTAACTTCTGTCCAATTTATATTCCTTTGCATTTTGAACGTTTTACCACCTCTACTTTGCTGTTTGTTATTCTTGGAACACTGAATAAATATCTTCTTTTCCTGTTTTTTGTTCTTGTGCCGTACAATAGGAAGTTGTTTGTTAAGAGATTAATTCATAATTGGGAAAAATTATCTATGAAGAAGATTTTCTCAAAAAACAGCCTCGGCCTCAATGACGCGAAACGACTCTGTGCTCAATTTTTAGTTCAGTTTAAAAAAATTATTTATGAATTTGATCTCTTTCTATTCTTCAATTGATGAAAAAAACCCAACCTTTTTTTGAATTTGAAGTTATAGAAAAAAACAGATTTCTCCCATAAAGTTTTGTGAAATGAGAAAAAGAGACATGATACTTTTTCAAAAAAATAAGAAAAAAACTTGAGGTAAAAAAAGTATGCAAAGTCTAATTTTCGGTTTCTTGTGATTTTCAAAAATAAAGAAGACAAAAGAAAAATGGAGATTTTTATCTTATTCTTTCAGTATTAAATAAAATAATGAAGGTAATTATCAGAAAATGAAAAATATTCTATCAAAAAAGTTGGAAAAGATTAAAAAACTCTGAGGGAAGGTACTAAAATGTAAATTTATGGAAAACGCTTTGCCTCGCGACGAATCTTTTCAGATTCATAGAACTCGCTGAACGAAAACTTTTCTGAACAGAAAAAAAAAACTGGAAAATGTATAAAAATTATCAAGTGCAGCACATGCTCCCCACTTTCATAGGGAAATAGTATCACAAAAAGATTCGACGGTCTTATCTGTAGATAAGAATTATTGCTGTACTCTTTCCGCTCAAATGAGAATCTACTAATTTGATACATTTTCATGTTTTCTGATTATTATTTTTTTGCTAGACAGGCAATAATAAAGAAGTCATATCCGTTTAAAAACTTGAAAATATTCATAAAAATTCGAAATTGGAGAAAAAAACCTAAATTAGCATTTTTAATCCAAAAAAATTTCAATTTTGTTTGAAAAATATTCTAAAAAAATCTTATTGTAAGCGAGATATCAAAGAATCGTTCTGTATTACAGTATTTTTTCCACTAGTGAGCTCTTTTCCTTTGCTTGATCCGCAGCCACGCGGGCGTCCGAAAACATGCGTCCTTTTTTTGCCGTTTGGAGTTTTTACGAGTTTTTTTTTTAAAAGCCTCGCAGTTTTTTTCAGTGTCTTTCATTATTAATTTTTTAATTTGTTACTAAAGAAACCTAATGATTTAAAAATTGTTGAATGATAACTATTTTTGCGATCGCCTCGAACCTTGACATTTTCCTCGCGTCCTTTTGTCTAAATTTCTTTGAAACTTGTTTTTTTTTGTTTTTGTGCAAAAACGTTTTCATTTCAGGGTAATGAGGGGAGAATCGGTTCTTCCGTTGTATTCCCGTCAGAATGGATCAAGATCGAAGTTTTGGCTCAATTATCGTCGTCTATTTAATGTTGGTTGTTGTTCTTTTTTTCACATTTTTTTAAATGGCTCAAGTCGGAGAAAAAAATTAACAAATTTTTTTAACGAGAGCGGTGGTTTTCTGAAATTGGCCAGAACGCTCCTTGATGTATTAGAAAAATATTCTAGAAGTCTCAACCTGCACAATTTTCTCGTTTTTAAAAAAAGGCGCCTCAAAGCAAGAACCACGAAACTCATAAATGGACTATTTATAGACTTTAGGCTTTTATTTCTCAAAAACTAGGAAGTTTTGCAGTTTGAGACTTTCAGGATCTTCATTTAAGACAACAATAATTTTTTTCTGATCAATTTTTCAGAATATTCCCAACCGGAAAGTAAAAAAAGACCTTCCCTTTAAGACCCTGATAGATTCAGAAAAATTTTTTATTTTCTTTATAAAACAAAGTAGAAAGAGTCGAGAAAACTATATGGGACATCTGCCGTTCATCGGATCCATCGCAATGACCTCGATCCGCGTTCTCTAACTATGCGGAAGGTGCTGCTGTTATAAAACATCTTCCGTTCGTTGTAAAGTCTTGCAGTAAAAAAGAACAGCGCGACCTGTTGTTATTACAGCACGAATCATTCTCGTCGATCTTTACGATGACCAGATTTCAGTATTACCGGTCACGCAGCAAAATGACTCGTTTGCTTTTTTGGCTCATGTTACTTTCTTCAATTTACCTGGTTTCTCTCTTACTGCACAAACAACAAATTTCGGTGGATGTGGACGAGAGAAAAAGTGAGTTTTTCCCTTCAACTTTCAAATTTTGTTTTTTTAATGGATGAATTATATCTGGAAATTTTTTTCAAAGATGTGATTCGAATAATGAAAATTACTTACGAGGAAAGTTTTTTTATCAAAAAAATTCAACCTGGGGGGCTGAAAAAAACGACCGCTAGTTAGTTTTGTAAGTACCAGTTGAGCCTCCCTTGCATTTTTTTTTCTTACAAAAAAAGAAGTTACTAGAGTGAAAATGAATTTTCGCTGAAAAACCGATAAATTTAGCCGTAAAATGAGATCTCTTAGCAATCAAACTTCCAATCAAAAAAAGTCAGGTGCCTAGTTTTTGAAAAAATCATTGTATATAATTCCAAAAACCTTCTATGCAATATTCACATCTTCCAGGTGACACAAGCAAAAATAGACGATGTCCAGATTGATGAAGCAGTTGTGGAATCTAAAATCGTTCAATCATCAGCTCTTATATTTGAAGGTAAGTTGGGATAATTTTCTTTAATCCGATGGATTCAAGTGGAACCATAAATAGTTATATTTAACGTGAGATATGTAGAAATTTTCAATGCAAATCTTCTTTTTTTCCGAAACTTTGAGAATAGAAAGTTCCATATGTTTAACATACATATTCTACATATCCTATATTTTATATAACATATTCTGATCAGGACCGAAAAACGAGCGCCAACGAGCCGTAGTGAAAGCCTTCCAACACGCCTGGAGTGGTTACAAACTGTACGCTTGGGGACACGACCAGCTCAAACCCGTTTCAAAGGTACTAATTTACCTGAAAAAATGAGATTTGTGTTTTTTTTTTCAAAATATATTTTCCAGAGCTATTCGGATTGGTTCGACACTGGCCTCACAATCGTTGACTCGATTGACACGGCCATCATCATGGGACTCGAGAAAGGTGAAATTTTTTTTCAGTTTTTGAAGAACCTCATTCTTTCAGAAGTTGCCGAAGGAACCGAATGGATCCGCGACAAACTTTCTTTCGAACACGATCGTTTTGTGAATTTGTTTGAAGTAACGATCCGCGTTCTCGGAGGTCTTCTAACATCGTTTCATCTGACTGGAGATAAAGTTTTTTTTTACTTCTTGCTAAAAATATTTCTTTTGGCTCTCAGCAAATTGAGAATTTGGCTAAAAAAGACTCTTGCTGAGAAACTGAGTAAAACACTAATATTTCAATGAACAAAAAGTTTTCGTAATATTTTGAACAAGAAGAAAAATAGGACATATTTCAGTACAAAGATTCTTAAAGATTGTCTTCCCCCCCAGTAAATATTTTTGACGAAACTTCGCTGGAGTGTGATTTAGGTCCTCCTGATTGCAGAACAGAAAAAAATTTCTCGCACTAGATCTTTCTTCGAGTCAAGAGGCTTTGAAAGCTTGAAATAGCGCTTTTTTCAAAATTTGCATACTTTGCATACTTTGAAGCTTAATAACTCAAAATCAGATCTATTGCGAATGGTTTTTTTTTTGCAATCAGAGAGGAGAGGCGTAAAAAAAGTTCCCTAGTTAATTATAACTTCTCTTCATTCTCAGATGTTTGCGGAAAAAAAGCGAAAAGACCTTGGTGAACGTCTTCTACCCGCTTTCACGCATTCAAAGTCAAAAGTTCCTTTGAGTGATGTCAACTTGAAAAGAAGGTTTTCTCTTCAATTTTTGCTTTATACATCATAAAAACTATTACAGAACTGCGAAACCGCCTCAATGGAGCTCAGAATCTTCTCTTTCGGAAATAACGACGCTTCAACTTGAGTTCCGTGATTTGTCCAGAATCACTGGCAACAAAACATTTGAGGTCGTTTTGTGATTGAAAAAGTATTATCAAGGCTTGAAGTTGCAGAGAATAGCTTTTGAAGTTTCTGAACACGTTCATAAACTCGGATGTGAAGATCACAATGGCCTCTGCGGAATGTACCTCGATTCAGGATCTGGAAAGTTCAGGCGTGAGTAATTCTAAAAATATCGAAAGTTCATTTTGAGCATTTTTAAATGAATAAATTTTTTCTAACCTAGCTCTCACGAAAAAATCATCAAGCATTTTCAGCTTCTACAACCATCACTTTCGGAGCAAGAGCCGATAGTTATTACGAGTATTTGTTGAAGCAATGGGTTCAAACGGGAAAGAAAATTTACTGGTTAGTTTTTCTATTTTGTTTAGCCAAATAAACAAAGTGGAAAAAGGCTCCAAAAAAATGTTCCTTTTAAGGTGACAAAGGCTCCTTTTTTGGTGCCTTTTTGCGCCATTTCATCGGCCCTTTTGCACCATTTTTGCTGCCTCTCCCTTCTTTCACTATTCCTTGAGTCATTGAAGTTCCAGAAAAGTAGAAGGGTCAAGAAAGGGACTTTTTTTGCTGCCTTTCTGCGGCCTTTTTTGAGCCTCTCCCTTTTAGCGGTCACTATCCACCACTCCGACTTTACCCAAAAAACTTTTTGTTTCAATTTATTGCAATTCAGGTTGAAAGAAGATTATGCAAACGCAATGAAAGCAATGGAGGAGAAATTGTGGCGACACTCGGAGCCCAAAAGTCTTTGGTTTGTAGGAGAGTTGATCAACGGACAGACTTATTCACCAAAAATGGTAATTTAGCCATGATTTTCGGAACATTTTTGCTTTTCAGGACCATTTGGTCTGTTTCCTAGCCGGTACTCTTGCTCTTGGGAAAATCAATGGGTTTCCAGATTCTCATCTGGACATGGCTGAGGTCTTCGACATTGTTTCGTTTAATATTTATCATTTTTTTTTTTCAGAAATTGGCTGAAACCTGTCAAAATATGTATATAAATCCAAGCGGGCTCGGTCCAGAAATAGCTCACTTCAACATGCTTCCGGGTAGCAAAGATGATTTGTACGTCAAGGTGGGATTTTTTCGTGGTTTTCATGGAGTTTTACTTTTTTTTCAGCCTCTGGATGCTCACTGCTTGTTGAGGCCTGAAGCTATTGAAGCCTGGTTTTACCTATACCGAATTACAGGTATTTTTTTGACAAATTTTTTCTGTAAAGAGATAAATTTCAACTAACACCAAAAAATTACTTGGTGCTCAATAAATTTAAAAAAATGCTTTTTTTGAGCTCCTCCAAATGACTTTTGAAAAAATTGCACGAAAAATTTGTCATCATTTTATTTATCGCCCAGCGTAAACTGTTTCTGGTCGGGCACAGAGGTATTGGAAGGTTTATTCAGGCTAAGGAACTATGCATCATGAAACAGTAAAACAATGTTGTCGTGAAATAATTAGTAGATGCCGTCCTTTTTAACTTTTTCAAATTTGCTCAAGTAGAGCCGTATCTTTCAAGCTTTTGTCTCATGTGACCAGAAAAAAAAAATTAAAAAAAGACCTTTATGTTTTTCTGCAAGATTGTACTCGGTTCTTCCAGTTCAAGCTACACAATTTTTTTAGAAGTTCTAAACACTCATGAGAGACATAAAAGCTGATTCTAGGTGACAAGAAGTATCAAGAATGGGGCTGGTCAGCATTCAAAGCCATCGAACAACACGCCAGAATAGCTACTGGCGGTTATTCCTCAGTGAATAATGTGAAGAGACTTCCGGTAACCTACAGGTTTTCCAGAAAATATTCATTATATTCGAAAAATTATATATTTTTCAGGGACCTCATGGAATCATTTTACCTTGCTGAGACGTTGAAATACTTATATTTGTTGTTTGAAGATGATCAGAAGACGTTACCTTTCGACCAATGGGTTTTCAATACGGAAGCTCATCCTTTACCCATTTATGATCATTAAAATACCGACCTTTATTGGTTTTCTAGGTTTTGAAGTTTTATTCTTATTTTTTCTCGTTGGATCAACGATTAATCATATCAAACTTCATATGAGAGAAATCAACGTTTTTTGACTAGGGGAAGGTTTCGTCTGGAATTTCCGAAGATCTTTGAAAATTTGCTTTGATAATAATTGATGAAGATTCTGAAAAGCTCATCCTGACCAACTTCAAGTTTTTGAAACTGAATATTCAAAGGATAGGTCCTTATAAAGTAGCGTCAGAAAAAATACGAAACGCAACTTTCTTGTAAGGAACTCAATCTTCCTGAACGTTTCGGAAGCTGCGTTTTTTTTGTGTGAACTGAAATTTCATCAGAGAGTCAAAAATAACGGTCATCATAACTCTAGAAAGCTTCAGGAAGAATTTCTTACAAGAGATTTGTGACCGAAGTTCTATTTTTGTATCTTTTCTGACGGTACTGTAGATGTCGAAAAGTTTGGGTGTTTTTTTTTTTTCGAAGCTAGTGAAGTTGCTCAATAAAAGTGTTGAGCAAACTTAGATTTTCAGGATATCGATTTAATGAAACAAAAATTTTTCCAAGGACCTCTTAGAAAATTCAGATCCGAGTAGAATAATCCCCCCTGTAGAACAACTTTTGTGATTTGCTTTTTAAACGGTTTGATTGTAAATAACTTTTCTTGTTGTCAGTTGCAACTTTTCGTGGGTATTAAATCTTGTCTTCATCAACATACGAAACATTGTTGGGTTCCCTCATCGACTAGTCATTTTCTATTGCTTGCTCCTGAAATCAAATGTATTCGATTGTTGTGAAATTTATTTATATTCTATGCATTCCTTTGCCAGTATAATAAACGGTGTATTAATAAATAAGGTATGATAATAAGCAGGGAGCTATTTGAGTTGTTGGAATGCGCAGCGAATTGAGCGTTTTCAAGGCACTCGGGACGACTCCCGGCGGCAGTCTGATTACACGGGCATACAGTAGAAAGGGCTACTGTTTGTTCAGTAGTGGATGGAGCCAGGTTTTCTTTTTGGACAACCGTTGTGGCTTTCGTAGTAGTCGGATAGCTTTTTGTCGGGATCGCAGGAAAATCTTCTTTGGTTGGCTTCTCCCGAGTGCGAGGGCGATGCCACATATTACATCTGAAAGTTCAGATTAAGTGCGATCAAGAAAAATATGATGATAGTTTTTATCCAAATTACAAAAACGATAATGTTACAAAAAAATGTACTTAGGAAATTTATAGTGGTCCCTTTAGGGGTAAGGGATGAAAAAAGGCCTCCAAAGGTGACCGGGAAAGTGGTTCCTTTAGGGGTAAAATTAAAGTGATCCCAAAAGGGGTTTGGAGTCTGGCCCCTCATCCTTGTAAGCTCAAGTGGACTCTAAAGGGATCTCTCAATTCTATTAAAAAAAGGTTATTTGTTTAATTTTTCGCATGGAAATGCTTCTTCGCACAGAGTTAATAAAAATTATAGACCAGAATCTCCCCTATAGGGGCCCTTTTTTCACGCATTAGTGGCCTCTTTAGGGGTTGGTGAAGTTTTTCCTTAAGGAAACCCTCCAAGGGCCCTAAGGTTGCCCCTATGGGGACCATTTTGAAGTTCCTAAGCCTGTTATTCCGAAATTTTTCCACCGTGTAGGCTTCTGGTCTTGTAGCTTTGACCTACAGTAAGCCCGACTTGTCTGTTTGAAGTTTTCGATAACTTTTTTGAAAACGGATCATAACTTTCAAAAAACTCAAAAAAAAGAACATAAGCCTATATACCGATATAAAAACTGACTTGTGTGGGATTCGGACTTTGTTGGCCGAAAATCGCATTATCTTAACAAATGAAGCTTCTACCGCTGTATCGATTTCGGATTTTATCTGAAATGGAATTCAAGTTTTTTCATCTTTTCTGAAACTTACCCTCAATGCATTTTCAGAGCACTGCGGTACATATCGACTCACACAGTTTCGATATTTTTCCACGGATCTGCAAATGGATAATGTATAAATAAACGGAAAATATGAAAACAAACTTGCAAAATTGTGTAATTGAATAAGTGACAGGATGAAAACGTTGGCAATTTTGTGAGACGTACTGTTGGTTTTCCCGTTCGCAGTTGAAATATTCGTCGGTGTCTGAAGAAATTGATTAGTTTGTAAAATATCCTGTAGGTCAGTTCAAGTGAGATATTGAGATTTTTGCAGTTTAAGAAAAAAATTTGAAAAAAAGGCTTGTTCTTAAATTTCAAATAAATTTGTCGAAATTCTCTCGACATTTTGTGACACATCTTCACTCTTTTGGGGTAGCTTTCCTTCTGACAAAATAAATGATTTGATTGATTGATTGATTAAGCTTCGAAAAAGATTTGAAACAAAAAAATATTGGAAAAAAATCATTACAAAACTATTTCAGATAAGTGAAGGATTGACTATAGTCACAAGAAAGTTGGGCTGCTTCAAATGCAATTTTCAAATTTTATAGTAAATCCAGCCCCACAAAACCTCTACTCGGCTTCCGCACGATGGCGCAGAAGTTTTTCCACTGATTCATCGAAGAGAGCAGAATCTCCCGAGCATCATCTCTGGAGCACGACCTCACGCACGATTCCCAGGCTCTGACGCTCCTTCAAGGGCTATTAAGGTTGAAGTTTGAGAGTAAAACGGCGTACGAGCAAATTCGTTTGATGTTTTTCAGAGCCCCGCTGTTGTCCTCTGAAGCGCCAATGATTGTGTGGAACGGGGCGAACAGCGTCAGTTTTTCCGTCGACCCTGGAAAAAGAACCAATTTTGGGAGAAAACCAATAAACTTGGCAAGAGAAAGGAAAGAAAGTTTTTTAGAAAATACTGAAAAAGAAGTCTTATGGTGGAGGTTATTTGATTTTGCGGTTTTTGTGTTTTCTTAAAAGCTTCTGAAGGTCTGAATTGGACCTTCACAGTATCTACCTGTGCAGATTTTCCGTTTTGAAGATTATGTAGTTGAAAAGTATGGATTGTAGGCCTAGTTTTGTTTCGAAAATTGAAAAATCATGGCTGAATTTTTTTTATTTCGAAAGGCTTTTCATTAAATGAAATTGTCTCCTTCACACATTTTGATGTTTTTTGGAAGTCTATTGTTAACAGCAGTCTAACCGTTCCCAGAGCTGTTCATATGATTTTTAACTTCTGCTTCAATTTTTTGGGGTCTTAGAATTCAAAAAAATTGTTTTCCTCTAATGAAAGCATAGTTATTTTACTAGGATTTCAAATTCCATTATATTACCTTTTTCCTGAAAAAAATTATTTTGCAAATCTCACCTGTAACTTGAGAAATCGATCGATGAAATTTCTGCATGCAGATTGCTGTACAAAATGCGAACACGTTACCAGGTAGCCCTGAAAAATTTCGTTCTTCTGACAAACTGAAAAATTCTGCCAGATCTAATAAAAAATCGATTGAAACTAAAGTTACAAGTTAAACTCTCATTTTTTCAATCAAGCCTCATATATTTCAGATCAACTTACAGTACAACAGAATGAACGACTTCAGGAAGGCTCTCATCGATGCACCATGACGCAAAATGTACGAGAAGCTTCCCCGCAACTCAAAAAATTTGCATAACGGCCATCGAACCAAGAGAAAGCGACGAAAAGACGCTCAATGTCCAAAATCACTCAAATCTGTCGGCGCTAACCAGCTGAAAAAAAAAAACTAGGCGGCGCCGCGAAGACAAGTCGCGCAGAAGAAGATGAGGAAGACGAGGGCTCAAAACGGATATCTGACGACTCCCGCTTTGTGAGCTCTTTAATTTTTGTGTTTCTTATGTTCGTGATACTTGTCTTGTTGACACGAGAAGTTGCTGAGGAGTCGTACAGCTAATTTTGCAATTTGAGAATTTAATTCAACTTTTTGAAGAAAGAGTAGAGAGTATTTATTATATTCAACTAAAATTCAGAAGAAAGGGATTCTGGCGTGCAACAGGGAACTGAAGCACGTTGATGAGGTGAAAAAGTGAAAAAATCTCGAAAGTTCAAAAAAGTATGTTGAAAATTCCACCTTTTTCAAGGATCGATGGAATAAGCTCAAATTGGAAAACTTGACAAAAAAATGGAGACCAGTAAGCTTACCGATGAACTTTGAAACAAGCTTGACTTTCTCTCAACACCTCAACTGAAACAAAAAAAAAACTCATATTGTGAAGTTTTGACAGCTTTGTCGCATTGAAAGGTTAACCAGCCGTGAGAGTTTCTCTGGAACCCAAGGAAAAACCCGAAAAAAAGCTTTTTTTCACAAACCACGCCATTTGCAATATCTCTGAATATCAAATTCGGAATCACATCCTGCAAGAATTTATTAATGATTCAAAATGTTAAGAGAAAAATATTGCGGTGGGGAAAAAATTAGATGCACGGCAATTATAAATGAGAAGCTGTTGAAAATAATTAACGGAAAATTCACACTCAAAATTTGTGTTTCCCTAATACAATTTGAAAGAAAAAGCTACATGAAAAATCTTTGAAAGAAGCTTCATTAATTGAAAGGAGTACATTTGAGTAGAGTAAAAACGAGCCAAAGTACAGAAAAAAAGTAGGAATGCCTTCTCATTTTATAGAAATAATAAAAGTTTGGCCATATAAAGCTATGAACTTCAGCCGAAAGCATGAAAGGATTGATGAATATACAAAGCGAAAATGATTAAGGTCAGCGATAAAGATTTAGAGCTTAGCCGTCCTTTTGTTGATTCACTGGCAATAGACTTTATTTTTTCTCAAAAGCATCAAAATCCCATAATTCTTCACATCAAGCGGATAAGGAAAAGAAATTAAAGACAATGAAAATGATTTTTCCTGAAAATAGAGCTCAAAAAAGTGAATAAACACCAATCGTATTTTTTAATCATCCAATTTTTTTGTACTTTCGCGTTTTCAAAAAAAAAAAAAACAACCCAGAAGATTTGCCCGGCTTCCTCGTATCACCGCCGGAAAAACCCAAAGTAAGAGAAGCTGCCTTTTGAGAAAACAATTTAAAAATTGATGAACGTTGTTTTTTTCAGGTTGGTGAGCCACACATCTTTGGGATTTTGAGAAGATTGACAGAAAAACTTCCAAAAAGCCGGTCAGATTATTTTTGATGTACTTTGAGGAGTTCTTTTTTTGTGAATCATTTAAAATTATTCATGAACTCCAGAGTGGTCCTATAGGAGGAAACCTTGGGTGCCCTTAAAGAGTCCTCTCTAGGGACCACTCCGCAAAAGTGGTCTCTATAGGGTTTTAGTTACTGGCCTCTATAGAGAACATGCTAGTCGGTAATTGTCATAAACTTTAAGCGAAGAAGCATTTTCATTGGAAAAACTAAATAAATAAGCGTTTTTTGAGTAAGATTGAAAAACCCGTATAGGGTCCAGTTGAGTTTCAGGGGCTAAAGGGTCAGACCCTAAAGAAGCCACCTTAACTTTACCCCTGAAGGGAAAACTTTTTCAACTCCTATAGGGTTTGTTTTTCCCCAAATCCTTGTAGGGACACTCTGGATGACCTGAGGAATTGTTTCGTTCATTAGCGTACAAGAACTGCATAAGGTACATGAGGAGTTGCTTATTTTGGAGATTTCCTGTGACGACCGGGATGAAAGTACGCCTGAAAACGAACTAATTGACGATAAAAACTTCGGGATAGTAAACGGAATGATGAAAAATTTCTCCCACAACTAGAAAAACGGTATGATGGTAAAAAAAAATACTTTGAAACCGAATACTTGTTTTAGGATGTTTATAAATATCATTCGTTTGTTCAACTGAACGAAGTCCTATTTTTGATTTCTACCTAATGAAAAAGTCTACGATCTGCAGGGAACCTTCTCTTGATAACTTCCTTCTTTTGATGAAAATTTAGACTCTTATTTTACTTCTTATTTCATGGAAACGCGACTTGTTTTGTCTTCATTCGGATAGTTCTTTCTTTGCAGCCGAACTTCTAGATTTTTCTCAGAACAATAGTTTGTTGGAAAACTTGTGGAAAAGTCTCGACGGCACGTTGTTCCTTCCATGGCAACGAAAATCGCGTAGAAACAACCGACGCGCTGAAATATCGTCAAGCTTTCGGAGGCTTCAGACCGCCAGAGAAGCCATTATTAACGTAAAGACGCCTACTGCTGACCACTCAGTTGCTTAACGTACAGCTATGCCTAGTCCGGCAGGTAATCGGGTTCATCTATGTTTTGTATTTTTATTGAAAAAGGGTTCAGAGCCGTTGCCTGATGAGCCAACCTACCCATGTAATGTTTGTGGTCGGAGGTTCATCAGATCCAGTCTGGTGGGTTTTTCTTTGTTTTGTATCCGGAAATTGTAGCGAGAAGCGAGACGAGAATAAAAATCCCGATTCAAGCTATAAATTTGCCTCTTTTCAATTTTTTTCTGCTACATAGAGTGTCTGAATTTTCCTAAATTTTTGAACCTACTTAAATATGAATTTCGTGCACAGAACTACTCGCTATAATTTTGAAAGAATTCTTCAGTTGATTCTGGAAGAATTTCGAAATCCACCATGTTTTAAAGGTATTACATTCGCCTCCATCTGAATTGTCTCCTAAAACTCCAAAGTGGTCCCTATAGGGGCAACCTTAGGCGCCCCTAGAGGGTCCCCTCCAGGGACCACTTAACCAACCCCTATAGGGGTTCCTGAAGCTCGCAAAAGTGGTCCCTATAGGGAACATGCCAATCGATAATGGTTATGAACTCTAAGCGAAGAAGCATTCCCATGGAAAAAACTGAATAAATTGGAATTTTTCGAATAAACTGAAAGATCCTTTTAGTGTCCACTTGAGATTTAAAGGATAAGGGGCCAGACTGTAACCCTTTTAGGGACAACCTCAATTTCACCACTATAGAGACCACTTTTTCAGATCCTAACCCCCATAGGGACCACTAAGGAATCCCCAAGATTGCACTGAGAATAGTATGTATATAATTTTGAAGGGTATTTCTCGTCATACTGTATGGAATTCAGGACAAGCACATACCAGCATGCAAGAAATTGGCTTCCTTGAACCGAAAGCCTTTCGATTCGGGAAAACAACGCGCCATGGGCAGCGATATCACTTATGCCGACGTCAAAAAAGCCCAGAAGGAAAAAGCCAAAGTGACCGCTTTCTACTATTTTCCTCCAATTTGAAAGCTTTTTCAGATGGGCGGTGTGTTTCCAAGACCTCAGACCAACTGGAGAGAACGTCATGAAACTTTCATCGACGCGGTTTCGTCATCGAAAAAAGTTGACTACGCGATTAAAACTGGAGCTCCCTTGCCGCCGCCACCACGAACCGCCGTTCCGAGTGGTTAGTTGTCGAAAAACAGTCAAGACTGAAAAAAAAGTGTAATAGAAAGGAAAAATTGAACTTTTTGTGGTTCAGAGATATAATCTACTCACAATAAACTGCAAATTTGCTTTTCAAACGTTTTCTTGATTGGAAACTTTACCATAATTAATATTGATGTCCTCTACGCATGAGTTTTGCTTCTGAATCACTGACTATTTTTTTTTTCGAAAGCTCAAAAACTTTCAAATTTTGTTTTCAAGACATTTTGAAAAACGAAGACTCTCAAAAAAAAAACCTTGCATTTTCCATTTTTTTTTCTCTATAACTGTCATCACTTCAAATGCATGACCTTAGTAGTAATATAGTGGCTTACAAATTCAAGAAAAAATATGTTTTCTAGAATATGTTCAAATTTGAAATGTAGACGTGTTTTCACTAAACTTCTAGAATCGTGGTGATGATTTTACTTTGGTTTCTATACATGTTTCATGGAGAGTAATTCGATAATAAGCCAACAATTCTCGGAGTTTTTTGAAAACGAAAAAAAATCAATCGCCGTCTCTCGGGACAGTCTGTCGTCTCTGTGCTCTCTTTTCCCTCACTGACTATGAGAGGATGAAAAATGTGCAGGAAAGCGGATAGTTGACCCATATGAGTTTTTGAAAAAGACCAAAACAAAAATTTTCCTTTTCTTGAGTATTATGAAACTGTTTTTTAAACGTTTTTAGAAAAAAACCGCTTCTCTCAATATTGTGAAAAGAAACGTAGAATAGTCCTGTAGTTATGAAAAGTCCGTAGCGTGGGCATTTTCAGATTACCCCATACCAAAATGGGCGGCAGGAAATGAAAATGAAAACGCTCAAGAAACAAGTGATCCGAGCGAAGAAGTGTCCTTGCCGATGCCTGCTGGTGTCTGTACCACGTGTTGTCCGATCAACTGCGTCTTGCTATAGCTTCTTCTTTTTCCTGTGTTTTGTTCTTTCCGCTCTAATCTGAGCAACAACTTTATGATTTAAAGTTTTTTTGAACAAAAAGGTTTCCATTAGAAAAAAAGCTCTACAATTTTGTGTTTGTGAGAAATTAGAGAGCTTTGAAGATAGCAGGAATCTTTTTTTAGTGAGTTATAAGCCCAGCCAAAATACGGAAGCCAAAAAGTTCATGAAAAAAATCAATCAATCCACAGGTATACTTGTGATTCAAACGTACGGAGTCATTATCTATACAGAAAAATGCATTTATTTTTATTCTTTCACTTTTGAATTTCAATGATGAAAGTAGGCTTTATGATATGTAAAATTGTTATTTTGCTCGATATATAATAAATATTTAGTTTGTACGTTTGAAACTAAAAAACATACAAATGGGTCACGAAATGTTGTGTAGCTTAAAAAATCTAAGCTTGATAAGTCTGGTCATCTTCGAATTTGAAATAACCCAACAAACGGAAATTTTCCCATTGAAAGCCGACAATACATTGATTATGAGTTTTTTTCAAACCTTGACTCGAAAAAAATCCTTTTTTCATCATTTCGAAGTTAAGACGAAGAAATGAAACTTGTATGAAGATCTGAACATCAAAAAAACATCCATAGAAAAAAATGTATTTTTTTCAAAAAGTACAGACTACGTGCAATGTGAATACTGTGGACGAAACTTCAATGGAGCCGCCGCTGAGAGACACATTCCCTTCTGCAGGTGACTTTCCTGAGATCATTAGAAATTTTTTCTGATGAATTTTAAGAGATCAGAACAGTAGAAGAGGTGGGATTGCAAAGACGCCGCTTCCTTCAAAACCAGTCTCCGGATCATATCGAGGACTACCCAGCAAACATGAAGTCTGTCTCAGGAAAAATTTAATGATATTGATTTTTTTTAGACTCGAACACAAACTTCGCAGAGAAGCCGTCACGATGTGAGCTCAAACATGATCGGCATCATTCTGAACGTAGTTTTAGGAGCGGAACATCTTGACCAGAGGAAGAGATGGTAGTCTTTCCAGAAGTGGTCATGGAGAGTCGGCCTACGACACAAATGCAAGAAGAAAGTAAGTGAATTCTGAACTTCTAACTCACATTTTTAGTTTCAACCAAATAAAATAGTGGTTCCAAGTAATTCTGGTTAACTTAAAAGCAATGAAAATGAGTTCGAAAAGTGATTAGTTAGAATCAATCGATGTCTTCGATTCACAGAACCTCAAAAAGTACTTCAGATCCTTGGAGACCCGTTCTCGTAATGCGAGCTCCCATGCAGCTTCACGGAACACATCTCTTTCCGCAGGACAACGACAAGGGACACTTCCGCCAACCACTCCAAACAAGTTTGTAATTGCTCAGAGTGCATTTCTCATCCAGATAAATGTTCCAGAAGAAGTTCCTCCGCTCCCAGAACTCCCGGTCAACGTCTCAAAACACCGTAGGTTTTCAATGTAGAGTTTGGCGTGCCGTGTTTTATTATTTTGTCGAATTGAACCTTTTTTGCATGGTCCCTTTTCAGAGTTTCACTTGCTGCAAAGCTCAACAAAACGGCAGTACGACACTGATTCGCTTGGAATTTTTGATGATTTCTTGATTCGTTTTGTTCATCCACATTGATTGTGCGAATAATTTGATTGATTTCTCCAAAAACTGATTATTTTTCTTCCCTTTTTGATTCATTTTGTTCGACCTTTCACAGTCTTCTCGCTAGCAATTGATGAATTTAAGAGCAGTCAAAAAACCTTCTCCAAAGTCGTCACAAAGAAACGGACGATTCACAGAGACTCCAATCAAGAACTACCGTAAACGTTACAGCTGAGGGGAATGCGAATTTTCCAGAAAAATCCAGAATAAATTTTTTGATAAAACTGAAAAAGAGCAATTTTTTTCATTTGCGGCTGACCAAAAAGCTGTTTGGGCGTAGGGTCATTGCTCGGGCAAAGCCGGGATTGTGTATAATGGCCGCAAAAAAAGAGAGGCTCAGAAAAGGTTGCAGAAAGGCAGCAAAAAGGCAACAAAAAGGTCTCAAAGAGGTCGCGAAAAGGCAGAATAAGAAGTCACTTTTTCAAGCCTTACAGTTCCTAGGATTTTAAAGGCTCATGAAATGGTGGAAAAAGAGAGAAGCAGCAAAAATGGTGCATAAGGGCCGACGAAATGGCGCAAAAAAGGAGCCTCTGCCACCCTAAAAGGAACATTTTTATGGAGCCTTCTTCCACCCTTTCTGACTTTGCCTGTGTTTTCCAATTGGAGGAGACGTTACAATCATCTTGAAACAGATACGAAGTGGAAGTTATACCTGAAATCATCTTTAAAACGGCCGAAAAGTAGCGCGAGCCGTTCCAAACTGTGTTATAGTTTTTTTCATTTTGTGCATGGAAAAATATGAGAACAAGAAGAAAAGTTCAATTTTGACACCCAATTCTTCATAAAAACAAAAAAATATTAAAGAAAAATTATGATTTCACTCAAAGTTTTTTTCTTCATCCTCGGAGTTTTCGTCAGAGCTATCCCCAGTTCCAATCGCGAAATATCGGTCGTTACATGCGTCTATTTCATTTTCTTGAAGAGCTCGCAGAAGTAGAACAGCAGACTCGGTGTCGTAGAAATACTGTAATGAAAGGACAAAATGAAAAAAAAGGGTTTCAAAAATTTTCGACTTTGAAATGGGTCTTTTCGAGCTAAAAGTGAAGTAGTCTCAAAAAATTTGACCGCTGTGTTTTTGAGGCTTTTGAGGGTATGTCAAAACTTGAAGGGATGGTCCCTCGGATGTTCTAAGATCATTTGAAGCTTTCTTGTGAACTATTCTGATAATCGAGGACAGTGATACGAGCATATTAGCCATTTTAAAAAAACCGAACACATCCAACGACTTTTTCAAGATAATTATTATGACACCCACGTCATCCGAGTCGCCTTCTTTCAAATAAGGAACTTTTGTCCATGACGTCACTTCAAAGCCAGCTGGGGCCAGTTCTTTTGTCGTCAGCCATTCAACTTTTTCTTCAAAGGTCTCTCCAAAGATTTTCAAAGAACCTGAAAATTTTGACAAATTTCCGATTCCTTCAATTTCCCTCACTGTTATTTGAGTCAGGGGGTCGAGTGCTCCTAGATTCTCTCTCAGGATCAGGAAAAGCTATCGAAATGACCACGGGACATAAAAATTGCAAAGCGACTTTTCGTATGTCTTCCAGAAGCTTCTGTGGGCTTTTGTGACTAAAAAATCTAAGAAATGACCAAATTTTGAGTATTACCAATCGATTAGATTAAATGCCGTTATAAGGTTAAAACCAATATTTGAATCGATCCATTCTTCTGGATCTAATATGGAATAACCTCTTAACTTCAGTTGCCATCGCAATACCTTGAAAGAAAAAAATAAGCATTTTAGCTAAAAAAAATTCGTACCTGTGAGGTTTCTGTTGCATAGACGTTTTCGAAAAAGGGTTCCATTTTTTTTGTGATTGAGCCATCACCAGCGCCAAGGTCCAGAACCTGTGAGATAGATATTTTCCAAAAAGTTTCAGTTTTACTCACTGATTTTCCCTCTCTAGTGTGGTCAGCTTCCAGAGCAAGAAAATCAGAGAACTGAGAGCTGCTGAGAAGAAAAGCACGGGATCGGCCAAGAAGTCCATCAACACAGGTTTCAGGGAGGAAAAAAGAAAGAATGTAACCGCAGAAGTTTCGAGTGAGCTGAAAAATGTTGAAAATCTTGGTCAAAAGTCAAATCAGTAAAGAATGATTTTTTCTAGCATCTGGTAGTCCCTAGCCTTTTCAAGTTTCCCGAAACTTTCATTTTAAGGGATGCGTAAATGTTACCACACGGTTTTTGCGATAACATTCTGGTCTTAAACAAGCTTCTTTACTTTTTACAGTGTTACTATAATTCTGCCGCTCTTTACATCCTAGTTATAGTCGATACATCCCGACTCGAAAAACGAAGGAGGCAGATGGACGGGACACGTAGCGTGTCCGTACGCGTTTCTTGGCACAAGTTCAATTCAAGAGCTACCGGAAATTTAAAAAGCACAGTCATCGCTCTTTTTTCATCCATTCTACTATTTTTTGATGGCCTAATGAAATAAATCAACAAAGAATCAAAAAAAATGATAATGGAACTCTACGAATAGTCGGTAGCAATTGAATTGAACTTTTGCTAAGAACCGCGTACGCCCACGCTACGCGTCCCACCCTTTTTTCGCCTCTCTCGCTTTTCAAGTTGGGAAAAGTCGCCATACTTGAGCTGCCATAGTCGAAGGATGATTTAGATTCTTGCAAAAATAACTTTCGATGCAAACGCCTTGAGGCAAGAAAAACCTGAATTCCAGAATCACAAGCGCGAGAAGAAGATTCTTCAATAAAATCCAAAGTCGCGTAGTTCCGCCGAGAAGGTTTGAACAACCTGTGCATGAATTGACACTCGCCTTTCTAAAGTATTTTAGTCATTGTTGAAGGGATTGAAAGAGTTTTGCATTTTCAACATTGATTGAACACTTGATTTCATTTTCTCAATAAATGATTAGCTCAAATAAACGCCTGTGATCAAAAATTTTTCCATTATTTTCGGGAAAAACCTCAATAGAATACCACCACCGGGGCATGTCGCGTAGCTTGGCTGATCGTAGATCGGCACCCATTCTGATAACTAAAATATTTCACTATCAAAAAATGTATTTGAAAAACAACGAGGCCACAGACAAATTAAATGGCAATATTCGAGGGAAATAACCGTGGGAAAAACACGTGTATCAAGGCTACAAAAAATCGGAAGACTTTTTAAACCGAAAAAAAAATGTGTAAACTTCGTTTGGAAAGGTAGTGGTTCTTTTTAACGGATAGCCAATCAGTGATTCGAGCAGAAGCATCTATAATTAACTACGCACAGGAAGCTCGAAACCACGCATTTAGAGGCTCACTTGTTTTGCTTGAGAAGCGGAAGAAATCAAAAACCTTTTTCAAACGTGAACTTGAAGAAAAGTTGAGAACATGCAATGTGAAAAAGGATTTGTCTAGGCTGCTGACGTGCAAGAATGGCTTCCCAATACAAGATCCTGCAAGAGAACTCAGTTCAATGGGCTAAATCTAAAGTCACTTTAAAAGAATTCGTCTAAGTTTTTTCCGGGACTGTTCGGAAATGCAAAGATTTGTGAAAAATCAAATTTGATTCTTTATGGGAAATTTCGAAGTTCAGTTGAATAGCATTTTTTTTTTGCAGAGGTAAAGTCGAAAGGGTGGACTCCACAGAAAAGTTCCCTTTAAAGAACAAGTTTTTTTTCTGCCTTTTTGCACTATTTTATCAACTCTTATGCGACATTTGTATTGCCCCTCCTTCATTCAACCATTTTTCGAGCCTTTGAATTCCTAAATAAATTGAAAATATTGATAAACGGACTCTTTTTGCTGCCTTTCAGCGGCCTTTTCTTCAGCCCCTCCCTTTTAGCGAGCATTATTCCTTCCTCATTCTAATCAAAACAACAGTTTCATTCCAACAAAAAAAGGCAAAACCAAACCGAGAGAACCACATAAAATTACAAAGAGATCGCAAATAATCAAGTAAATGTGAACCGGTAAAAAAACAAGTGAAAAAGTTCTCGTATCAAAACCTTGAAAAAAGGATGACGATACCGGTTTCTAGAGAGAAATGCATAACATAGAAAAACGTCTTTGGTTTTGACACACCAAAAATCGAATAAATAATTTAAAAAAATGGAGTTGTGAATTCACAATTCTTTGCGGTCGACGACAGGATAAGAAGCATTGGCCAGAGGAAAGTCGCCTTCTTGAGGTTCCAGAAGAAACACGGCGTCGTGAAGGTGATAGTAAGGCTGAAATGTACAAATTTGAAAAATTTCTCGCTTCTTATAAAAATTTTTGGGTGACAACTTTTTTTAAATATATTTTTTTAAACAGAACTATATAAAAATCGAGATAAAAACAAAAATTTTTTTGTGAATTCGTGAACATATTTTCACCCTTAAAAACAAAGAAGCTTTATTAAAAAAACTTCCATGTCCCTCCAGAAAAAAATATATAACCCACCTCGCCCATGTCGCCTTCGCACAGATACGGCAATTTGGTGAAGCGGACTATTTTAAATCCAGCTGGAAGGAGCTCGTGAACCATGAAAGAGTGGGCTTGTTCCTCGAAAGTCCTGCCCGTGATCTTCAGCCAATAAGCTGCAATAATTGAAAATTATATTTATATCCGCGAATTTATTGGTGAGAGAATAGATATATTTCTTGCAGGTTTTTAAAATTGAAATTAAACTTTCTAGAGTGAAAACTTTATCGCAAAAACTTTTTTCATTTATCGCAGAGGAAATAGGAAAATTTCTCCATTTTTTGATCGGAGGAAGTGTCAACCTTTTTGAATAGATTATTATGCTCCAAAATTTAGTCATTTCAGGTGATGGTATGAAAAAAACACCAGCGAAAATTCAAACGGCGACTTTTCCGATTTTTTCATATCGCTAGGGAACTTTCCGACGGCCACTTTCCGACGAAACTTTTTCCGACTTTTTTTTCTCGATAAAATCTTTTAAACCTTCCTACATAAAGTAGGTAGTTGGTTCATGATTTGAACACATAGAAATAGGAAAAAATATTTATAGATGTTTCATAAACCGAAAAACATAAGAGAAAAAAAATCGGAAAGAGATCCGTCGGAAAGGTGACCGTCGGAAAGTTCCCTAGCGATATGAAAAAATCGGAAAAGCCGCCGTTTAAAATTTCGCTGGCGTTTTATTCATACCACCTTTCAGGTATTATTTAAATGTGCTCTGAACCATTGAAGTTCACATGGTCAAAAGCACTCGGACTGGGAAAAATCGCCAGGAAAGGAAGAATCTCAAAAATCGAAAAATAAGGTGGACCGTGTTGAACTACCATAAACTTCAAGTCAAACTATCAATTCTTCGGAAATCTGAGAAACTCACAAGGTCTATGAGAGCGCTGAACGGGGTTGAACTCGACATATTGCGACGCAGGAAGAACCAAAGAAATGACCACCAAACATTGCGACTTGAGTGCCAGAGCGCGCAACTGTGCAAGAAGGATACTCGGGTTGAAATGCCTAAAAAAATGAATTGAAAATTCAAAATATTTCTAAAATCACCGATCGATAAGGTTGAATGCGGTAATGATGTCGAACTTGATTGGAGTTTGGCTCCAGTTGAGTGCATCGACAAGGGTGATCCCTTTTTGTCTCAAACGCCACTGCATAACCTTCAAAATGATTGGTCAATCATAAAAAAATATTATGAAAAACATTTTTTTATAAAAAAATTACAAGTTATTGGAAAAAAACTTTATTGCTCTAAATAAATGTCTTTACATTAACAATAAGTGCATAAAACACAAACCGTCGACATTTCAGTCGCGTAGAGATTTTCGAACAGTCCTCCCAATTTCAACGTAACATCGCCATTTCCAGCTCCGAGATCAAGTGCCTAAGAATAATTATTAAAAAAAGGATCTAAATAAAATTATTCACATTTTTTCTTAACCGCGAATGTTCATCGCTCAAGTTCAGAAAGCGACGCATTTGCGTTTCACTGAAAAGGAACATGCCTCCGTATCCAGTCAGACCGTTGATAGATGTCTTAGAGAGAAAAGTAGAGAGTACGGCGCTCAGGAAATTGCGGAAGGTCTTGAAAAAAGTTGATTCTCATTACATTTGAAATTGAGGTGAAATCACCTGATGAGCGCAACTTCCAGCGATATCCTTCGAACGCTGCAGAAAATCTTGCACCTCTTCATCGGGAAAGGATTTCGTGAAAAGTCCACACTCTATAAGCGGAGAACTCGCCTGAAGTAAAAAATAAAAAACACAAGTCGAGGCAAACTTTACCTCCAATTCGTACCAAGCCGGTAGAACCAAGTCGAGCGGGATCGAAGTATACTTGCTCATTTCTGTAAATTTAAAAATTATTAATATTTTACCGGTAATGATAAAAAACGCATAGTTTACTGAACGGAATTGAAAGACACTCACGGCATGAAATCAATAAAAGGAAAGACAGTGATAGTCGCGGCATGGAATAAGGACGGCTCACCCGTTTGAATGAGCGAAGAACGCGCCAAAACGCAAAGTGTGACCTCAAGGGTCAAAAAAGGGTAGGTCAAACTTGGTGACAATTCTCGGAACGGACAATTATTTAATTGGCATGGTTTTTTTCTGGATTTTTTTTTAAAAATAAAACGACGGCAATAGTGAAAAAAATTGAGATGGAAGGTTGAAAAAAACCCAATGTTGGACTGTAAATTCCAAAAAAATAAGCACGAACTGATTTTTCAAATTTGAAAAAAATTTTCGCGCTTTTTTTCTGAAAAAAATTTCTTTCGCAAATTTCTTGATTCAACAATTTTATTGACCATACAAAAAAATGCAAAAAAATTAAAAAGTTTTTTTATTGAAATTAAAAAAAGAGACTGTTTCCGTTAATTTACCTGAAGAAGTTGTACGCGTTATAGAATTTAAAAAGCATGCTGTCTCAAAAATTGATAGAAAGGATATTATAATCTGTTGACCCTCATAAAAAATACTCTAGATTGAGATGCGAACTTTTGTTTAAAAGAAAATTTTTTTTTCTAGGTGCGACTACGAAATGTTCTAACTCGGGCAAAGCCGCTAAAAGACTAAAAAAAAGCTGCATAAAGGCAGCAAAAAAAGTCCTTTCATTGAGCCTTTTGAATTTTCTAATTTTTCAAAGACTCAAGAAATGAAGGAAAAAGCGAGAGGCAGCAAAAATGGTAGATAGACTTTGATAAAATGGCTGAAAAAAGGCAGCAAAAAACAGAGCCTTTGTCACCACAAAAGGGAAATTTTCTGGAGCCTTTTTTCACCTTTTCCGGCTTCACCTATTTAATAAGGAAATATACAGCGCTTTTGAGCTAACTGTTAAAAAATTTCAATTTTCTCACTGGGCTAAATTTTTTGATTCATCCTATTAATCAGTTGAAAAACTTCATCAATTGTCATTTTAAACCAAAAGTGATTGATTTTCGAAAGAAAAATAATCTAATGATATCTGTACTAGCTCTCTATTATATTTGATTTTATTCAGTATAAGACGTTGATTTTCTTTTAATCATCTGAAGTTCAAAATGGCTCCTAATTTTTGGTTTTACTCAGAAATTCGACCAAATTTGAAACAAATTGATATCTTTTAAGGTGATTTGAAGCATCAATTCCATCGCCTCCGTTCGAATTGACGAGCCAACACGCAATAAATCGAGAAAGTAAACGACGTGATGGCTCACCGTCTTACCACGTGTCAGTGTGGTGCCTCAAGGAGCCAATGGATGTAATGTTGTTTGTCGATCTCATTGGGTGGCGTCGACCGCGTCTCGTCGGGCCGTTTTTCACACCTCTTTGTACGCTCTTTGTCTCTTTGTCCGTTCTGCCAAATGACCAAACCAATCGCATGAACATGCTCCTGGCACTGCTCGTGGTCTCGACATTCTTGGCCAAGTCCCAGGCTTCAACCGGATCTAATCAGTGAGTTTTTTTTATTCAAATATAATTTATGTTTTATCAGAATAAATTGAAAATATGCTATGAACCAAACTTAGATATTGGACTGGCTAAGACCGCATAATAGTCTTTATTTTTGAAAAAAACGATAATATGTGGTAGAAACTTTGAGAACGCATTTAAAGAGAATTAAAAAAATAAAACTTTCAGGCAGGGACTTCAATTTTTCGAGTAATGGACAAATCTGAAAAAAAAATTTTTTTTTCAGGCAGAGAAATATAATCCTAATAATAACTGACGATCAAGATGTCGAGCTTGGATCTATGCAATTTATGCCCAAAACCTTAAAACTCATCAAAGAAAAAGGCGTCGAATTCACTTCTGGGTACATAAAAGCGACAATTCATTCAATATGTTGTTTTTTTCAGATATGTAACAACCCCAATATGTTGTCCGAGCAGGTCGAGTATTTTGACAGGATTGTACGTTCATAATCATAATATCCATACGAACAACCAGAATTGCTCAGGGCCTGAATGGAGGTAGAGAAAACAAATTTATTCATTCATGTATTTGTTTCAGGAGATATTTTGAGAAAAAGACGTTTGGGGTGTACCTTCAAAATGCTGGATATCGAACAGCCTACATGGGGAAGTATCTCAACGAATATGATGGGTTTCTTATTCAAAAAAAGAAAATAGTTTCAAATTGTGATCCTGCAGATCTTATATTCCACCTGGCTGGAACGAATGGCTTGCAATAGTGAAAAATAGCAAATTCTACAACTATACAGTCAATGAAAACGGGCAAAAAGACAAGTACGGGTTTTTGTACGAAAAGGTAAGATAAATAATTGTGAAGAGTTGGAAAGTCATCATTTCAGGACTATTTCACAGATTTAGTGACGAACAAGTCTTTGGACTTTGTGAGAGACCATTTCGAATCCAAACCGTGGCAGCCGTTTGCACTGGTCGTTTCTTATCCAGCACCTCACGGTCCTGAAGATCCTGCTCCGCAACATTCTCATCTTTTTGAGAATGTTTTCACTCACAGGTTCGTATCAAAATTTATTGAATGATTAAGCCTACTGACCTGGACGATCTTAGGAACTCCAGAGTGCTCCCTATAGAGGAAACCTTAGGGGCCCTTGGAGAGTTCCCTCTAGGGACCGCTTTACCAACCCCTATAGGGGCCACTAAAGCTTGCAAGAGGGGTCTTTATAGGGTTTTAGTTCATGGCCATTATAGTGGTCATGCTCGTCGGTAATTGTTATAAACTCAATGCGAAGAAGCATGCAAAAAACTTAATAAATAAGAGTTTTTTGAATAAAGTTGAAAGACCCCTATAGAGGCCACTTGAGCTTTAGGGGCTAAGGGATCAGATCCTGAACCCTATTGGGATCACCTTAATTTTATCCCTATAGGGACCACTTTTTCGGCCCCTATATTTCAAAGAACTAGACCATCTTCCAATTTTTCTATATGCTTCAAAAAAAACTCCATTTGACAATAAAGAAGATTTTTTGAAAAGTCATGATTTTCTTATTAGAAAAATGAACTTGGAAACAAAGTTTTCAGACCCTTTCTTTTGGAGATTTCACTAAAACTATCATACTCACGAAACCTTCTGACAAGCTATATAAGCCTCGAAATGCGCAAATTTAAGAACGGACTCATGGAACCATGCTCCGAATCCCGACAAGCAATGGCTTCTCCAGAGAACTGGAAAAATGTCTCCGGTACACATCGCCTTTACGGACATGCTGCATCGGAGAAGGCTCCAGACGCTGCAGAGCGTTGATGAAGGCGTTTACAGAGTCAGTTTCATCTTTTAAATGATAATGGTATTAAAAGAAACCACAGTTTTAATCTAACCGATTTTCTTGTTTTCAAATTTCATCGTGCTCCAAAATTGAAAAAACCGAAGGCTGAGCAGAGACTATTTAAAATCCGTGGCAGAATTTTTCGAAAGTTAAGGTTATTCAGTATAGTTCATTCATGGCTAGCTTGGGACGTAAAAAAACGTGGCCTGTCTGCGCTCTCCTCTATCCAGGCACTGTCTATTTTCTCATCGTGTCAAGACCCATTTATCGATAGCTTAAGCCTACCGTGAACCAGCTTTATTTAACCTCCATTCCGCTTTAAATTCCGATTTTCAAAAAAACTCTTGTAGATATTCGGTTTGTTGCGTGAAATGAATCAGTTGTCCAACACCTATGTGATGTATACATCGGACCACGGTTATCATCTCGGACAATTCGGACTTCTCAAAGGCAAAAACATGCCCTACGAGTTTGACGTCCGAGTACCTTATTATTTACGTGGGCCGGGAGTACCTAGAAACGAGACGTGAGCCATTTCGAGTTTTCACAGTTGGAAAACTATGATTTGAGTGAAGATGTGAAGAAATCGTGACCAATCTGGATATTGGTCCTACTTTGCTGGACATTGCTGGATTGCGAGTTCCGAGGAAAATGAACGGGAGAAGCATCTTGGAGCTTTTGAAGATCAAAAAAGGTCTGACCCCATTTTCAGAAAAAAAAATTCCTTTTAATTAGGCGGTCGGAAAGCGAAGATGATAGCTCCTTGGCGGGATACCATTCTGATCGAAAGAGGGTTGGTTTTGTGACTTCAGTCCCTTTTTATCCTTTATTTCAGCAAAATGCCAAAACTCAAGAACATTGCGGATCGATGGAAGAAGCAAAAATCAAAGTTCAATAAAGAACTCCGATTGTCGAGAGAATGTCGAAAAAGGAAATGGCAGAGAGACTGTGTGGATGGCCAGGTTTGAGTTTTCATATTTTTGCAAAGGAAATTTTTCGTAATACAGCTTTGGAAGTGCTATAAAACGGACGACGAGAAATGGAGGATATACAAATGTCGTGAAAACTGGAACCTGAACTGTCCCTGTGAACGATCATTTGAAAGAATGAAGAGGGGTAGTTATAACTTCAGCAGAACTTTTCGAAAACATGAAAAATTTCAGAACTTGACGATGAAGATGAGTTTCTGATGAACGCTGCGGAAGAAGAACTTCAAGAAGATTCATTTTGGTCCCAAGGCGGTTGGCAAGAATCTGACGAAACCTTTGTGAGTTTATTTTAAATCTGAGAAAGATCATTTGCTATTTTTCAAGGAATATAACGACCACCAAGTGAAAAAGCGACACATCGAGAGTAAATGCGACTGCTTAAAAAATTCGACTCACCCAATGTAAATGCACTTTTTTTCAATTTCTGAAAGTTTTAATTTCAGAAAATATCGGTTTCTGAAACGAGGTAGGAAGCTTGATTTCATGAAGATACCTAAAAAGTTGGTGAAGTGTCTGAATTTATTTCCCAAGCAAACAGTTTAGAAACATCGGGAATAGCAGAAAGAATTGTTCATTGCCTCAAATGAACTGCTTCATCCATTCTCCGTTCCACTGGAGGACGCCTCCACTGTGGCCAGTCGAGTTTGGAGAGTTCTGTTTCTGTCAAAACTGTAACAAGTGAATTTTTCGCTTCGAAATAGTATACAACTCCATTTTTCAGCAACACCTACTGGTGTCTTAGGACAAAAAACGCCACGGATAATTTTTTGTATTGCGAGTTCGTGACAGGATTCATCAGTTATTACGATATGAACGTCGATCCTCATCAGGTGAGCTTTATACTCCTAAAGACTCAGTAAGGAAGTCATTCAGATGTACAACATCGTCTACACTCTCGACGTCGTAGTTTTGGAAAATTTGAGTGAACAGTTGCGTCGTCTTCGAAAGTGCAAATCAGACAACTGCGATAAGTTGGGGCTTCCATCATGGAGATCTTTCAAGACTAGCCCTTCCCGTACTAGGAAAAAATCCTAATTTTGCTTTTCTTTCTTATTTTCGCGACAGCCAATTAAGGCCAGTATTCATAAGCATTTTCTTTGATATTTCCAATTTTTCAATACGAGGAATCACGAGCTTTCACTCCCCGGTCTTTTCGTTGTTTATGCTTGTCCTTTTGCATAAAATGCTGAATGAATTTTTTTTTGTTTGAGAAGGACAACCGAAAAAATGGTCTGAGGAATAGGGAAAAATTAAGTTTCTTGTCAGAAAATAAATAATGACTGGGAAAATTTTTAGTGGCCCCTATAGGGTTTTTACGTTTTAATGGCCACTTAAGGGGTCTAAGTGCTACTAGACCACTAAAAAAATGAAGTGACCCCTTTAGAAACTACTGAAGTGGCCACTAAAACGGAAAAATAATGGCCACCATAGAGATTGGTTTAATGGTCACTGTAGTGTCCTCTCTGAATAGTCCTTGGCGAGCCTCTTAGTGGCCACTAGAAATTTTCAAAGGATGTAAAAATTTTTTTTAAACAGTGAAACCACTTCAAATTTTTTTTTTACAGTTCAAACAAGAAAAAAATGTAAACTGCAATAAATTTTTCCTCCCTTGATTTATTCTTCGACATATCAGCCTTTTTTTCAAGGTAATAATCTCGGGAAGAAGAACTGATTCCCATAACTTGACTTGCAACTGAAAAGGTCTCTTAAATTTGCACATTTATTATCATACGTAATCAAAAATTGCAATTATACACATGTGAATGAGAGATTTAGTTCTCGCGCTTGTAGTAACGGCGTCCTTCGACGTTGTTGTAGGTCATGCGCTGAAATTTTCAAAATTTTTCCAAAGTTTTTTTGTATCAAATTTACCACAAGGAGGAAGTCTCCTTCGAAAAGGTACTCGTAGGTTTCTTCTTTGGCCTCGCCGCCCTCCTCCTTGGGCTTGTGGTGTTCGAAAAGATGGCCGTTTTTCAAAGAGAAGGTGACCTGAACCGAAGTTTTATCAAAGAAAAAACCTTTGGAATTACCTCGTGCTGCTTTCCGTCGAGTCCTTCGCCGACGAAGGGAGTTTCGAGAGAGATGTCCTTGTAGTGGACGTCCTTCTTTGAGGTGAGGTTGGCGTAGTCGAACTTCTTGGGGTCAGACGTCTTCTTGAACTGCTTCTTGAAGGTGGCGAAAGTGACGATTTTCCGAGTTAGCCATGAGTAGCCTTGAAAAATTTCCATTGTGGCAGAGCAGGAATTTTTATTATCATAAAACAACGCGTTTTTTTTGGGCTTTTCTTCAATGTTCATACATTGTGAGCCTATTTATAGAAAAGGTCGACCAAGAAGACATCAAGAACAAGCAGACCAGACGGCTGTTATTCTAATAAGAAGAGGTCATACTTTATACACCGCTGGCTTGAGGTACACAGCAAAGCTTAGAAAAATCGAAAAATGTAGAATCATTTCTTAGATGGCGTTGAATGGAGGATATTAGCGCTTCGGATTTTTTCGAGAGCTTGAATCTTTCGTCAAATAAGTTCTTGATAGTCCCGTTTAGAACTCTGTCCCATTCTAACAGGAAAAAAAGTTTTATAACCAGCGATAGTTTGAAACAGAAAACACACCTTTGGCAGTGAGATACTCATCGAAGTTCTCGGAGTGGTCGAGGACGAAGTTGCCGTAGAACTTGTCAGGCAGAGTCTGGGCAGCCAAGGCTGAGTGGCAGACGAAGGCGAGCAGGGCAAGCGACAGAACAGGAGACCACATTCTGCGATGGAGCAAACTGTTGCTACTGACGGAGCCAAGCGACGGCACGACCTCGAAGATCGTGCTCCGCCCACCTCTAGCGTCTGTGGCCTCTCAGAGGTCGGCATGGTGCCTCGGCGACCCATGTCGATCGCTTGGAGCAAGCGAGATCCCACAACACCATCACATGTCGCCATCGTCTTGATTTGTGGTGGACCGATTAAGAACAATCAAAGGCAACTGCCGCTCCTGTGCTGCCCTTTCACACATGGTGACTTGTGTCGTTGATGTCGACGCAGTAAACCTTCTCAAAACTAACTGGCCTTTTTCTGAAATGAAATAAGGCACAATTGCTTCTAGGCTGATTGTAAGTTTTACGTTCACTTTCGAGAGACTTTCTATTAGTCAATTGGGATGAATATGCTATGCTTAGAATTCGGAGGAAGTGACACTCTCGAAAATTTTCTTGAAACTTCAGTTGATTCATCAAATCCTCTTTGTAATTTTGAGGTGATAGATTGAATTTTTTTGATTTTTTTGAAAAATTTTTAATCTCTTTTTTTAGTGAAAAAGGAAATTTCTCAAGACTGAGAGAAACTTCTCGAGACTTTTTTTGAAAAACTTTTTTTAGTACACTCAACTATGATAATGGAATAAACGTCGCAAAAATCAAAGATATTTGTGCAATGTAAAAAGTTTCTCAGTGTGAAAAAAAGCCAATTAAAGCAAAAAAACTGAAAGTTTTTTTGATGATAATATTGCTTAAAAATAAAGTTCTACATTTTTTTAATGTTTTATGGGTCCTCCCAGGGTTTCTGAAAAGCTGAAAAGCTATATGGAAAATAATTTGAAAAATAATGGGTAATCTGCAGAAAAGTTTTTATTTCTTTGTTGATGATTTAATTCGCTTTTTGATTCTGTTTTGTCCAATTTTCGGCATATGAATAAAGATTCACCACAAGAAAAATCTCGAAGAATTTCGCATATTTCCAGGGAATTATTTTTTTAGCTCAAAACGCTCAAAAAAACTTCTTCGAAACGTTTTAATCCAAGGCCAAAAGTTTGGCTCCAATCTCTGGCTTGTTTTTTTTTCAGCATGCCACATGTTCCCATTTTTTACACTTGATCCATCTGCTGATCCTCAGTCGTTTTGTTTAGATTCAGACCACATGAAGTCGAAAGAGCTTTTATTTATGTCTTTAAACAGAGAAAAAGAAGATTGAGCTGGAAAAAAAGATAAACAAAAGGAAACTTATTTTGGTTGCTGACGCTTGAACCAACGACGGCAAATAATGTTGTTGTTTTCCATTTTCTGAATTTTTCGTTGATTAATTCTCTTTCAGACGATGAGTAATTTACCAAAACGAGCTGATCCTTGTCATCGATAGTGTAGTGGTAGGTTTCGGTATTGTTATCCGCAGGTTCATCCAGTCGAATATGCTTTTCCGTCAGTTCGCCGTTCACATAGTTGAAAGTGATCTGAAATAAAAATATTAATATCTTTTTGAATTTTTATTAAATTTTTTTAAAAAAAGATTTTGTTAGCGTCAAACTTCTTCATAGGATGATACCAGTTCTTGGGCAAAGTCGAAATGGTGAATAATAGCCGCTGACAGAGAAAGGCTAAGAAAACGGCGCAGAGAGGCAGCAAAAAAAGTTTTTCTATTGAGCCTTTCATTTTTTCTAGGATTTTTAAAGCTCAAAAAATAAAGGAAAAAGGGAGAGGCAGCAAAACTAGTGCATATGAACCGATGAAATGGCGCGAAAGGCAGCAAAAAGAAACTTTTTTCAGCTTAAAGGTACATTTTTATGGAGCCTTCCGTCATCTTTCCGACTTTTCCTATTTGCAAAAAGTTATTCCTATCAAATTATTCAAAACAAAACTTTGAAAATTCATGGATTTTGAAGCAACGAATTGTCTAGAACCATTGAACAAAATTAGAAAAGACCGAAATTTGAGAAAAAAAAACCAACGTCGTGCGGTTTTCCATCGAGCCCTTCAGCTCGGAAGGTCTTCCCGAGCTCCCAGCCATGATAAAGAGTGTTCTTCTTGGAGGTCAGGTTCTCATAGTTATACCTGCAATTCAAATCGTTCAAAACTCAGTGGAAAAAGAAGAGCTAACGTTGAAGGTTTGTCTCCCTTGCCAATAACTTTCGTAACGCTAGCCAACTTGATCATTTGGCGAAGAAGCCAGTTGACGCCTGGAAAAAAAAAACTTGATGAATTATTATTTTGAGAAAAATAGATACAAAACCAATCGGCTAGATTAAAGTTTAAAGTTTCCAAATCGAACTTTTCAAAAAAAAAACCATTTTTCTGAACAAAAAGTAATTTACTATAAATTGAAAGTTGGTTAACGATACGATTACGATTTCGGGACACAATCAACCTTCTGGAATTTCAAAGAGTGTGATTTAAAAACTTCTAAATGCATCATTTTCTCAAAAGTATACAAAAAATAAACTCCAGCAAATGTTAAGCTTTACCTTTTGCAGAGAGGAACTCATCGAAGTTTTCAGAGCGGTCGAGGACGAATTTGCCAAAGAATTTCGGCGGAATTTCCTTGGCGTCGGTCATCTGTACAGAACACGTCAAGGCGAGGAACGCGAAAATGACGCAGAGCCTTGTTTTTGTTATTGTCTGCATTGGCGCAAAGTCGGTGCAGCGGTAGGACAAAAGTGGAAAATGAGTACAAAGGCCGACGCGGTTGACTGGGGTTGAGAACTACTACGACGAGGCTGCGAGCAACTGCTCGGGCGTTGGCATTAATAAGGATCTTTTTGATGGATCTACTGACATTTGCTGATCTTCTCAAGCTGATGGATTTGAGAGGTCGAAAGTTATACTTTGACCCGCGAAACACATTGAGCAACTATTGAACATGTTTTTTTGAGCTACATGCTTTGGAACTTTAGTGATCTTGGAGAGACGCGGGATAGAGGACCTAGTAAAATGGAATTTTTAAAATCTTCAAGAGGTCCTTAGCAATTAGAGAAAATTAATGGAAGTGTACAATTCAAAATTCTTCCAAATTGTGTAAAAAGTTCAACTATCTTGTGATGGAAGAAAATTCACAGTTTACGATATAGCCCATTCTGCCTCAGGTTGTCACGTTTTTCTTTCCACTAAAAAAACCGTATACCAAATTTGATAAAATTCGATCAACTTTGCAACAAAATCTTTGATTTTTTTTCATTTAGAGCATAATTGCTGAAAAAAATTGTTTTTTTAGAGTATCTGTTGTACTTTGAAAAACATAACCACCACGCGCGGAATTCTGAAAAACTGCAAAAAAATCTTGAAGTTGGTCAAAATTGATCTAATTTGGTAAAAATCTTTTTGACGGGAAGGCAAAGGTGACAATATGACGCGGAATGGGCTGTAGAAAAAAGTTGCATTCAGGTAAGATTTTTCAAGTCTTATACTCTTAAATTCGCAAAGCTACGCAAATCGATTATTTTAGAATCTGAACCTAAAAAATTCACAAACGTTTTTGATAGTTTTCGATAGATCCATAATTAGCTCATTGAAGTTTTTCATGGCAAAATAGGCTATAAAAATTATCTCTCTTAATCAAACGAACACAGGTAAAAACCATTAAAAAGTCGTCGGAGAGTCCATTCGCTATTAGTTTATGGATCTGCAAGGTTGAACGAGGTTAATGCACTGAGAAGTTGATAAACTCTTATCATACTGTCACAGACGCAGGTCATCATCTTGCGAGACATGATGCGTATCACTGTTATCAGAACGTTCTCGTTGTCCAATCGATACAGAAAGAAAAATATTTATGTGGAGAAAACTTTTTTGGAAGTTTTTTTTTACTTAATAGTGGCTGTAAACATCTTCCTCGTCGGGATCACCTCCATCAAGTCCGACCTAAAGTTAAAAAATTTTCATTAGGCTTGTTGAATAAATGAAAGAAAATGAGCCCACCGTTGAAATTTCAAATTTGCCTTTCTTTTCTGTGAAAATCTCACCTCTTCATAGTCTTTTTCCAGGGCAGCGAGGTCTTCACGAGCTTCACTGAACTCTCCTTCTTCCATTCCTTCACCGACGTACCTTGAAAATGTTTTTAAAAACTTGATAGAGAAATATTTCTTACCAATGTACAAAAGCTCTTTTCGCATACATGAGATCGAATTTGTGGTCCAGTCTGGCCCAGGCTTCAGCAATCGCCGTTGTATTTGAAAGCATGCAAACAGCTCTGTGCAATTTGGCCAGATCGGCTCCTGGCACGACTGTTGGCGGTTGATAGTTTATTCCAACCTTAAATGGTTCCGAATATATTTCTTTCGCTGCCCAAACCTTGAATCCTGTTGGGCACCAATCTACAAATTGAATCGATCTCTTGGTTTTGACTCCAGCAATAGCAGCATTCACATCTTTTGGAACAACGTCGCCTCGGTAAAGAAGACAGCAAGCCTGAAATGGTGAACTTCAAAAAAAGGTTCTTGGACAACTACCATGTATTTTCCGCGCCTCGGGTCACATTTTACCATTTGGGCTCCAGGTTCGAAGCACTGTTGAGTGATCTCGGCTACCTTAATGATTCAGAAGTCGTCAACATGAAAACTAGTCCAGTTCAAAAAAAAAAAGAATTGAAGATATAAAACTCAGCAGCCATTTTTTTTTAGCTTCTTCTCATAGCAGAGAAAAAAAAATTGAAAAAATCAAACCGTCATTTGCTCGTGGTAAGCTTTTTCCGCAGAAACGATCGGTGCATATGTCGTAAGTGGGAAGTGAATTCTAGGGTACGGTACCAAGTTTGTCTGTAACAAACGAAGTTCAACAATCTTCCTCTTCCATTTTCACTTGAAACTCCGTGAGATCGACGTTCAACGCTCCATCGAATCGTAAAGATGCCGTTATTGAGCTTATGACCTGTAACATGCAATTTGGATGGCTTTATCAGATTTTCTCCACCTGAGCTATTAGTCTGTTCAGGTTAGTGTAAGTTGGCCGAGCGAGGTCCAGATTACGACGGCAGATGTCGTAAATGGCTTCGTTGTCGACCATAAAAGAGCAATCCGAGTGTTCAAGTGTGGTATGGGTCGTCAAAATTGAGTTATAGGGCTCTACCATCGATGTTGAGACCTGAAACTCTTTGCAAAATTATAAGTTTAGAAAAATAATATTGACTTCGAATCAGTATAAGCAAAAACAGTTATTTTGGATTTCCGAGAGCAAATTATTATCTTCGTCCTTTTATTTGAAGACCTGCATAAAAATTGGGTTTTTTGCTGCCTTTTGAAACAGAAAAGAGCTTTGAAGGACAGAAATCGAGTTAACTTATTACCGACAGAACATCTCTAAATTTTACACATTTTTTTTGCTTTTGGGCATCCAACCAATTTTTCTCGATAATTTTCAGACATGAGAGGTAGCCTCATAATTCTTCCTGGAAAATCACTTCATTCTTTCTACTTAGACTAAAATCTCACTTGTGGTGCGGGATACACGCAAAACTCGAGTTTGCTCTTCTTTCCGTAGTCAACTGAGAGTCGCTCCATAAGTAAGGCTGTGAATCCTGAACCAGTTCCACCACCAAAAGAATGAAAAACGAGGAATCCCTGAATTTCCGGACAAAATTCAAAAAAAATGAACAAAAACGCACTTGTAGGCCCTGACATTGTTCGACGAGCCGTCGGACCCGGTCGATGACGACGTCGATGATCTCCTTGCCGACCGTGTAGTGGCCGCGGGCGTAGTTGTTCGCCGCGTCTTCCTTTCCGGTCAGTAGCTGTTCAGGATGGAATAATCCTTTGTAGGTGCCGGTGCGGATTTCATCTGAAATTTTTTCTCATTTTATTAACGAGGAAGGTCATTTTGCTTTGCCTAACAATCGGCCAGGGCATTCCTTGATGTACCAAATGAAGGCACAGAAAGTCTCAACTTGGTCAAGTCTCTAGATTTCAAAAAAAAACATCTCATAGTCAAAATTTTGCAGGTTGAGACCTGCAGGAGCTTTTCTTGGTGTATCAGGGAGCTCCCTGACCAATTTTCGAGAAATTCCAAACCCCCAAGTAAAATGACCTTCCTTGCAAGCTTTCAATAGTTTCATAATAGTCCTCAATTCTCATAGAACAATTTTCGTCGCAAATTATTTATTTGTTGGTTTTGAATAAGAAAATCAAGTCGACCCTTTCTTGAACAGCTCCAATTAAAAAATTATTAGAAAAGCTCCGTTTTTATCCTCCACTAATACCTGAGTTTTGAGAGGTTAAGTAATGGGAGGTGCCATTATGTCACGCGCTATTGAATTCGGGACTCGGATTTAGGACCAAGAGGAAAGGCTAAATCGCGAAGTGTTTCTGCTGCGTCTCTCACAACAACTATAATTGCCGGCAGGGCTCTTTTCCTCTCGTCCGATTGAGCTTCAAAAAGGCCCAAGAAGGCGCGCAGAAGCTCAAGTGGCTGTAATAATTACCGATCGGAGTGGGTTCCAAGTCGACCATGATCGCCCTTGGGACGTGTTTTCCAGACATCGTTTCCGAGAAGAAGGTGTTGAATGAATCGTCTTCCAATCCTGAAAAAAAAAATGGTTTTTGACGATTTGGAACTATAGCATCTTGGTGGTTATACAAGGAGTTTCAGAAGTTTTAAAAATATTCTCGCGTTCAAGAAAAAAATCTTCAAGTTATCATTTATGTGCTTGATATCTTGTAAAATTATTAAGGATTTTTTTCAACTGCTGACTTTAAATTTTCCATGGCATGCAGTCGTTTTTTTCAGAGAACTCTAAAGTTCGGAACAGAACGCATTTTTTTTAAACCGTCATTTCTCTATTTTTTTTGTTGATAGAATGCGGTTTTTTTTGTCTCATCTATCCAAAAAGTTAAGATATCTTAAAAAGATGTACATAAGCATGTTAGCGGGAATATCTGATGAATAAAGAGACGATCAAAGATGAAATTTCATACAAATGGGATACTCAGTACAATTCCAAGAAAAAAAAAACCTAAGCTGTCGTCTTCTGACATCATCCCGTTCGGTTGGATTCCATGTTCAAGACAGTAAAGTTCCCAGCAAGCATTGCCCATTTGGACTCCAGCTTGTCCCACGTGGATGGAGATCACTTCGCGCTGAAAATCCACAAATTTAAAAGATTGTTTGAAAATTTGAAGGTCTCCAATTTTTTGTAAGTTATTAGAAAATTACATTTTTGACAATACGAGGTTTTTGAATATTTTCAGAGCCGCTTTGAACAATCATTTTCAAATTTTTTTTGGCTAGAATCAAGGATTTTTATCGTCTTCTTCTCAAAGGGAAGTTTCTGAACTTTGAAACGACATTCTACTAAAAAAAAGGAGTTTTTCTTTTGCTTGTTGCTTTTCTGATCATGCCCCCATTGAATATTGCCTTAGGCCAGCAGTGAATAAACCATTAACAAAATGAAGTTTTTCCACTAAAAATCTCAGATTAAACTTTGAAATCTGAAAACACTCACTGCACGGCTGTAGACCATTTTGAGACGGCTAGCTTGAGTTCGGAAAGTAGCTGGAGCTCAAGAATGTGCCGTTTAGGGCGGAGCAGGCGAGCGCGAGGTAATCGCAGTCTCCTGGATACGTTCAATACGTTCTCATGAGATGAATACTTCAAGTCACCTGCACACTCCATTTCCGTGGCCATATTTGTATCAGAGATGCTCCGAAAGATTTTTCATGAGAAGAAAAGAAAAAAACCAACGGAAAGCCTTGAAAAATCTTAGTTAAAAATTGGTGGAGATAATTGGAAAGGCTCAGTGGTTTTTATTTTCTATTTGGAGTTTTTATCTCAAAAATTCAGAATAATGGTAGAAGAGCGATCAAAAACGGTTCCTCTGAAGTTTTCTCCATCTTGAATTATTTTTGAAACCAGTTGATTTTTTCTACATTTGGCTTATTAATAAGCGTCTGAATTGTTGAGAAAATGAAAAAATCAGATGGAACCCTCTCAACCTCGTGATGCAGACCGCTGGACGTTTTTTACACGTCAGAAATGAATCATTTTGAATTTTCAAGCAAAGGAACACCATTAAACTTTAAAGAAAAAATCTAAAAGAACTCTGAAACAGGAATAAAATCTTAAAGAAGCAGTAATAAATTGGGTTCAAAGTGTCCAACCCTTGCAAACACCAAACTTCCAAAAACATGTCATCTGTGAACTAGACGGTTTAGTACAGCAATCGGGTGTGGCGACGTCCAAAAACTCTCGGAACGTGATAGAGTCTTACCGGTTTGATAAAAATCCTTGGCAGTAGTTAAAAAAACTGTTCAAAGTGCTACGGTCAAACGGAAAAAGGTGCAACGAACCCAGCGGAAGTCATTCTTCGAGGGAATGCTTTTCGGACAAAGTCTTTTGATAACGATTCTTCTAATTAAAGAGCGTGGCAGGTGGCGTAACGCAACCCGTTCCTCCGTCGGCAATTTGTCGTCTTCTCGTGAGGTGTGTCCTCCTTTTGAGGCTTTTTCGGGATTCTTGTTTAAATGAACCTCCGTCAAAAATGAATATCTATTTTTCGAATCTTGCCCTTTTTATTAGTATTCCTTTCCCTTTGGGGTTTCTTCTCAGGGGTATTTTAATTCTTAAAGAAAAAATCAAGTTCTATCTCCATTTTTGATTTTTTGCAGCTTATCAAACTTTTCCGGATTTTCTCGAGAAGAAATTTTTTCCTGACTTGCAATTTTTCTTAGATCACAAGTAGTTATACGATAGAATGTGTCACGACTTCACTTTTCCTTTCTACACATTGTTCCTCGATTAATCATTGTCAGAAAAAAAATTAGATCTACTTTGTTTTTTAAACATGTTTTCCTCCGTTCAAGGACAATTACGTCACAGATTCGTTGAATTCTTGTATTCGTTCATGACAAAGTTCTTCAAATGTTCATGAATCATCCTCAAGTCTCATTCAATCGTATTTCGCTCTCCTTGAATACTCTGCGACTTGCAGGTTGACTGTCCGTTTCGTCGAATTGAGAGCCGCCTGAAAATTTTTTTTTGATTTTCCAACTGTTGTGAATGAAGTGTTCATAAATGTGAATGCTGTTTTTCGCCATTGTTTTTTTGCTATGCTCCGGCTTCGGATCATCTCACAAGCACTTTGTGAGACAAAAGTCTCAAGAATTTCAAAGCATTATTCGTCAGAAAATCAACGGGAACAACGTTCAACAGGTAAAGTTCAATGAAAACTCTCGTTTATTTTGAAATTTCAGTGTCCATGTGTACTGCATCCAGAAAGCAAGAAGTGCATTTCCTATGACTCAAGATACTTGGCTGTAAACATTGAAGAGGCGATGCTCACTTTTCTTGATCTCAGACTGCCAACCTACGAGCATCCGTTCTATGTTAGTTACTTCCATTTGCAGACTTCTTAAAAGAAATTCAAATTTTGCAGAACCCTCAAACTGCTTTCAGCTGCGTATCGCAAGAGTGCCGGAACTGTTTTTCTGCCCTTTATTATCAACTTCAAAGAGTAAACTTCATACCTCGGGGATATCGGTACTTGAAATTTTTGGATTGACTAACATTCACTTTTTTTTTGGAACTTCAATTCCTCTTCTACCCCAAGCGAGTGTGAGACCGGACCTTTGTGCAAGGTTCAATTTTCGGCCAAGTTTCAAGGTTTGACTTTTTCCTTCCCTAGGTGTTCAGATTGAATTTCAAGCTTCATTCCGTATTAAATCTAAAGTCTTTAAGAGCAGCAATAAGCTTAGTTTGTCTTGGAAATATTTTCTCTGTCTAATGAAAGTAGCTTCGTTTTTTTTTCATCAAACATTTCGAGCATATTCTTTAAGTTTCGAGATGAGTTTTTTTTCATTTTTATGACTGATTTTCTCTGATTTTTTTAAAAATCAAAATAAGTTCCCATAAGAATAAGAAAAGACCAATGCATAAAATGCCGTTCGAAGAAGCTGAAAAGCTTACCAGATGCTATCTTTGACAGCTGATAAAGTCATCACGTAGACTCTTTTTTACCTTTTCTAGGCCAAGCTGTAGTGTGAAGATAAGAGAAATTCCAATGTTTTCGAGTATAAAAACGAACTGACTGACTCGAGAATCAGTTTGGTATAATCATACCATGATTTTTTTCACGACTACTCTTTTTCTCTGATGGTCCTAAAACTCTTCCTGTTAAATTTTCGCCTTTCAAACTTATTTTCAAGAAAAATTTGGCGGTAAATATTCAATCGAAAAATCAATTCAGTTTTTTTATTTCATGAAGTAATTTTTACTGAAAGTTTTAGATATGAAAAACGAGTGATTTTTCCTGTGGTCTAACCTTCAAAATTTATGCATTTTTAGTTATTTAAACCTTTTGAAAAAATTTGCAGGTTCTGATTTTCAAGCTTCAAATCGTTAATGAGCGTCAAACTTTCAATAAATAGGTTCAGCTGAGAATTTTGAAATTCTAACTTGTTTTCTGTTTGACGAGCATCTGAAAGACTCGTGGTTTATTTTTTTTTCCTATGATAGGGCAGCGGCAGGCGGATGATTTTGAACTGATGGGTTTTTTGACACAGTCTGTTAGTTCTAAAAATCCCGACTTTGAGCATTTTTTAATTTGAGCAAGAGAAGAGGTATGATAGGATGCTGTTATTTTCTATTGAAAAGATTTTTTTTAAACATTTTTTTGTTTGAAGGAATGTTTGTTTCTGTTCAGACTTCAAATTAATTATCTATAAAAAAACTATAGTTGATTTATCCTTACTAGGGAACATTTTTGGACCCTCGATTGAACTTTTAATGGAACTTTGCTGAAATGTACTTTAGGACCCACTGATTGCAGAACAAAAAAATTCTTGTTTTCGAGTTAAGACACTTCAAAAGTTCGAAATGTTTTTAACAAGCTTTGAAGCTTCATAACTCAAAAACAAGATCTATTTGAGTATTTTTCCGTTCTGAAATCAAGAGGTTTCAAAATACACTTCAGCAGCGTCAAAAGTTCAACCGGAGGTAAAAAAAAACCTTTTCTAGTTCGTTTCAAACGGTAGAAACTGTGAAGACTATGAGATTTTGAACTTCTCGCTGAATTTTTCGTAACCATCAGTGAATAGAGCAGCCTCATTACCGATCAAAAGCTGTTTCTTTTTGAATAGAACGAGTCTAAGAGCTGAATCTAAAAGTCGAAACTGCTTCATGATTTTTTTTTTGTCGAACAGGATGAACCCCTAAAAAATTGTGCTCTTGTAAAAGCAGCGAAAGATTGCTAATGGGATTTCATCAACGCGCAGCCGATCCTTCGAAATAAATCCTTTTCATCGGAAAGCATTTGACAAACCCGTGTTATGTTTTGTTTCCATATCATAGGACAGCATCAGGTGGATAGACTTGAACCAAAACATTCTCAGAAACAGCTTCCCGTGCCGGCCGAGATCCCTTCTTACGTGCAGAGTCTGGTGCAGGCCGGCGAACGTTATCACGCGACGCACAGCGGCCGACGCTCGCAGCAGCAACAGCAGTCAGTTTTTCACTTCCGTTTTCTTTCCCATATGACCGGCCGCCTGGCGCCAAAAAATTTAGAGTCGCCGCTTTCCAGTGGTCAGCTCCCTTGCTTTTTATCTCGTTTCACGTAACTTATACTTTCAGAAAACAAACTTTTTTGTGTTTTTTCTCTCCTTAAAAAGAACGGAGATTTTTACACACGTCTATGAAACTTGTTAATTGCTGTCTTGGAGTAATTAGACTTTAAGTGGAATGCATCGCGGTCGCGCTGCGGTCCGAATCCATTCAATTTTAACATAATCTTTTTAAGTTCGGTTTTTGAAGGATTTTTGATTTTTTTAATATATTATTTAGATAGAACCTTCTCAGTCACTTCTGACACAAACTTCAAGTTGAATTTTCTAGTTTCGAAATTTTGGTTTTCTTGACTTTTGAGTGAAAATTCACAACAACAAAAAAACTATTCTGCAAAAGTAGAAGATTGCATTTCTCGCCATTACAAGAGATTTTTGTCTGGATTCAGAGTTTTGGAACAAGTATTGAGAAATTCATTTTCAAAACATCAATTTTATCTCCTTTTTGATAATGCTGACAAAAATAAATTTCCATTTACAGATCCAACTCTCTGTCAGCTTCTGCAGCTTCAGCTTCAGCAGCGGCTGCTCAACAATTTCGGAACCTTCAACAAATTCAACAGCGACAGAACATTGCAAGACAAAATAACTTGAACGCCCAGAGAATCCAACAAGAACTTCAACGTCAACGCCAACAGTTCCAAAACCAACAGCAGCTCCAACTCCAACAAGAACGACAACGTCAATTCCAACAGCAGCAATTCCAACAGCAACAGTTTTTGGCACAACAAAGACTACTGCAGCAACAACAACAGCAGCAGTTTTTGGCCCAACAGCAGAGGCAATTATTAGCCCAACAGCCACAGACATCGCCCCAACTTCAGTGGAATGGTGAGATTTGTTTGAAAGAATACAAGAATCCATTCCTTCTTGTCTTTGTTTTAATCTCACGAACGTTTTCAGGCCGATTTTGGCAATCTGTTCAAAACCCTCAGGTTTCACAAGCGACGGGTGAGTCTTCCGATTCAAAGATTTTTCGAGAAATAACCTTCTTAGCGACCGCAGCCGCCTCCCAACCATGGAACGGTGTCGCTGGAGAACAGCAATGGGGAACGGGAACGGCAGTTGCAACGGGACCTGTTATTCCTCCGGCAGCGACTGCTCCAGCGGCTCCAGGCTGGGGCAGCTGGCTCGGCGGTTTAGGGAACATCGGCGGAGGATTCGGTGGAGGCGGCGGTGGACAGAAGGATCCTCTTCATGCTCTTCTCAACACCATCATTATCAGTGAGACGTTGAATCATTCATGATTTTGACTAAAACGCGTCCAAGCCGTATCTGAAAATTAAGTAAAAGCCAGAAATATTTTTAGGCTTCGAAATTCTCATGTTTGAACTTTTCCAGAAAGGACAAAGCGAGCGAACGACGTTATCGGCAGAAGTTTCCAGTTAAGCTGCACCAACCGCGGAGAATCGGAAGACGACAAACTCAACTTATGCGGTACAGTCTTTTCAGATTTTGAATGTCAAGTTGTCGCTCAAGCTCCGCCCATAATGGTGCAATGAACCAATCAGAGAGCGAGCCATCCACAGAGTGTTTTTGAATGACGTCATTGCACTTGACATTAAAAATCTGAACAGACTATATGAAAACACTTCTTTTTTCCGTTTGCTGTCAAATCGTAAAAAGGAACAATGAAGCTAACAGTATCTTTAGTACACGGAAGCAGAAACCCATATTAAGTTTCAACGTTTTTTTTTTCCAGGGACGTGCTGGACTTGGCGTCAGCTGCCCGAGAACTACTTCCCTCGTATCATCAACGAGTTGAGCTGCAAAGAAGACGACTTCTGTCTGTCTGGTGAGTCACTTCACTACGAAATTCCACTTCAAAGAGTGATCATCTTAGGAACTCCAAAGTGGTCCCAATAGGGAAAACCTTAGAGTCCTTTGGAGGGCCAAAAAAGGGCCAAAAATGACCTTTTTTGAATAAAATTGAACGGTCCCTGTAGGCACCACCTAAGCTTTAAGGACGGAGGGGACAGACTCTAAACTTCTCTGAAAAGTCTCTATAGAAGCTACTCTAAAATTCCTAAGATTGAACTAGAAATTCTTGTTCACAGTTTCGAGAGAAATAGATAATCAGGAAAATTACCGTTGATCGAAAATCTGGTGCAACGATCGACTTCATAGCCTCTTATAAGCTCATTTTCGCTTTACTCCTAGAAGAGTCACAAACGAAAAAATATTCCCGCCCTTGACTTTTTCAAACCTCACTGATAGTACTTATAAACCAATTTAAAGTTTCAAACTCAGTGTGTTTTTCCATAAAAGGCTAGAAAAAAAGCAGCTGTAGAGCTATTTTCGTACGGTAGGCGAAAATGAACTAAAAATAAGCCTTGTTGAAAAGACGTAAATATTGGAAAAACTAAAAAAGTGTTCAATTTTCCTGAAGGCTGGGGCGAGTGTGCGCAACAGTACCGCAATGTGGACGTGATGCGCAACGAAAACGGACGTTGGATTCCGACGGTGATCACAACGGCCACGTGTTGCGACTGCCGTGTTCGCGCGGGAACTGAAATCCACGCACTCGTCGTTGGCGGCAAAAAATGACTCTCCCAAAAAAGTCACTTCATTTCCTTTGTTTCCCGTGAATCTTTGTGATATCTCTTCCATTCGTCCCTTATTCTCTATCGCCAATGTAACCATATTATTTGTTCATACTTGAATATATATTTAATCTTAGTACCTGTCAGAATCATTATGGCTTTGTAGAAACTTCCGAAAAAAATTCTTGTAAATTCTTTAGAAATTTTTTTAAATTTTTGCAAGTTCCTTAATTCTGAAATTTTCTCTCGTTTTGCAATATTATATCTGTCACTATTTTGATGTGAAATAATAAACAATTGAATTGAACAAAGACAGCTAACAATTTTTATGATGGTTCTGATTAGAAAAAAACGGAAGAAAAAAACATTTCTGAGATAGTTTGATGTGAACTTCTGGAGGAGGAGAAAAAAAGATTTCATTCAAGTTTGAGGTTAAAAAAATTGTTTTCCATTTTTTCAAGTTTCAAGATTATGAAACAAACTCCGTATTACGCAAAATGGAAGAAGTGCGAATTTTTTGCGTTGTCTGCATTTTTGCGCCCAGCCGATAACATACTGTTGATGGATGCTCGTTCGTCGCAGGTATACGACATTCATGACCTCTAATTTTTGGGTTTTGTGTCTTTCTCAATTGTTCGTGTCATTTTTTTGATTCCGAAACTTTATTCGTTTCTTTTTTAAATTTTATTATCAGTCCCTTTCCTCTACACGCATTGGATTCATTACAAAAATTTCTATTTAATGGTCAAATTGTATAAGTAAAAAAACAACTTTGATTAATATAAAAACACATCACATGAGAACCTAAGAAGCCTCAACTTCTTGTAAAAAAATAAAGCCAAGTGTTTTTGCTGGTTGTTGATGTTTTGGTGTTTATATTAATCTCTACTTTGCCATTTTTTTCACACAATCTCCACGCTTTTCGGCTTAATTTTTACGAGTTTCACAAGATTTTGTGGTAGTTATCAAGCTGAAACTTGATTCAAAAGAGAAAAATCATAAAGCAAATTGTTTTTGAGAACTTTTCATGGAAACAACATCAACTTTTTTTTGATTATGGAAAGTGGGAGTTGTGGGAAAGTTCAAAAAAAGTTAACTCTTTTTCTTTTTGAAACTTTAAGCACACCTCATTCACAGAAAACATTTTTGTTTTTTGTTTTTCTCATTTGGAAAGAAAAATATTTTTGTCGTTAGAGGATTACCGTCCAGATAAAGTATTGTTCATTCGCTCTTATTTTCCAGTATCATACAGATTTCTTTCAGATGGCCGCAGCAACCGTCGAAACTGTCGGCGAAAAGCTGTCCACCATAAAAGTCAACGGCGTGAGACCATCGGAAAAAGCAGTGAGAAAAGTGGCCGGAAGGTACAACGTGGAATTGGGAAACATCACTACGCACAATGTCCTGGTGAATTTTTTGATAATTTTCCTCTTATTCATAACCTTCATTTACAGCAACTGAAAAAGCTGAATGAAGCGGTGTTTCCAGTGGCTTATAACGACAAGTTTTACATTGAGGTTTTTTTATATTTTTTTCTTACACTAAAGAATTCTGGAAATGAATTTCTTTCTGTACATAAAAAAATTTACCAAAAAAATTTTTGAATATAGTAAAAAAATCTGAATACAATAACTTCGATTTGAGCCGATTTGAACATTAAAAAAATGATGAGAAACGCTCTTTGTATCACTCAAAAAGGCAAAAAAATCACGGAAAAATTTTTTTATTTCTTGCATTGGTTAATTTTAAAAGTGGATATCAAAAAGATCTTTGAAAAACATACCTTTTAAATTTTTTTAAGTACCTGAAGTATTAAAAAAATTTAAAAAGGTCCGTTATGAATTACAGGTGACTTCTGCTGGAGACTTGGCAAAAATAGCTTATTTCAACGACGTCGTTGTTGGAGCCGTTTGCTGCCGTTACGAGACAATGTGTGATGAGAAGTCGCTCTACATCATGACTCTGGGAACACTGGCACCTTACAGAAGGTTTTTTTTTGTTCAAATTACTTTCAAACTTTTCGGGCAAAGTCGGTATTGTGGATAGTGGCCGCTGAAAGAGACGGGCTCAAAAAAAAGGCCGCAGAAAGGCAGCAAAAAGAGTTTTTTCATCAAGTCTTCGTGTTTTCTAAAATTTTATGGTTCAGGAAGTGGTGGAAAAAAGAGAGCCAGTAGAAAAGGCTCATGAAAATCTATAAAATGGCGCGAAAGGGCAGCAAAGAAGGAGCCTTTTTCACCCCAAACGGAACATTTCTATGGAAATTTTTCCCACCTTTTCCGACGGAACAAATTAAAAAGTCATGTTATTTGAAAATCAAAGCTTAGAAAAACTGTGTGGGGTCTTTTTTCCCACTATGACCTGTTGATATAGACAAAGATGAGCGTTTCTGTTTTTGATAAAAAATTTTTGTTGCAGATACGGTGTTGGAAAGCTGCTTCTTGACCACGTCTTTGAACACTGCGAGAAGGATCCATCTATCAAACGAATTTGTCTCCATGTTCAGGTAGGATATTTCTTTTCGAACTTATTGAGTGCTTCTGAAAAATTAAACAGTAAGATCTGAATAGCCAAAAAGTCCTTTCTATCTGTTTTGGAAATCCGTTTTTTTAGAATGTACATTTCTTAGAATAAGTTTTATAAGAAGCATTTGAATATAGATTTTGGAAAGTTTAATTTTTTAGAGTTGAAAACTTCTTTATCTTCCTTGAAATGAACTTCAAAATCGTTCGAATGCAGATCCCTAAGATTAGTTCCCAAAATTGGCATTTCGGTCGGATCATTGCAACTCAGAGGCCCTTTATTGCTCTGAAATTAGAGCCGATTCGATTTTTAAAAAGCGATTGTGTCAAAAAAAAATTTGGAAGCCAGTCGAAATCTTCTATTGAAATTCTGAAAATATTTTCTTCAAGAGCTGTTAATTTTAAAACTTGTTTCAGGTCAACAACACGACTGCTCTTGAGTTCTACGACAAACATGGATTTGAAAACAAAGAACTTTGTCAAAATTATTACCGCCTAGAACCAAGCGAAGCTTACCTTCTCGTCAAGAAAATCAACTGAAACTTTTAGAGTTCTTAGATTTTTTGTTCATTACGACCCTGCTCAATCAACACTTTACTACAGTGCCCCTTATCCATTCTGTGCTAATACTATACTACCTTTGCGTTTGTTCTAAGTGCTTTTATTATCTTCCTCAGTTCTTAAATGTCATCTTGGGATTTATCTTAACCATGCGCCTTTTGATATTTACGTTGGTTTAGCCGTACGATATTACTTATTCCAAGGTCATAAGTTTGTTATTATTGGTAAACGCTGGTCATTTTATTGTGTTTTATTCCGTTGTTGATGAAATGTTGTTCCTGTTGATGACAAAGAAGCGCTTCATAAAAATAAAAAAATAATCCGGAAAAAGTTGAATGGATCATAAACAATCTTCAATTATTCTCCCAAAACTTATAGTGTCCTCATGGAAAAAAAAATTCAGAAAACTCAGAATTATCATCTTCATTTGTAATGGAGAGTTACATATTCAAAACCCTTCTATTTCACTAAAAAAAGGATTCCAGCAGAATGAAAAAATTCCATCAGTTAGTTTTCAAATCGAACATCCCACTCAACTCGATAAGTATTATCTTCATTCTGAAACGGAAATCTTATTTTTTGTTTCTCTGCGTTGTATTGAGATACACGTCATTAGGTGAAGCATAGGATGGTGTCCATATTCTTTTCTGCCACAAAAGGACATTCGAGATAAGATTTGATGACTGAAAAGCACACAGACGCAATACATTGTAAAACGGGGCGTTTTGCGGCGTCCTCAATCTCATATCACTTCTCACGATGGCATTGCTAATCAAAATTCAGCGAGTACTGTAGATCTTGCTTTGATTTTTGATATCAGATTTATTGAAGGCATAGTTTCTTGGTATTTTTTTTCTTCCTGTAATCACTTCTTTTCAAATTTCAAAGTCGTTTTTGAAAGTTATTTTATTATAGATCTGAAAAAGTGGTTCAATTTTCTGAAAATGATCTGAAGTAATATTTGAAAGACTGAATCCTGAGCTATTTTGACAGTTCGTTCTCGAAAACTTAACATGATTTTTGGAAGAGTAGGTCAAATTCAAAAAATCATAGAGCTCCGTGTGAAATCAACTACTTGGAAATTTTCGAAATTATCTTCTTTGAGAAAACTTTTCAAAGAGAATGCTTTTTCTGAATTCTACGCTTCCCGATCTATATAACGCGTTCCTGATTTGAGAACACTGTATAGCCGAAATTCGAATTTTTATTTTATTTGGGAGCTCTGCAAAAAAATCTGTTTTCAAAATCTGAATTTTGCTTCTCTTAAACAAATTTCTTTAATCGTTTCAACAAAAGGCGAGTAAAATCAATCCAATAAACGAGTCCTGTCTTTATTCTAGCGGAGAATTTTCATTGTCGGCAGATAAGGCTTGCCACGACTGAAAAGAGGTGTGCCGCTGCCCGGCTTCATATCACTAGCAGCCAAATTCCATTTCCACTCAGCTCCTGCGCTCCGAAAATTGCTTGTAGGGAGAATAAAAATGATTTTTTTCAGGTAAGGCTATGCGGACGTGGCTGCTTCTGGCGGCCGCGTGTGCCGTCGGCTGGGCGGCAGTTGACGATGACAAGGAAATTGTGCGCAGAGGTTTGGATTGCAAAAGAATTTTGAAAATAACTTTAAACTTCAGTTCTGCAATCTTGGACACATGGGCGGCCTACCACTTACTCAGAATTTCCTATGAGTCCTGCTCATGTTGATCTTGATGCAGACACTTCGTTCATGGTACTTTTCTTGAAAACTGATATTTCGCAGGAAAAATTTAAAGGGAGATCATCACATTTCAAAACGCTCATTGGGAAACGTCTACGCCGGTTCTGTAGTCGGTCAGTCGTGCCGAACTCCAGGACTCACTGGAGCGAACTGCGAATTCCGTAAGAAGCGCCTTCAAAAATGAAGCAGAATCTTTTGTTTTTTCAGCGATTTGCGGAGAGCGCAACATGCAAATTCCTAACAACCCAGAGTCCGACTTGGTAAAATTTTTTCAACCATAAATTCATGTCAGAAAGTTCTTGTAGGTCAGCATCGACGCAGCTAACTTGGCAAACTGCTCGGAGTCTTACGTGGTGGTTGTTGATGAGACGATGTTCGATATCAACATCGAAATCGAGACTAACCTCGCCATTCAGCCCAGCTTTGTTCTGACAGCTGCCGATGGTGAGAAAGAAAAATGAACAGGGAATATCTTCCACTGAAAAATTTCCCTTTTCACTTCAGGAAAAAGAAAGATCACATTTCTAGTTGACTGTTTTTGAATATAAAACTTATCCTATACATTTTTTAAAACCATTTTAAAATTTGAAGTTTTGTTCAAAAACCCAAATCGCGCAGGAACAACTACCTTGCCAACAACCTCGATCCCGACGCCGTCCTCCTTCTCAGCTAGCTACTCATTTCTGGCTCCCGGACTCTACGTTCTCAGCCCACGTGCCGACGTTGACACGACTTACTGTACCATGATCATGACCGTATGCAGAAATGAACTTTCCGAAATCTCAGCAAAAAATTTCAGGCAAAGACCAGATTGACAGTTATCGGAGGTTTCACGAGCGGACCGGATGGCTTCCGATCCGATTTCCCTACCTACAAATACGCTTACTTTGACACGATCTCAACTGTCGTCAACCATGTGAATGGACTCGAATACCCAGCTCAACTTCAGACCATTGGCTTCACCGGAGAACAAAACGTGACTAATTCAAGCAGAAACAGATCTTAAGAGAGAATTTCAGCATGTGACTCGCTCGGTCCCTTTCACCACTCGATTCAACTGCAGTTTCCCATACGCCTACGAACGATATACCTGTAGCAAAAATACTCCAAACGATATCGCTCACAACTTTTACAGGGTACTTATAGGGATAAAATCACAAAGTTCTTCATTTTTTGTTTAGGTTGAAGGAGTCACTTTCCAAGGATTCAAGTTTCGACGAATTGTTCCTTATCAATGCGTCTGTAAGTTTACTGAAAAAATGATAAAGCAGATCATAAAAAAATTAGGTTCAAATTCGATACGAAGCTTTTTCAGTACCGTCATCACAACCTTCTTGTAAAGAATTCAATCTGCCTGATAGTTTCTGAAGCTGCGTTTTTTTCTGATAACTCAAACTTGATCAGAGTGTTAAAAATAATGGTCATCACAACTCCAGGATGTTTCAGGAAGGTTGAATTCCTTACAAAAAAAAATTTGATCAAAATTCGGTTTTTTCGTACTGTTTTGTAGTCGTTTTGTAGTCTGAAATCAATTGAAAAAAAACTTCCGAATGAAAATATTACTGAAAACATGACTTGAAGTGCCTCCACCAACCACCACCGCGGCAGTGATGACCACTACCGCACCAGGACCCGTCACTACATGTAAAAATGGAGGCCAGCTGATCAAGAACACTGACGGAACGTCTTATTGCTATTGTATCGGCTACTTTGGTGGAAGCGACTGCGGCGTTCGTCAGTGTCTGAATGGAGGTAAGGAAAATGAATAAATCTTTGAATAAAGAAGATGCTCAGGAGTTCTCCCTTCACCGGATAGCGACCGTTGCACATGCCAGCAAGGCTTCTCCGGCTTCAGCTGCGAAACAAGTGCGTTAAAAGTTCTTAACAATTTTTAGGAGAAAAAGAGATTTCTTTCAAAAAAAAAAATGTTCTGATTCATTTTTGGAGAGAAACAGAAAGATATAAAGCAATTCAGTTGTCTGCATGGACAATGCTGGATACGAATTCGATGCTGAACATCCAACACTCACTTTCGTTATTCGAACAAGAGCTGAACTTTCAAATGTCGTTGAGCAGGTAATAAAGATGTATTATTAGGAAAAAAATAAGATAAGAAAAAAATATGATTGAGTTATTTTCAACGATTGAACGTTTTTTTATGATGATTTTTGAAACGTGTATGCTGAGTTTTGAAACGGATTCAATGATTTTGAAACTGATTGGTGATGAGATATGATAAGGGAAAGAAAGATAACTTTCAAGTTTTCCAATTTCATTTTTAGCAGCAGAAACAGTTGCAAAAAGGAAGCGATAAGCAAGGAAAATAAATAACAAAGTCTTCAAATTTTAGTTTGTCAACGCGACCTCTCAAATTGTGAACGATTTGAGTTTCGCCCCCAACTATCTGCGGAGCTACATCGTTGTTCTCTTCAATAACAATGGTCTGTGTAGCTCGAAAATTCAAAGAAAAATTTCGAACTTATCCAGCTCTACTTCTCAACAAGAGATACGACACCTACGGAGCAGCTCTCACCGACCTCAACAAAGCCATTCACACTGCGCCAAGCGATGGATCTTGCGATGACTCTACTTTCTCGGCTATTGCGTGAGTTTTCCCGAGAGTTCTTCATACAAAAATCATATTGCAGAGCTGCTCTTTCACAGTATCCGGACAGCAAATCTCCGGTTTACGTCATCACTGATGCCACTCCCAGTGACAGTGCCGAGAAAGAGACCGTTTTCCAACTAGAGTCGTTCTACAGAGCACCGGTTTGAGATTAGACTAGAAATTAAACACAAATTTTCAGATCTACTTCATTTATATCACTCCTCCTCCAAGTGACAACTGCAATACTTCGCCTGAAAATGCTGGATACCGTGATTATCTGGATATTGCCACTCGAACCAGTGGTCATGTCTATTATTTCAGCAATCGAACCAACATTTATAACGTGGAGTGTCTTCTGATATTTAATTTTATCGGATGCTTTTTAGTTTGCCTACCAACACATGCTAAACACGCTCTACCGCTCGCAACTTCTTTTGTCCAACGATTTCGCCGTCTGCGGATATCAGAACGTTTACAAATCGGTCGCCATTGATTCTGATGTCGATTCCATTGTGGTTGTCGCTACTGGACGTATGTTGAAGATAATCTGAGAAATAGGGATTTGAATCTCAGGAAACGCGCAGCTGCTTATGACCAACCCATTGAATACTCGAATTGACTTCAATGTCATGTTCAGCGACGGTTTCAATCACATTTGGTATGTTATCGTTACTTAAAAAATTGTGGAGAAGGTTCGATCGGTTTCAGGGAAACTAGACAAACCCTCGTCGGACAGTGGTTCTTCAACATCATCACTCAGTCCCCATCCTCAGCCTGCAGTTTCCGAGTCTACCAGAAGAAGTTCAACAATGCCGGTTTGATGAAAAATCATTGTCTCCCAAAAAGTTTATGTCTTCAGTCTCCTCGAGCCCCGATTTCGACCTGTTCTGGGCTTTCTCGACCACACTCACTTCTGACGGCTCTTTGAAGCAACCTATTTACAGTAAGCTATTCAAGACCCAATAATGATCCCAAATGAGATTTGCAGACTACGACGTTGCTCCGGTGTTCCATCTCACGAACTACCCTATCGGACTGTCAATGGAGCGTGTTCACGCGGCTCTCAGCATTTACGCGACTCGTGGTGGTAACCAAACTGAAGTCTATGGGTCCAGCGGCCTTTGGCGCGACGCTTGCTCTTTGCACTTCTATTTCCCACCTTTCACCTGCCAAGTCCCAGAAGAAACTCTCTACTTCAATGTAAACTTGATTGTATACATTTTTTTTTGAATCATTTTTTAGTTCTTCGCTCGTGATCGTCGTGGCGTGAGTATTCAACGTGCCGGAACCATGTATTGCACTCGGGGTTCGCTTCTTTACTCATGATAGCGTTCTCAGATTCTGAGCAGGAGCAACGAATATTTATAGTACAACACAATGAAAAACTTGATGGACAGTCTCACTGAAATCTCACTATTTCAGTTCATCCCACACCACCTCCCGACCATCAATGCCAGAATGGAGGTGTCATGGATCCTACTAACAACACTTGCTTCTGTACACCTGAGTACACCGGACAGTACTGTCAAACCATCGTAAGCTTCATAAACTCTATGAAAAACGCCTTTTATGATAGGTTTGCTACAATGGCGGCGCTGTGGTCGGAAACCGTTGTCAATGTCCAGCTGGCTGGGGCGGAAACAGCTGCGAAATTCGTAATAATTTTTTGACAGGCCTCAAAAATGAAAAATTTTTCAGCGAGATGCCCGCAACCTGGAATTAAACCTGAATACTTGCACTTGGGCGTGGACATGGTCTTCGCAGTCGAAACTACTCAACAAGCTTGGGCTTCGGTAGAAAAACGTTGAAATTTGGAAAAATATAATTTTTCCAGCTTGCCATGTTGAACAAGAACTTCCAAGAGATTTTGAGAGACGTCAAATCTCAGAACCCTCTTTGGATTGGGCAATTCGTCGTCGTTGCTTTCAATTCGACATGTTAGTGATTCTGAAAATGAAACGATCATTTTTCCATTCAGGGGGTGGAGTCGTAGCACAGTCTCCATCCAACGATCCAACTGCGGTTATCACTGCTCTGAACAATTTGGCAGGAACTATTCCGACTGACACCGGCTGCGCCGTCCAGGTTTTGAATTTTAATTGCTTCAGCTACTATTCAAGTTTTCTTTACAGCTCTGGCAAGCCCTCAACTCAGCCATTTTCAGCAGAGCGATAGTTCCAGGCTCATATATCGAAGTGTTCCAGGTTAATGAGTTTTCTCATTTTTGGATAAATCTCTCTTTTGAAGACAAGTCCTGAAGATGACACGGACGTCAGGAATCTGGGATTATTGTACGAAGCAACTCGGCAAATGGGTCTTGTCCTGTATTCTTTCGTGGCGGCTGATATCCTCTCCCCGACCGGATTCAAATGCAATGCCACCGCCGTTCGTACCTCTGCTGCAAACTTTTCTCTTCATAATTTATTTGTAGGAAAACTACTACACAATGCTCGGCGTTGTGGGAGGATCTACCGGAGACAACTATTTGTTGCAACCAGCTGAAATTGCGAACGTAAGACGTCTTCAAGAAAGGTTTCTATTTTTTCTTAGGCGGTGAGTCTCATCCCACTCCAATATTCGAATGCTGCCGTCAACTACAACTTCGCGCCTGACTGCTCAACTCCTCTTCTCGTAATAAAATGAAGAAAATAAAAATAAGAGAGAAATCAACAGACTTACATCCCTGTCGATGCATACACTCAAACCGTCCAGATCAACGTCTACGGCTTCAACCCGACTGTCACTGTTCTTGACGGCCAAGGTTGATCCAGTGAGGAGTTCTTTTGAAAATATCAATGTTTTAGGAAAGAATTACAATCTGATCCAACTCTTCTATGATGATTACATTGGATTCTCTGTCTTCGAAGTTCGACGAGCCTGCGATGATGAGTGGTACGACAACGGAGACTCGTACTGCTACAGGACGATGGTTGGCGAGAATACAATGACCTATCCCGATGCCAAGAAGTACTGCGCATCTGCTGGAGGATTTTTGGTCGATGACCTCACGTCGGACAAAAACCAATACCTTTATGGTGAGATTCATTATTCCACTCTAAGTTGAAAAAAATCATGATTTTCAGCCAACGCCTACAGAACTCAATTCTGGATCGGTTTGTACAACAACAACAATGGCGGATATGTCTGGGACCGTGGAAACATCAGTAACCCACAGCCGGTAGAAAAATAAAAAAATAAAAAGAATTCGATCGATTTCAGCTGAACCAAGATCAAACATTCTGGGCTGGAGACAGTACCTTGGACCCAACCAAACAATGCGTGTTTTTCGATGGAACATCTACGGATTCTAATAAAGTTTGGTGAGTACAGATAACGATAAAATTAAGTGTTGAAAAAAGGGAGGATACTTAAACTCGATTGGAGGACTTTGATGATGTAAAAGAAAACTAATGGAAAATTAAATTTTTATCTGAAATTTCTGAGTCTTCAAAAGTGAAAGGCTAAGTGTTATCATTATTTGAACCACCGTTGCCCTATAACTGATTATTAAGTTTGCTCTGAGCTTTCGAAGCCAAATGGGCATTTTTCCAAAAATTTTTTTCTTAGGACTCTCGACTCTTGCTCAACTCAGAGAGCCTTCATGTGCCAGAAGCATCGCTACGACTCCAAATACGTTCCCAACTCAATCGGAGACGGTAATCAAAAAGAAAATCTTGTTAATAGACAAGAAAAGCTTTCCAGATGATCTTCCGGCTGGCTTTTACACCGTCTCCATCACAACTCAGCCAACCGCAGGACAAACTTCCAATTGCTCATTGGAAGTCCGAGTTCAAAGTGACCTGCAAATCGTCACCGGCTACGTCACGTCTGTCGGATCCGACGACCCTAACGGCGACCCGATCAGAGATTCGAGTATGTTCAACATTCTTCAAAAATATAGAAAGTATGATGTTTCAGCTTCTAACAGAATTATTGCCTACGTCCATTCTTTGGATAACGACAATCGCGTGCCCATTCTCACAGACGCCGCTTTGTGGGACGCTGTCAACGGTGAATTCAACTCAAAAGACGTGATTGAAAAGAAAATTTAGGCACGTTCTACAATGGCCTGAAGTATCAGCAACGAGTCAGCTGCCAGTATCCATGGGTCACACAAGATTTCCCTTGCCCCAACGGAAACAACGACAACAACGAATTCGGCATTATGGTTCGTTAATCTCAAATAATTTTCTTTGAGATCTTTCTTAACGAAAACGAATGGCTATTAATGAGAATTTTTATTGTAGTTTCTTCATTTTCCAAACGGGCGAAAAACTGGTAGAAATTGATGACTCCGCTCAAAAAAGAAAATTCCGTTTTTTAAACCTTCGCGACTTTTTTGTAGCTAAGATGAGAAGTTTTCTATCAATACCGTTTTTTTTTTTGCTTTGACTGCATTTTGTGTCTATCAGACTTCTTAGTTGATCATTTTGGATTTTTTTTAGTAGTTACGGTAAGAGGAAATAAAGCGCAACCACTACAGAAAGTTACAAACTTTGGAAAAAACATCAAAATTAAAGCATCAGAAAGAAGGCTGATGGCAAAAAAAAGTTTGTCGTAGCTACTTTTTTGTCAGAATCTCTTCGAAAAATCGAAATTTTCACTGACCACCTGCACTTTTTGTACTTCTCATAAAAAAGGCTCAAGAAAATTATCTCGTATTGCAGCACATTGGAGAAGACGAGTTCGGTAACACCTTCCAGCGTGTCACCTACGCTCATTGCTCTCGAGCTGGTGAATATTCTGATGAAGATCAATAAATTATTTTTTACTCAGAGATCATCTGCGGCAACGGAGGAGTTCGATACAATGGAATGTGCGTCTGCAACGACTACTGGACTGGAAGCCAGTGTACAGTTCCGATTTGCGTCAATGGAGGAACCAGAAACGCTGACCAGCGCTCTTGCTCCTGCCCGCCTGGCTACACCGGTAGAAACTGCGAGTTCGGTTAGTAAACTCCAAAAATTTGAATTTTAACATCCCTTTTTCAGAAATGTGCCAGCCTAAGATTGACACCACCTTCAGTCTCGATGGAAAAACTCTTGTTCTGGTTGTCGAAACAACATCCCAGCACAACGCGACTGTTACTAACGTGAATATGTGCCTTATAAACAAACAAAAAAAATATTCTGAATTTCAGCCAATACACTTTTGGGTCTCTGAAAAGAATTTTAGCCTTTCAGCCGGCAAAAAAAAATAAAAAATTTCTCGAAACGTTGATTTTACTCAATTTTGAGGTTCGAACAAAAAATTTGATTTTTTTCAGAGAGCCATTTAGCTATAAATCGAACTTTATATTGCTCGAACATCAAAAAGGGCTTATAAAAATACGTATATAAAAAAACTAAATAATTATATTTGCTCAAGTTTCAATCTAACTGAAAAACTTTAGCTCATTGGAAATCTAGCCAACATCATCAGTACCGCCACAGCCAACAACCCGAACTGGTTCAGCAACTACGGCCTTATCACCTTTGACTGTAACAAAAGCAGTACTGAAGAGCAAAAACTCGATTCTTTCCAGCTTCTGGAGTCACATACTCCAGCTTCGTCTTCACCGATGCCAACTCTCTCATCACCGCTTTGACCGCTGCTCAGAAAAAGATCACAGACCAAGGAAATTGCTCGATGCCGCTTATTGGGTATGGCGAAAATTCAGAAAATATTCGAAATTTAACTTTTCAGAGTGTTGCAAACGACTTTGCACAGTGCCCAAAGTATTGTATATCCCAACAGTGAGATTATTCTTTTCACAACTGCCGGAGCTAGCGACATCGATCAGAGAGGTGCCCTCATTCCTAGCATCGTCGCTTCCCAAGCTCAGGTAAAATAGCGAGAAAGTTTTTTTTTGAGAACTATTGTATAAAATTACTGGAAGCTTTCAGCTTCACTACGTCTATTCACAAACGACTTGCGGAGACTTCTCTAGCGTCCCAGCTGTCAGCGACATTACGCGCTTGGCTTACAGTACCGAAGGAAATGTGATGTTTGTCACTCCGGACACTGTCATTTCGGTGAAATTCCCCCTTTTGAAGTTTGATAAAGCGAAAAATTGCAGCTGATGACTCAATACCTGCCGACGAGATATGGATCCAGCCAACTTTCTGATCCCACTGCTCACACTGGTTACTCTTGCAGCACTGGTAAACCATGGTACATTGCTGTTGATGCCAACACGACCTTCATCTACGTCTCTGCTACTTCTGAATTCGGATCTGTGTCCGCTGTCAACCCAATGGGTCGTGAGTTTTCTTTCTTTCTGCTCCTTTCGATGAAGAAAACCAGACTAAACTTAGTTTTTTGGTTAATTTTGAAATTCATTTTATGAAAAATTTATTCGATTCAGAAACGGTCGCCGCAATGAACATGTTCAACGCCAACTCGCAGAAAATCTATGCCTTCGAAGTGGATTATCTCCCGGGTATTTGGACCTTACAGGTAGCTCGGAGACTGGAAAAAAAAATATGAAATACTTATTTTACAGCTATCCAGCCCTCCAGGTCTTTGCTTCGTTCATGTGTACGCCAAAAGTCCAGCCAAGACGTTCGCTAAATTTGCTCTACCGACTGCCAGCGATCCGACCGGAGCTCATCAAGACGGAAGTCTTATCAGCCCAGTTCCTGGTGGTAAGGGAATTAATTTTTTTAAAAAAATTAAATTCAGTCAACAACATCGTGGCCGTGGAACTCTATGGACCACCGTTCCATAGAGGAACGTTACGTTATGTCGACGTTTACGACCCTGATATGGTCAAGGTGAATTTTTTTCTTGATATGGAAGTTTTTGAAAAAAATGAAGATAATTATCGAAAATTTTTCAATTTTTCAGCTCACTCAATCTTATTGTCACTTTCTTTTTCACGATTTTTAACTACTTCAGCTTCTCCTTCGCTCTGAGCTCTACCCACGTGGAAATTGCTCGTACCAGTACTACTCGGATCCGTTTGTTTGCCAGTCCGACTTGATCGCGATCAACGTTTACGGTACTGATGAGAATAACCAGAAGTTCCGACGCCAGCATCTTGCGTTCTGCAACGGTAATTAAGGAAATTGGAAGGAACTCACAATTTCATATATTCACAGGAGCCGCACCAACCGGAGCTCCTGGCGTAAGCACGACTCAAGCACCTATTATGACTACGACCGGCGCTCCTGCCGTCTCTACCATGACCCCTCCTCCTGCAGTTTCCACAACTCAAGGAGCGCCAACAACGACTGCTTTCGGCAACGCCAATCTCAACTTTGACGTCGTCTTCCTGTTCGACGGTAGCCAAGCCGCTCAACCTGTTTTCAACAATGTAAAATATTCTATCAAAAATCCGAAACGAAGAATTTTCAATGCTGAAATCATATCATTTGGGAATCGTATGACATTTTGGAGAAAATCGTTGGGAAAAAAAACAAGGCTTAGCGGTATGTAAGATCGTAGTTGTGCATGTTCAGGTATAAATACATGAATGAATGGATAGCTTGGCGAAAAACGTGAAAAATTTCGATCAGGGAGGAAATCTTAATTGACTGATTTCCAAAAAAAAACTCCTTCCATATGAAAAATTCTCAAAAATTCAGAAATTCAAAAATTCAAAAAACTCACGTATCACAAAAATTTATAATTTCAGTTTACCAAATTTGTAAGCACCTTGATGGTGTCGTACACTGTCGGACCAGCTGCTCACGTTGGAATCGGTGTTGTGGCTCCGGATGCAGATGACCAGGCACCTATGGTCGCCCAATTGAACTCTATACAATCGCAGTCCATTCTCAATGGTTATCTCAACACTCTGGGAGAATACTGGGGAGATTTCGATCATGCTGGACAACTTCTGGACTTGTGAGTGTCTTTTTTAAAACTATAGAGGAAAGTGAACTTTTAGGAACCTCAAAACCGTTTCTTCGCCTGACTACATGAATCCGAGCGCTGGATATCGCCCTGCGATCAACAACCATTTGATCATCTACATCACTGCAACCACCGCATTCGACGTCGATCCCACCGCTACCGCCAAGAGTATAATCGCCAACAATCAGTACGGAATCATCACTGTCGGCTTCGGCGCCGCTGTCGACAACACCAAGCTGATTGTGAGTATAAATGAAGATTTCTTTTCTCAAAAATATCTCCAGGCGGTTTCTGGAGGTGCTGCCTGCTCTTTCACAGCCACCGACTTCGCATCGCTCAATAACCAGATCAGACCCATCCAGCAGAAGATCTGGGACGCGAAGTGAGTTTCTTGAATAAAGAAAAATGAATGAGAATTTTCAGCTTCAACAACGGCGTCTACTGCAGCTCATGAAAACGTATCTTGCTCCCACTTTAAAATTTATAAAGTATTCTAAATATGTTCATTTTGTTAGTCATTCCAAAAAAAGTAATCAGAAAAATGGGAAATTGAATAATTGAATAGAAGAAGTTTTTTTGTCTTTTTCATCCGACGAATCCGTAATTGCTCCCGATTCCTAATGTAAATATTAAGTTTTCTCATTAATATCCTGAAGGCCAATTGAATTCTAGACAGACATGCATTGCTTTTTAAACGTTAAGGGATAGTGCTTTCATGCTAAAAAGGCTTTTAAAAATGTTTCGAATAACTTTACTTGAAGCAAAAAAAAAAATAAAAAATTTATACAAAAAAAAAACAGTTACAATAACAATGTCGCTACGAACAAAAACAAAAACATAAAGACAAACCAAAAAAACAAAAAAAGAACGCAGGGAGTAGTTTTAATAAACCGTTGCGATGGTATCATTTTACGCTGAACGGGACCAGAAGGGCAGGAATTCCCGTCATTGAAAAAAGCAGGCTCCTGCAATTGAAAAAAAGATTGCTGGAAGTCGCTTCAACCACAGAAAAACTACCTCATTCTAATATTTTTATTAATTTCAGAGTACAGGTGTCAGATTGAAAAAGTTTTTCATTTCATAGAAACCCGATAATATTCAAAGCAAAGCAAAAATTTTTTTATCTGAATCTTATCTTCCTTAAATAATTCTCCGATTTTTTTCAACTACAAATATTTCAGTGCGAAAAATTTTTTTAGAACTAACCGATAGGATTCAGTTCACAGTGCAGAAAAACGTTGTGGCCGAAGGCCTGACGGTTCATCTTTTTAAAGACGTTGAAGACGTCGAAGATATCTTCATCAGCTGCAGCACATCGCCGCCAGCTCCGATGGTACGGCTTGACTGGTTTTTTTTTTCTCAGGTGTGAGAGGACGGGGGTTCTGTCCTCCTCAGCGGCAGCACATCGCCGCCAGCTCCGATGCTGATACGGCTTGACTGGTTCTGTCCTTCTCAGGTGTGAGAAGACGTAGATGCTGTCCTCCTCAGCTGCTGCACATCGCCGCCAGCTCCGATGGTACGGCTTGACTGGTTTTGTTTTTCTCAGGCGCTAGAAGACGTGTTTAGGCGCTGCCAAAAACGTGTTTAGGCGCTGCCAAAAACGCGTTTAGGCGCTGCTTAAAACGAGTTTAGGCGCTGCTTAAAACGAGTTTAGGCGCTGCTTAAAACGAGTTTAGGCGCTGCTTAAAACGAGTTTAGGCGCTGCTTAAAACGAGTTTAGGCGCTGCTTAAAACGTGTTTAGGCGCTGCTTAAAACGTGTTTAGGCGCTGCTTAAAAACGTGTTTAGGCGCTGCCAAAAAAACGTGTTTAGGCGCTGCCAAAAAAACGTGTTTAGGCGCTGCCAAAAAAACGTGTTTAGGCGCTGCTTAAAAACGTGTTTAGGCGCTGCTTAAAAACGTGTTTAGGCGCTGCTTAAAACGTGTTTAGGCGCTGCTTAAAACGAGTTTAGGCGCTGCTTAAAACGTGTTTAGGCGCTGCCAAAAACGTGTTTAGGCGCTGCCAAAAACGTGTTTGGGCGCTGCTTAAAACGTGTTTAGGCGCTGCTTAAAACGTGTTTAGGCGCTGCTCAAAACGCGTTTAGGCGCTGCTTAAAACGAGTTTAGGCGCTGCTCAAAACGTGTTTAGGCGCTGCTTAAAACGTGTTTAGGCGCTGCTCAAAACGTGTTTAGGCGCTGCTTAAAACGTGTTTAGGCGCTGCTTAAAACGTGTTTAGGCGCTGCCAAAAACGTGTTTAGGCGCTGCCAAAAACGCGTTTAGGCGCTGCTTAAAACGTGTTTAGGCGCTGCCAAAAACGAGTTAAGGCGCTGCTTAAAACGAGTTTAGGCGCTGCTTAAAACGAGTTTAGGCGCTGCTTAACACGCTGTCTCTGTAATTTTCAAAAAGTTTCAAAAGCAACGGGTACAAAAAAAAATTTTATTTTTTGATTTTGATGAAACTTTATCCAGTGTGATAACCCATCATCAGAAATGCGGACGCAACTTTTTGAGCCATTTCCTCTTACTGTAGCCGGATTACGGTAGGCAGGTGGGCACCTGCGTATCTAAGTATTGAAGAGGTATTACTAGGCAAGTGATATATCAATCGATAGGTAATAAAATTTTAGGAACTTTTTTAGTACATAACATCTTCGGTTACTGTAGGAATTTTTGAGTTGCGGTAATTTTTGTTTTTGGAAAGTCGGTTTTTCGGTCACCCTGGTCGTGGGCATAGAATCGCATCGTAATTACTTATATGGATTATGTCTTGTAGTATGTTCTAAACAATGCCACAAAAAAAAGTTCGAATTTCTAAACCCGTCATCTCGAGATTTCACTCCGAACGCGTGCAACTTGGCACTTTGCGGCGAGAGTTGGTCATGGTTGACGATTTTTCTAATTTTTCTTCTGTTAGATATTGGTGTAAAACTTTTTTAGATTATAACTACAGTATGTTTTGTAACATTCAAAGGGGTTTGAAGAGACCTATACGCTACATATTCGGCCGAAATTTCGTTTTGAACTCTATTTTGGCTTGAAAAAACGCGATTCGCTCTGAAAAGATTGGTTTTTAAAAGCTTCCGACAATCCCGCAGTTTTCAAAGCTATTATATATGTAACTGACATCTTCTAGGTAACAATTGATATAGTTTTGTTCAACTTTTACCGAACCCGTGCAACCGAAATTTAGCTTTGAACTTACTATTGACCTAAAAAAGCAATATTTGCACTGAAAACACCGATTTTTGAAAATTTCCAACTGTACCGCTATTTCCAAAGCTATCAAAAATGTAGCTGACATCTTCAAGGTGCACATTCATGAGACTTTGCTTGACTTTTGTCGAACCCGTCTGGCCTAAAGCTCCCTTTGAACCCTATTTTGGCTTCGTCGGTGGGTTTGATGTTGGATTTTTGAGCCTCGTAGCACAAGTTTTTTTGAGAAATTTTTTTTTTTTTAGATTGATTATTTGCAAAGATAGTTGTATGAATGAATGATCATTTTTCAGAAAAAAAAGAGGTACAATCGCTAGAAAAAGGTTTTTGTTTGTGAAGTTGAGATAAAATCGTAATTCGAAGCTTTTTATGGATCTTTTTTTTAAAACTTCTTCTTTAGTCCTTGGATTATAATTCTGAATGTACATTGTTTCGGCTATTTGACGAATGAAAAGTTTTTTTTTATGAATTTTTGTCCATTTTTCCGGTAAAATAAATATTAAATCACTTAAAAATCCTGCAATCGTCAAAAACAGCAAGTAAAAAACAGAACTAGAATCAGAAACAAAAATAGAACAATAATAAAACCTGAATACAGTTAACTAGAATTAATATTTTGCCTCTGGCGAAGGTTATCGGTGGAGCGCAACAGTGCCTCAATATTCTGCCAACTGGCGAAATTCTCGCAGCTGAATTTCTGTTCAACTTTTTTTGCATGGAAACGTTACTTCTTGCGATGTACGGATGAGAAAATAGCTACGAAGCTCAAAAATCCAGCCTCAGACCCACCGGCGAAGCCAAAATAGGGTTCAAAAAGCCGCTTTAGGCCAGACGGGTTCGATAAAAAGTCAAAGCAAAAGTCTCATAAATGTTTACCTGGTAGATGTCAGCTACATATTTTGATAGCTTTGGAAACAGCGGTACAGTTGGAAATTTTCAAAAATCGGTTTTTTCAGAGCAAATATTGCTTTTTTAGGCCAATAGTAAGTTCAAAGCTAAATTTCGGTTGCACGGGTTCGGTAAAAGTTGAACAAAACTATATCAATTGTTACCTAGAAAATGTCAATTACATATATAATAGCTTTGGAAACTGCGGGATTGTCGGAAGCTTTTAAAAACCAATCTTTTCAGAGCGAATCGCGTTTTTTCAAGCCAAAATAGAGTTCAAAACGAAATTTCGGCCGAATATGTAGCGTATAGGTCTCTTCAAACCGCTTTGAACGTTACAAAACATACTGTAGTTATAATCTAAAAAAGTTTTACACCAATATCTAACAGAAGAAAAATTAGAAAAATCGTCAACCATGACCAACTCTCGCCGCAAAGTGCCAAGTTGCACGCGTTCGGAGTGAAATCTCGAGATGACGGGTTTAGAAATTCGAACTTTTTTTTGTGGCATTGTTTAGATCATACTACAAGACATAATCCATAAAAGTAATTACGATGCGATTCTATGCCCACGACCAGGGTGACCGAAAAACCGACTTTCCAAACACAAAAATTACCGTAACTCAAAATTCCTACAGTAACCCAAGATGGTATGTACTGTAAAAGTTCCTAAAAGTTGATTACCTATCGATTGATATATCACTTGCCTAGTAATAACTCTTCACTACTTAGATACGCAGGTTCCCACCTGCCTACCGTAACCCGGCTACAGTAGGAGGAAATGGCTCAAAAAGTTGTGTTCGCATTTCTGATGATGGGTTATCTCACTGGATGAAGTTTCATCAAAATCAAAAAAATAAAATTTTTTTTTGTACCCGTTGCTTTTGACAGTTACAGAGACAGCGTGTTAAAACGTGTTTAGGCGCTGCCAAAAACGTGTTTAGGCGCTGCCAAAAACGTGTTTAGGCGCTGCCAAAAACGTGTTTAGGCGCTGCCAAAAACGTGTTTAGGCGTTGCCAAAAACGTGTTTAGGCGCTGCCAAAAACGTGTTTAGGCGCTGCCAAAAACGTGTTTAGGCGCTGCCAAAAACGTGTTTAGGCGCTGCCAAAAACGTGTTTAGGCGCTGCCAAAAACGTGTTTAGGCGCTGCCAAAAACGAGTTTAGGCGCTGCTTAAAACGTGTTTAGGCGCTGCCAAAAACGAGTTTAGGCGCTGCTTAAAACGAGTTTAGGCGCTGCTTAAAACGAGTTTAGGCGCTGCTTAAAACGAGTTTAGGCGCTGCCAAAAACGTGTTTAGGCGCTGCCAAAAACGTGTTTAGCCGCTGTTTAAAACGTGTTTAGGCGCTGCTTAAAACGAGTTTAGGCGCTGCTTAAAACGAGTTTAGGCGCTGCTTAAAACGAGTTTAGGCGCTGCCAAAAACGTGTTTAGGCGCTGCCAAAAACGTGTTTAGCCGCTGTTTAAAACGTGTTTAGGCGCTGCTTAAAACGTGTTTGAGCGCTGCTTAAAACGTGTTTAGGCGCTGCTCAAAACGTGTGAGCACGACTCAAGGACCTGTAATGACAACTTCCAAGCCAGCCGTAGTCTTAATCATTTAATACTTAAAAACTAGAAATAGTCAGCCGTGAAGCGTTTAACTAAAACAAAGAACGAGAAAATTTCGATCTTTCACCAGTTCACAGAGCTATATATATACTCCCATCTAGGCAGCGCCTAAACACGAAAAACGTGTTTAGGCGCTGCTTAAAACGTGTTTGGGCGCTGCCAAAAACGCGTTGAGGCGCTGCCAAAAACGTATTTAGGCGCTGCCAAAAACGAGTTCAGGCGCTGCTTAAAACGAGTTTAGGCGCTGCTTAAAACGAGTTTAGGCGCTGCTTAAAACGAGTTTAGGCGCTGCTTAAAACGAGTTTAGGCGCTGCTTAAAACGAGTTTAGGCGCTGCTTATAACGAGTTTAGGCGCTGCAAAAAACGAGTTTAGGCGCTGCTTAAAACGAGTTTAGGCGCTGCTTAAAACGAGTTTAGGCGCTGCTTAAAACGAGTTTAGGCGCTGCTTAAAACGAGTTTAGGCGCTGCTTAAAACGAGTTTAGGCGCTGCTTAAAACGTGTTTAGGCGCTGCCAAAAACGCGTTGAGGCGCTGCCAAAAACGCGTTGAGGCGCTGCCAAAAACGTGTTTAGGCGCTGCCAAAAACGCGTTAAGCGCTGCCAAAAACGCGTTCAGGCGCTGCCAAAAACGTGTTTAGGCGCTGCTTAAAACGTGTGAGCACGACTCAAGGACCTGTAATGACAACTTCCAAGCCAGCCGTAGTCTCTACGGGTACTCCCGGAGCTCCTGTGACAACAGCCAAAGGATCTACCGGAGCCCCAGGAGTCAGCACAACTCAAGCACCTGTTATGACGACGACCGGCGCTCCTGCCGTTTCTACCATGACCCCTCCTCCTGCAGTTTCCACGACTCAAGGAGCGCCAACAACGACTGCTTTCGGCAACGCCAATCTCAACTTTGACGTCGTCTTCTTGTTCGACGGTAGCCAAGCCGCTCAACCTGTTTTCAACAATGTAAGCTATTTTATCAAACTTTGAATCTTCGATAATGAAAATATTTCCTTTGAGAACATCATCTTAAATTCCTGTCAAAAAGCGAGTTTTTAGAGAAAATTATTGGGAAAAAAAAATCGGAGCTTAGCGGTCAGTAGGATGATAGTTTTGCATGTTCATGCATTGCTACATGAATGAATGGATGGCTTGGCGAAAAACGTGAAAAATTTCGATCAGGGAGGAAATCTTAATTGACTGATTTCCAAAGAAGAACTCCTTTCATATGCAAAAGCTCACTTATCACAAAAATTTATAATTTCAGTTTACCAAATTTGTAAGCACCTTGATGGTGTCGTACACCGTCGGACCAGCTGCTCACGTTGGAATCGGTGTTGTGGCTCCGGATGCAGATGACCAGGCACCTATGGTCGCCCAATTGAACTCTATACAATCGCAGTCCATTCTCAATGGTTATCTCAACACTCTGGGAGAATACTGGGGAGATTTCGATCATGCTGGACAACTTCTGGACTTGTGAGTGTCTTTTTTAAAACTATAGAGGAAAGTGAACTTTTAGGAACCTCAAAACCGTTTCTTCGCCTGACTACATGAATCCGAGCGCTGGATATCGCCCTGCGATCAACAACCATTTGATCATCTACATCACTGCAACCACCGCATTCGACGTCGATCCCACCGCTACCGCCAAGAGTATAATCGCCAAAAATCAGTACGGAATCATCACTGTCGGCTTCGGCGCCGCTGTCGACAACACCAAGCTGATTGTGAGTATAAATGAAGATTTCTTTTCTCAAAAATCATCTCCAGGCGGTTTCTGGAGGTGCTGCCTGCTCTTTCACAGCCACCGACTTCGCATCGCTTAATAACCAGATCAGACCCATCCAGCAGAAGATCTGGGACGCGAAGTGAGTTTCTTGAATAAAGAAAAATGAATGAGAATTTTCAGCTTCAACAACGGCGTCTACTGCAGCTCATGAAAAACGTATCTTGCTCCCACTTTAAAAATTTATAAAGTATTCTAAATATGTTCATTTTGTTAGTCATTCCAAAAAAGTAATCAGAAAAATGGGAAAATGGGAAAAAGAATAATTGAATAGAAGAAGTTTTTGTCTTTTCATCCGACGAATCCGTAATTACTCCCGATTCCTAATGTGAATATTAAGTTTTCTCATTAATATCCAGAAGGCCAATTGAATTCTAGACAGACATGCATTGCTTTTTAAACGCTAAGGGGTAGTGCTTTCGCTATAAAGGCTTTTAAAAATGTTGACATGTTCTATCAGTTAAAAAATAATGAAAATGCTGTTTTACTCAGATTTTCAACTTTTTTTACGTGAACAATCACACTTCCGCATGGTTTCCGAAGCTGTTCGATATGTCCAGGAAATTTCGAAAAAAACTTTACTTAAAGCAAAAAAATAAAAAAATTTATATAAAAAAACAGTTACAATAACAATGTCGCTACGAACAAAACAAAACATAAAGACAAACCAAAAACAAAAAAGAACGCAGGGAGTAGTTTTAATAAACCGTTGCGATGGTATCATTTTACGCTGAACGGGACCAGAAGGGCAGGAATTCCCGTCATTGAAAAGCAGGCTCCTGCAATTGAAAAAGATTGCTGGAAGTCGCTTCAACCACAGAAAACTACCTCATTCTAATATTTTATTAATTTCAGAGTACAGGTGTCAGATTGAAAAAAAGTTTTTTTTTCATTTCATAGAAACCCGATAATATTCAAAGCAAAGCAAAATTTTTATCTGAATCTTATCTTCCTTAAATAATTCTCCGATTTTTCAACTACAAATATTTCAGTGCGAAAATTTTTAGAACTAACCGATAGGATTCAGTTCACAGTGCAGAAAAACGTTGTGGCCGAAGGCCTGACGGTTCATCTTTTTAAAGACGTTGAAGACGTCGAAGATATCTTCATCAGCTGCAGCACATCGCCGCCAGCTCCGATGGTACGGCTTGACTGGTTTTTTTTTTCTCAGGTGTGAGAGGACGGGGGTTCTGTCCTCCTCAGCGGCAGCACATCGCCGCCAGCTCCGATGCTACGGCTCGACTGCTCATGCTTTTAGAGGCTTAGAAAACGTCGAGGATGTCGACGTCATCGACTCCGAGCACATGGCAGCTAGTTCAGTTTCTCGGCCTATTGACGACGTCGAAGATATCTTCATCAGCTGCAGCACATCGCCGCCAGCTCCGATGTTACGGCTTGACTGCTCATGCTTTTAGAGGCTTAGAAAACGTCGAGGATGTCGACGTCATCGACTCTGAGCCCATCGCTGCCAGATCAGATTCTGCGGCCTGACTGTCTATCATTTTGAGGTGTGGAAGACGTCGATGATGTCGACGTCATCGACTCCGAGCACATGGCCGCTAGTTCAGTTTCTCGGCCTATCCATCCATCCATCCTTCCGGGAACTAAAAATGGAAAAAAAAGCATTAATTAAACGAACGTTAACATACTTGTACTTGTATTATATGCCCTGAATGTAGGTTTGCAGAAATGCGCTTCACTCGAAACTATGATTTCCCTCAAAGAAGTTGCTCACGCCGTCGGTGATTCGACAACAATTTTCCAGAACTGAAAAATATCGTTTCATTCATGTTACTTTTCGAATTGTCATGTCGTTGCACGAAAATTGCGATACCCAATTTATCTGCGTAAATTAAAAATTATTCAACACTGGAGCAAAATGAAATTTTAGGCAAAAATTAAATGAAAAAAATGATATTTTTAACCTTCACGTCTTTACAAACTCAGCTGTCGAATCCATTCTCTTATTCATTTAATACTTAAAAAAACTAGAAATAGTCAGCCGTGAAGCGTTTAACTAAAACAAAGGAAGATAAAATTTCGATCTTTCACCAGTTCACAGAGCTTTATATATACTCCCATCTTGGCAGCGCCTGAAGACGTTTTTCGTGTTTAGGCGCTGCTTAAAACGAGTTTAGGCGCTGCTTAAAACGAGTTTAGGCGCTGCTTAAAACGAGTTTAGGCGCTGCTTAAAACGAGTTTAGGCGCTGCTTAAAACGAGTTTAGGCGCTGCCAAAAACGAGTTTAGGCGCTGCTTAAAACGTGTTTAGGCGCTGCTCAAAACGTGTTTAGGCGCTGCTTAAAACGAGTTTAGGCGCTGCTTAAAACGAGTTTAGGCGCTGCTTAAAACGAGTTTAGGCGCTGCTTAAAACGAGTTTAGGCGCTGCTTAAAACGAGTTTAGGCGCTGCTTAAAACGAGTTTAGGCGCTGCTTAAAACGAGTTTAGGCGCTGCTTAAAACGAGTTTAGGCGCTGCTTAAAACGAGTTTAGGCGCTGCTTAAAACGAGTTTAGGCGCTGCCAAAAACGAGTTTAGGCGCTGCTTAAAACGAGTTTAGGCGCTGCTTAAAACGAGTTTAGGCGCTGCTTAAAACGAGTTTAGGCGCTGCTTAAAACGTGTTTAGGCGCTGTTTAAAACGAGTTTAGGCGCTGCTTAAAACGTGTTTAGGCGCTGCTTAAAACGTGTTTGGGCGCTGCTTAAAACGTGTTTAGGCGCTGCTCAAAACGTGTTTAGGCGCTGCTTAAAACGTGTTTAGGCGCTGCTTAAAACGTGTTTAGGCGCTGCTCAAAACGTGTTTAGGCGCTGCTTAAAACGTGTTTAGGCGCTGTTTAAAACGAGTTTAGGCGCTGCTTAAAACGAGTTTAGGCGCTGCCAAAAGTCAGACTTAGAAAAAAAAAAGAAATGAAGAAGGCTAATGGCTGCCGAGGAGAAAATTTTAAGCAGACCACTGCCAAGAGCTCGACCAAGAAGGGGCTGCCTATTGTTGAATTACAAAAAAAAAGATGTTTCTTTTTTTTGGAGTGCGCTGCCAAATACTGAGCTTTGGGAAGGTAGTACCATGAAGTTATTTCAAACTATAAATCTTTGATTTTCTTTTGCTTATCTATCAATCCATCAATCAAATCGGATTTTTCACAAAACAACATTCTTCAAAGTAAAAACTCAGCTTCCAGAAAATTTTCAAAAAGATTCAATGTGTAATAACGACTCAAATGATGTATATCTGTAAACTAGGTCTCTGACAAGTTTTAGAAACATAAATGTACGGAAAATTAGCAATCGTAAATGGAAAATTACCAATTCCCTTTTTATAGTTGCGAAGGTGCAGGAGGATAAATAAAAGCTGAGTTTGTGTAAAGAAAATTATTGTTTTTTTTTTCATACAAAACAAAAATGTGAAGCTGTAAGATTCAAAAACTGCTCAACATTTCTTTCTCTACAAACTTTTTTTTTCTTTCGGAACTATTGTATCCGTTTTTCCAACTATTTGTTCCCTTTTTCTTCTCGTATCGTTAAATAAATGTCAAAAATGATTAAAAGCCGCTCTTTCCGTTTCAAACTCAAATTGACGGAGTGTCAGAAGAAAGAGCCATGCATGAAGCATTCGGGTGCTCCAGCGACCCGACGGAGCAAACGCGGCTGTTTGCACAGTGTGCGCGTCCAGCGAAACCGTGGCGGATGACCGATCGAAAATTCCTTTTCTTAGCCTTTGGAACGCTCTTTTCTGAAGCTGTTTCCTCGTTCCTGATGCACCAAAACACTGGTTCGGGGCAGCATATTTCCGACGACGCTCCCGTCTCGAGCCAACTTGCTCCGAGCCTTTTGTCTTTGCTCAACATGGTGTTCTTGTCTTGTCGGATTTTTTTTTCTCAGTCATGTCTCTAGCTTTCTCTTCCTCAGTCGTTTTTTTTACAAGTTTACGGGAATCGGATTCAATTGCTTGAGTATAATTTTTAAAGTTCTTAAAATTGTTCATTATTCAATTTTTAGTAGGTTCGTGTCTTTTGGGAAGATTATTGAACTGTAAAATAAACTTTGCTTTTTTCTAGTTTTCATAGTTTGAAACAAGGAGCCTTACAATGAGCTTCAGTTTTGAATTTCATTGGCAGCACGTATTTTAATCTTCATCATGCGTAATTCATTTCATGAACTACTAAAAAAGTCATTGATGTAAATAAAAAGTACCTTGTAGCTTTTATTCTTAATTTTCCACTTTTAATTACTTTAACTATTTTTTAGAACAAGCTAAATTTTTCTTTATGAGCTGAGAAGAGTCACAAACTTTCATTTTTCAAAACCTTGCACTGATTTTCAAGACAGATACATGAGCAACTGTAGAAATAGTAACCTTTTGGGGGACAATAGCGTTTCCTCTATGGATGTTTTTGTCCATTGATGGTTTGTAAACCTTGCGTGAATGAAATACGACCTTTTTTGTATACATGTGGCCAGCACCGTCAGTCAGAATCATCAAAGTTTGGGAGCCAACGCGTGAGTTTTCATCCCGATACTTTTTTTGTAAGTCGACTAAAAAAAATCACCCTAATGTTACCTCTATGGGAACCACTTTTTCAATTCCTTTGGAGGGAAACATAAATTCTCCTAATATTCTCAAGCTCACAGTAGTTATTTTGAACTAGTCAAAAAAATTTTTTTTACTTGTTTTGAGACCGTAGGATCTGTAGTGAGCAGAATTTTTTTCTTATTATTATTTAATTTGGATCAAAATAATTCGGATACCCTGATGGATTGTTTGTTGCAAACTCCGCATTTTGTTGACTTTTCCAATGAGCTGTCAAGCAGTCGACCTCTACGATTGACCCCAATGTCAGCAAATTTGCTCCTCCGCAGAACCCGTTATTCCGTTGGATGATCTTTTTTCATGCAAGTTCTTCCCGATGTATTTCTGTGCGATGCAAAAAAAATGGGTTTGACATTTCCAGAAAAAAAAATTTTCAACATGATCTGTTACACTCTTGTTTTTACAACTTGAAATGTTCTTGGATCGCGAAACATGTGTTAAAGCGTTGCCGTTTCAAAGAACTCCCTCTGATCCAACGCAAACAATTTCTTCAGTGGAATCCAAAGGAAAATGCTTATTTTTTTCGGAATGCCAATGAAATTTATCCGAGAATCTTGATAATCCAATCAATTTTTTTCTTTTATAAATTTTTGACGTCTTTTTCTGTTTCTACGAAGAGAAATCAGTAAGTGGATTTTCAATCGCTACGTTTTCAGCAGTGTACTAAACAGAGTAGATCATTTCCGTGGATCATGTTTGGCGGTTCAAGTTGGCGGCGAATGGACTACATAGGAACCCGCGAAACAGCTACTCACATTACACGCTGTGCCATTTCTCCCAAGAACGTCAGCTATCTAACTTCCTCCTTTTTTCAACCATGTTATCTTTCCTTTCAAATTCCGTCTCAAACTTCAAAATCTTTTCCCTTTCTCATGAACCAAATTTTGCGAGAAAGAAATTCATGTCGCACACTTCAAAGTACGACCTGCTGTAACCGCTACTTGAACTAAATGCCTCAAACTATCTGGAAAAGGGGAAAATAAGGTCAGACCGATGACTTTTTCCTGTCTGTGAGAGTTGAGAGCGCTTTTCTATCGCCTAATATTCTAATCCGTCGTGAAATATAAAATTGCATAGATTATTGTTTTCATTATTATGTTCGAAGTCGTCCTTGAATGGAAGACATAGTCTAGTCTCAAAAAAATGTAACAATATAAAGTTTTTTTAAACTGAAAAAAAGCTTGCAAAACTTTTTAGATGCTTCAAATTTTTTTGGCGCAAATTTTTGAATATACAGGGACTTTTCTTACTTTTTTTAATTTTTTTAAATGAAAAAGTAAAGGTGTGTTAACGGACCTGTTTTACTGGCTCCAAGTAAAACAAGAATTTCAGACTTTTCGCAGCTTTTTGATGTCCTCTTTTTACGAAAAAACTTTTTTTGAGCTACCTAAAAAACAAAATTCATATAATTCGTTCACTTATCTTACAAAAGAGATTTTTAAAAACCACGAAAAAGTCAAAATCTCATCATTTTGTTTTTTAATTTCTTTAATTAGATCAAAGCGACCTTCAATTCATAGCCAAGACTATGACACTTTCCGATGATCGAAATAAAGTTGACTACCAGAAAAATTTGCATTTCGTTCCTTCTCTTCTTCGCTTTTTCTCTCAAAACGCATCAATTTCATGCGCATAATCGTGGATCGCTTTCGAGGTTACTCCACTATAAGGCATGGGCAAGGTCGCGTTATTCCAATCTTGCCCCTATTTCGATTCTCCGAGTTTTTGGGCGCGTCCAAATTGCTACTTTTTCTCTTGAGATATTCATTCCTTGTCAAAAAAAGTTTAACTGAAGTTTTTTTCTTATTTTTTTACTTATAAAAAAAGTAAACAAAAAAATATTGTTCCATTCGCTTTTTCAGGTGATGGCATGTCGAAACTTTTATTTCCATCTCGATAAAAAAATGTTTTTTTACCTACAGTATTTCTCGAAACCTACATCACATCATTTTATTTATTTCCAATGACGTTGTGTTTTTTTCGAAAAAAATACCTCGCCATTATGGCGGGGCGTAGGGTGACAAAAAAAATTATAAGAAAAATATTTTTTTCTCTTCAGAACCTAAGGTTACAGTACTCCAAAAACTTTTTTTCAAAAATTTTAATCCATAATATTTTTTTAACACTTCAAATTTTCTGGTAGAGCCAATTTTTTTGAATGAAAATGCCATGTCTGTAACCTGAAAAAAACTTCAGTTTCTGTTCTTAGTTTGCGCGATATCGACCTTGTGCCATCAATCATTACTAAGTTTCTTTGAAATGAAATTTCCGCAAAAGATCCTTTTTTCTTCCCGAGAGAGATAGTTTTTGCGAGAACCTGTGAATTTTCCGGAAACGGAAATATTTGATGAAGAATAAAGGGATGGTAGCATCTCAAACATATCCGCTGAATAAAAAAATTAACAAATTTTCAGTAAATTCACTAATTTTGGTCGAGTTTTTCAAATGAGATTGGTGACAAAGAGCGAAAAAAATTCGTATACTTTTTTTTAATAATTACTGAGAACCGTTTAGTGTCAAATCCAAGTTTTTTTAATATTCAATGAACTTCAATATATTTTCTAGTCAGAAAAGGCGCATAACAGGTGCAAGTTTAATCACTACTTACACTTCAAAAATCAAAAAAAGAAATGTATTTTGCACCGTTTGAAAAAAATCAATATAAAAAAAGCTCTATACGCTTTATTGAAGTAAATTTGTTCTGCAGAAAAAAACTTCAGAAAAAAAGTAGGTCCAGAAAAATTGAAAGTGTAGTTCATTAAAGAGAACTTCAAAAAAATACCAACATTTTTTTATCAGTTCTAGGTTCCATGTAAGATTTGATAATTTTTTTTCATATTTTAACGTTAATTATGAATAATTATTTCACTCTTAATTTTACGTAGTTTTCTTTTTTTCACATGACAAAAATTTTTATGAACTTCAGAATTTTTGAATTTGCTTTCATATTTCAAATAATTATCCACCTTGGGCAAAACGGAAAAAGGTACATAAAAAGCTTTTTTTAAACAACCTTGTAAGGGTCCATAGAAGATCTGTTTATTTCATTTTTGTTTCATTCTTGCATTTTGAACGAAAAACTATGCTGAAAAGCAATTTAAAAAAATTTGTAAATCATTTAGGAGCTTTTAAAAGCTTTTTTACCCACTTTCATGATACTTTTAGAATCCTCAGAGGAAATTTCCTGTTTCACCTATGAACGTACAAAATCCAAAATTTACTGAAAACTTTCATCATTTTTTGGTGAATAGACCTTGGATACCACAAAAGCTCCAACAAAAGAAAGCTGGGCCAAATCGCTTAAAGACGCAATAAAAAAACAAATGCAAGAGCGTGGCCTAAAGATGAGTTTCGCAGATAAATTACGGCAGGAGTGGTTATTGAACCAGGAACGGGAGCGGATCGAGTGTTGGCGCGAGAGAGCGTCCTCGCAAACACTTTCACAGTTTCGGGGGGTCGAGATGGCCTTGTTGTTTCGTGTCAACCTCATTCCACCACAACCAATCAATCCCGCTCTCTTCTTCCCTCATATTAGAACCAACCACTGCGTTCCTTACCTCTGAAACTCCTCTTAGTTGCTCTGATTGCAAGGTTTTGTTCCTATTGTCCCATTCAAACCTTTCTCGACGCCTTTTTTACCCCTGATTGCTTTCTAAAAAGAGAATTTTGAAAGTTTTAGAATTGAGTTTTTTTATTATTATGTTCTCTTGAAGGTTATTACTACAGTTTTTATTAAAAAGTTTCTTGTCAGTTTTCCAGAAGCTAAATTTTTTTGAATATTGTTATATAATGAGCTTCTGAAGGTCTAGTATAATTTTGAACAGATATAAAAAAATCATTTTGATACAGTACTGTCTGAAAAAGATACGAAAAAAACGGGTTTTGGCTGCAACTATCTTCTAAGGAATTCAATCTTCTTGAAACTTTCTGGAGCCGTGAGGACTGTTATTATAAACACTTTGATAAAGTTTTAATTCAAAGAAAAAAACTCACAGATTCAGAAACTTTCAAAAAAATATTGAATTCCTTAACTTACAAAAAAAGTTTTTGACGGTTTTGTATGTTTTTCAGAAATGAACTTTTAATGTTTTTTTAAAAACAAATTTGTAGTACCTCTAATGAATATTGATTGCAGTGAATTTATTGATTTTTAGAATTTTCTTAATGCTTTCTTAGCCTTTTTGAGCAAATTTAAAAATCATGTTTTATCATGGTTTTTAAAAATTATCATAAAGTCAAAACTGAACACTGCTATGTTAACTTTTTTCCGAGCAATCCGCTCGCAAAAACAATCTCTTTTTTCTTTTCCGCTACTGCCTTTTTTCTGTTTGCCATACAATACTCACTTTTGTTCTGGAACCTTTTGTATGTGTTGCGTTTTTCCCGATCTCATTTTTCAACAGCATTGTGTAAAATTTTGTCTTTCATTTTATCGTTGCTTCTCAGAGAAGGTCTTCAAGTGGAAACGTTTTTTACTTTTCTATTGATCAATATAAGCTAGATCGTGATAGTGATGATATTTCCATTTTTTTATCTTATTAACAGTTCAAAAAAACGGATGCTGAGCTTTTTGAGGCGAGTTGTTCACGCCGATTATTTTATTTATTTTTTCAAAAAATCTCAAAGCAGTAAATCCAGAATTCATGTCCTCCCGGACATACACGTTCTGTTCAATTTTTCCATTAAGCTTAATCAAAAAGTTGCTCGATATTATTCCATGATTGATTTTTTTTCGCGCTTTACGCCTTTTTTGGATCACAATTTAGAATTTTCAGGTCATGACGGGTTGATCTGGCGCCTTGAAGTTGAATGAAAAATGGCTTCCCGCTATTGGGGAGACGAAAAGCACAGCGACGCTGTTTATGCTGTTTACCTTCGCAAAGTTCGATATGTTCCGCCGCAAGGTTATGAAGGGGCTCCGGTGAGAAATTATTCTTTTTTCTGTTCACGTTCACTTCCAGAAAATGCCACAAAATTTATCTGAAGAGATATAAGAGGTTATTTTGAAACGTAAAAAAATCATTCCGAAAAAAAGCTAATTACTTTTTCACAGTGTTGGTTTCTGGGTCTTCAAAATTTAACCCTTGTTTAATTTCTTTATTTTTAATTCAAATTTAAACATTTTAGAAAAGTTTTTGCAAGCGGTCGAGAAGATTTTAGATTATTCTGAAATATAGTTTCAAATAATAATTTAATAATGAGAAGAAAAATAAAAAAAGTGAGAGCTCATAAAAAAAAATAGTTTTTCGAATTTTTCGTACCCCAACTAAAAAAATTAGAACACTCCATAAAAATCTAATTTATTCAGTTATTCTTTTTTTCAAGTTCATTCAAGTACTTTGCTTGAGAATATTCAAAAGTATTTTTTTGATTATTATTTGTCTAGCAATAGACTCTTAAATTCATTTTGAATAGAACTTTTTTTCATTTTTTTATTCTTGACTTCTCAATTTTTTTCAGTAGAATTTTTTTCGAAGAAGCCTTGAAAAATAGGGGTTTCATTTTAAAAATCTATTTATTAACTTAGAAAAGTAAAAAGTGGTCCTTATAGGGGTCTTTTTGGGGGCCCTTGGAGGGTCTTCTTTAGGGACCACTTAACCAGATCCCATAGGAATCTCTAACGCTGGGAAAAGTGGTCCCTTTTGGGGTTTCAGATAACGGCTAGGCGATAATTTTTATGAACTTTATGCAAAGAAGCATTTCCATGCAAAAAACTGAATGAAAAAGCGATTTTCGAATGAAATTAGAAGAAACCCTATAGAGATCACTTTATCGGTCCCCATCTCTTATAGAAAAATCTAGGGGCTCATTTTCTTTTGAAAAAAATATTTGTTTTTAGTTCTGATTATTCAAATTAATTGTAAAAAAACGTTCTTTTTAAAAATCTTGGGTTTTTTTCAAAAAAACAAAAAGAAGTGGATGAAAAGTATTTTTGAAATTATTTTTTTGTCATATCTATTATAGAAAAAAATTTGCTCAATTTTTTTGTACAATACTCTGAAATTTTGTCATTTGCTTTTTTTAATTTTTTTATTTGCCTTGTTTCCATCGCTCTCTAAGATTTCTGTTAGCCGAAATTTTGAAATTTTATAAATTATATTACTGATAAAGCTACTTGAAAGTTAAGGAGTTACTTAGTCACTTTTCAGAAAACTTTGTATCGATAAAAAAAAACGATAAGCTGATGAAGCTACTGGAAAGTTTAAGAATTTCCTAGTCACTTTTCAGAAAAACTTTATAACGATAAGCCAAAAATCTGCACCACCAAATGAGAAAAATTGGAGCACATGCATAATTTCTAAGCTATTCGTACTGTACGACCGGAGAGACCTGTCCAGTATGACGCTTATCAAACAGCGAAACCGCCATCAAGCAAAAGGGCCCCTGTAATATATGTATTTGATATGCACGTGTGCGGCACCAGAGAGAAACACAGGCGTCCCAGGGCGTGTGTCTCAATTTCGAACCCAACCGCGGCTTAATCTCTCCGGTTTACGTGCAAGCTGGTTGCGCGCCATTCGCTGATCCGCCATCCCACCTTTTAGCCCTGCCGCCCTTTTTTCTCATGTACACCTTGTAAGCTTGTAATCTTCAATTCCGAACTGAACCATGAGAACTGGACCGACTCACCGCGTGCACATCCATCTCACTGTGAGTTCCAAACCAACCACACGTCTTATCGGTGTCGCTTGCCAAAAGGTCTCTGCAAAACAGCAAAAAAGACACGCGGAAGGAAAGCCGACTGTCCACTTTCTCTTTTTGTCAGTTGCTTCTTTTTTTGACAGCTATTAGTGGTTCCTGCTTTTTTGACTCTATAAAGCTTACAAAGCGGTAAAAAAAACAGTACTTTCAAAAAAGATACTAAAAACGGAGTTCCGGTTACAACTTTCTTGTGAAGAATTTAATCTTTCTGGAACTTTCTTTTATTTTTAACATTATTATAAAGTTTCAGTTCACAGAAAAAAAACGCAGCTACGAAAGTTTTCAGGAAGTTTGAATTCTTTGAAAAAAAGTCGGGTTTTCTGTATCTTTTCTGACGATTCTGTGTCAAAAATTCAAAAAACTCAAAAAAGGTTTACCTGAAATCGACTTACCACGCTCCCTATATATCAAATGATCCTTTTTTGCTTGTTTTTAGTTAATTTTGTAACTTTTGACAGGTAAAAAAAGCCTTAAAAGTATATTCATAAAAAAAGCAAAAGTGAAAAAAGTTAACCCGAACTTACCTGTCCACTTTTTTGTCAACTTTTAATCATTTTCTTTAATTTTTGATATATTCGAAACTATTCAAAATTATTCCCCTTTGAAATAAATGAACAAAAAAAATCTACTTAAGTTTCACTGGATTTTAGCAAACGGGCTGAAGAATGAAAATTTCGATATTTCATTTTTTTTTTTTCTCTTCTCACTTTGTTTATTTTTTTATCCATTATGTTAGGCATTATTACCACATGTACACAGTTTATATTTTCAAAATTAAAAATTCTCATTCTCATCGGAAAAAAATTAGCTTTCAAAATGGAAGCGGAACAGCTATTCCAAAAAAATTTCTGAGCGAGACTCGCAGAAAAAAATAAAAAAATAGTTTGTCTAAGAAAAATACTTCAATTTTAAGTCGGTCTAAAAAAATTTCAATTTTTTTAGAAAAAAATGAAAAAAAGAAAGCTCTATCAAGTAGGAAATTTATAAAAAAAGTTTTCAATAAGATTTAATTTTTCTGAGCTTTTTCAAAAAACTAATAAAGCGCTTTCATATTTCAAATTTTTGATGCTTGCTCAAAAATTTGTCATAAATTTTCAACAAATGCCAAACACCATGAAAAAGTTTTTTAGAACATATACCCGTTTCATCATGTTTTCCCAAAGAAATATACATATTGACAATCTGTAAACTGATAATATTTGCAAAGCAACAAAAATAAACTGATCCGAGATAAAAAAAACCAACTGGCTTCCAAAGACGCGGCTGTCAAGGCAGAAAAAAACTTCCCAACAAGTTTATTATTTGTTTACTTCGTCACTCAAACTTTCCATTGCGCTTTAGTCAAATACTCGCGCACAATACCTCTGTAATCCCGGCAAATTCCAGTCAATTAGGTATTTTCGTCCGCCCACCCCGTCTGAAAGTCAGTATTTGCCCATTTGCGGCGCCAAAACTTTTTTTTAAGTTCGAAGTTTTTTATTGAAATTTAAACATTTTGCGGTTTCAGATGAGACTTATTAGGTAATTTACTAATAATTTCATGAAATTAAATAAGGAAAACAGTACACACTGGCAAAATGTTCCTACAGATGACGTGTTGGAATAAATATTTATATTTCTTCCGATTCCGATGTTTTGAGTTTCTCCGCCGTCATATAAAATGTTCAACGTTTTGCAAGAAAAAAAAACGTACAGCAGCTTTTTATGTTCGAAACCATGCAGTTACCCATTTTTAGTAAGAGAGCACTTCTGAGACGGCTGCATGATGTGAGTTTTTTTGTTTTGGAAAGAACTTTCTTTTATTTGATTTTTTTGAGATTTTTTTAATAATTAATTCAAAAAGATTCAAGGCAATTTGATTGAAAAGTTCTGATTCCTTACAAATAGTTCCAAAAACAGTTGTGAACACTTTTTTTTGCTTGGAATTATCATCACTTCGCCTAAAAAAATATTAAACTGTTTTTCAATAATCGCTTTTTTTCCTTCCATTATTATTCTCGTTTTTTTCATCATGATCCCATAATAGAAGCTAAAAAAAGACTTATATTTTTTTATCCTTTTCAGAAAATATAAAGTATTCTGCTTTATTCAATTACAAAAAAATAAAGTCAGAGGATATTCCTTTAAAAAAATTATTTCTTAGTTTTTTTGAGCTCACAGGGAAGTTCATTTAACTTTGCGGCTGGGAATTCTCTGAAAAATGACGACCAGAACACATCTTGATGTAACAGATAAAGATCCTGGGAGTCTCAACCTTTACAACTTCCTAGTTGTCAAGAAATAAAAAGCTTTAAGCTCCAAAATAATCTATTTTTATAAGTTTTTGGGGTTTTGAGGCGTCTTTTTTTCCAAAAAAACTAGGCAATTGTGCAAGTTAACTCTTTCAGAATATTCTTCTGGCACATCGAAGATCAATTTTTAGAAGAATCCCAATCACAGAGTAAAATGACCTCCCTTGTCAGTTGTATCGCTGCTCAAAATTTTAAAAAACTCGGTTTTTAAATCAGCCCGGTTTTATTTTTTTTGGAAAAAAAGATGACAGAAACAAATTTTTTCTTGTCATGATCCACACAACAGATAATCTCCGTTAAGATAGGAAATTCTTAATTTTGAGCCATGTTGATTGTTTATTTCGGGAGGCAAGTGACTGCTGCGAAACGGATCAATGAGCCGTCGGAACAGAAACCTAGAGATATTAAGCGTTTGTGCACACGGGCAGCCAGCCATCCGACGGGAACCGGGATTGAAATCGAAACCCAACCAGCAGTTTTTTTGTTGTCTTTTTTCCTCGTTCTTCCGTTTCCCTTTCTGTGAGACTTGATGCCGAGAATGGTGATTCAGACCGTTGAACGTTTAAACGGCACTAGGCTTTTGCGCCATATATTCATATTACTTTTCTGTTTCGTTCGGTTTTTATCATGATCAACTTTTTTTTAAGTAAAAACCTCGGGTCATTTTTTTAACGCAGAAAAATTTTTTTCACGTTTCTTTGAAGATTCTTGATTAGGTGTGGGATGAATCTCAGTTGATTTCAGATAGCTTGAAAAAAACTACGAATACATTTGAATTTCTTTTTTTTACTTAACGTGAAAAAGTTAAACCTTTTTGTAGATCAGCATTGGAAAAATTGATAGATCCCTTTTTATTTCTAGTTTTTTTCTCTTTCTTTCTACAGAATCTAGAACTTTTTTCTCAATTTTTTAAAAATTCAATCAAAAAGCAGGAATTTTTTGAATTTTTTACATGAAAAAAACTTCCCAGAGACTATGAAAAAAATGAAAAAAATAGTCTGATTGAAAAAAATCATTGGTTTAGAATCATAAAGGCCCATTTGATTCTAGTAACTTTTCTTGAACCAATATCTCCATTGCAGACAAAAATCAGTAACTTATGAAACTTATCAAAAATTTCTGAAATCAACATGTATTGTATTTTTCCAGGTCATTTTTACCAAGAACTGAAAAAAATATTTCGGTCAAAAAAACTGAATATTAAAACAAAAAAACACTTGAAAAAAATATTCAAAGTATCAGGTTTTTTTGAAAAACTGAACTTTTTGATGACCTTTTAAAGATGCGTGCCATTTGCAGAGATACCGCGCCATCGATCCCGACAGGCCGCAGGAAGAGGCGGCGGAGATGGCGGCCGACCATCTCGAATGGGAATCCGTCAAGGAACGAGTCATCAAGGCCGGAACCATCGAAAGGCTTGTGGTTCGTTTCATTTCGGCTTTGAAACATGTTGTTTTCACACTTTATAAGAGTTGATGGATTATCGAGGTTATGAGTTATGAGTTATTTTGAAAACTCAAAATATTGTCGCATTTGAGGAAAAAAATTACAAAAAAAGATCAAAAAAACAAGTTAAATTGTAATTTTGCCCAAAGTTCACTACTTCAAGTGCAAAAAAATCCATAATAATCAAGAGGAAAAACTCATGAAATAACAAATTCATCTATAATTTCATTAGGTTTTGGAGATCCTTTTTAAAAAATCAAAAAAATTATATGAAAGTTCATTATCTTCAGAAATTTCTTAAAAAAATAAAAAAATTAAGGAGTGCTTGGTTGGCGGAGACGACATGATGGATTCCCGACATTTCAACGTTTTTCTTCGCCACCTATCGCGCTTTCACGGATCCTCCTCACGTCCTCGATTGGTATTCCTTCTATTTCTTGAGCTTTTTTAATTTCTTTTTTTCAGTTTACTCCGACGTTATGAGTCACTTGAGAACGAGGTTAATGGTAGTACAGCCGCCCTTTTAGTACAAAAGTAAGTTTTTTTCGTACTATATTAGTAAACTTTTTTTTTAACCGTGACGCATTTGAGATCAATTATCAAACAAAAAAAGGCTTGTATTAAAAAAATTTTTTTTGGAAATTTTATGCTTTTCTAAATGTGAAACGCGTGTGAATCGAGCGTTATAAAAAAATTTTGATTTTTTTCTCTGTTTTTCTCAATTTTCTAGCGTTTTCAAAAAAATTGCAAGAGAATTCTGAAAAACAAATTTTTTTAAACAAACGTCAATCGTCATTACAAAAAAAGATTTGCTATAATTTTCCAACCAAAAAAAGTATTAATTTTACCTGAAACCGTAAATGTAGTTATTCTTGAATTTTTATTTTTTTTCCAGCTCGATCCGTCAGATCGTGACTTGTTGGCTGGAAACCTATCCCGAAGATTTCTACGATCCTGAACGGGAATTCGCCATGCTCACCAATCTTCTCGATTTCGGCGCCAGAAACAAACTGACCGAGCTCCGAGCAAAAGTTCGCAAACAGAGAGAACGATTCAAAAGGATTCTCCAAGACGGGGGCATGATTGGTCTGTCAAAAAAGTTTTTTTTTTTCAATTAATAAAATATTTCAGCCTCACTGCCTTCGCTTGGAAAATACGTGGCCAGCATGGGATTCGATCCAATGGATTATCCTAAAAACATCAAAGAAAGGTATTCAATGCTTTTCATAAGAATTTTAAAAATTATTTCTGTTTAGGGTGAAAATGTTCGATGTCGGGAAGGAAAACTGCGTACAGATAGCTGAACAACTGACCTTTTGGGATGCTGTCAGTTTTTATGAGCTTTCAAATGATTTTTTTGTGAATAAATAGTGGGATCGTTCTGAAAAATCGAAGAAATTTCAAATTTCCAATCAATGTATAGCTTAACGTTCAGCAGAAACATCAATAAATATTGTTTCTATCGAGTTTTTCTGCAAAAAAGGACAGTATCAATGAAAAAATTAATTTTTCTTCCAATGTTTGACCCTTTTCAGGCCTTGTTCAAAGAGCTGCTTATCCATCAATGTCAAGGCTGCGTTTGGTCCAAAAGACGTACGGCCGCGGAAAGAGTTTACACTGTGAAAGCCACGATTGACCAGGTTCGTTCCAGATTATACAGCCTTTTATTTTCAAATATCGATTTCCAGTTCAACGCCGTTTCACAGCGTGTCATGACGAGTATTGTGCTACCGGATTGTCGGCCAGAATACCGGGCCAAAAATCATCAGCAAGTGGATTGATATTGCGAGAGTGAGAATATTTGTCAATAATTCATTTTTTTATAAAAAAATAATACAGGAACTGAGAGCTTTGAAGAACTTTTTCGTCGTTAAAAGCCGTTCTGTCCAGCCTTCAATCTGAGCCTGTTCATCGTCTAAAGCCTGCTTGGAATCTGGTATCGAGGTGAACTTTCAAGGACAGTTTTTTCTTTACCAAAACAGCTCATATTCTCATTTTTACATTATTAGAATTTTTCCCGTATAGTAGTGTTTCCAATAAAAACTAATTTTTCAGCCGATCAATGGCGCAGTTCCGAGAACTGTCCTCGATCTACGAGATGGACGAAGATGGAGATCAAGGAACCGCAAGAAAGATTTTGGAACAAGTTTATTTGAAAAACTAGGATCCCTTTGAAATTTCTGTTTGAAGGAAGGAACCGCAAAAAGTTCTCCTTTGAGAAGGCCGCAGCTGATCCAAAACTGTCGAAGAACTAAAAGCGACGTGAATTTGGCCGAATGTCAAGGGACTGTGCCCTACTTGGGCAACTTCTTGACCGACTTGGCGATGATCGACCAAAGCACTTCAGACATGACGCCAGGTACTTTCCTTCTGATTTCCCTTCTGAGGGATTTATGATTCCAGAAAATCTGATCAATTTTGAAAAGCGCCGGAAAGAGTTTGAAGTTCTGGCAAAACTGAGGCTTTTCCAATCAGCCGCTCGAGCGTACAACATTCCGATGGACCGAATGTTTTGCGCTTGGTTCTTCTTCCTGCCCTGTCTTTCCGAGAATGAATGGTATTTTCCCCTCATTTTCGTGAAGAATGTTTTTTTTCCAGTTTCAATCGTTCACTGGAAATTGAAAAGCCTAGTATTGCCACTCCGGATCTGACAACATCGAGGCTAAATAGTAGCTTAATGAGCAACGGGAGTTCTGGTGGCCTAGTCAAAAAGTGAGTAGGATTAGCAAGATTCGAGAATAATGATGAAATGTTTTTGAAGTTCTACGCTGTCTCGTCTATTCAATTCTAATCGTACATCGGAAGACGCAGCCAGTAATAATGGCAGTACAAACCAAAATTGGCATCACCATACAAATTCCTATTCGTCTTCAACTAATTCTCACGTGCCTACAAATACAGGTGATTTATATATTCTTTTTTTAAATAATTCAATTTCAGGAAGCTCATCAAACATCTCACCCTCCGAAGTCACGCAGTCGGATATCCCGCAAATGTCCCGAGAAGGCGAAATGCAGGGAGAAGATTGGATCGACGGAAGGTTGAATGGAGGCCCACCAGGACCAGTGAGTATTTGAGTTTTTCAAGTTTTTCAACCTTGTGAAGTTTTGATAATTCTAGAACAGTTTTGTGTGAATTTTACAGTTTTTTCCGTCAACATATCAAAAAAAACTTGTACTGGAAGAGTTCAACCAAATTGTCCTATAATATCATCAAAAAACGCAAAAGAATCTTTATGAAGGTACCTCTTTCTGGAACTGCAAGTTTGCCAAGAATACCCTCGACTGCCAACACTTCCAACTCTTGGAAAGGAGGTACATTTTTTTCCATTTGGGATTTTTTTCACGGTTACGAAATTAGGATGTGAATTCACGCCATCGACCATTTTCCCGCATTCACACAATAGAGCTCACAGCGGTGATTCTTCAATGCAAGAGGTCCACGCTTCGATATCAAGGAATAGTGTTGACACAACGGTTTGTGACGTTTTCTTACGAACATTAGAAATTGTACTAACTTGGGGAATGCGCAAAAAAGATCATTTTGAATGGAGCAATCGCAGATTTTATCATCTTACTTTCTTTCATGTTATCTTTTGCTAAAATCCGTAAGGATAAACAAAAGTAAGAGAAAGCAAGAAGATTTTTTATAACCCTACGCGAAAGTCAGTTCGAGTAAAACCGGGGCTTCTGAAGTTGAGTTTATTTTGATCAGCGTAGGTATGTGTTAAAATGGATAATTTATTTTTCAATAGTTTCTGTCCAAAAATAGCGGTAAATGAAGTGTTTCATTATCAAATATTGACTATACTTACTGCGCGAATTTTGAAAATATTAGAATTAAAGGAAAAAAAAATTCATGATTTCGTTAATTTCTGCGTGTGACTTTGACAATTTAGAGTTCTGATCGGAAAATATTTTTCAGAGTGGAACGCAGTCGCTCTCCAGAAGTGATACTCCTATTCGCAACAGATTGAACGACGTTTTCGATTCCAAACTTTACATCCATCAGAAAAAAGACAGCGACGTTAGTTTAAAGGAATTCCTCACCATGCATCTTTCTCCCAGGCGTCTACTTGTTCTTCTTCGTCGTCTCTTTCTGCAAACGGCCTTGCCCAAACTCAAAAGTCTTTTTATTTGGCGAGAGTTGGGTTGGACGACGAACTTCAAAGTACCGATGGGGCGAATTATAAATGCATCAAGGTTTTTTTTCAGCGCATTTTATAAATATGTTGAATTTTGAGATTGAAAACGGAGACAGGATGCCGCAACTAATCGCAAGGGCTCTAGAGAAGCATCTCATTGAGGAGGACCGCAACCGTTTTCTTCTTGTCCAGCTTCTTCCCCGTGGAGGTCATTTTTTTTGTTTCTTTTTTCCAATTTTCGAGCACCCTTTATAGGTCTTTTTTGAATTTCGCTCAGCACTCTAAAACTCATACCATTTCAGGTGAATTCGTCTTGCCGGACAACTGCAACCCTTTCTATGCAATGGCACCCGATCCAACTTCGCCAATGCTAAATTTAATACTAAGGTGAGAAATGATGAAAATCTGAGGAAGTTCAGAGTGGTCACTATAGGGGTTAGGGCAAAAAACAACTGTTATAAGGGCCGAAAAATTGGTCCCCGTAGGATTAAAGTTAAGGGGGTTCCTGTAGGGGTTTAGGGTCTGACCCTTTAAACTCTAAAGCTCAAGTGGACCCCATAGGGGTCTTTCTATTTTATTCAAAAAAAACGCTTATAGGTGCCACCTTCAGGGACCACTATCGCTGCCCCTTCAGGGACCACTCTGGATTTCCTAAGAAGAAAACATTCTGTTCAATGAAAACCGAAAATATAGAAATCAATTCAGCAGATTTTTCGGAATGGCTCCGGAGCTGTAAAAGAGTGTTACAATCAATGCAAAAACAAAAACAAAGTCACTAATTTAGGGCTTTTTTTTAGAAAGTTATCTGGATTTCGCAACGCTTCTTTTTAAGTGCTAGCTTGGAACAAGAAACCTTTCAGAAAATTATGAAATTTTTTGCCTCACGGACTGTGTAAAACTACCTTGAATATTGCAAGATTCTGTGATAATATCATTTTCAGACGTCGTGATAGCAATGTCGCGATATCCGGTGGAGTTTCGCCTCAACTGGGCCCGTCGGCCAAAAAATTGAACCGGATGAAACGTACAAATCTCCTGCGATGGAGCAGCGGCTACCTGTAACTTGTTCTTCTCTTTCTCTCTACATCTTCTCGGTTGACACGTCTTAGAATCTTTATTTTGATTTTACGGGTAGCTTGTCAAACTTAATTTCTTTCTCTGTATCTATATTTTTTCATTAAGTTTTCCTAAAGAAAAACAACAAATTTTTTCAAGTTTTCTTTGTTTTTTAATTATTTTCGGTATAGTCGGTATTGCATGTTGATTTGTGTTATTTCTTCTGTAGTGTATATAATCAGCATAAAATCTCAAGCTCTAATTAGATCTAAAGCCTCCAACCAATTATTCAAAATCTGCACTCTATTGCCTTACAAATTTTACAACATTGCTCAATCATAAAACGCCGTGTTACATATTTTTCACCCTCCCTGTTTTATAACTGGCTCAGCCGCGCATAATTTATTGTGATATTGCCCGTTTCGTGTGTATTTGCTACAAATCGATTATCATCATCATTTCATCTTCGAGACTGAACGTGTGTCATGGAAAATACTTAATAGGCCTTATACGCTTTCTTTTTTGTAAATTTTTTCTGTTATTGCATAAATTTTTTCCTTTCCGATGTTTTGTTCCAAGAAGGTTAATGTTTTTGGAGACGTTCAGAAACAAAATGCGAATTCTCTTGCGAGAAAAAGAGAAAACAGTGCTGCTTCCCTCCCAGAAAGACGTTATTTGTCCGTCGCCTTGTTTGTTCACAGCACGTGCCTTGCTGCAACGCTAGAAATTGTACTACTCACCCAAGTTCTTTCATTCATTTGACAATTAACCCAAAATGAATGTTTTGCAGGCTTTTTATGGCTTCATTTCCGGGGAATCTCGGTGGTCGTCATGTTGAATGGTGTCCGGACGGCGGAGGTTAGCTTTTTCTTCCTTAACTGTCAAGTTTTTTTTCTGAATATTATAACTCAAAGTTTTATCAACTTGTATACAAACGTATGATGTTTGAATTTTGCCTTCACCATAATTTCTTCACATTCAAAGATCTAACTTTACAGAATTTAATGATTTATTTTGATTTGATTCATATCAAACCGAGATCAGAACTTCCTTGACTTTGACCAGCTTATGAACTGGTTACCTAAGAACGCAGTACCAAAAAATGAATAATTAAAGTTTGATGGGGTCCCAATGAGGCCCCGTTTCCATGACCATTTATTTTTTTTCTCTTAATTTACTTGCATTGCGATTTTTCTAATAGAGTTCTTGAGATTTTTGCCGGCCAGAAACAATTTGAAAAATTTTAATAATCAGCCTCTTTTATTAAATTTAGGTTATCATGCTTACTGCCCCCAGCCGACAGATCCGGATGATTACACCAACTGTTGTACGTACTTCTACTTGCTGAGTTCAAAACCTTCTTGCTGTCGATATCCAATACATTCCGGCTTACTGATCACCTGTTCTTTAGCTGCAATATTTTTATTCCTACGTAAGACATTTCGAAAGAATCCGAAAACCTTGAATTTTTCAGTTCTGCTGTTTTTATATTGTTGGTTCTGGCCACGAAGTTGGATGAACAAGCGTCGTCAAGCCAATCGAGAAATTGTTTCAATATACCAACCATATGATTCTGTTCATCGGCCATCTTATGTTAAATAATGTTTTTTTAAAATGAAAAATTGAGCTTCGAACTTGTTTCCCTAAAAAAACTTTCTTCTAAAAACATAATGGCTGTTTTTTTCTCTGAATTCTGCTGGAACTTCAATCTTTTTTTCCAACGTTATTCAAAGTATTACTGAGCTAAATATTATCAGCATGCCTTATTTTAATTACTTGAAAATTTGCATCGGAAAAAAAGAAAAAAACGAAAGCAAGTGCGCTCCACTGTACGCTCTTCCAGTGGCAAGTGCGCTCTAACGGACATGTTTACCAGAACATGTTCGAGGAACGTTTCATGCGAACGGCAAATAAATTTGAAATTTAGGCCATTTCAAAAAATTAAGAAGGTTAGTTTTATTTTTTATTTTTTAATTTTTTTTTCGTTTTTTGATATGAACTCTTGTTTTTCGGTGTTCTTCTGAGGGAAAAAAAAACGTGGGTTTGGTTGCAATATGATGGGAATGAAGAAAAAAAACAACACAATATGGGGATAGTTTCAAGAATAATAAATTCATACGCTTCATCCCAAAAAATCGATCAAGTGGGTATAAAAATTTCAATTTGCTCCTTTCGACTCAATATTTGTATAGCAGTTAATTTTTGAATATTTGAATAATTTAATAGATAATGATATGGCTTCATGAAAATCCGTGCATCTTCAGAACTACGGTGAGAAAATTACTGTAAAAAACTTTTTTTTTAGTGAAAACAATATGACCCCTTTTTGACTTTTTTTTTGTTTTTTCCGACTTGCATTTTTCTTCCTTTGATTTTTGGATCTTCTCTTCGTCTAGTATAGTCTGTTCAGATTTTGAATGTCAAGTCGCTTCTAAAGCTCCGCCCCTAATGACCCGATAAGCCAATCAGAGAGCGAGCCATCCACAGAGCGTTTTCGAATGACGTCATTGTACTTGACATTCAAAATATGAACAAACTATATGGTCTTTTTTTTCCCGAATTGAAAGTTGACGGAGGCGGGCAAAGGGGCGGGACGCGTAGCGTGTGCGTACGCGGTTCTTGTAACGAGTTCAATTCAACAGCCAGCGACTTTTTTAAGAGCTCGTTCATCACTCTTTTCATTTTTTTTAAAATCATTCATCGATTTCTTTCATGTAAGCATTATATAGTCTGTGTGCCACGACTTGAAATTTCCCGAAACGACATTCCGTTGTTCCGCTGCGTGCGTTCGCGAAGCGTCTTTCGAATCTAGGTCACGCTTCCAATTAATTGTTATTGCTCTGGGAGCACATGAATGTAGAGTACTTACTTACTTTGATACTTTGATGGTCCATCTTCGCTGATGTTCTCAGCGTGGACCACACGTTCTCCAGGCGGCTCGGTCTTGCGCGACGGTCATGCAGTGGCGGCCTGGCTGACTGATGTTCTTGCGGAAGTAGTCCGTCCATCTGGTCGGTGGGCGCCCGAGTGGACGCTTGATGTTTCTCGGAATCCAGTGTGTTAATCTCGTGGACCAGCGGTCGTCTTGTCTGCGGATGACGTGGCCGCCCCAACGATGTTTCCCGCGCTGTATGTGCTCTTCTAGATCCCGGATTTGGGACAGTTGACGGAGGTCTGTGCTCCTCTGTTCTTTTTTCCACTGCTCGAAGCGAGTGCGTGTGGTGTCGATGAGAGCACGTTCCAGTGCGCGGTAGGAAGTTCGTAGGGCGGTTGCATTTTTCTTCGTGTCAGGCCAAACTTCGGTACCGTAGGAGATGGCAGGGATTATCGACGCTTCGAAGATGTGAGCTCGCAGTTTCGGGTCTTTCAGCTGGCTGGTGACTTCTTTGATGGAGTTGAAGGCGGCCCATCCAGCGCGTTTGCGTCTGCCGATCTCTGCTTGCAGGTCGTTCACCATGTTTTTCGAACTTCTTCTTCTTGAGGCTTTGACGTTTCTCAGTTGTCTGAAGAAGTGCACTCCGGCGTCGGTTGGCGAGGGACTCTTGCCCGGTCATTCTGCAGGCTTTGTCGATTGTCAGACGTTCGAGGTGCGTGGCCTGCGGGTCTCGTTTGACTTCTCCTCTTCTTCGCAGCAGATCTTTCGCTCATTGGTCGAGCCGCGGCGGTAGAGAAGAGGTTGGTCGAGCTGCAGGTTCTGCACATCTGATGAGGCCATTGCAGAGGGATTCGTAGTCGGCTGTCAGGTCGTCGAGAAGCTGCCAGTCGTGCTCCGAGATCTGAATGTAGAGTACCATAATAAAATAAATCAAAAATTAAAAGCACGGACAAGGTTCGCAAACGGCACAACGGAATGTCGTTCCGTGAAATTTCAAGTCGTGGTACACATACTATAAAATAGTAGAAAATAAGAGAAAAGGACGGTGACCGAGCTTTTTGAATAGCTGGTGTGCTTGAACTGAACGCGTGCCAAGGTCCGCGTACGCACACGCTACGCGCCCCGCCTTGCCCCGCCTCCCTTGCCTTTCAAATCAGGAAACATTGACTCTACACCTTGATAACTTTGAAAATTCCTATAAAAAGCAAAAATGCTTGGGATATAAAGAAATATCGGGCAGTTATTTATAAAATCGAAATACTGCAAAGGCTAAAAGACAATTGCGACTTGCAAAAGAACATCTACTTGATTACAAAGATTACCTTCGAGAGATGAAGGACCCGTAATCAGACGAACGCAAAATGCTTCGTGGCAGGCAAGAAAAAAGGTGATATAATGCTCAAGAGAAGGGTACTTGAAACCTGATTTACTGTTGACTGAAAGCCCAGAGAACTTTCAAAAAAATGAAGAAAATTTAAAACGAACCAAGATTACGGTCACTGCTGTTATCAAAAAGGCTTAAATTTTTATTTAAAGCGTGGCTTTCTTTTTCGTGCTTCTCTCTCAAGATCGGAACCAAAAAATGCGGAGTCGTGGGGAAAGAACGTGTGTTGAATCGAAATATTCAAGTAAAACGGGTTTTTGTTGATAAATATCTTATTTTTAAGAGGAAAAAGTCGAGATTCACCTATTTCTACATTCGTTACAATTTTTTTCAATTGCTTCATCATTTATATTTTCCTAACTTGAACGTTTTCATACCTATCCGACCTGTACGGCAAGATGAGTAGATTGAGAAAAGTTAAGCGTTGCGTACGCGACCCTGCTTTTGGCGGGAAACTGAAAATCAAAGGCAAACAACTTGAAAAATATATTTTTTTTTGATGGTTTCGCAATTATTCTTGATTTTTTTATGGTTTGGGAATATTCTATTTGAACCAATAGATGTACAAAAATTATGGAAAACGTATCTGGGAATTTTTAGAAAGCAGAACAAACGCCGCTGATGCACCAAGAAAACATCCAATAAGTCTCAACCTGCACACTTTTTTAGTTTCCAAGAAAATACACCTCGTATTCGAAAAATCTTTAGATATCATTCGAAACGGGACAATTTGAGGTTTAGAGCCCTCATTTCTTGCGAATTAAAAAGTTGTGTAGGTTCAGACTTTCAGGACCTTTTCCAAATATATCAATGAATAATCTGAATGTTTTTCAAAACGATTCCAAAGCGAAAAGTTTAATGACCTCTTTAGTGAAGTATACCAATTCTGTGGAACAAGAATAATGAAGAGTCGTCAAAAAAAAAAAAATCTTTATTTGTGACAATATTTTGCGAGATGAGACTACGAAACGAGATCAAAAAATAATGACGTGCTGTTTTGATCTTTCGAGACTAGACGAGACATTTCTCAAGACCTATCTCAAAAATTGAGACGAGATCGAGCGAGAGACCATAATTTTGCACCACGTAAGCCACTGAATGTTGCGAGAAGAAAGAAACTTTATTAAAAACCTTTGGAGAAAAAAATCTGACGCTTTCAATTAAAAATACCCAATTTTGAATTAAATTTCAAATTTTTTTGCTGGTCGTTTATGTTTTTTTGTTTAATTCGGACAAACCACCGAACTGTAAACAATTTCTCTTTTTTTCGTTTATTTTGTCACCTCGTCAATTCCGGATTTTTTTCTGCTGCTTATTCTTGAAAAATATCTCGTTGTGAATGAACTCTTGTCATGATTTTTTGAGACGAGAGATTTTCAAAAACTTTCTGAGAAACGTTTTTTGCCCAAATCTCTCAAAATAGATTTTTTTTTTGAGTTATGGAGCTTCAAAGTCCGTAAAATACGCAAATAATGACCAAAAAAAATTTTAAAGCTTTTTGAAGCGTCCTAACTCGAAAACGAGCTCTATTGCAAGAAATTTTTGTCTTGTTCTGCAATCGAAGGTTCTGAAGTACATTTCAGCGAAGTTTCATTAGAAATTGACAGAGAAAAAAATCTCCGAGTAAGTAGAAATATTGAACTCTCATACACTGAAACGAAATTCGACCAAATTTTTCAATTTTTTAACCCAATATTTTCTCTGGAATCGATTTTTGAACCAGAACTGACTCGTTCATTTTATAAGCGTTTTTCAGTTCTATGAACTATACCGGATTGTTTCTTTTTCCTGTATATCATCAATATCCTCTCTTATTGCTGGAAAATACTTTTGGAAATGTTGTGGTTCATAAAAAAAAGTTGTAATCAGGAAATTAGTTTTTTTGTGGCTTCTCTGACGCAAATGTACAGGCGCAACAATCAGTGCAATGTTCGTCGATAAGCGGGGGACGCAAGTTCGGAACCATTGTAACCAATTTTTTGTGGCATCAGTTGTTCTCTCGGGCGGGGATGGTAGAACTATTTTCCCCACCCCTCTCTTTATTTTTGTTCCAGTCGCATTCTTGTGCTTGCCAGAGTATCGAGCTTGAGCCTCAGTTGTCGCGGATTTCCTTTGAACCAATGATTTCGGTTTCAATGGACTTGATATCTCCCCCTTCCCCCTCCCACCCGTCGATGACTTTCTATTTGTTTTTTCAGCTAGATCGGTGTGACTTCCCGTTATGTTTTACTCTTTTTCAGCTCATCAAAATTGAGAAAAAAATTCAAGTTTCTTTTTGATAATTGAAAAAAATTTCAGTGGATACTTACAGATAGTCTCATTATTTTGAAAAAGAATGCCTTGATCAACTACGAAAAATTCTTGAAGTTCTTCTAACCTGTTGATTTCGCTTACAAGTACTCGATATTATTCATGAAGCATCCTTGTTCTGTTACCAGATTCGAAGCTTTCGAAGTGAACATCAATTATCAGTTTCGAATTCTGACCTGTGAAAAAAAGCGACGAGGTTTGTTTGAAATCCGAAATTCTCAAAGAGATGAACAGATATCATTCAACGTTTTTGTATTTGAAAAAGCCATGAGAACGATTCGAAAAAATCACGTTTCTGAATGAGAAGAATGGAATAAACACCCAATGTCACAAAAAAAAAGTTTCAAAGTACAATCTGAGAAAAACACGTGAGCAGAGATATAGTAACATATGTCGTTATGTACTACAGTAGTCCCCGCTGAGTTTCCTTGGGGAAAGTCTCCATTCTTCGTTAATATAACCTTTCACGTTTTCAAAAAGTTTAACCTACTTTACAATCTTTTTGAAACATTTTTTTGAACTAGAGAATAATTTAAAGTAGAAAAAAATGGAGAAAAATACCGAAAAAAAATTTGTTTAAGAAAAAAAAGCTTTGAGCTTCTAATGGTTTCTGGTTTCTAGATTCCTTTTTTTCAACTGAAAGAAATATTTCCAAGAAATAGAATATTAGACAGTTCGCATTTCAAGTCACAACGCTTTAAGTTGCTTTAAAAAAAAAACTTCTAAAATACTAATTTTTCGTGCCTGAGGTACGGGACTAGTCGTGGGCTGAAAAAATCGGAAGGAAAAATAAACTCAACTTTTGAATAAAATGGAACTTACATGCTCGAAAGTTTTCATATGGACGAATGAATCTAATATTTCAACCATAATGCGATTAATTAAAATACGTATGCTGAATATTTCGAAAACTTTTTTCTTTGAGCTTCTAATGGTTTCTGGTTTCTAGATTCAAAATTACGGTCAAACAACTGCTCGCAAGGGGCTTCCACTTGCGGAGAAAAAAAAGGGAAAAAGAGCTGCCTGCGATTGATAACAAATCTCCTGATCCTCCACCACTGCTTCGAGACAGTTGTTAATGAGATCTTCAACAAAAGCGGTACATTTTTCGGCTGTTGAAACTTTGAGATAATCTCAGTTTCTGGTGTCTCTTGTTCTCTGAAACTCACAAAGTTTGTTGACTGGAACACTTGCAGTAAGCTAGTTTTATTTTTAAAGCATTAAAAAACCTTACTGTTTTCAGCAAAAAACTTTTTTTGGCCCTACGTTTAGAAAAAAGACTTTCACTACAGTTCAAGAAAAAGGTTGAATTTATGTACGCTATTTAAAAATTGAAAACGCGTTGCAACACTGTTTCAAACAAGAGAGATGTGCACTTCACATGATTTTCGAAGGAGTTTTCCTTCAAGATATCTTTGAACTTTTCAGTTATATTCTGTGTACCACGACTTGAAGTTTGACGGAACGACATTCCGCTGTTCCGCTGCGTGCGTTCGCGAAGCGTCTTTCGAATATAAGTCACGCTTTCAATTGATTGTTATTGCTGTGGGAGCATAGGAAAGTAGAGTAAATTAATGTAGAAGAAAAAGAAGATTAAAAGCGCGACCAAGGTTCGCAAAGGCGAGCAGCGGCACAGCGGAATGTCGTTCCGTTAAATTTCAAGTCGTGGCACACAGACTATATAAGTTTTTCAAAAATGAAATATAGTCTAATTTTCCCGACTTGAAATGCCAGGAAGGCGGAAAAAGGGCTGTACTCGTACGCGCTTCTCGACTCGGTCCAACCGCCGCCAACTATTTGGAGAGCTCGTTGTTCGCTCTTTTCATTAATTTTTTAAACTGTTGCTTGATTTTTTTCTGCATCTCTGAATTAAAAGTTGTCTAACAGATACAAAAAGAGCAGTGACCGAGATTTTTAAATGGGCGGTGTCGCTTGATGGAACTTGTGCCAAGAAACGCGTCCCGCCCCGTCCCCGCCTCCCTTGCCTTTCAAATCGGGAAAGATTGACTATATCATAATCATCCAACCCGAACGGTCGCCATGGTGCTCGTTACGGCTTCAGATGACTTTCTTTAGATTTTTTATTTGTTCAATGGTTTCTTATTTCTTTCCTATCTGTACCCTAATCATTTGCTTTGTTCTGACAAAAAAAAGAAAAAAAAATTTTTCTCATCGTGGATCATAATTTTCTCTTTTCCTTTCTCACGTAATTTGTTTTTGTTTTTCGTATTGTGTTGAGGTGCAGTAGCTGAAAATTTAAATCTCTTTTCGACCTGTTACATGTGGGAAACAATCTGTTCTCCGAGCCGTCTCCCTGTTCATTATTTTCAGTTATTCTCTATATTTTCTTTTTTCAGTTTTTGTCATATAGCGCTGACTTCAAAGATGAACGGACCCAAAAGAGCGAGATTGAGCTCGAACGTCCGAACCGAGCCACCTGAGGAAAATAATTGTAATTTTCCATACAAAACCCGACGGTTTCCAAACTTTTAGCTCCTTCTTCAATCGAGCTGCAATCAGAACTAGAACAAGAAGAAGAGCAAGAAGAAGAACAAGAGCAAGAAGAAGATCTAGAGGAATATCAAGAATCCGATCCTGAGCCGGACTCTTCCGATGAGGAACCAGAAGTTGACGTTGGTGCGAGCTTGAAAAGGCTGGGATACAAAACTGAAGAAATTTACGAAAGTAACACAGTCTACTTGCGAAAAGTTTCCAATTATGGGCTCCAAGTCGTCTGAAATTCACAACTTTTGCAGAAAGGAAAAAAAGCTGAAGAGTTTTTTCGTACAGACAAGTATCTGTCGAAAAACTTCTATCCGTACTGGGTCAAAAGAAGCACGGAAGTACCGAGTGAGTTGTTCATGGAGTTTTATGCGGCTTTCACGACTTGAACCAAGTTTGAAATTCAAATGGGGTTGCGAAATCGAAGTATCTTCCCTAACTAGGAAGGTCATTTTGCGGTTGGGAGTTCCTTGAAAGTTTATTGATGCACCAAAAAAAGATTCAAAACGTATTTTCCGGGTTTCGCGGGATTTTCTAACTTCGAAGTGTCCTTTTTCAAAACCTAGAAAGTTGGGCAGGTAGAGCTTCTCAAGACCTTCTTCTGGTACCTCAAAGAGTGTTCAATCCAATTTTAGGCAAATCTGAAACACAAAGTAAAATAACCCCCTTGTAATGTCATGGTGACAGTTTTTGTCAGCAGTGCAAATTCGCAAAATTAGGTCTCAACTGGAGAGAAAATCTAAAAAAAAAGCACCAAGTCTTAAATCGTTATTTCATTGATTTATGCTTGCATATCTTGTGATAGGTCGTTTCAAATATTAATGGATCCATCAAAAAAAGAGTGTAAGCATTTTCACAACAGATTTGCAAATTCGCAAGAGACAGCTCTACAGACGGTTTTTCAATTACAAATATAAATTCTTCGATGATCTGCAGTCCTTCTCGCAGGAAACCCTCCAGTAGGTTCTCAAAGAAATTCGATACGAATTCAGTTTACAGAAATTTCGCTCAGCCCACCGACTTCGACCATGTCCAAGTAGGACGGCGGATACTTAAAAAGTGGGTGAATCCGAAAAAATGCGAAAGTCAAAAATTCAATTCTTTAAAATTTCAATGATGAGAATATATCGATAATTTTCTGAAATAGTTCGAAAAATTGAAATGAGGCCTAATTCGAAGCGGATTTCAGAGATATTACTGGAGGTCAATCTCGACATGAGGTCCCTGTGTGTTTGGAAATCAATGCGAAGAACTTTGATATACCTGATACGTTTGCCTACAGGATGGTATCCCATGTTTCGAATACGCTCACCGAATACCTCGAAGAGTTCACTAAGCTTCGAGAATCTATTCAGGTTAGTCTCCAGTGTTTCTACAGACTGTTTCTGGAATGAAAGACGATTTTTGCGCAGGGTTTGGAATGTTCTTTGAAATCACTCAACCAATCTTTGATGAATTGTGAGCCGATCTCCCATATAGCTGACTCAGGGCTGGCTTGAGCCATCGAAAAATGGGTCCTGACACGAAAAAAAAGAGACAGTGTCTGGTTGGTTGAGAATGCAGACGAGCCACGCCTCCTAGAGTCCCAAGTTAGCCGGGAATCGGCGATAGCCGTTATTTGCGTAAGCTTCTAGTCTTGGAGATATGATTTTTTGGAGTTATTTTTCATGAACACATGACAGCAGTTTATCAAAGATGATTTGAGCAGATGTGTAGAAATTTCAAAGCCTACGCAAAAAAATGACCTTCCATTTGTAATACGCTCAATTCCATCTGAAAGACCTTTGAAATAGATCGTCTTTCTATCGTAGTCGAAGTTTAAGATGGTTATTTTATTATTTCAAGTGTAGTTCAAAATTTTCAGTTTTTCTTTCAATTGAGGTATTTGAACACCTGAAGTGTAGACATACTATTAAAAAAGGGGTAATTGAACACTTGAAGTGTAGACATACTATCAAAACTTCTAGTATCAACTTAATATAAGCTTTATGCTCAAACAAAAAAAAATACGTTTCTTTGGCCAGGCATTTTTCAATTTTCAAGAAGCTTCTTGAAATGCAATTTGAAGAGCAAGATGTTATTCATAATGTTCAATTTATCGTATTAAAAGCTTCAAATGGTCAATAAGCCCAAAAAATTTCGAAAAGAAAATTTTGCTAAAATCGGAAGTTTGTAAAACTTTCTCACGAAGTTCGATTTCATTAAACATGAACCTATGGAAAGCTTGATCGAAATATGGTATAATATTTTGATTTTATTCTTTTTCCAAGCTGGATCCGATCTTGAAAAAAATCTCACGAGGATTAAGTTCATATAATTAAATTTTAATGAGCCATTAAATTTTAAATTTTCAAATATATTCTTTTTGGTCAAGATCTTTGTTCTCCGCATAAATTAGAAAAAATATTTGCACCTCGATTCAGGTCATTTGCACATGCGAAGAGACACTCGATGGGAACGGTTGTTGGGGGAATCCAGATTGTCCCTGCTTCAAACTCAATGACCGGATGAAACAACTGCAGATCACATCTCCTGAACTACCACCAATTGACTTTGTACTTTGGTTCACTTTTTCATCTCAAAACCAAAAAATCCTCAGAAAACTTATGGCCCATGTATAACGATGGATGGTTCATTGGATGATTTCAACACACAAGTTGGTTTCGCGTGCGGAGACAAATGCTCTTGTAAAGGCAATTGCGGCAACAATGTTCTCAAAATGGTTGCCGATCCCATCTACGAGTTTGTTTGACCATTTTGCAAACTTTTTCCTGTTTTCGGGATCAAATAGACTTTTATAATAACAGCATACTTAATTTGATGTTAAACTTTGTCCTTGAGGTGAACTATTTACACGAGCTTTCTCAATCGGATTCAGGTTCGAAGTTTTCCGACGGGACAAAAAACTTGGCTTTGGTCTTCGGACTACGAACTTCATCCCGATCGGTAAATTATTTTTCTATATATTCACCCAACTATGAGCTTCAACGAGTTTCAGGATCGCCGGTGCTTGATTTTGTTGGCGAAATCCACGAGAATAAAAATAAAACTCACTCATTATTGCTGCATGAATCGAGAATGGTTCCTTTGTTTAAAATAATCGAAAATAACTTGCCTGAAGACCTTCTGGTTTGGAAGTTCCAGCTTGTCTGAACAGGAAACATTTTTTTTCTAGAAATATTACACAAATGATTGGCATATCTGCGCAAGCGACTCCTCAAATGTTTCTCGTTTTATAAATCATGGGTGTTTTCCAAATGTCGCAAGCTACAGGTTGAAAACAGTGGGTGATACGAATAAAGTCTGAGATTTGTAGAATCTTCTCGGAGGGACTAGCTCCTCATCAGGCCCATTTGGTTCTATTCGCTCTGGAAGACATTGCTCCAGGTTCAGAGGTCAGTTGCTCCATAATATTTATATGCGTTTAAAGTTTCTTTTTAAGATTTTCTTGAACTAAGAATTGCACTATAAGAACGTCAAACGAAGAATAACATGCAGATGCCAAAAACTAGGGTGCGTAAAGATGCCTGGAATTGATGATCTTGTGAGAATCGACTCTCCCTCGGTCTGTGAGAAAAAAATTATTTAAAATTTTGACAATATGAAGCTCGATGCTCTGCTGTTCTTGCGGCAAAGACAGAAGAAGGAGCTGCTCGATAAATTGGAAGGCCGTGATGTCGAGAGTTAGTAGTTTTTAACTTTTTCTTAATCTGCGGAGACATTGATCTCAATCCATAGATGTGAAGCTAGCTTCCCCTCGTTTTTGTTAAAGAATGAAATGGGACTAACTAGTTCATCTAAATTTTTATCTAACAAAACCCACGATAAGTAAAACTTCCGGAAAGTCGTTGGAAATAACATCGAAATAAATAATAAAATCAATTCAGCCGATGTCCCCACCGCAAGCAATACTTGAAGCAGACGTCCCTTTTGATTCAAACTGAATCTTTTTTTCACATATATAGTGAACAAAATGTTATTTGGTTTTTTTTCTGAATATATTTTGATGGTCTGTTTAATAAAAGGTTTTTTCTGATTCTGAAGTGTGTTGCTCAGGGATAGTTTATCCATATGCATTTCTGACATTATCGTTCCATTCTTATGGCTGTGTTATTTTTTTATTTCTTAATATGGAAAAAAAGTAGGAATTTTCAATCAAAAACTTTAGATTTTCAAAACAAAATCTTCTCTTGAGAAATTAATTTTTTTTAATCAACTGGAATTATTTTTGATTTTGCATTTCAATCTGTGTTTTCACTACATTACAGAAAGTCTAAGTATAATTAGGCTTTGTATAAAAACCACAGCTGTGCTCTGGGTCGACCGGGCTGGCCAAAGTGTTGCAATGCTGTCGCGAAGCAGTTCGAAATTCGCTACTTTTTGAACCGCTTGCTCTCGAAAATTTGACAGTATAGAGGAATGAGTGATCGAAAATGTGTTATTCAAAAAATTTATGTGAAGAAGTTATGAGATGAGATGAAAACTTCGCGATTTTGATTGATTGTAGGCCGATTCGGCTATCAACCTCGGCCCAGCGCACAGCTCTGAAAAAAGCGCAAATCAAAATTTGTTCATTTTCAGCACCTCTGACGCTTTTGCAAGCGGGAAAATCAATGGGATGACCGACGATAAGTCCAGGACTCGAGCTCGAAATATTTTGACCTTTCTTTTCTGTTTTTTAGCATCAGTTGTTCTCTCTAGCCATGGTCGATTAATTTTCCCTGTCTCTCTCTCACTCTTTCCTCTAGTTTCACGAGAAATCCGCAGATATCAAGAGAGAAAATTACCGATTTTTCTGTTGCCAATTGACGAGGTTTTTCGAGTTTGATAGGCAAAGTCGAAAAGGGTGGAAGAAGGCATCATAGTAATTTTCCTTTTATGATGATAAAGGCTTCTTTTTCGCTGCCTTTTTGCGCCATTTTTGCTGCCTCTCTTTTGTTTTACCGTTTCTTGAACCTTTGAAATCCCAGAAAAAATGGTAAGCTTGTAAGAAGACTCTTTTTGCTAACTTTATGAGGTTTTTTTTGAGCCAAACCCTTTTAATCAGCCATTCTACACCATTCTAACTTTGCCCGAGTTGCCTTTCACACCATAATAATGGAATCTGTAGCAATTTCTTGCAATCCTTCTTTTTATTTTTTTTACCTGTCTTTTTACTCGAAAGTTTTGGTAAAAACTATGAAATGTAATTATTTTCTTCATTTTTTATCCTTTTTTTATTCACTCAACATCACAAAAATTTCCCCTACTGCTTGAAAAAAATTTTTCAAAAAACCGGCTTTTGATTTTTTTCGGATGAACTAAAAAAATTTGAACCATTGCGTAAAATTTCATTAAATTCCGAGAGAATTTTCAATCATTTATTTTTGAAAACGGCAGAAATTTGAAAGATAAGATAAAGATGAATAAGTCAGTTTCGAGAAAATTTGAAACACAAAATAGAAAACCCTTCATTGTAAGCATTTTTCAAATTTTTATTAGGCTCAATACTTTTGAATATTTCGAATAGTCGTTTCATTTTTGTTAACTGAAATCTTGTTTTTGAGATCTAAAACTTTTTAACTGTCATTTGTGAAAAAAAAGCAGCGCTGAAATTCTCAAACCTTCGAATGTTAATTGAATTTTCAAGGGCTTTGACTTTTTTAACAAGATGCCTTCTTAAAAGTGAAATCAGTCAAAACTCGAACCATTTTGAACTGCTGGCCTTTCAGAAGGTTCAGAATATGTTCATTAAGTGATCAGTCAACTTAATTTTCAATTTTTTTGAGAGAGCCAATGATTTCATAATTTCTAAAATTTTCGAAATTTCGCGATTTTGTATTCTCCTAGTTCATTTCAACTTTTGAAACCAGAAACGGCTGCGCTATTATTTATGAAAGTCGTTCTTTTTTTTTGCTGGCTTTCATGGAAAAAAATCAACTTTCAGAAAGTTTTCGGCTTTGGAAAATGTTGCCAGCGAAGAGACCCAAAGTGATTAATGCCTCCGGCAACCAAGCCTCTGAAGTAGAAAATGGTGAATTTTCTCAGAAACTTTCCAAAATATTCAAATTTCAGTGCGTCTTCCTGAGCCGGTTGGTGCTGGAGCGAATGTACAGCAAACCCTTCCGAACCCACCGGCAGTAAACGGAGCAAATCGTAAGTTCTTCTGAGACTTTTGGAAGAATCAAACTTTCAGCGCCTAATCCAATTCAGCCGGTTGGTGCTGGAGCGAATGTACAGCAAACCCTTCCGAACCCACCGGCAGTAAACGAAGCAAATCGTAAGTTCTTCTGAGACTTTTGGAAGAATCAAACTTTCAGCGCCTAATCCAATTCAGCCGGGTGGTGCTGGAGCGAATGTTCAGCAAATCCTTCCCAACCCACCGGCAGTGAACGGAGCTAATGGTAAGTTTTTCTGACACGGGGAGTGCGAAAGGTCGAGGTTTTGGAACTCGATGAAGCTTTGTAGATATATACTTTTGAACACCCTGAATCCAAAAAAGTTGAAAAAAAGTGCGCCTTTTTGGTTCTAGTCGAGATATGGCGCTTCAAAATTTGCACGCAAAAAGCGCAATGGATGGAAGGAAGGAATGTGTTGCGGCGGTTAACTCCAGCTGTCAGCAGGCAACGTGATGTAATGGCTAGCGGCCTTGCGCTGTGGAACCTGTGATCCAGGTTCGAATCCTTTTTGGTGCAATTTATTTTTTCCATTTTTTTTCTTGGAAAAAATGATGAAGTTTTGAAGATGGGTTGTAAAAAACGTTCAAAATGTTGAAATTCGCTTTTTTTATGTCGTAAATTTTATCATCACCAACTTTTTTCGGAAAATAAGGAAGAGAAATATGTTGCATACAATTTTGAACTTTTCATTCGTATCATTTTTTGGAGAAAGAGTCTACTGACAACAAGAAATGATGGAAATAAAACTTTTTGTAGAAAATCTTGCTCAAAACGACATAAAAAAAGTGAATTTCCACATTTTGAGCGTTTTTTTAACCCATCTTTAAAACTGTTTCATTTTTTTCCAAGAAAAAAATGGCAAAAATAAATTGCACCAAAAAGGATTCGAACCTAGATCACAGGTTCCATAGCGCAAGGCCGCTAGCCACTACGCCACGCTGCCTGCTGGCGGCTGAAGTTAGCCGCCGCAACACATTCCCTCCTTTCAGCGTTTTTTTCGTGCAAACTTTGAGGCGCCATAAATCGACTAGAACCCAAAAGGCGATTTTTCCAACTTTTTTGGATTCAGGGTGTTCGAAAGTACATATATACAAAGTTTCATCGAATTCCAATACCTCGACCTTTCGCACTTCCCGTGTGAGACTTTTGCAAGAATCAAACTTTCAGCGCCTAATCCAATTGAGCCGGTTGAGGATGGATTAGATTTTCTGGGATTTTTTCAAAGAAGTCAAGAAGAACCCCAAAATAATCGTATGTGCTTCTGAGTATTTTGCGAAAACCAAATTTTCAGGTCCTGTTCAAGATGAGCTGGTACAACACCCTTGGAATGTCTGTGGATACGTTCCAAGAGAGCCGGTAGAAAAATCAGAAGTTAGAACCGCTTTGCAGTGGCAAGAAGTGGGTTACAAGATCGAAGAGATCAACAAGAGTGAGAAGAGCCTTTTGATAGAAGTTTTCTTCCATGATACTCGCCCATCTCAATTGTATTATTTTTGCAGAAAACGAGAAGAGCTTTAACGTTTTATCAGAATGATAAACATTTGTCAAAAAACTTTCTTTTGTCCTGGCTGGAAAGAAAGCAATTCGTTACAAGTGAGCTTTTCATCAAAACATCAAGGCGTCTCTTCCGGCTTGAAACGACAGCACTGCGTCAATTTAAAATTGTGACTCGTAACCTTGGAATTTTAGAGTTGTCCCTATAACAGTTAGGGGGGCGGGGGGGGAATATCCCTCTAGGGGGCCGAAAAAAAGTAGGCCCTATGGGGATAAAATCCAGGTGGTCTCTATATGAGTTTAAATTCGGACTCCTTAGCCTCTAAGCTTGAGTGGTCCCTACAGGGGTTTTCCAATTTTTTTCAAAAAGGGTTATTTGTTTAGATTTTTGCGTGGAAATTCTTCTTTACATAGAATTCATAAAAATTATCGACTAGCATGTCCCCTATGAGAGTTACTAGCTGATTCCTGTGAGAATCCACTCCTTCAAGGGCTTGTGGAGTGATCCCTAGAAGGGATCCTTCAAGAGCCGTAATGTTGCCCCTATAGGGACCACTCTGGAGTTCCTAAGAACAGTTTCGAGGAGGCAAGCGCGAATTCAAAACAATTTCGAGAAGCCCCTCGTGACTCTTTCTGTTTTACATTTTGTATTTTTTTCATTATGAAATAGAAAAAAGAACACAAAAAGCTTCCTCGCTTTGATACCGCGTTTGTCATGAAAGATCGTTTCAAGCTGTTAATTTTTTTCATTGCAAGATTAATATAAATTATTTTTTTAATAGACTTGGAAGCTCGTTCGAAAACTCTTATTCGTTTGATTGAGAATCTCAGTGAAGATATCGAAATAGTTTATCCCTGGATGTCCCTCGCGCAGAGTTCCAGGAAGTTGGATAACACAATAACTAATGAAATTAAAATAATAATTGACAGCTGGGGCAAGCAAATCGTCGTTCCCCCCTGTGATGATAAGCCTCAAAAAGCGACTTCAGGCTGTGAGGTTGGTAGCTCGAAAAAGAATCTGATATGGAAATTCATATTAGTCTGAGTTCAGATATCTCTATAAAATTGCTTAAACAACCTATGATGGAATGAGAATCTTCGAACAACCTTTTTGTTTTGGAAATATCATTTTTTAAAGTTTTTATTGACATTTTGATATATCAAAATGTCAATAAAAACGACCATTGGAATCATGATGACATTTAAAAAAAAAAATAAAATTAGACATTGAATTTCAAACGATCTCTCATTATTATGACATGCTGATCTGTCAAATAGACACATTTTGACTTTTCATTCAGCCAAAATTCTAACATTCCATATTTTGGATAAAATGGTATGAAATTGTTGACCAAAAGATTGATCGAAAGATAATTTCTTCAAAGTCTAGTCCATATGCCTTTAAAGTAAAACATGAGTATCATTAGTCGTCATTTATACTAAAAATAATATTTCATTTTGAGAAAACTTTAAAGGATAAAACTGACCAGAGAGCCTACTTTGAAGCGTTTTTCAGAGATCTCTCAAACGGCCTCAACCGTTTTCCAATCCCCATGTTCGCAAAATTTGAAACGGAAAAAAATGTCACTCTACCGTTGACTTTTTGCTACACTAATACCAATAGAAACGATGTTCATCCTGCCTTCGGACTGTTTTGCGATGACTTGGGAAAGCCTCTTGTAGTAAGTTTCCAGATTTGATTTTTTTTTTCTCTCAATAAATTTTTGAGAATCTGAATGAAAAAGCACAGTCATTTTGTTTCAATTGTACATAGTCAGGGTGGCACGGAAGAAATTTGCGGAAGAAAACTTGAATTGAAATTTCAGCGGTGTAAAATTTTTTTCATCGTAAAAAAGTTGATGATAGTGAATCTAGGAGTGTTTGGAAAATGAAAATCAAAAAAACTATTTTAATTAAGCTCTCATCGTTTAGAAACATCCGAAAATGGCACTTCCTTCCGTCTTCCGTCTTTCGTAAAACTGTTTTTGGACTTTTTCTAAATGATGGTACCCTTTTTAAAAATAACTTTTCGATATTTATCTTCAAAATGCACATAAGTTCACTATTAACAACTTTTCTCCGACGAAAAAAACCTTGTCTTTCAAAAATTCCGATTCAACTTCAGTTCCGCAAATCTCTTCCGCGCAACCCTGATTGTAGTGCTGTTCTCACAGCTGGGTACGACTTTAAGAAAATTTCTCACGAGGAGTCATGAAATTCACCCTTTTGATGAGGCTTTTGAATCTATTCTTTTTAAATATTTGTATCTCGGTTCGAAACTACTGCACGTGCGAAGAAGACGACGATGGGAACGGCTGTTGGGGAAATTCAAATTGTCCATGTTACAAGCTCAATGAACGCATGAAGAACATGTCGCTCAGCAGTAGACCAATGGAATTTGTATTTTGCTTCACTTCTTCTCTTCAAAATCAAACTCTTTTCAGTCCACTTACCGGCCGTGTATCAACTTCGATCCAAAAAAAGATGATTTCATCACTAAAGTCGGGTTTGCCTGTGGATCTTATTGCTCTTGCAAAGGAAAGTGCGGCAACAATGTTCTGCAGCACGCTAAAAATCCCATCTACGAGTTAGTTTGCAGTTTGAACTACAATACTTTCTTTTTTGAGTTGTTCAGGCAGTTGAACAAAAATTAAGGATAGAGAGGAACCCTATACATAAAAATCAAAACATAATTTTTGATGAGTTTATTATATAATATATATTGATGAGTGATCGATAGGCCTATCCAGTAATCCAGTATTAAAGAAGTTCTAAACTTAGAGTGTGCAAAGCGGAAAAAGCGAGAAAACGGTATTTTTACGATTCTCGCTATTTAAATTTTCTTATGCTGTAAAAAACTCAAACAAGAGATAATCCAATGATCCAAATTGCCTAACGTTGCAAATTTTTTCACAATTGAGAGTCTACAACCCGTCCAATGATCTCTAATTAGGAAAATATTGAGTTTTAAATAAAGTGCGCAAGGAATTATGGAACACCCTAATAATTTAGGTTTGAAGTGTCTTGGCGAAATATAAGAGTTGGCTTCGGACTTAAAGCAATGACATTTATCCCGGCAGGTGACCTTATTGTTTTTCTATTTCTTTTTTTTTTGAAAAAAAATTTTCAGGATCTCCGATTATGCAGTATACCGGCTTTATTCGTAATCATTGCACAAGAAGAAGCTATAGTTTGAAGCTTCATGATCCGAAAAACTTGGGTCCCTTAGCGGAGATCTTGAAAGAAAATTTGCACCCTATAATCATGGTTTACATTTTCGAGTTTTTCTCAATCAAGCAATTAATTTTTTTCCAGCGGTATTACTCTAACGAATATTATGTGGATTTGTGGGAAATTTCGAACGTTGCCCGCTTTTTGAATCATGGATGCTTTCCAAACGTTGCATGCTACAGGTTGGGAGAAGCCTTTGATGCGTTTGAAAAATGAACCTTCCAGAGTTTACGCTAACGGACTGACCCCGTATGATGCGAACATTGTTCTTGTTGCCCTCGAGGATATTCTCCCTGGAACAGAAGTCTGTTGCAAATAAAAATTTCGATAAACTTTCAATCTTTTCTAGCTGCTTATGGACTTCGGTCCGGACTACCTGAAGGGCTGCACAAAAACTGGGGTCTGCGGGTGCGGAGGCTTAGGCTGTCCGAGCATGACCGATGTGAAGACTCTCGTCAAATTCGATAATGACGCGGTTTGTGAAAAAATGAATACATTTATTTTGACCATATCAAGATGAAAAATTTGCTTCGTGTGAGGCAAATGCGAGTCAATGGACGGCGGGATGAATTGGTTGGATACGAGAGTAAGTTTTTGATATTTATAGAAAAAAAAACAATCCTTTGTGTCAGTAAACTTTTAGCTGGAAAAGTTTTGAAGTGTTTTTACGAACAATCTCAAAACGAATAATCCAATCATTTAGGTGATCCTCTCGCCCCGATCATGGTGTGAAGAAGACGTCCTTTTTGATCAACTCGTTCAATACTTTTTATTCGTCGTTTACACACTAAGATGAATGTTTTTTTTTTGCCAAATTGATTCTGTTGATCTTTCCTTTCACTTCTCTTCACTTCGCGTGATTTTTGAAACAATTTTTTTTTGTTTTCGAGTTTTCTGCAGCTTTTTGATAAATCGCTCAAATGACTTCTTAATTCTTTTTTTTTTGTTTGGTCCCGTTTTTGTTCGCCATTCCTGCATTTCATTCTGATTTCTTGAAGAAAAAAAATTGTTGAAAACTTCATCATTGATATTAATAAAAATCTTGCGTAATAACTCCAGCAAAAGGTGTGACTTGAAAATAAAAAAAAAATATCTATCTCCATGTATGGATTTTCTCAATGCTCAAATTTCTTAGCTCATCAAAATCAAAAAAATTAGCTGAGCTATTCTGAAAAAGTTGAAAAAAGGCGTTTTTTATTCACTTTTTTGTTGTTCAAAGATTTGGAAATAAGCAATGCTGTTTTGAAAAAAACTTAAAAGAAGCAAAAAGCTCACGGAAAACCAAATTCCCAAGCTGTTTCTGATCCAAATACCGCCGGCTCTCAACATAGCTTAACTTGCCAGATCGGACGGGATGGCATGTTTACAAAGTGATATGATACTAATCGATCGCGAAATTTTCACAAAAAGCACTATTTATCAGATCATCTCAAAAGGACTTCTTGAGGTTTTTTCAGTTTTTGTTAAAATTAGTTTCATTGGGAATTGAGCAGAAAAAGTTGAATTCAGTTTCAGTTTGAGAAAACTTTGTAGATAATTTTTTGTTCTTTGAAATGATTTCTTTTTTTGATAAATTTTTATATTTGAAAATATACACGAAGTTTGTCTAATCAATAAACCACTGGCCAAGAAATAATTAATTTTTTTTCTGAATTCCGCGGAAACTTCAAGCTTCTGTTAATCTTCTTCTGAGTATGTCTGAGCTTTGAGAGTTCTATTCGTCTTATTTAAATCGAATGAAAACGGGGATAAAAAAGAAATATCGAAAAGATTGTGTGCCCCACTGTACACTTTCTATTGCAAGTACGCTCCTTTGAACAAGTTTTCTGGAACTTGTCAACTTTGAGGAGTTTTTATGGATCAAGTTTTTTTGGAATTGCTGAGAAATTAATGGTATTCAAAATAAATACTGAATTCTCAGCTCTTCCCGAGTTTTTTTCAATTTGAAAAACTGGCGTTTCTTCTTGCTTTTTTTATCGATCTCAAAAAAACAAATCAAGATCTTTATTATTGCTTTTGGAAATACTTTTCCAATTCATCAAAAACAGTGATCCACCGAAAGCGTCACTTGATCCAATTGTTCGGGGCACAAACAAACGGAGAAGATAGCAATTTGTGGCGGTTGGGTTTTTCGACTCATCTTGAATATCATGTCGTTTGCCAGTTTGTGCGCGACACGCCTCAATTGCCGTAACTGCGTTACAGGGGCATCACAAAGCCTGCCCGCAATAACACTGGATAATTCGATCTCGGCAGTTGGCAGATGTGTCCCTTCCGTATCTTCCAACGCGCGAGAGAGCGCCTCTTGGCATACACCTACTGTAGTGACATCTATCGCTAAATTTCAAGTGACGTGCTTTGAAAAAAAATTAAATGAGTAAGTTGTGGTAGACCTTGAAAGATGATACAGTACCGTCCGAAAGAACGGGACACAACTTTCTTGTAAGGAATTAAATCTTCTTGCTAGTTTCTGAAGCTGTTTTTTTTTCTGTGAGCTGAAACTACATCAGAGTGTTAAAAATAAGAGTCATCACAACTCCAGGAAGTTTCAAAAAGATTGAAAGGAAGATGTGACCGAAACTCCGTTTTTTCGGGTCTTTTCCGGCGGCCCTGTATTTCACGGCTTGTACAGGGAGTCATTGAGAAAGTTCATTTTGACAACCTGGATCGGTAATAAAAAATTTTGAATACAGAAAATGAAAAACGAATATTTTGAACATTTTCAACGTTTCTTGTGAGTTTCTTTTTGCAGTCAAATCAAAAATCAAGGTTAAGCCATAGTTCAACTCTTCAATCTAAACAAAGACGGAAAATACGGATCCAAAAATGATTGTTTTATTGTCATTCCGCCGCCATATGCCACTTGCTTTCATTTCAGCACTTGAGCCTTTTTCACCGCACCGGCAGCGATTTTATTTAAGCCACCATATCCGCCTAGGTCCGACCTAATTGGGTTTGCTCGGAAAGAGTTGCAGGAACAATGCGCGAGGAGATTAGTGCCACTCAGCGGTGAATCTCCTCTGAAGACGATATCCGACGTCGCCCAAACAATCAGCCACAAAAACAATTTGATTATTGTAATTGGCCAAATACCAATAATTTTTCAGATTGCTTCCGCTGCAGATGAGCTGATTTCTGTATGAAGAATAGTTTTGAAAGTGAAGAGGTTGATTGAAAGTTCAATAGAGATAAATAAATATTTTTTTACCGAAACCGCTAAAACTCAAAAAAAGAAAAATTTTGGTCACAAATTTTTTTTTCCATCTTTAAATCTGAATCTTAAAACTTAAAGAAAAAATGAAAATATCGCGATTTTTCAAAACTTGGTACCTAGCAGACGTCTTAAGCCCTCCTTTGCTGATTCTGGACTTTTTCTTATCTGAGTAGAAGCTGTCGATATTGGTTCTTGTCTTTCATTCAACAGATGAAGATGGGCTCGGTGGCCAGAACCCTATCTATTTTTCCCCTCCCAACTGTTAACTGGCACGTAATCCGGCCAATTTTTCGACACCTACTGCATGACGTGGCGTCACAAAAACAACATGATTAGTTCCATAATCTGCGGGACCGTCAAGTGGCTTTTTCTCTTTGAATCTGCGCGTGGAGTGTGAGCCATCATTAATCGAGGGGTCGCAAGTGAAGAAGCTTGACCGCAAGGTACTTCTCGCACATGATTGCCTTCATAAGTGATGCCTGGATGGTAATTGTGAAACCTTCATAGTTTTGACCATCATTAGTGTAAGATACCAATGATGTTTCTTTTGAAGCTGTCCAATGAGTGTTTCCAAGTTTCGGGCACGAAAAAATGAATGAGGAGCCTCCAACTTTAGAATCAAGACCTTCTTTATCATGACAAGCCTCCATGAGCAAAATATTTCCAACCGCACACGCAAAAATTCTTCTTATGCTTGTTGAGAAACGGTGCAGTAACAAATATCAAGCGCCTTCTTTCACAATTTCCAATTTCAAAGAAAAAAAATGTACAATTTTTCCCTCAAGACTAGTCACAAGATTCTTAGCCTGGCATCCTTTCTAGCAATCACGACGCAGACGTTAGGCGTCCAATTATTCTCAAGGTAAATGAATCGGTCATAGTTCGAAACAGATTCCAGACTGATAGCCGAAGTTGAAAAGTTCCCATAAACCTATCTAAACTTGGGATTTTCAAAATACCGCTAAACTTCATACTTTTCCAAAACTCATCGGGGGTTCCATTTTGAAACTTGAACTCGTAATTCATCAAGTTTTTTTTAAAGCCAACCCTCAATGAGAAAAGAAGGCGTGGTCGGCTGGCCGCGGCGGATTGGCCGCTGCCAGGGGTCGACGGCGTATGACCGTGGTCCGCAAGATCGACGAGGGCGGAGCCTGAGGTGGCGAGAGTCAGCACTGGAAGAAGCAGCCACCATCCTCTTATCTCATTCGAGTCATTCTTGAAGCTACAGTAGGCCAGAAGCTCTTCTCCTTGTTCAGCTACAAGTCCCAGGAATGCACAGCGACGAGGACGAACCTCTCAACTTTTCTGCTGCTCGACTCTCTAAAAATGGTTTATTTTTGAGTTTCTTATTTCAGTTCAGAGTTTGTAGAAAATTTTCTTCTTCCTGAGTGAAATCTCTGCAGACAAAAATCATCTGAAAAAGGCTTTTTGAATAACCTAAGAAAGAAATAACAAAAATCGAAACAATTTTACTGTTTTACTCATACTTCCAAATAAAATTGAAAAAAAGTATTGATTGTTTCTTTAAAAAAATTTTTCCTTTGACGAGACTTCATCTTGAAGTTTCACTTGCTGTTCTGCCGTTTTGACGGTTGGCAAAATTAAAAAGCGCATGCTCATGACAGGCTGATGAGTAGCGCTGGTTTTTTGCTTCAACGCCAAAATCAGAAGAACATCTCGACATGGAGAATTATAACGCGTGAATGTCAGATGACGGGAAGCCGGAGGAAGGACTTTCCAGCCTGCGGTCGATTTTCCAAACACCAATGCTTTTCCCGTCGCCATTGATGAACCCAGGTACGAAAACTGATCTTGACAGAACTTTAAAGAGAGAAGTCCGTTTTTTCCAAGTCTTGGTTAGATAGGAGAAAGATTTACTAACAAGCTGAGCTGTTACTTATTAGGCATGATGACGCCTCAGCTGGCTGCCGCCCTTGCGATGTCGATCAATCATCAAAGAATGAACGCGAGGTACTCTTTTTGTTGAAAACGATTGAATTTTGAATATTTGAGTCATTCTCCTCCTTTTGACCACACGACAGTGAGCGTGAACAGCTTCCCAACCGTTTCTGGAGCCGAAAGCCCTCCAAATGCTTCTTCGCCGACTCTCAGCTGCGCAGTTTGCGGTGACGTCAGCAGCGGAAAACACTACGGTGAGGGAAAATTTGCATGCAAAGCTAAGAAAATTTGTCGTTTCCAGGAATTCTGGCTTGCAACGGCTGTTCCGGATTCTTCAAGCGGTCGGTCCGAAGGCGACTGATCTACCGGTTAATTTCCTTCCGTTCCAACTTTTGAATTGAAATTTCCAGATGCCAGGCGGGAACTGGAAACTGCATTGTAGATAAAGCTCACAGGAACCAGTGCCAGGCGTGCCGTTTGAAGAAATGTCTCAGCAAGGGGATGAACAAAGACGGTAAGTTCTTAACCGTTTTTATGGGAAAACAGCCATTTTCGTGAAGAAAAGTCACTTTGCTTGCTTGTTGTTGCTTTATCCTAGTTGTAGAAATACACTTTTTAAGCAGTGCAAAATGAACGACAGCCAAGGAACACGGCGACCATCAGACCAACCGTCGACATGGATCCTCAGCACTTCTTCAGGTAATAGTCTTCAAAATTTGGTTAGCCATGAGAGGAAAGTTCAGAGAGTATGCCGGGGCGGTTTCTGCAATGATGACCAGTAACAAACTTATAAAACGGGAAGATTCGCCATCAAGCGCGGCAAGTGATGGCAAAACCGAAGATGAAAAAGTTTTATTTTCATTCAATTTTTTTCATTGCAAGAGTTTTCAGGAAACTACGACAGTTCATTCAGCTTACAAAATTTTTGAAATGACTTTGAGTTGGGCAAAAGCTCATCCAGCTTTCCAATCACTCACGGACAATGATAAGGTTTGCCTTATTGAGAATAATCAAAAAATTTAGTGGAAAAAGAAAACGCCGAGAATGTGTTTTTGAGAAAAAGCGTTGAAAAAGTCAGGTACAGCTGCGAAGAAAAAAACTCGAAAAGCTTGGGAAAACCGCTCACAACTTTCTTGTAAGGAATTGAATCTTTCTGACTTTCTGGAGTTGTGACGACTGCTATTTTTTACACTCTGATAAAATTTCAGTTCACAGAAAAAAAGAAGCCTCAGAAACTATCAGGAAGATTGAACTCCTTACAAAAAAGCTGTGACCAAAGTCGCGTTTCGAACTATTTCTGACGGTTGCTGTATATCAAGTGGTTAAAGAAAAAGGAAAAGCTTCAAAATTGATCGAAATAAAATTTGTTTATGAACTGGAAGCAGAAACGTATTTTTCGAATGAAGAAAGTCCTCACAGTTGAAAAACTTTTTTTTCAAAGAACCAATCGGAACTTTCTTCCACTTTTCCCATGTCAAAAATTAATATCAACTCATTCACTTCAAGCAGATCATTTTACAGAAAAAACGATTAGTAAGTCGTTGGCCGTTACTTTTCGCCATCGGTCTCTGCGAGTTTGCCTCCAGCGAACTTCCCACCGACTACACTTTGAGCCTACTCATTGGCCGTTGCAAAAGCCTTGGAGTCACTCGCACCGAGTTTTCCTATCTGAAAGCTGCCGCCATCTTCCTGGAAGGTAATCCAATGAGTTTTGGCTTGTCGCAATGTGGGATGTGGTCCCAGGGGTTAATCTACAGTAGGCTTCCTCTCCAAATAGACTCCGCAGGACGCTGAAATCGGGTTAGCGTGTGTTGCGCAGGATATGTGATACAGCAGCCGGCGAGAGAGGCCGCCATTAACTCTTTACTCGTGGGGCTTCCATCCGATGGCACTTTCGTTCTTTGTATTTCAACTAGGTGTGTGGGGAGAAAATTTGATTTCACGTGGAAATGCACATCTTTCGAGTTGGAGGATCACATTGCATTCCGAGCTCACTTTTCAATTATGGAGCAAACATACCGTTTCAGGAGGTCTCGATGACGAAAACAACGTGTTTGAAAGGCAACTGGAACAAGCTCTCGGGGCTCTCCAACAGCATTGCGTACGAACAAGCTCAAATCCGGCAAGGTGAGAGGAAAAATGCAAGATTTCAATCAATCATAGAATTCATTCGAACTCAAAAGTTTTTGTCGCAATTAAACGGTTGAAGAATGCAAAGGGTTCATAAAAAAGCAAACAAACACGAAAAACTTTATGGATATTTGAATTTCACTGTATTGTTATGTAACTGGTTTGAGTTCTGCTTTAAACGAAATCACTAAAAAAAGAAACTAAAAAACTTTTTCACAGCTTGCCGTTGAAAAGATTCATATTTCCTATCAGAGTTTATTCCATGCAGTGACTGCACAAACTTGAAAGGTGGAAGAAACTGAGTTGAAAAAAGAGTTGAAAAAACACCTTTTTCTTGTAAGAAAAAAAAAATTAATATTTGCTTCCGCACTAGAGCCGCACAATTCGAGCAATTTCCGCGAAAATCAAAAAATTGATGAAAATTGGACAAATTTCAGTAAAAACCATGAATTTTTTTTTAGGTTCTGTACTAGGCTCCTGTGTATTTTCAATCAAAGTTTTCACATTGAATATCGTTCTTTTTTTAACAGATAGATACTACAGAGAACTAAAGATTAAATTAATATTTTTTTGCCTCTACCTGATTAAAATAGTAATAATTTGTGTTATTTACGAGAAGATTCGAATGAGGCCTTCCTACACGAGGTTACCTCAAAAAAAGTAAAAACGAAGTTTTAATATTATTTAATTTCATGACGTGGTACCAGATAAAGTCCGATATTGAAGGTTGACAATGCAGGGTTTACAGAGCTTTCCTTCATTTTTGAAAATCAAAAAGTGTAAAAATAGTTATTTTTGCTATGTCAAACAGTTCACGCATTTCATTGAACTTTCTGAAAAATCAAAACATTTCCCTTCTCGAAGATTGGTAGAAAAAAATGTTGACTGTTCTCGAAAAAAAATCAATCGTTACATTTTTGATTTTCGAAAGCAAATCGTACCAATTTGATCCCAAAAAAGCCGAGAAAAAAACTGTTTGATATTTTGTGGCTCAAAAAAGCCGCGCGCTTTTTTGTCCATCTAACTCTAAACTATTACTAAAATTACTTCTCAGCTAGATAATGTACTTTCACTAAAAATTGGAACATCAAATTGAGAAACTGAGATTTTTTTCTGAAGAATTCAATTGAAAACGATTACTGAAAATGTACAGGAGCTTAGCAAAAAAGTTGATATTAAAACTTCAAGTTTTATAGAATGAAAAGAGGATTGATTCCGAATCTCTGATTATTTCAGAAGTTCAAAACTAGTGCTACTTCTCTCTGAGCTGCAACACTACCCGCCGTCTGGTCTTGAAGCGATTCTTGAAGGGAAATCGTCCAACATTCTATCTCAATATCTCTGAATCATTTCTCCAATTATCAATATCTGATTAAACAACTTTATTTCTTACTAATTGAGAAAAAAACCTCAGAAGTTGTTTTTTTCCTATCATTGTATAATATCCTGCTTGAAACTTTGAAAAAAAATTTTCTTCCATTTTAATGATCTCACCCTATCTTTGATCTCGAAAGTTTCTTTTTTTCCTCACGGTGCTAATAAAAACCTTCCGTCATTAAATAAAATTATATATCACAATCCAGAAAAAAATATTTTAGAATGTTTTTTTCTCTTTATTTGGTTTATCAATCTTGTGTTTTTTTCTATGCAACTAATTGCAGTGCTTTCTCGAAAAAAATTCTCTTTTCAAAAATTTAAGTAAAAAGAAAAAAATGATTCGAATCACACGAGTCCCAAAAAAACCTTTTTCTAATTGAAATACAACACTACATGGTTTTTTCAGAGGTAACTTAAATTATACGCGGAAGCTTTCCAATGTGAAAATTCGAAAAGAAATTAAGGCTTCGGACTAATTTTTCTGTGCCGTCCAAACAATCAAGATGTAGTTCCGATGAAAAATATATCACTTCAAGGTCCATTTTTTCTTTATAGCAGTTCTAGTTATAATACTTAAATTAAGACTTTACTGGCTCTCTGTGTACGAGTAGTAGTAAAAAGTTGAAGAATTGTATAGTTTTTTAATCTCATGTAACCTCTACCGGCTAAAAAACAACTATAAAATCATCACGAAATGGGTACCTGCGACTGGCCACGCTCCTTACATAACTTCTCTGTTTTATATTTCTTATGAGCTCTTTGCAAGACTTCCTAATTTTTCTGAATATGAATAGGCCTGTAGAAAGGGTTATTGAAAAAATCTGAAGATCTTGAAAAAAAAAATGAATTTCTTGAGTTCGAACCATGAGTGGCAAACTTGCTCAGAAGGTTCTATTTTACGAAATACTAGATCTTTCTGAATTCAAGAGGAAAAACTGAAGGAGCTAGTTCACTGATTATCATTGATGTCAGTATAGGACCTCACTTCATCGACTTGAGTCTCTGACGCGGTTGCAGTACAAAGGCATAAAAAGCGAAAAAAAAATGATTCGATACGGAAAATCATTGAGCTGTGCGGCATGTTCAAAGAAAGACTGCGGATCCGTTTCGGAACATTCTCCTTTTTTTTCTCAGCATGCAGTAGTTTCATCTGAGGAAAAGGCTAGCACCTGCTTGTCAGATGTAGAAAGTGCGGCCAGATGTGAAACACGAAGTCCTGTACAACTGGCACTCCTTTTCACGCGCAATTTTTTTCTTTGTCCCGCCCACTCAATGAAATCATTAGAGGTTTGCTTCCCAGATTAATTTTGCTCCGTGATCTCTTCCTCCACTGTGCACAAAGTGTGAAAAATACTTCAAGTTTTCGTCCCAGAGGTATTGATTTTGATTGATCTGAGAACCCTTTCTTCCCCATTAAACAATTTTACAGTTTCAATCAACTTTCAAAACCGCTTTTTTGAATTGAACTTCTTGGCGTGAAAAAAAAGAGGCTGATGTTCTGAGATCAAATTTTAATCTCGAATTTTTATGAGCCTTCAAAATGTTCAAATCAATTGTTTGAGAGTTAAAGAGTTTCACTAAACTCCCAATTCCTTTTCGTTTACACGAATGATGAAAAATCAACATGAGATCTCGGTTTTTGAGTAGCTTGACGTCTGTAGAAGAACAAAAAAATTCAAAAAAACTTTTTTTCTTCGGAACTGTCCCAACGAAAACCCTCGCTGATTTATTTATAATGATGATTGGGTTCAGATCACTTTTTCAATAGGTTTTGCTAGTCAATATCCTTTTCCCCTATCTTTCAAAAATTTCCAATTATCATAATGGGATCTTTAAAAATTGATGATTAAGCTAACCAGGATTTTTCACACCCACACTACCTTCCAATGACTCAGCCTTAGCTCATTTTCTCGCTTTGTTCTGAAAATTGTTGATTACCTTGGTAGCTTCCGGGTGTTATCAACATGTTCCCAACACCCACCTGATTTTGATTAACTTTTTTAATTACTGAAAAATCCATTAGTACCAGCTCATTTTGAAACCAGAAGGAAGATGTGATCGGATCGTTAACTTTCACGCTTGAATGAGTTTTTTTGGAGGCGGTTTTGAAGAGAATAATCGAAGATTTTTTTGTTATTCATATAGCTTTCCTTTCGGTTTTTTTGACTAGTAGCTGAAATAAATGACATTACTCTTACAAAATAATCATGTAAAATTTTTGAATGAGTTTCAAAAAAACGGCTGAAATCTTAGTAGGTGAATTTATGGAAACAGAAAATAGGTAGAATTCTTATTTTACGTAGAAAAGAAGCTCAAAATTTTGAAAGTATCGATTATTTGCTTCCATTCACAATGTTTCTTTTTTCAGATCAAAAATTGAGATTATTGAGACTGGAGATCTATATTTGGTACATCAAGCAGAGGCTCAACCGACTCTCAAACTTTGACAAAGTTCTGATTTACGATCAAAGAGATTTGGCTAACAAAAAAATCATTTTTTTCTTTAAAAAAATCGAATTTTAAAAAAATTTTTCTCAAGTATTCTCTGGATGTATAGGTAAACAATCCTTTTTGATTTTTTTATTTTGCATTCAACATTGAATAGTCTTTATTTCGCATCATCAACCCCCCACCCCCCTTAAACTGAAAGGTTGCGCGGGTAGATTTTATAAGGCAACTTCATCTAGAACTTTGACGATCGTTTGAGCAAATTTTCAGAAAAAAATTTCAACCAAAAAAAGTAAAAATTACATTTTTTTTGAATTATTTTCTAAATTACCTAACTAGTGAGACATACATTTAAAAAAATCTAGCTCATACAAAAAATCAGATATCTGTCTTCCGGCGAGCTTATGATGTTTCATGCGGCGGGCTTACATGCAAAAGCGCCTCCAGGGGGACGCATATCGAATTTCAACGTGCAATGCGGTGAGTGGCGAGAAAAGCACAGAAGAAAGCCAAAACCTTGATTCGAAGACGTTCTCAGCTTTAGAAAAGCCTTTTGACGGCTGGCTCGTCATTTTTCCAGTTTCGCATTAAGCTGATGAGAAATTCGCTTTAAAGATGTCATTTGACTTTTGCTCACGGACTGTAAAAGCTTGCTTGAATTCGAGGATTAAAGTGTTTTACAGATCATTTTTTTCCGAGGCTTCTTACGGCTTTTCTTGAGGATTTGAATTTTTTCGAGACTTAGTTCGAATACTTTCTAAAGTTCTTGATGAGACCTATCGTAAAGATTTCCAATAAAAAATTTTCCGCTTGGATTTCAGGCCTTTCATAGCTCTTTC